ATATCAAATGTAAAGCAGGAAGTTGCTTAAAAAAAGATTTAGATTACATCGTTGGATGTAAAAAAAAGGTTTAGGGGCGGTTCGTTGTGAAAGAGGAGTGGTTTCGTCGACTGTATATATTCTTGGCCCAATTGTATCCTCAAGATTTGTTTGATTATTAAGCGTGTTAATAAAGGGTGTTTAATAAAGCGTGTGTTCCCGCGATGAGATGGCTTGGTTGTGTTTGGAACGGCAGTGGTATGCGGCAAAAGGTTGGTGATTGGACTGGTTTTGTTAGGATTGGCAGACTTTAGGGCCTAGTTTAGTTTCCAGTATTATAGGCTTGGGTCGTGTGATCTTATTCTATACTCTTGAGCAATATTGTAGGCTATTATGATCTTGTTTTCGTATTTGTCTTGCGTATTTTTTGCAGTTTTATTCTTTAGTACTGCTAAATTTGTCTTTGTACTCTGTAGTATATAGTCGTATAAACATTGCCTACAATATTATACAGTTAAGTAGCTTATGCAGATTATAGCCTTTCTTCATCGTTAATTAGCTAATTCTGCTTACGCAAATTCAAAACTTTGAATATTTGTATTTAAACTTTGGTTTTTTTTTACTTTTACGTTTACTTTCGGATTACTGTAGCTACTGGTTTGCTGTTAAACCCTAAACATAGTAACATTGTGTTTATTACACAGTCGGTTTTACATCTTTAGTAAATTAGCAGGCGTCGTTCATGTGAACAAAACAGTTTACAAATTAATTGTCCTCTCTCGCCACACTTTCTTTCTTTCTCACTCCCTCTGGCTAAAAGAACAATAATCTGCAAGAGGTTGTTTTCTGTTTTGTTTCATGTTCAATAAAGGTCGAAGCAAAAACATTTGAGAGAAAAAAGTGGCCCAAAAACTATGTCAGAGATCTTTGGTTAGGCAGCGCTGTTTTTGAAGAGAGTAGTAAACAAAAACAACATTCTCCCCTCGCCTTTTCCGATGTTTCGGAGGATCTACTTGTTATGATGAGCGAGCATTCCCAACACCAGAGATTAAAAAACACTTTTTTATTATTGAAACATTACGACTTTAGGCTTGATCACATGCAAATTTAGGTCAACGGAATGTTGAGGATCTTGTCTTTGATAGTTATGGTGATTAGGCTGATTTATTTTTATAGGGTACCGTTTTTTTCCTTATACTGTATGTGTCTCATCTTTGATTCTTTGTTAAAGGGTATCTCGAGTTGCTTCTGTGTTGAGTACAGTAATCACTGACATTATCTCTTCAATGATTACCCTGTTTGTCGCTAGTCATATGTATAGCTAGCCATCGTGATTCGATAGCTCGTACCATTGTCACGACAACATTCTCGGTTATTAAACATTGGTAATCTTTCAACTCTGACCTATTCTCGCCCGCTCTAGCCTTCTTTTCGCTTTTCAATCAACTAATTCGGTGTTTAACATCGAACACTCTGGAAAATCACATAAAATATACACGGTAAACAAAAACGCGTTTACCAGTTATTTTTTGTCACGTGAACGTTCGAATTTTAATTTTGGATGTCTAAAAATAACAACGGGGCGGCGCCTCAGGGCTAAGTTGTTTATCCCAGATGTTTCCCAAAATATAAAATGGTCTAGTGCGGTGGGGTTTAGCTCAAAACGCCTCCAAAAAACTTGTAGTCATGACTGTTTTCTGTACTTTTTAAAATACAGATTTTTCATATCAGCTTGTTTTCTAAATACAATTTCGAGGTCTAAAATGCAGTGGAGTTTGTAGTCGAGTTGATGGACGACCTGTAGTCTCTGTCTTCAACCTCAAACCACAAAACATAGTCATCGATTAGTGCCTTCTGAATCCTTGTTTGTCTGTCGACTCTCTCGCTTTAGCACGTTCTTCGTCTCTATTTCTCGTCTCTTTTTTGTGATTCATGAATTCTTTTTGGGGTCTGGGCGTCTCTCCACTCCCGCTCTCTATCGCCGCTCGCCGAAGGGGCGGAGAGTTGAGAGTTAAAAAACTTTGGGATTAAACTGAAAAGAGCAGTCTAAAGCAAATTATTATCATGGCGGTTGCACGTTTTGATTTGTATTCAATTAGATTCGAATAGATTTTGGTAGATTTTACATTGTAGTAGATCTTGTACCTTTCCGAATGTGATCTATAATGTAGTATATGTTTACAACAACTTTGTTTACACCAAATCGTTGTAAATAGAGGGTTGTGCAGCTTTCTGTTTTTGTTTCTTGTTTTTCTCGAGGATGAGTCATGTGAGCATAAAATTGTTTTTTATAGTTTCAAATGGAAAGCGGTTCATTCGAATTGCTTGTATTTTAAGGACAGTCGGTTATAGGTAGTGGTCGGTTTGCAATGTTCACGGTGAGTCGAATAGGGGGAGTTGAAAACTGCAGTAGATAAGTACATTTGGATAGATTTTGGTAGTTTTAGTTAGTACTAGTGTCTTGGTGCTGTTTTACTTTGAGTTTAAATTTTATTTTTAAAATTTTTGTTTACTGATTTTGAGTTTTTCGATCTTTCTTTTTTGAATTGTCAATTTTGTCGCAATTTTAAATTGTAACTTTCGGTCACAATTTCGAATTGTACTTTTGGTCACTGTTTTCGCGCATTGTTCATTTTCGTCGCATATTGTAACCAAGAACTCTCTGATCTTTCATTTTTGAAGGCCTAAACTCTAAAACTGAGCTAACTCGGAAAGAAAACCGAACGCCAATTCCTCGACAAACACATACCAAGCCCCCTACAAGGCTTAGAGCAATATTAACCAAGAGATAATTGATTGAGTGTGACTACCCAACCCCCAAACCAACCGCCTAAATGTTTCAGGATTGGGCTTACCAAGACTTTGATTTGTTCGCATTCGTCGGCAAAGACGACTTTGAGGACTACTCACCCGGCTGCGAGGATACCAACAAGGACGACGAATCCTTGCAGAAGGGCGATTACATGTACGCGACGATGCAATACAACCAACTCGCTACCGATCAGAACATGTTTGATCAGCCCCCAATGATGACCAACGTCGACATGAGCAACGGCTTTGTTAAAGGTAAGTTGATAGTCTTTTGAGTCTTTTAGGTACTGACAACAGGCTTTTGAGCTTTATAGAGGTTCTTAAGTCTTTTGAGATTTTGAACATCTAGTAGCTTTAGTACTTTAGTATCTGACTTTTTACTTAATTTTAATGATCTTGTTTAAAAGTCTAAATTCCAATCAAAGTTTACAAAACTGGTCGAATTGAGTGTCTTATCAATGCTGTCTATGTCTGTCTGCACTTTAAACGCCCGGTTTAATACCAATTTTAGCGTTTTACCTTTTTTCGTTGAATTTGTAAAACAAAAATCTATAAAACTGCGGGTTTTACTTCCGTGTTAATTTCGCCAAATTCTTACGTGCAAACCCAAAAATTGGTCGCTGCGGTTGATAAGGCCGCAGACTTTGTAAAACACATGAGTTTAGATTACAATAACACAAACATTGACTGTAACATGACAAAGCGGGGTTTAAAGTACTCTTGCCATCTAGAACGTTTTATTCTAAAACTATTTTCTGTTTTATCAAATTATAGTTCTAGAACTACTTTATACATTCTCACGGAAAGAATTAGCTTTGGCACGTAAATTGTTGTCAACACGTTTTTGCAGTAAATAACCTTTTAGAGAACTAGGAATTGTAGAAGTAATTGTTGTTGTTTATCCAATCTAAAGTACTATTTTGGGACTAAAGTAACAGAACATGAGCTATTCTTAGCAGTTATATTACACTATAGTTTATAAAAAGCCGCCTCGAAGTCGACTTTTAAAGGTTGTTCGTGATCGATTATCGATTGTAAAATCGGGGGTGATAACAAGTTTTGTGACATGACTGGGAGACGGTAGGCTGATTTCTGATTGTAAGATGTATCGTAGCTGGTTGATGTACAGGTTACGATATAAAAAGTAATACCTTTTTTGATTGTGTAGCCAGTTAACTATCTTATAGTAGACAAGATGTTTTTTGATAGTAAATGCTAATCACAGTAGATGTTATTGGGGTTAAGTACAGGGTTGATTGGAGACGGGGATTAAGATATTATAATCGAGCCTGGAAGTCTGTTTTCTTAGATATTAAGCTGTAAAAGTATTGGTAATCTGGCCGCGTTCTTACTGTAAAGCTATGGGGATTATGCTTACAAAAAGGAATCTTGGTAGTCAGATTTGCTTAAGTTTTTAAGATTTTCTTCGTACTGAGTATGTAATATGCGATAGCTGAGACTCTAAGATCTAGTGTAAGGTTTTGGATTTAAAAGTTATATTTTTTGTTTAAAAATTAAATTGAAAGCTTAAAAATCAACTTTCTGGGTAAGAATCGATTGCTCTAGACAATTCGGTTTTTGACACCTTGATTTTAAGGTTGTTTTTCTTCTTTTGAGCGATATAATCTTTTGACTAAACTTCTAGTAACTTCTGATGGTTTAATCAATAAAATTAGCCCAAAATTAAGCTTATAGTCTCTAGAACGCTGCCCAATGGCCAGTCCGCGAGGGGCGTGCCTTATTAATGTCGCTGATTAACACTTGGCTCTTTTTTCTAATGAAAACATCAAACATCCAGCTGAGAGCACGTGCTTGGGCTGGCACCGCCCCCTTTGCGCCTGCCTTACGGCCTCCTCGAGAGTCTTCCACACGGTTCCAACCCTTTTAAAAAGCAGGGGATTCCCAGAGGGCTTTTTCTGTTTAATTTTATCATCATCGAGTGATCGTGCTCCGACTTTATTCGCTTTACAGTACTCTTCACACTTGATAGTACTGACTCTATTCCAGGATAGTACTGACCTTATTCTTGATTAGTACTCATTGATTTGAAGTTGGTACTCGTTTGTAGTACACATTCGATACGAAACAGTACACTTTACTTGAATCACTTATTCTTTCAAGGCAGTACTAACCTATCCGATCTAACGTTCTACTGTCCTATTCTCTTGTTGTGCTAACACAAGTACTCGTATATTCTCTAAGTTCATTTGATGCTAGCTCAAGAAACAATGGCACCCCTCTTTCTGTCGCAGCCTAGCCAGCATAACTTTTATGCACCATTTATGAATCAGTTTGGTATGTTGGTTCAGTACTCTTTTGGGAACACTTTATTTAAAATGTCATTTGATTTTTTGATACTGTAACTTATAGTACTGTTTTAGCTTGTCCTAGTACTGTTTTGTCAGTTGGTCTTATCTTTAACTTTCTCATTGTCATCTTTAATCTTACCCACCTCACCTACCTATAGTCAGATGTTGCTACTTGTTCTCTGATTACTTGTAACTCTGCTCTCGCTCTCTCGCCCTCTCTCCGCCTCTCGTGGTCTGTGATACGGCTCCAAACAACGTCCTTGATGTTTGCTCAGATGCACAACATATAAACATGTTTATTTATTGGAGCAATGTGATTTAGTTATTGGCGAGAATTAGTGCATCATGCTCTGTTTACTGTTTTTTTTTGTACAGTTAGTACTTTTAGTTCACTTTACAACAAGCTTTTTGAAAAATTTGTGGTTTGAGCTACTTTTTGCAACAAAAGCAACTTTTCTTGGCTTTTTTGATAGTGTTGAAAGCTTGTTTTTGTACAGTAAGGTTGAAAAAAGTTGTAATAGGGCAGTAGAATCAAGTTATCAATAATATAGCTGAGCAGTGTTTAATCTGTATACCTACTACAATGTAAGGCTGTCTTTACCTTGCTTGTTCCAAAAATAAAAACTGTTTTTTGTTTACTTTCTCGTGATTTGCGATTTCGAAATCCAGTTTTGCTTTTGTTTTTCAAACTCTTTTCGACTCAATTTTTTTAAAGATTTGGTACTGTTCTCGTTTTTGGTACAGATTTTTAAATTTTAAACTAAAAGTGGCCTCTGATTGGTATTCGAATACTTTGTCGTTAATCTCGTGACCTCACATGACTCACCCCAACTATAAAACGTCATCTTTTGTCTTGTTTTAGTCTACGTACACTCGACTCAACCAGTTTTCTTTTTCATTTTACAAGCATTTTTCAAATTTCGAAATTTTTTTTGAAATATTCTGTAGAATTCTTACTGTATTTTGAAATTTGACACTTTTCATCATGTAGAAGTCAGATCTTACCGCACTTTTAACTCGAAGTTTGCCGTACTTTAATTTACTGTAGTATCTTACTGTAGCTTATGGCATTTTCTAAATATTGATATATTAATGGTACACAACTAACTTTGCCCAATTTCAGACGAAAGATTTACCTCAAGTGCTGCATCCACCTCGAACTCGTGTTTGAACGGCGTTACAGTACCCCAGAATCAGCCCAGCACCAGTCGTATGTCAGCTCAAATCCCTCAGGCTCAACCGCAGCCTGCGTACGGTGCTAGTCTTCGTCAGCCGGCCATGCCCTCGGGCACCGCCTCACTTATCGCTTCAGCCTCCCCGTCGCCACAACAGTTGAACAACACCGCCGGCATGTACAATATGCCCATCAAACAGGAGCCCGGCTTCGAAAATATGGTAGGTCTTGACTTGATGACATTTTTAATTGTAACTGTTTCTATTATAAGGGAGTGTGGGTTTAAAAATGGCAGGTAATAGCAAGGTATAGTTTTATCGGGATTATTGTAAACAGAGTTTGGTAGATAGAGCTGGCTTTAGGTTTTGGCCAAAGTTTAATTAACGTAGAGTGATGTCAGTGCAGAGAAATGTCGAGTTTTAATTTTAGTAAGAGCTGATAGCTTTAGGGGACGGTAAAGCGGATTACATTACTGTTTAAACCTTTGCTTTTTAAGACAGTTTTATGGTTGTGGGGGTTAAAACCAAAATATTTACATTGTTTTAGTTGGATCAGATGACATTTAATAAAAAGTCTAGGAAAGTTAAGTCAGTGTTATCATAAGGGGCAATGTTTTTTACTTTTTTTCTAATTTCTATAGTTTAGATATATTTTTTGTTTGTAAACTAATTTTTATACTAATCATCGCTCCTTTTCAGTATGACGCATCAGACAACGAAAGCCACTACAGTTCCGGCACCAACCCCGGCTCCGGTCTCGGCATGAACAAGCCTCGAAAGTACCGTATCAAGCCCGAGTGCGAGCGAGTGAAGCCCGAGTACAAGATCAAGCGTGCCAAAAACAACGACGCCGTCCGTCGCTCCCGCGACAAGGCCAAGCGCATGCAACAGGAGAAGGAGAGCCGCCTCGACTTCCTCGAGCGACAACACACCGACAGCACCAAACTAGTCGCGGCCCTTCAGAAGCGCGTCAACGAGCTAGAGCGAGAGTTATTGCGTGTGTGCAACCAGTGCTCGTGCGTCTCATCGATGAACTCGCAGTTCCGCCGACGCTGAACACTTTATCACTATTCATCCCAGTTCTAGGCCATTTTTGTAGGTCTACTGTAGTGTAAATGTAGCCGTTTTCGTATCTTTTCTTTTGGCAGTGCGATATTACAGTAGCCAGATCTCGACTGTAATATTGCCTTGGATGCAACTTATGTAATATATTGTTTCTATGTACTGACTTACGGTACCCATAAATTACCGTATCTATATATATACGATTTTACTTTGTCTTTTTGTCGTATTTGAAAGGCGGTTGTCATACTGTAGGATTGCTGTATTATTACTGTAGTGAAATTTGGAACAATTGAATTTTGTGTCATTCTACAGTAATGCTACAGTATGACAATCTTTTATGTAATTTATTCATAAACAAGAATTTATCCCAAAAAATCATACTACTTTAATTGTGTCTAGATATTGTGTCATTGTGACATGTTTTTGTAAGCGTCATAATGTTGCAGTACTTCCTCTCCTCCCAAATACTCCACTTCAGATACACTCCAAACTTAATCATTATTTTATATTGTTTTGCCTTCTGAAGCCTCCGACCTGATCGTACTCTCTCGCTCCCTCCGTTCTCAATATATATAGAAGTTGTTTATGTACATTATATTACTATTGTTTTCTTATATTTTATCCAAAAAACTCAAAAACGCAAAAAAAATAAAATTTGAAATTTAAAAGTTCGGCTTGATTTTGGGGGTGGGCTAGTGTAATATTAGGGTAACTTAATGTTTTAAGCGACTATGGTAATAAACTATATCTGATACTACGGTAAAGTAGTATATAATTTAGGTAATGATATTATTGTCTTTTATTTAGGTAAAAATATTATTGTCTTTTAATAACTACAGTAAATATTAGGTAAAGTAACATATAGATGTAAACATAAAAAAAACTTGCAATAACAACTACAGTAACCCGCATTACTCGGAACTACAATATTTAACGGTATATGTCATATGGTATTTAAACTCGAAAACATGTCCGGAGTTACCGAGTAATTGGGTTTGTATTGAACATATAATCAGTGTTACAACATAATTGTCATGTTGAGGATGATTGACCGTATTTAAAGTGCATTCGCTATTAATAAAGGATTGTAAAGTAATCACCTTTACACTCGGATATTATACATGTTTTGCAGAGAACACTCTGAATGGCACGATAAAACGTGGTATATTGGAGAGAAGAGGTGTATATCGAGAGTAAAATGGTAGACCTTGTCGTAGATTAGTTGTATATTAAAGTCGTAGTAGTAATTTAGATAATATTTTATGTTTTTACTGTAGTATAATATTGCTACCGCTATTTCTCTTAATTTTCTTTCACGTGTTTTGTATTTATGCATAGGCCTTCATGTTTATATCATGATATCTTTGTCGTATATACATTATGAAACCATTTTTTGCTCTGTAACTCTTCACGGTCATTATCAGCTTCATAATGTGTCAAGGGGCCTTGTTACAGTACCCTCAAAAACATCCCACCCTAACATTACATGAATTACCTTTACCAACCTCTCCCCATCAACATACGATGCCATTATTCGTGGTAGACATAATCAACTAATTACCGTGATCCGCTTCGTATTGTGCAATACGAAAGCCCATTACAACGCAATCAATGAAAGTAATGTAAATATTTTCTCGTTATGTGATCCGCTTACAGTCCACAATAATCTCGAACATACCACATGCCATATTGGGTAAATACGGCTGTAAACGGCACAGTTCATTGACACAGATCATGTTTACCGTAGAACATTACAGCCGTGATGTTTGGTATGTTCGAGAATAGGTTTAAAGTTACTGCAGTGGCTACGGTGCAGTAACAGAGATCGGGTTTTGGTAAACATGTTATAGTAGTACAAGGGGGAAAAAGTAAATATAGTAGTATTGTTACAGTTTCTTTTTCTATTTTAAAATTTTTACTGTAATGTTTATTTTTGATAGATACAATGAAGAAACCAAAGATTTTAAGGTTTTTTGGCGCAATAAGTCACATTTGAATTGTCAGTAGCATGATCCGAAAGAACGATAAATTCGTTATAAGAAATTATAAAGTATGGAATTTTGATTACTATGGCAATGCACTGCTTGAATCAATCTTTTCTATAACAAGATAACATGCTTGAAGTAAAATCTTGGCCAAACTTAAAACAGTAAAATTTTGATATAAAAAAACTATGTCAAGCAGCTTTACATTGTAGTCAACAGAACACTTGATACTAATATAACTATGTATTATGTTTACTAAAAATTCCAGGTGAAACAAACACTAACTACTACAACTTACAAGCAAACAAAGGCCTATTCTTTATTATTACTCTATATCAAGACGCTACTAGGAGCTACTGAGCTCATTTTTTTATTCTCTTGCGGTGCATTAATAGTGACAAACTACTTGCCTTTATTATTATACAATAATTTTAAAAATGCGACAAGTTTTAAGCGTTACATCTTTAAAAAGTTCTTTTTGCAAAAAGAAGCAGTACTTGAACACCTTACACACAAAGTACGATGTACTAGCTTTGCACTTGAACTTGAGTATAAGGACGTCATTAAAGTAAACTACAAAGAAGTCAGATAATACTATAATGTCTTTGGCAAGCTCAAGAACTCAAAAACTCTCGTTTTAATCAAATAAGCCTTTGTTCCAGTACAAATCATACAACAAGATTCGACTGTGCTAGCTTACAGCCTTTATGACAAGGTTTTACTGTATAATATATTTAGAGTCATACTAATAACATATTAGGTTCTTTAAATAATTCTGTGCCCCCTCTCAAAGCAAATCTTCAAGTTAGACAGCACAGAATTATTTGAACAACTTCATAGTTTGTGCCATGTCATACTGTAATAACAGGTAAAGTCATGACCTGGAATGTTAGTCTATTTTTGGACTTTTAATTGTATCACCAGTTCACAGTAAGTTGTTTGTAAATAGCAATCTTTAAAAGTGATCGTATCTTATCACGACAAATTAGAGATCATCTACCGTAACCATCAATCAATCGTATCACAGTAGCTGTTTTCTCATTTTTTTTTAATTTTAAAGAATCAAAAAACACGGAATAAAGAATAGATATTACTATAGTAAACCATGTTGTGATCAAGATACGATCAGATCTCATGATGGTGATTAAACTCTCGGAATCTCCATATTATCGATTCGAATTGTTTTTCACATAAACAAATTGCGACAAACAAAGCGAATCGACCAAACATCAGGCTGGGTAAACATGTTTGTCTTCAGGCATCGTATCTTTAAAAATCATTTTAAATTATTCGAAATGATATCAATAGGAATGGCAGCTCAGGCTATTTTACAGAGTTTATGACATAGAACATCGTATCTCTGAAACATGACGTAGATACGAAATGTAGTGAATGTAAAGTAATCTTTCCTACAGTAAAACATACATTTTAGTTTAGTATGAGAAAGCAATTGTAGTAGTAGTAATGTACCTAAAGTTACATCTTTTAACATGAATATTGTACTTTACATTACTATTTGTGCAAAGAGTCATAACCCTCATAATTCTCTAGCATAAAGCATATTTACTGTACGTGTATAACAGTACAACATACAATAAAATTGCCTTATAAAAGGGATAAGAAAGAACATTTGTTGCCTATAACAAGAGTTTTCTTACTACTATAATATAACTTATTATACCACTCACACCAGACCTAAACCAAATCGTATATGCCTGTAAAACCAAGTTTATGGCGTAGATGACGTCTGTATGACATTTAGAATACATTATCGTACAGTAGTTACTCAGAACACAGTAAACTTGACATTTTTACAACTTTGCGAGACTTTAGAGGTACAGAAACCATTAAAATATATTGTTTTTTCATCTCTGAACTCTTAAAAAACAAAAAAACAAGAGCAATAGCTTAAAACTAATTTTAGCACAATCACAATACCAAATCAGGTGTCGCATTCCAAATTGACCTTGTATTCATACAATAAGTTAAATTTAGGCAGGGAATTAAAAAAACAAGCCATAATGTGAAATTTTTTTAAATTTTGATAATTTTTATGTCCCTGCCCTACTCTATCTTGCTTGGGTTGTCCTATTCTTTCTTGGCTTGGCTTAACTTAAGTTGCCTTAGCTTAGCGTGACTTGGCTTGCCTTGCACTGCCTTACTCTATGCTGCGATGCTCTGTTATGCCCTGTCCTGTTCTAACCTGTCCTACCCTATCGGCCTGATTGAGAAAAATGGGTTACTGTAAACACATTATAGTTTTTCAACCATCTGTCTTTGCTTTCAAAAATCGTTTTTGACAGTGTTGACTATCACTAGAGCCTAGCACAGTTAGTACAAAAGCTCTTATTTTACTTCCGGCATCATACATACTTCAGATTCTTTATTACATTATAATGTAACTTTATTACTATTAAATTATACTACAATCTTATTACTATACCCACTTTGCACTCTGTAACTTCTACTTTCCCCATACCTGCATTACTTTCCAAATTATACCGTGACTCTTTAATTAAACTATAATTTGGTGGTTTTTACTCTGTAGACAATGTTTTCAATCTCGATGTTTATAGTAAATTACTATGTTTTCAACTATTTGGATATGTTTTCGATACTCGGAATTACTCGGTCACACTTCCAGACATATTACAATTACTACTAAATAAAACATCTCTTGTAACTTAGTAACCAGAGATCTTTATATAATCTCGCCAATTGTTTGGCGACATAAACATATTACTATGTTCGTATATACTGCTATATATAAAGGTAGACCACGTAGTAGACGATAATATGTTGTGGTACAAGTTTGAAGATATAAAGAAAGGTAGTAATAGTAATTTGTGAGACAAAGAGAAATATTATGACAAAAGTTACAGTAAGAAAAACAATTTAAAGTACCATATGAAAAAGTTACTACAGTACCCCATTACCAACTGTAAGGTCATAGTGAAAACACTGTAAAAACGTCTAAATATCCCCATATGACGCAAAGCAAGATTTTACCGTCACTGGCATTCATTTCATTGCCATTTACATACGTTTTGCAATAATTTGTTGATATCTACATTAATATCTTGTTGATACAAATAAATATTAAAAAATAATCAAAAAACACAAAATACTAAAAATAGGACTAAAGCTGGCTAATACCAGCGGCAATCACTTTATCATAAACATCAAACAATACGAATTACAATATAATCAAATTTACATTGTAAGCCTTTAATCGTATCTTCGACGTCATACGGTAAATTTGAACTGTAATCTTTTGATCGATGTCGTCAAGTGTAATATTGTTGTTGTTTAGGTATGGTCTTATCCTATTTTAGTCTTTATTTACTAGTTTTCATCCATCTTACAGTAATATACGTAAGTTTACTCTATCCTTCTCTATTCTACCCTTCGTCACCATACCCTGTCTTATCCTACCCTACCCTACATTACCATAAATTTCTTTACTCTGTTCTGTACTACTAATACATATCAATACAAATGTCTTTTGCATCGTATTTTAGCCCCTAAAAGTATTAATAGCCATATTGTTGTCTACTACAACATAAGGAACAATAACATACGTGGCTAACTCTAAAATATCCTCAAACTCCAAGTATTTGGAGAGATTATCGTATCTTATATCATGTTACAACGACAAATAATCTGCCGCCACCATAATATTATAAATTCATATTTTCAGTGGTATACTTCCTCTTACTAATCTCTTCCTTGGGCAGTAATAGCATAATGTTAAAGTTTTTAGTAATATGCAAAAATTTTAAACGTTAATTTTAAACTTAAGAGCAAAAAAGATGTAAATCAAAAGGTTTGGCTTTATAATAATAATAGAATATAAAAATGTCTTAAAAGTTTCTTGCACGGTGCAATAAAACAAGATTGATCTAGTGCAAGATATTCCGAAAACTTTTGAATGAACTTCATGTTCCAATGATTAAATTACTCAGTGTTAATTAAAAAGATCATAAAATCGTTTCACAAGTTCGCAGACAAACTGCACTGTGCATCATAATATTAATATAGCACATGCAAATAATTTTTAAAATTTTAAAGTTTTAACTTTCAAATTTGTAAAATTTCAAATTTGTAAGCTGTCGCAACATGTTTTACAAAAAGTATTTATATTCTATATATTCACTGCGAAGTTATGTTGATGTTAACATAGATCATAGCCTGTATATAACCCCACAGTAAAGCTTTTTGTTTTCACTGTAAAATTAAAGTTCAAAGCCTCAAAGTGATACAAAAGTAACATTTACAGAAGACCCGCAACCTGAATACTAGTTAACGTGATTAGCCCCTAATTGACCAATAATCCGGTCGATAATCGGGTGAAGGTGGGAGTAAAAATAACTTTAGTTTTTAGACATTAATCTTTAAATAACACTTAAACAAATTGTACCAAATGTTTACTATTGGAAGTTAATCTTTTGAACATTACTTTCTAACAATCAGGTATAAATTTGTACTTTTGATTATGATATACTATAGTAATCTATGCAGAAATGTACAAAATATTATGATATTTGTCTACAATAACATAAAATTAAAAATATTAAATTACTGTCTGTAACATTACTAAAGCTTGTAAATAACATCACAAATCCTAACTAGTAAAAGAAGATTAGCGTTAATTTAATTACTGCATTGCTATATTATCAGTTCCTTTGAGATTTAGTATCAGTTCCCGATAGCCAAAGTATTTAGTATATAATAAGTGTTAATCTGCATCTAATCTACTGAAAACACAAAAAGTCAAGGCTAATTTATATTATCCTAAATACCAATTATACCTGCAAAAGCAATACTATTTATAAATTCACAAAAGTTAATAACATAACCCTAAAATTGATGTTACAGTAGCTTCTACTAACACTGCAAAAATATATAATACAAAAAGTTTGTACCACTTTACCAATAGCCAAAAGATCATCTTATAGTACTTGCTTCATATATTCAGTAACACATAAACAATATTTTCACCTTTTAGGTACTACAACATCAACATCATTCAAACAGTTCGGTATTATACTGAAACACACACACAAAACAATAACTCCCATGTAAAGTCAACAAAAGTAGTTTATGGTCAGTAACAGTATGAACATGATGTATACGTATATGTGAGTGGTTATTGTTGCATTGGCTCGTCGAAGAGAGCATCGATGGCTTGTTGAAGGTTGTTGTTGAACTTCTTCAGAGCAACCGTAGCCTTGTCAGCATCCACCCCCATTCCAATCAATTCCGCCAGTTTGGCTGAATCGACTTCTGAATCTGCTGAAGCTTTTGACGTCGATGGTGCTTCTGAGGCACGTGGAGGGCTGGCGTGTACTAAAAAAGGTTTATATACATCCTTAGCTTATCTTAATTTCAAATTTCATTTTTAGCTAATTTTTAGGTATTAAATAAACCTAAACAATACAAAAAAGCAAAAACCTACAGTCCACATGCCCCAATCGCACCACTTCTCTCTTGTACTCTTCTTCTCCCAAAAATGGTACTTCAGTGTCGTCTCCAAGTACCATGACATTTCTTCTCAGATCGATGATACATTGATTTGGTCTCAAGAACGACAGTCCAAGCAGAATCTCGACCTTTTGTTCCTCCAGCACATCGAATGAACATGTTGTATATGAAGAGCCGATCTGCATCTTGCATCCATGAATTCTACCCAAAATCTTACTGTCGCCACCTATTCCATTGGCTCTTGAGAAGAAACGTTCATCCACAAACTCGTAGACATTACATTTCTTGGCGATGGATGGAGAGAGAATCGAGTTTTGGGCACCTAAAATAAGATTTTTTTTAGAAAAATCATTATATAGCTTTAGAATACAAAGAAAGCTAAAACGACATCACTAAGAGTGGCACCTTGAACATCTCTTAAAAAAGGATAGTTTAATATAGATACCTTTAATGAAAGATACCTTACAAAAGCTTTAAAATCAACTTAAAATTAACACCAAAATTCCGTAAGAACCGCTTTATATCAAAAAATAATATATTACTCACCAGAATCGACCATGGCCAAAACTTCAACTCCATTGATCTTGACTAGAATATGTAGCAACTTGACTGGAATGTAAGCTTCTGGAAGATGTTCCAGAGCGTACTTGTACTGTTCTTCAATGTTTTGAATCTTGATTTGCTGAGCGATGTAACGCTGTGCATCCGCGCTCATCTCATCCTTCAAAGCAGTCTCCAATCGCTTTCGTTCGGCCATTGTTTCTCGAACCGCGGCCAAAAATGATTCTGAAAGATAATATTTAGTACTAAGATGTGTTTTTGCATTAACATTACTGCAGTCTTAAATATATTCACCGGTTTTATCTTATTTTTTACTTAAATATCGCCCTAAAAACCTTACCGAAATCATTAGGATTGCTTTGATAAGCATTGGCAATGTTAGGTGCAGTCAGTTTGAAGCTTCTAATGGCGTCAGGATTCGCTTTAATTGTGTCCCAAATTCTCTTGGCAAACACCTTGATGTCATTTGGATTGTCATAGACACTTGTCTTCGCGGGAACAGCATGCTTTTTAGGTACCTTGATCTGAGAAATAAGATTCCTAAGGTCAAGCCCTGAAACAGCTGGAGCTGCTTGAGGTGCACGAGAAGACTGAGGCAACTGATGAAACCTTTGTTGATCTTGAGCCGCAGGTTCAGAGAGCTTGGGAGCTGCCATCAGGTTCACTACTTCATCGCTTTGAAAGCCCAAGTCCTTAAAATCAATAATTATCAATTAACTTTCACATAAAAATAGTTAAAGCTTCATTATAAGATAAAAAATCAATTGTGTTAATTTTTCTTTATTTTTCAAGTGGTGAAATACACTGTTTCGAGATCAACAACCCAGAAATATAACTTTAGATTAAAGTAATGTCTAAAACAATATTCAGAGCCATTATTTATACCTAAAAACCAACCAAAAACAATAAACCTTACCTTCAAAGTTTTTTTCAATTCCGTTGGCAAAACTGGCACTCTGATATGATCATTGAAGAACAAAAAGTTCAGTTTTTCAGTAGCTTGAGCCAAACTTGGCCATTCATCCTTCAGCAAAGCCACAAAACCTTCCAATTCCAGGTCTTCAGTAACATCTTGAGAACAAATCAGGTCGTTGAAAACAACCGTTACTCTCATATCTGTGGTCAAATTTAGGATATATCAACAAATGAGAATAAAATGTTTTTATAACAAGATTTCGAGAAGCAAGTCGATATTGATGTAAGTACAAGACTAGATGAGTAACGTCAGTAGAGTCAGAAAAAAACTGTAGAGATTTTACAAGGCGTCGAACAACAGCTTTCAACGCCAAGATAGCAATATCACCATTTTTCTGCATTTTAATAAAACGTTATACCAAGATTTTTGGCCAGTGTTAGTTTTCGGGTTGGGACGTACAGAGACAACTGATGTTCATATACAAAAACAGTAAATTGTTGATTCTCAGATTCAACAATATAAACATTGTATTTTTATCAGAATATAAAATTATTTTTTTTAACGTTAAACAATTAAATTTTTTTTTGATTATTACAATACCTTTTTAATTTAACTTTTCAATTTTTAAATTTTCTTGCTCATACTGTAACAAAAACGTACTTTGAATTAGATATAAATTGCTTCGTTGTCGAATGTGTTCTTTAGATATTTGTTCGAATAACAACGAACTTCATTCAAAGGTCGTAAACTGATTTCCTTTATTGGGTCTGACGGGCCTGAGGCAGTCTGTTCGTTTGCTCTGCCATTTTTACCTTTACCATGGATCAGGAAGTATTTTTTGGCTTTTTAAAGGAGAGGAATGTTTCAAAAAGGGATACAATTGAGTTTGCGTACTCACTTAGAGTAGTTCTTATTGGCAGCCGGTTCGATAGAACAACATTCACTGTTTTTGGGTGTATATCTTGTTTAGGTGTTTTATGAGTGGTTTTGAAGGGTTATATTTTTAGTTTTTATCTATTTCTATAAAGAAATTAATGATAATTATATATCTTGAGTTTTTTTTGTGTTGTAAAGTACACTAACTGACCTACAACCTTTCAAACATCTCAATAAAGCAACACTTCCTCCCAAGGCTATCGTATAGCAGTAGGTTGTGATACGCTAATGCAATCTGAATGTTTTCGTGGAGCTAATTGCTATCTCACACCCTTCTATTTTGTTTATGCGTATGTGTCTATTGAGTAATTATTATTTATTATAAACAATATTGTCTTAACTCTTTCTGACTCTTATTGTTGCAGTTTGCAAATGCTTCTGACTTACTCAGTAATCTTTGGTGAGTCTTACATTTTTACACCGTGTAAAGATATCAGTTTTCTTATATATATGGGTATAAATAGCTATAGTGTCTACTAGCGGTGTATATAATGAAGAGTACTTGAAATAGTTAACACTATGTTTACCTTAAGCCTTTAGGGAATGGTTTTTGTTGTTACTATTAACCGAAAGCTTATACATATATGGACTGATTATTATAGGTAATATCATATTAATTTAGTCACAGTAAAACTTTTTATTATACAAAGAAATGTACTTTTACTCCAACATACGAAACGTTTTATTATGGTATTAAAGACCAAGTTCGTAGAAATCTGAAATTCTCAGCGGTGATGTATGTATATGTACATACGTGTGGTTCTTTACCTTTATATTGCAAGGCGAGGGTGGTTACAATCGTATTCTCATGCTAATTTTCTACATTAAAATTTAAAATAAGGGTGTTTTACTGAGTAAATCAATTATTATTGGTTCTGTAAACATCTCTTGGGTTACTTTATTTAAATTTAATTGAGTAGTACAAGTTTTCAATGTATTTTACATTATAGATTTTGTCTTTCTGTTATGAATTTACAGTATATCCTCTACAGTAATAGCAATTTCACAATGGTATGTTGTTATAGACTCTTTACTGTGAGAATCCGCTGAATATTCGAATACTTTCGTATTTGTTTTGCTTTTTAAACTGAAATGTCTGGAAATGTAAGTATTTTACTTCCTTTCGAGTAATGTTCTCTGCGATGCATATAAAGTAATGTTGCGGATCTTTATGGTTTTACTTGGGTTTTACTCTGTAATGGTTGGTATTTGAAGATTATATAGATAAAAAGGTATTTTTGATACGTTTGTATTAGTTTAGTACATCAATAATAACACGTTATTACAAAACGTATACTTTTTGTTGTCTAATAAAGCGTATTTTACTTAAAATGCCATTGTTGTGTCTACAAATTGACTATAATGAACTGTTTCTTATAATGTGTTGGGTTAAATTCTATTTTCTACAATCATATATTTATGAATATATACGTCTGTTTATCTTATAAAATCATAAATCATATTCCTTTTTTTACCTTAACACTATATAATTATATTCTAGATGACGTCTCGTATTGTTTTAGTTGACATAGCTGTTCCTTTTATAATTCTCTCATGAATTTTTCATTTTTGCACTTTTGGCTATAAAATACGGTTTATAAATTTACAATGTAAAATTGAATTTTAATTTTTTGAAAAAATCATTTTCTTCACCCCTTTTTTATTTTTTCTCTTACACTGAAATTACCCTGCCGCTTAGTAAAAGTAGTTTCAATGATTAATATGAAGAGGTTCAAGATGCAAATGTCGAATATTGTATTTTACACAAAACTGACATTTCCACCATTGTAATGTCTGACATACCCGGGTTACATTTACAGAGTAAAGTCATTACTTTAAACATTACTTTGGCGATTTATTCGAATGTTTATTTGTGCCCTTTACAACGTCATAAATATTTGAAACCTCGCGATACTTTTAGAAATTCAAAATTCATTTAAGAAAAAAAACTTGAATTCCGGCCCTCAGGGGGAAACGGCCATTGTTTTATTCGGTTTAAAGTGATGTTGTGCTTATGGCCTTTATTGCAAGATTTTTTGGACTTGACATACGATGGGGGTAGTATAGTGCACTATAGTGTTTTAGTACTTTCGGTATTCTTGTCATACCTTACCTTACTCTACCCTACGATTCGCTTTCCTACCCTACTCAATCCTGTCTTACCCTACTTTACAGTAATACTGCTTTAAGTAAATAATATGAGAAGATAAGTTAAGTATTCTATTTTTACTTAACTCTTTCAAAACTATATATTATCCATGACTTCCATTCAGATGCGACATCGATCTTGTTGTCTAATATAGTTACTAAATACTCTGTTTTTACTTGGGTGCTATAGATATTGTCTTTACTATGTCATTTAGTATAATTTACTGTGTTATTTTAGTATTATATCCAATTTTTTAATAATTTTATGCAAAAGTTAATTTTAAAAATTTTTAAGATTTGAAACAGAATTCCTTCGGCGTATTTTACAATGACTAATCGAATAAAAATTAATCGAAAAATTGCAAAAGCAAACAGCTTAGAGCTAAAGATAATCTGTTTTTATTTTTACTTTACAATGTCTATAACTGGTAGCATCATACACATTTGTGACATTTATTATATTGTGTTTTCTTGTTTATATTTGGGGGAGGATGCTTTTAAAATTTTTAGTTTTTTAAAGATTTTCGGTTAGAAATTAAGCAGAATAGCTCATTATATAGATTTTCAAAAAGCCTAGTCGTCAACTGTTATGTAATGTTACAGTCAGGGCCGGGCGGGGACTTTTGGTCTGGGGGCAGGGGTCCAAAAACTCGGCACCTGTGCCAATTTTTTGCAAAATTTTTTTCCCGAAAATCCACAGGGGGAACCACGTTCAACTTTTTTTTCAAAAATTTTTTTCTGGGGGGGGGGGAAGGAGTACTCCGTCCCCCCCTAATTTTATAGCTTTTGTAACCATTTTTTTTGGAAAAACATGTTAATATATAATACAAATATAGACTAAAATTCAAAAAACTATGTAAATATATCGTCGTTGCCTTTACCTTGCATCTTTTCTCTGATGTTCATATAAAAGCATGGTAAATCTTTTGTTTCGACGGGAATAAAATTGGCCTAGCCACTTCCGGAGCCAAGCTAGGAAGAGATTTTTAATGCAAATGAAGCAAATGTCAACATATTTTTTAGTTTTTACATTTTATAATTTTTCTTTGGTATACTTTACCTAAATTACTGTAACTAGGGCGGGACTGTAGACGGAAAGGTAAGGATTTTATGCAGATTACTTTTAAAATTTTTAAAAGTTGCGATAAAAAAGCATAGTTAGCTCCTAGTTTACTTGACAAAATTTGTGAGAATTTTATGGTCAAAAAGTTTATAGAATCTACTTTTATAAGAACCTTTTTTGACACAAACCGTTCATGTCTTGTTTTCTCTTATATAATACTTACTTTTTGACCAAACTACATCTTTTGCCTCAATATTTTGCTGTTATACTGTTACTCTTTGAAACATTTCATCGTTCCCCAACGTTCCAATGTTTATTTGCGCAGTAATCCCATCCTTTAATTGCAATATAAACCATAACTACAAACGGAAGTTGGTGCCATTTATTATTTATATCGCATAATTTGAAGTTAGGTGTCAATTCTGTTTCCAAAACAGCTACTTATATTATAGTTGTTATTTACGTCACATAGTTAATAATAAGTACAGAGAGTAGGGTAAAATTAGGTATTAATGGCTACGTTAAGGTATATATTTATTTATAATATTTTGCAATTTTGGGTAAGTGGGGGCATACTATGGTATATGAGTATATTTGCCGTGCCGTTTACTACAGTAACACTTATTTTTTTCATTTTCACTTTTAAAAAATTATTTATAAAACTTTCTAGCCATGTCAGTGCTGACAGAATTAGAGCTCTCAAACGACAAACTTTTACCTCAGCGCTGTGTCAACTGTAACAGTAACGATGACATGGATGATATACCCAAAGTAGAAGTTACTGGGTGGCGATTGGTGTTGTTGGCCTTTGAAAGATTTGTGAAGTTGACCATCATGATGTTCGGAGTGTTCTTGGGCGTGAAAGGAACGTTGAGAGCTGTTGTTAATGGAGTAGGTGTTTTAACCATACATTTAGTGTGGCGCTATATCATGATTACTATGTAGATTTCTTTCTTTGTTACTAAAAACAATAAATCTCAAAAAAAGGGAATTGACATGTACTTAGGTACATATTACTTTTTTCATTATGATTTCACGCTACGGCCAATTAGTATTATATGTATAAGACGTTTACAATGTTGTTTTATAGTAGTTACAGGTGTTATAGCATAACAGAGAAGTAATTTTACGTTAGATGTCTACTAAAAACCATAAAGTATTGACAAAATAACAAGATATAAAGGCGAATAATAGGAAGTAAAATTGAAATTTGTTGCTGTATAATATGACAAAACAGAAAGTAACTATTATAATGATTTTTATGGTTACTATGATACATGATTTACCATAGGAAATGATATATGAACTAGTACGCATACAAAGATCTGAAAAATATGCTTTGATCATGAACATTACCAATCAAATTACAGAATGAACTAAACACCATCTTGGCCATCTTCAGCACTCTCAGCCCGTTATACTTGACCTCAGCTTACATTTACACAAAGATACGATCGCTAAAAGACTGGAGTGCCATTACCATTAGGATTCACATATATACACGTAGGTTTTACCAAAGTTTTATACTTACTTTGCAAGTATATAACCTTTTACCAGTATATCCTTCATCGTATATTCTTTTTCATATTTGAAGTCTGATAGTGTACATATCAATACTAATTATCACCTTTATGTCTATGTTTATATCCTCATACTGTATCTTGTTTACTTTCGTGCAATTAATTACAAAATTGTAGTAGGATTACAACGAAATTAATTAGAAGATACGTGAGAAAATTAAAAAAATATTTCTATATATTTTTTAAAACTGTAAATAGTTGTAAAATTGCACGATACTTACAACTATTTGTTTATCATAACATCACAATTGGAACATTTTTTGACATTTTAAAATTATATTAACCACAAACTAGATACAGTTTGTATTTGATTTTGGCGCTCCCTTATTTAAAGCACCCATCCAACCTATTTGACACACCCAAGTTTCGTTCTTATTATACACACCCAAATTTGAATAATCCACAAAATCTAAAAATTGCTTTTTGCAATTGTGATTTCTTTTCATTTTGAAAATTAACTCTGTTCCCGTGCGGTAGCGCGGATATGGAAAAAACGTCTTGGAGAGCTCACTCCTGTTTAAGTTGACGATCGTCAAGACTGGCCAACCAAAAGTGGACAATCGTGGATCATCGGTTATGTAGCACAAAATGGGAATGCAAAAGCATCGGTAATCTCGGTAAGTCTTTCGATTCAGACAATTTCTTTAGTTTCCGTCCAAGTTGAACCACAACAGCCAGTTTCAACCTACCAACCCCTGAGATGACACCTCCAACCTCATAGATGACACCCCCACCTCATACATGACACCCCCACCTCTTAGATGACACCCCCACTTCTTAGATGACACCCCCACCTCACAGATAACACCCCCACCTCTTAGATGACACCCCCATCTCTTACATGACACCCCCACCTCTTAGATGACACCCCCACCTCTTAGATGACACCCCCACCTCTTAGATGACACCCCCATCTCTTACATGACACCCCCACCTCTTAGATGACACCCCCACCTCACAGATAACACCCCCACCTCTTAGATGACATCCCACCTCTTAGATGACACCCCCACCTCTTAGATGACACCCCCACCTCACAGATAACACCCCCACCTCTTAGATGACACCCCCACCTCACAGATAACACCCCCACCTCTTAAATGACACCCCCACCCCTTAGATGACACCCCCATCTCTTAGATGACACCCCCATCTCTTAGATGACACCCCCACCTCTTAGATGACACCCCCACCTCACAGATAACACCCCCACCTCTTAGATGACACCCCCATCTCTTACATGACACCCCCACCTCTTAGATGACACCCCCACCTCTTAGATGACACCCCCACCTCTTAGATGACACCCCCACCTCACAGATAACACCCCCACCTCTTAGATGACACCCCCACCTCTTAGATGACACCCCCACCTCTTAGATGACACCCCCACCTCACAGATAACACCCCCACCTCTTAGATGACACCCCCACCTCTTAGATGACACCCCCGCCTCTTAGATGACACCCCCACCTCTTAGATGACACCCCCACCTCTTAGATGACACCCCCACCTCTTAGATGACACCCCCACCTCTTAGATGACACCCCCACCTCACAGATAACACCCCCATCTCTTAGATGACACCCCCACCTCTTAGATGACACCCCCACCTCACAGATAACACCCCCATCTCTTAGATGACACCCCCACCTCACAGATAACACCCCCACCTCTTAGATGACACCCCCACCTCTTAGATGACACCCCCGCCTCTTAGATGACACCCCCACCTCTTAGATGACACCCCCACCTCTTAGATGACACCCCCACCTCACAGATAACACCCCCACCTCTTAGATGACACCCCCACCTCTTAGATGACACCCCCACCTCTTAGATGACACCCCCACCTCTTAGATGACACCCCCACCTCACAGATAACACCCCCATCTCTTAGATGACACCCCCACCTCACAGATAACACCCCCATCTCTTAGATGACACCCCCACCTCACAGATAACACCCCCACCTCTTAGATGACACCCCCACCTCTTAGATGACACCCCCGCCTCTTAGATGACACCCCCACCTCTTAGATGACACCCCCACCTCTTAGATGACACCCCCACCTCACAGATAACACCCCCACCTCTTAGATGACACCCCCACCTCTTAGATGACACCCCCACCTCTTAGATGACACCCCCACCTCTTAGATGACACCCCCACCTCACAGATAACACCCCCATCTCTTAGATGACACCCCCACCCCTTAGATGACACCCCCACCTCTTAGATGACACCCCCACCTCTTAGATGACACCCCCACCTCACAGATAACACCCCCATCTCTTAGATGACACCCCCCCCCCTTAGATGACACCCCCACCTCTTAGATAACACCCCCACCTCACAGATAACACCCCCTCCTCTTAGATGACACCCCCACCTCACAGATGACACCCCCACCTCACAGATAACACCCCCATCTCTTAGATGACACCCCCACCCCTTAGATGACACCCCCACCTCTTAGATAACACCCCCACCTCACAGATAACACCCCCTCCTCTTAGATGACACCCCCACCTCACAGATAACACCCCCATCTCTTAGATGACACCCCCACCCCTTAGATGACACCCCCACCTCTTAGATAACACCCCCACCTCACAGATAACACCCCCTCCTCTTAGATGACACCCCCACCTCACAGATGACACCCCCACCTCACAGATAACACCCCCACCTCTTAGATGACACACCCACCTCTTAAATGACACCCCCACCCCTTAGATGACACCCCCACTTCTTAGATGACACCCCCACCTCACAGATAACACCCCCACCTCTTAGATGACACCCCCACCTCTTAGATGACACCCCCACCTCTTAGATGACACCCCCATCTCTTAGATGACACACCCACCTCTTAAATGACACCCCCATCTCTTAGATGACACCCCCACCTCACAGATAACACCCCCTCCTCTTAGATGACATCCCCACCTCACAGATGACACCCCCACCTCACAGATAACACCCCCACCTCTTAGATGACACACCCACCTCTTAAATGACACCCCCACCCCTTAGATGACACCCCCACCTCTAAGATGACACCCCCACCTCACAGATAACACCCCCACCTCTTAGATGACACCCCCACCTCTTAGATGACACCCCCACCTCTTAGATGACACCCCCACCTCTTAGATGACACCCCCACCTCTTAGATGACACCCCCACCTCTTAGATGACACCCTCACCTCTTAGATGACACCCCCACCTCACAGATAACACCCCCACCTCTTAGATGACACCCCCACCTTTTAAATGACACACCCACCTCTTAGATGACACCCCCACCCCTTAGATGACACCCCCACCTTTTAGATGACACACCCACCTCTTAGATGACACCCCCACCCCTTAGATGACACCCCCTCCTCTTAGATGACACCCCCACCTCACAGATAACACCCCCACCTCTTAGATGACACCCCCATCTCTTAGATGACACCCCCACCTCTTAGATGACACCCCCACCTCACAGATAACACCCCCACCTTTTAGATGACACACCCACCTCTTAGATGACACCCCCACCCCTTAGATGACACCCCCATCTCTTAGATGACACCCCCACCTTTTAGATGACACACCCACCTCTTAGATGACACACCCACCTCTTAAATGACACCCCCACCTTTTATAATAATTGACACATCCAACTTTCAGATGGCTCACCAGCCTCATAGATGACACACCAACTTCATAGATGATACTCCAACTTCTTCGATGGCAAACGAAGCTCCCGAAAAGCTGATGAAATCTTAATTGGACGAGTCCATTTTGCGTTACAACAACCGAACTTCGCTTCTGGACTCATTTTACAATGGAATTTGTAAATTTATAAATTTGAACAAATGGGTGCTTGAAATAGGTGGTGGGTGTGTTCTCTCAGAGAGCCCCTTGATTTTTAGTGATACAAGAGCCAAAATGCTACAAACGTCAGTTCTATAAACTTTTTGATCAAAGTAATCCATATTTAAATGAAACTTAATCTAAAAAAAATATTTTTAAATCCTTCCTCTCACAACTCATTTTCAGATGTGTTTCTAGCCTTCTTTGCCATCTTTGCAGCATCGTGTACCATGCTGATATGCATCATGTTAGAACTAAATGGCCTTGACTCCTCTGAATATTGGGAAGCCACATTCTGGATGGTCCACGCCTTCTTCTGGGAGACCATAACATGGATTACACTCCGGAAATACATATTACAATTGTGCAGTAAGAAGATACGATTATGTCGTGTGGAAACCATCGATTCTGAATTCAGCACAGAGATCGAACATCTAACTCAACATGACGACATGATCGTTTAAGTTTTCGGCAAGAGTCTTGTAGTTGGTAGCAGCAAAGGCATCAGTTGAATCTTATCCATTACTTTTTTTGCACTTTTAAAACCTAAAACAACAAAAAGGCGAAAAAATTACTGGATCCACAGAAGCAAAGATAAAACTCTCAAAATGTGTCTCAAAATCTCAAGAACTATTTATTAGAATAATTATTTTAACCACCACTCAGTATTACTATGCTACACTCAATATATTGTAGTAGTCTACCTGGTTCTACTTGTGTCTTGCTGGTATTCCTCGGCGCTTTAAAATACCGGTCTCAATATGCCTCAATACGATTTTTAGAGTTTGTGCCAGCCATTATGGGATCTCAATTTAGTTTTTCAATTTTGAAAGTACTTATTCGCTCAGTAAACAATATAATTTGAGTTTCGGTTTTAAAATTCTAAAAAATCATGTAATCTTAAACATTTTGGTGTTTCATACAAAAAATATTAAAAATTTAATTTGAAACTAATAAAACATATGACTTTGTATGCAAAAACTCCAAAATACACACTTCTGCAGCGTTACGAACGTCGAGAAAACCTCCCAAGGGGAATTTCGTCTCAAACGGGTAGCAAAATCAATAGTGACATTTCGTCTTGGCGCTTCTATTTTTATTATATTTTTAATTTTGCGTCCCAAAATTTCACGAAATTTGGAGTAAATTCGAGTTTTACTCTGTAAAACGGTTAATGTATTTTATTTTATTAACGTTTTACTTTGTTTTATAGTTTTCATGTATAATTTTTTTATTATTGCTCTTGTTTCTCGCTTTGTTTCGTTGTACACCAGTTGGATTTTAGAGTTTGGTCTTTGTCGGGATTGAATTTGACTTCTTTTTTTCGTGTAGCGGCTTTAAAATGTTCTGTTTGTTGGTTTAAAGTGATTTTTAGTTGGAAATTATTATAAATATTGTTTTAGTTGAAAGGATGTCTGATCAGGTCCAACAAGACGAAGCTATGGATGTTTCAGCGACATCTGAAGGCGCCGAAAATCAGGTAAGAGTTTGAGTTTGTTTTTAATTTTTAGATACGATTACTTCTTGGAGTTTTAGTAGCCTTTAGTCTGAAGAATGTTATATAATGTTTATTTTTACACGAAACTTTAGTTTATCTTTGATTTTTATATATTTTATTTTAGTCTTTTCAGGCTCCAGTCAAATCAGAATCACAGACGCCTCAAGAACCCACTCCACCCGAGAAAGCAGAAGAGTCTTCAGCAGAAAAGCAGAATGTAGGCTCTCTAGCACCATCCTCATCTACTCCTGGGTCAAAGGACACTAAAGATACCTCAGGACCTCCATCAGCGCCTAACTATCATTGTGCCTTCACTTTGAACGGTCATTCCAAAGCTGTAGCTTCTGTTAAGTTCAGTCACGATGGTAACTTGGTTGCATCGGCTTCTGCTGATAAAACTGTCAGACTTTGGAATCCTTTAGATGGTAAAAGTGAAAGAGTGATAAGCGGCCATAAACTTGGCATATCAGATTGTTGTTGGTCGTACGATTCCAGACTTATTGCTACCTGTTCTGATGACAAGTTTTTGAAACTTTTTGATGTTGCTTCTGTAAGTTTTTTGGAGGTTGTTGGATAAAATCATATTGTTATTTCTTCTTTAACGTAAACATTATATTTATATCTATCTTTAATATTTGCAGGGAAAATGCATAAAAACCATGAGAGGACATCAAAATTACGTCTTCTGCTGTAATTTCAATCCTCAATCTAATCTTTTGGTATCTGGATCGTTTGATGAGACGGTCAGAATCTGGGATGTTCGATCTGGGGCTTGTATCAAAACATTGCCAGCTCATTCAGATCCTGTTAGTGCTGTCAGCTTTAACAGAGATGGTGGCATGATAGCGACGAGTTCATATGATGGTCTAGTCAGAATTTGGGATACTTCTAACGGACAATGCTTGAAAACTCTCGTCGGTATGTCATTTTACTTTCTTTGACTTTTAGGTAACTCATAAGCATGAACTACGGGTTTTTCATCATGTTGGTGATCTACTAACAATACTTTTGGTTCATATAAATAGATAAAAGCTTTATAATAATGGAATTAAAGTTATTTTATTGTTTTAGATGATGAAAACCCTCCAGTATCATTTGTCAAGTTCTCTCCTAACGGGAAGTATCTTCTGGCCGCCACTTTGGATTCACAGATCAAATTGTGGGATTATAACAAGGGAAAGTCGCTCAAGAGTTATTCTGGGCACAAAAACGACAAGTATTGTGTCTTTGCCAACTTTTCTGTCACCGGTGGAAAGGTAAGGCTCTACTATAATATTATCGCGTTTTTTTTTAAAATACGATAATTTTTTATTTTAGAAATAATTTTTGATTTCTTACTAATAATATCATTTTAGTGGATTGTAAGTGGCTCGGAAGACAATTGCATATACTTATGGAACTTACAAACTCGTGAAATTGTTCAGAAACTCACAGGACATACCGGTATGTTATTCTACATTATCATTTTTAGAAAGTTTTAAAAAATTATTTTTTCTTCAATTTTTGCCGTTCATCTACTGAAATTTTACCAAATGTTTTTCAGATATTGTACTCTCGACTGACTGCCATCCCAAGGAAAACATGATCGCGTCCGGTGGTTTGGAACAAGACCGTTCAGTAAAGATCTGGGTCAGCGACTTTTAATTAACTAAAATAAATAACTGAAGGGGAATGTTTGTCAGTTCTCTGATCTCAGCACGATTGATTTGAGTTTGTACATGTTTAATTAACGTTTATTTAAGTAAATAAATTAACTTTTATTTACCTCTTAATTTTTTATTTTCCGGTTTTTCTTGGTCTTGTTACTTCGTATTGATACCTTTTCTTATCGTTTCCGACATTTTCTACCTAATTTTATTTTTTGACGTTTAAAGGTTTGTTCATCTTCAAGAAAGTACCGTTAAAGGTCTATTTTAACCAAATAGAAACCATGATAATGTATCAAGTTTATTCTAATATAACTTTAATATTATCTATATTATGTAGCAATCTTGTTGGTCTATACACGATATAAAACTATTTGAATACCTGTTCTGTGTGTACTTATGGCGGAAGGCAGTTTTGATTAGAAGAGTATGGTAGTAATTACAGTATATAGTAGTAGAATAGAGGTTTGCAAACGCTGAAAAACAGCCATATAGTAGAAATGAAGGGTGGTAGATATAAGAGACTCGACCAGTCGATTCAACATCTTCAGATCAAAGAAACGTCGCTTTGTCCGATTCCGTATATGTGCGCATCAGGTAGCTGAATATCATAATAGTTAGTGATTTTCTATTTTTAAGAAAACAATTTAAAATACCCAAACAAAGTTCATATTTTCTAACATGTCTTAGAGCTTGAGTTGCAAAAAGGGGTTAAAAAGTCATTTTGATCAGAAAACGTTAAACTCACTGAAACAACAGAATCCGTGAATTGTGGTTGTAATTCATGGCCAAAGTGGGCTTCATAATGTCCTTCACTCAACTGTCTTATCATTTTATCGCTTTCCTCGTTATTCGTAGGACTCTCCATCACAAACTTTTTGAAATCCATCAAATTGTCTATGTTGAGGAGGATTCCACGTAACACAGTTGAGGTTGCTATCTAAAAGAACACTAGTAACAAGTTTTTTATTTTAACTATAATATTGGCAATTGCTTACTAATACTGACTGGTACTTACTAATACAGGCTACAAATTACTGTTACTGGCTACTACTTACTGGGTCGTTGCCTAGGAGTGGGCCAACAGACAAAGTCTGATTATATTGTTCTTTGACCACACCAATAGCTACTATTCGGTCTTCCGTTGTTAATGCCACCTATAAATAAAAAATAATTTTTAAAAAAATATTTTCAAATTTCAGTATTTTGTCAGTTAACATAGAAGATATGCGCGTAAATAGAAATAACATACCAAAGGATGAGCTCCAGGTTGTGTCATCAAAGCTTTGACACAATGTATGGTCTGCAACGTTCTTGAGTACTTTTGGAGGTACTAAATTTACTTATCAATATTATATTATTGTTCATATAAAAAAGTCTTGAATTACACCATGTTTTACAGTAAAAGTTTACCAATTGTAAAATGCCTTACTTTGGCAATATGATCCCATCCAACAGCGGCAGGGTGTTTCAGTATAAGAGTAGGATCATTGTTAAGTAAAAGTGGCCGAAGTCGGTTGATGACAATTGTTCTTCGTATCACAGCGTAGTCGGGAAGTTTGTCAAACTGATGTACTTCTGCGTATTTTTTGGTCATTGAAGCAGCTAAATTCAGATTTTAGTTTTGTTTTATTAAATTTTTAAACTTCAAAATGCTTGTTCATTATTATATTGCAGTAGTCAAATTATAAGAAGAAAATTAATTTTTAATTTCAGTTTTTTAAAAAAAATCTTACCTCCAAACAGAAATTTGTGATTTGTACATTGTTTTTTGGCTTCTTCGAACAAGAATTGTCCGACTCCTTTGCCGCGATTCTGTTTTGTCACAAAGAAACATCCTATTATTGACAAGTCGTCTTGGCCGTGATATTGTGTTACACTGATTGATCCAATCAAGGCTTTTGTCTCTAAAAACAATTTTGAGAATTGTTGGCAGAAAGACATGTTTTGTAAATGAAATATACAAAAAGAGTATTCTTATAAAAATATACTGTAATACGTGGTGCATGACATACGATTTTAAAATCATTCGTCGCACGTATTTTACAACCTTCCTTGGTGCCAAACATCTAAAAGTTAAAAACCAAAACTTATGATTACCTTTGTCCACAGCGACGATGAGTTTGAAATCATCACCGAAGGCTGACCTCCAAGTCTCATAATCATGAAGAGCGTTGAGCCAGTCTTCTTCCTCTACTATCAGTTTACATAGTTGTTGCCAGTAGTCATTTGACGGGTTTATTAGAAGCTCAACGTTCTCTGTCATTCATAAATCTGAAATTTTAAAATTAAGCTCTTTTTTTCGAATTATGTTTAAAAATTGGGTAAAAAAGTCGTTTCAGAAGGAATTCACGAGACATTCCGACTATGTTTGTTGAAATTTTGCAACAATTTTAATATAACATTTCATTTTTCGCGGTAAAGCGTAAGATAAACGCCCCAAAAAGACGAAAATAAACGTCGTTTTAGTGTGAATTAACTAATTCGGCCACTTTTCCTTCACAATCTTGCCAAAAGTATATTATCCAAACCCAAATCTCTAAACATTTTGAAGACAACATTATAAAACACAAAGAAAGAATGGCGTGGTTTTTGCTTCTCTCTCTATCTCCACGGTTTCTATAACAAGAAATGGCTTTAAAACGTCTGAAGGGCCGTTTTATCGAAATTACAAATAAAAACAAACCACGATTGAATCCGAGATTGGAGTGACCTGCTGCAACAAACCAGTTGCTTTATAATCTTCGTCATATAGGCTAAACAACCTTTGTCCCATTCTAATAAAAAGATATTGCAATTGTCGTATTTTAATAAAAAGGTATTGCAATACGAAGAATAGGACAAAGATTATAGAATGAACGTTGAGGTTTAAAACCGTTCTCGAGCCGTTTTTTGGAAATGTTTGTAACCACTGCAAAAGAATTTGTTTGTTCTCTCCGAAAGTGCACGTACTATTGGCAAGAGAACGGACATGACCATCAATAGGACGTTTTATTGCAAAAGAAGACGATATAGTTTGACATAAAATGTTATGCAACATAATATAGGCTTCATAATTCCATAAAATTTTACTTGGATTTACAAAGAAATGACACAAAAAAGCAAATTAACGTATTACCACTTTGTTTTTATTCAAAAAGCCAATGTGGTTTAAGAGACAAACAGTTGTCTTTAAAATGGCTACTTGTTAACATTAACATCAAACTCCCTTTTACAAAAAAACATAAACCCCCAAAAATATTAGCACAAAACTTTACTTTTACTTCTATCACCAAAAAAATGAGAATGCGTTTATTATAACAACGTTTTACCTAATTCATCGATGAAAACAACCAAGTTCACCAACAAAACAATAAACAAACATTGGAGGAACAAAACTGAAAGTGATAGTACTCTATTTGGGTTGGACTGGTGCTCCTTGAGAGTCGGCCTGTAGTAGTTGATGTTCTTGAAACCTCATGGACAGTCGTTGTGTCATCTTCAGGTACTTGTCCAGACAGTTTTTGGCACAACGCTCTTCTTTGTCACTTACTTGCCTGAAAATATTGTAATGTAACGTTTTTTTTCAAAATTTAATTCAAAAAACTGTGTTATAAATAGTAATTCGAAAGAACTTTGTCCTTGTTATTCTTATACAAAATTACAAAACAAAAACTACATTACTCATTGAGAAAGTCCCATTCCCCGATTTGATTACCTCTCTTTGAAACATCCGCAAAAACTTATTTGTAAACAGCAAAAAGTAGTACAAAAGATCGCAAAACAATGCGATGAAGTGATCGCAAAACAAAAAATCACCAAATTTTGTTTTCCAAGGCCTGTGTCTTAGCGAAAACAAATTTGGATAATCTATGAACGAATAACTGCATAACAAACAAGCTGGTAATTCAAACATCAAGTTTGTTTTAATTCCAACTTTATTTTTGCTGCTCGTCGTGCCAGACAAATAAAACAACGTGTTGTAGGGAGTTGAAGAGTTCGACCAAATCTCGGTTTTTAAATTTACAGTTTCAATATTTAAAAAGTAATGTAAAGGAAGGGAATATACCAAAAATAGGCCTAAAACCCAAAATTTTTAATTAAAAAATGAAATTTGAAGCTGCAACGTCACGATCTGTCAATACTATAACTAAGCTCTAGACAAAATTTTACAAATCTAGCTGTTAAAAACATCTGTTTGATCAAAAATTAATATAGGCATCGCCATTCCAGTGCTATGTGTAAATTTGCACTCCCTATCTACTTTTCCATGCACTTTTTGACCAAAAATATTTTTTTCTAGTTCATTATCATTAATTTCTTATTGAGTATCAAATTTTATTTAAGCTAGGAGCGTATTTTACAAATGAATTTAATGTCGTAATCCAGATGACTTCATAACAATATAAAAGCAAAACACATATGAGTAATGTCTTTTATTGTTTAAAAATTTTAGAAATCCTTAAATCAAAGGCGATTCTTGCAAAATAAGTTTAAAAAAACACTTAAAAATTGCCTATTTCCTTGCAAAACATGTTCTTTGTCAGCACAAAATGTACAGCTTGTACTACCTATAACAACTTAACCACAGTTTCGTTTTATGTTATAACAACTCTAGCACAAAGAGAACATCAAATTGAATGTCTTTCCTTTTCTCCTTACTTTAAACACCTTATCCTACTTTGAAAACAGCCTAATTCTCCTTGAAATCGCAAATAATACGTCCAAATTGCACGTAAAACGACATTAATTCACAAATATTTACTTTTTGAACTTACAAAACCTTTACCATGCTTAGTACTCACTATAACACCTTCATACAAATCGGCTTCAACTCATAACCCCATGTTTTATCTCTAAACTTTCACAAAAAAGCAGAGAAACCTTACCTTGAAGTCAAATCCTTTACGCACGAAGTGAAACACTGCTCAGTAACCATGTTATACTGCATTAAAAAGTCGCGAAATGTCTTCAGATCGGTTTCAGTAGCGTTTACAGCCATTTTGCGCGACTATTAGGACCAATTTGTACCAAAAACCAATAAAATTCCCGAGAAATTTGCGAAAATATTTTCGTGGGTCAAGTGTTACGCTGAGGGCGGGCCAAGTGTTGCTATTCTGTTTACGCAGATTCCAATCTTTAAAATGTGGTCCTGGACTTGTTTCCATCTCATTCGTGTGTGCTTCTTCTGAATCTGCAAAGTAACAATGGACGCTCAAGACCACGCAAACTATGTGAGTTTTGGTTACGGTATAATGTTGTAGGTTTGGTTACAGAGTTAGGGGGGAAACTGGAGGGCCTTTTTATGAATCGTTAAAGATGGGATGGAGATTATAGTTTTTGTAATAGTAATCACGTGTAAAATGGTTGGATGAAGCATTTTTTGACTTTTTATTTCTTATTTTTTGTTTTGCAGAGCTACTACAACAACGACAGCTACGGTCAATTGTTCGAGTCGACCAGTAAGTTTTAACACTTTTTATGACGACAAGTCTTTTGAAGACGTTTTGGACACTTTTGCGATATAAAAACATTGCAAATCTATTTCGATACAACTTTTTGTATAGTATTCCTTAATTATGTTGTACCGAGAAACAGTGAAAATTACAGTATAACATACATAATTTTAAAGTGAAACCTCATTTTTACACATTAATAGACCTTTTTAATTACTGTACTTTCAGTGGACACGTATTGGTCGAGCAACGAGAACCGAAGGAGTTGAAGGCCAGTCTACTTACTCACTACTACATTAACACTCTCAGCCTCGTATCTTATAACAACACTTTTACTATCAGCAGTTTGACTTAACTCGTTTAACTACCAACATTTTTATACCCATTTTTGTTTATATTTGTATGTACATTTGACGATGGAATTGGTTGTGAAAAGTTTTATGCTACTCAGTAAATAGTAGTACATTGTCGAGTTTTGGGCCGTTTTGTTGGTTTACAGTATGATATTGTACTGTAGATGATTTTACTAAGACTGGTAGTTGATGCTAGTATTAACATAAAGATTTATAATACTATTATTACCTAAAAATATATATTTTGGATAGTTTTCTTTTAAAACCTTAATTTTTAAAAGTTTAGTAAAAACGCCTTTTGAGTAATAATCTTTTCAAAATAACCAGTTATAATATAAGACATCAAAAATCAAATTATGGGGCCAAAAACTGTGCTTTGTGGCACAGAATAGGATACTTTGTTGAGAGCCCAAAATCCGATTCTTTGGTTTTGTTATCAAATGAATGATATTTCAAGACTTTTGTCTGGAAAACAAGTTTTTGTAACAAACATTCCAAAAACAACATAAATACTGTAGTTTCCGTAGGACTCTTTTACTTATTTTTGAAAGGAAATGCATTTCGAAAACGAGTTTTTTTTTAAATTTACAGAAATGTATGTACCTTTGAGTATTATATGTATAGTACACCTTTATAACTATAGATACATTTAAAAAAATGCATTTGAAACTGTAAAAATTAAATCAAAAAAATTTTTAGTTGGAGCTTTTAAAGGCCAATTCTTTCGTTTATACGAACCAAACTTGTACTCGTACTCTGATCCAATCATTTTTTTAAAGATAAAAATCGTCATTTAAAATTTTACAGCAAAGTACCCAATGTGAAAAATTCTAGGCTGGCTGGGCGACACTTTTAGGACCGGCCTGGCTCTCATTTTTTCAAACTTGTTTTCCAAATTTTATGCGATTTTGATTTCTGAATTAGCGCTAAAATATCGTTCGATTTCGATTTTAAAATATTAAAAATTGATGACGAATTGAAAAACTTTAAAACAGTTAGCAACATGCTCGATTTTGTAAAGTTACTCATAATTCACGCTAACTTAACATTGAAATAGATTGAACAATTTCACCGCGCAGGTTATTCATTTTTGCGATAATAGAATTTTACGGTACCGAGTTCGTTATTAATGTATTTATCATGTTGATATAGACTTATAAATCGCATGTGCATCTTTTTGTCATAATAAATTAAAGTGACATCTTATTGACATTAATTTTTGACCCCTAAAGTGATAACAATAAGATGTACTTTAAAGTCGACGAACGTGAGGTTTCACCAGCTGTTCCGTCATTTCTACCTCATGTTATACTTCCGCGCTTTGTTTCGAAACTTTTTTAATCGAAAAAAGACACTTTTTGTGGTTAATAGGACATCCGAGAGATCTATAAAGTAAGGTTAGTGATCTTTACTCTTTAATTTCTTTTAAAGTCTTCAGAATATAATTTTGGCTGACTATAACGAGCGTTATCAGACGTTTTTACTTGACAATCACGTTGTTTATAAGATCTGTTGTTTGTCACAAGATTTAATATATACAGTAAAATATGTATCTCCTTTCCTTTCTTTTAAGATCAACAACAACACGTTTACTCGACCAGTATGGCCATGTTTGTTTTCATGGTCATATTACCCATGTCGCTCAGGAAACACGTGTTTTATATGTTTCCAACAGCTTTTGATTAACTGATAACGTATCATAAGCGATATCGGACAAAGCTAGAGGACTTCCATTTTAAAGCCATTTTAAAACAATACACCGTTAATACAGTTTTACGCGATAACCTTTGGTTTTTGTGAGTTTTAGGTTATTATGTCATGTTTAATCTACATAAAATCTCACTATAGCCAAAAGGAATACGTTTATATGGTTGTTGTAACGAGGGTCTACTTTATACCTAAATTTTATTTTTATATACTGTTACTTTAATATTACAGATCTAACTCATTGTCGCTATCATTAACATAAGAGCATAAACCTAAAATACCCTTCACATTTGAATATTCCACCACCAGCTGACTTGTTATGTTGTTGTAGTTGTGTCTGATCGGTTCGTGTCATAGCGGCGTGTCGCGGCTCTCGTCTTCCCTTCCGTCGCAATAAATAGAAGTAGGGCATGGATAAGATCCTATTGCTTCCCCTGCTGCTAATTCATTATATTCATGTTGTGGCGGGAAAAGAGTGCGATGGAGACGCGGATTGTCAAACCTTTTGGCCTCAAGCGGTCTGTGCCCGAGGCCGATGTCGCTGCGGCAAAGACTTTTTGCGACGAAAAAGTGCCAGTTTTGGTTGGGTCTGTTTGAGCTTGAACGATGCAGGTAAGGAGACGAATTTATTGTATTTAAGGAAGTCTGAACGGTTGACTATAGGGGGTAGGGTGGAGATGAAGAGAAGATGACACAAAATATGCCAAATAGGTCAAAAAAATCAAATTAAGTTTAACAAAATCTAGCTTTCAGTAACTGGCAGTCTCGGAGCCCAAGAGACGTGCCCATTCCCAGCTGGAGCTGGTCATCTTGTCGCGTTAAAAGATGAAAACAAAAATATTGTGATGTGCGACGAAAACAACGGAACAAGTTGTGGCGACAAATACGAATGTATAGGAGGGATATCAGCTGGAGGAGGGACTTGTTGTCCCCGGAAAGGTAAAATATCAAATTTTTGCTAATACTGTCTTTGTGCTACACATTGATGTCATTTACAACATCATAACCACTCTTGTTTCCAGAGGCCAGCTGCGATCCGTCGCTGGTGCGAACGGACGACGGCGGTTGGTTGGAACGGTGGTATTTCGATGGGACGACGTGTTCGGCGTTTGATTGGAACCCGGAAACAACACAAAGTCCCAATACTTTTGCGTCCAAACAACAATGCGACGCCGTTTGTGGTCACGTTTAATCGTTTGCACTTTAAGAATCGCAAAAACTAACTGACTTGGACGATTGAACTCAACCCAAAGCTACTGTAACATTGTAAAAGATACAGTACGGTGGCTAATCTATCGATTTTGAGAAAATTTAATATTGTAGTTTATACGTTGTATAATACCTTATATAAATCTCAGAAATAGAAAAAATAAATATCTATTACCTATTCTCGAAAATTTTATCTTAGAATGACTTAACAACTTTATAAAACACTTAATATACCAATAAATACCGTGAAGCATCCTCAAAGTTACAAAATAAACGCTTATTAGATTTAGAATTCAATAATAATAAAAACAACATATAACTTGCGTATTTCGTGCATGGTCATTGACGTATTTCATCTTAATTATAGCCAGAGATAATTTCTGATCCTTCAAAGAAAGCTCCGACTTCTGAATCGATTGTGACTCCCAACATGTCGCTAATGTTCGCTGCTGTGATCTTGTCAGTGCTTAGAGACGGCGAAGGAGGTACCTCCAATGCTAAAATAAAAAATATCAAATAATGTCATTACAAGTGAGTAGGTAAGAAAATCCCCTTATAGGATGACTGAGAAATGAAATTGCTGGAATATCTACCCCTTTCATCCTCTCCCCTACTGTAGATTTACTGTATTACAAAAATTAACAACTTCAGATTTAATATAAACCAAATCAACGTATTTTACTTACTAGATCGAGAAGAGTCGGTTCCACTACGTGCCCCGTCACTCAAAGTGTCGGATTGTACAGTACTGCTGGTCGATAATTGCAGACTCGGTATGTCTGAAATTGATGTAAATAAAATTTACAATAAAAAATTCTCGAAAGTTTCAAAAACAAAATCAATTATAACATTGGCAAAAACGGTTCGAAAGAAGTGTAATATGATCAAGAAAAACACTAAAACTTACATTTTATTGAATTCGCATCCATGTTACTTGTGGTATCAAAATTATTAAAAGTTGAAGACCTCTCGCCATTAGGGAGAACATACTTCGAGAACTTCTCGGCTTCTTCTGCAAAACTGAACTAAAAACAAACAATCATATTACAATTGATGCAAACTTACGATTTGCCAAGGTGGATTGATTTTATAGGCATCGCACCATGACACCACCACAAAGTACTGGTCAGCCATGTAGTTTGGACAGTAGATGGCTTCAAACTAAAAATAATTCTTAAAATGTTAACCAACTGAAAATCAAATGTTTAAAGTAAGTTTAAATTGCCAAAAAATGAAAATTTTAGATAAGATAAAAAACAGAAACACAAATAACAATACTCACAATGAAATCATCGCTTTCTTTCATATTCTCAAACTCAGCAGAGTTTTCATGAGGAATGCCAACTCTCAGAGCTAAATCATCATCAATGTATGACGCAAAAACTGGACTTCTTCCCAATGGTACCACATCTCCTCTAATGCAGTACATTTTCATGATCAAGAGACCGTTCTCACATCTGAATTCGTGCGGCAATATGTCTCTCCTAAGAAGCCTGACATCGATCAACTCCCTGTCGATTCTGGGACCTTTTCGCGTCTCTTTAATGACGAATTCCACGCAACGTCCAATCGCAAAATGCTAAAGTTATTAAAACTAAGCATAACCAAGTTTAATTTTATTTTTAAATTACTTCCAACTACTACGAAGAAAAAAGAAGCTTTATAAGTCTAAAATAATATTTTTGACGGCGCTAGGACAAATGCGGTTTTTGGACATTTGCGGATCTGCGGTTTTTAGACACTTGCGGATCTTCGGTTATTTTTAAATTGGTGCTGTTTTATATTTTTTGGTACTGAATGGTACTAAAAGCCCAAAAAGGTACTGTTATGTTAAAACCGCACCAATTTAAACTTTAGTACAATTTAGTACCATACTACAACTAAATTAACTAAAAAATTTAAAAAAACCTTTTAAAAATCCGCAAATGTCCAAAATCCGCAAGTGTCCAAAAACCGAAGATCCGCAAGTGTCTAAAAACCGCAGATCCGCAAATGTCCAAAAACCGCATTTGTCCTAGCGCCTTTTGACGGCTCTTTTCATAAATATTTTACAAATTATTACCTAAAAACACAAAAATTAAAATGCCTTACCCTTTTGTTAAAGCGTTCTTCAATCTCCGTATCCTTGTACTCCTTGGATATTGTCATGAAGATTGGAACTTCATTCTCCTGTCTCACATCTACAATTATTCCAAAAGCTCCTCTGATTGTTGTGTGGGCGATACTCTTCGGCCGCTTCGAACCCACTCCAATCACCATGTTCTCCATACGCTGAAATTAAAGTTAAAATAGGCAGAAAACGTACCATTAAAGATAACAACTTCAAGATACTTAAACTAATATTGCATGTCAAACATACTGTGAAGACCAGAACATAAGTTAACAAATTGTTCATTACCTTTGAAACTTCACATTTTATAACTCAAAACAAAAACAAACCTGAATAATGACACATTTCAATTGTAAAACAACATATTGCCCTTAAAAATACCTAAAAATATCTACTATAACTTACTTTGAGAATGTGATTGCTCGGAGTGTTGAAGTTATCGTGACGCGGCATTTTTAATTACGTTCTACCTTTAAAATTGATCTGATTTCCAGAATATTACCTTCGCAACAAAATTTTGTCTTCTATAATACAAGTAAATATTTCGAAATGTTTTTTTCACATCAAATTTTCGTATAAAATGTCGCCCTTGAAAGGCAATTTACCATCTACGATTTGAGGGCGCGGAATTGGACGTTCCATGGCACCAGGGTGTTTCGCGGGCGGGCATAAACGAAATCACGGGTATTTACGTAGAATCAGATTCAAACCCATGTCTTTTTCTTTAAATCAATCTTTTCAACATTGCCGTTTCCTTCAAAGCCCACTTTTGTCAATAAATCTCTGATTTGTCCACAAGAAAGGTGTATTAGCATTTATTGATTAGAAGTATGACAAAATAAATATAAAAATACTGTAAGTCTACAATGTTACAAAAACCTGGGATTGTTAAAAAATTTAGTGGTCGTTTAATGGTCGACGATTCTTAGATTACCCGATACAATCTTGTTCTCCAGCACGGCGCCCGAGGGAACGTCGATTCGTTCTCCGTCGTTGGCAATGATGATTACTGTGCCCTGAAAGACGAAAAATCATAAATTATGTTAATATTAACAATATCAAATACTCCTTTTATTGAATTATGCAAAGAATACTCAATTTTATTCAAAAATTTCTGGAAACAAGATGCAATTTTGAATGTAGAAATTAAAGCCAATTTGTGTTTAGGGATAACACAACAAACATACCTTTAGTACAACACCTTTGCCAAACCACACATTGCCTGACACGGTAAGATGGTCAAGTTCCAAAATGTCGGGAATGCCTTGGAATCTGTTCAAGAAGTCTTTTACCTAAAATTGTCACATTTCCTTCTAAAACATTATTTTACCTCGACATAAGTTGACGAGATCATATATCCTGTTGAAATAATTGAACATCATTTACATGACCTTTTATATTAAATGATGCCTTAAAAAACACAGACTACCTACTACAATACATTAACCCATCACCTACTGCAACATAGAAAATAAGTGATGTCCTCACCTTGTCGAAAGAACTGCCCAACTTGACGAATGGAGTAGTTTGGAATTGTCTCAACGAGCTCAACGTCAGCTTTCCAGTCTCAATCTCGTACAAGTTTGACATCAGAAGCAGCAAATCAGAAGTCTTTTTGACGGGCAAGAATCTGGACCTGGGCACGTTGACTCCGCATGAGTTGCGGAAGTTCTTGATGGCAGCACCAGCAGCAGTTTCGAGTTGGATGACATCAGATCCGCGGTCCAAATGTTTTGGGTTCACGATCACTTCCATGTCAAGCTCTGAGTTCTCTACGACCCGTTTGATGGCCTCGAGGTTGGCCCACAAGTTGTTCGTGTTGAAAATTCTGCAAATGCAATAGGTAATGAGTTCAAATTCAATTTTTATTATAAGCTTGATGTCTTAAACTGTTTTTTAATTGATTTTAACCGTTCTTTAAAATTTTAGAGCCCTATCTCAATCACTTTTCGAAAATGTATCCATATTACACATACCTGAACTTGGAAACACTCTTAAATTCATCGACGTATTCCTTCGGGACCTGAGCAATTTCCAACAATCTTGGATTTCCTTCGTACTCGATGAGAGTACCTCCCTTAACATCAGCACGGGTCTTATCAGTGACTTCCATCACAAACTCTGGCTTCCTTGGATCGGCGTGCATAAAGTTCAAGATGTTCAGATCGACTGTCGCACCCAAGTTGTCAATGTTGGACAGGAAAACGTACTTCTTTCCTTCACTGATGAATTTGTCAAGAAGACCCGAGTTCTTGAAGGCTTCGTAGAAGTTACCGTGACCTGGAGGGTACCAGCACTCGAGGTCGTTGTCCTTGACGTCCTTCGAGATAGGCAGGTAGGTTTCCTTGTCGATTCTTGGGTATCGTGACTGGCAGAAGGCGTGCACGGAGACGTCAACGTTGGTGTATTTGCGAAGGAGCTTGTTAGTATCGTCATCGGTGTTGAAGGAGTTCATCAGGACGAGAGGAACGTTTACGTTGTATGAGCGGTTGAAGAACTAAAACATGTTGTACTAGCTTGATTTTAAAAAGCATATACTTGCCTAACTATGAAAGTAGTTACAAAAAAATCACAATTCGCTAATCTAAAGAAATAACCCAGTATTACTAATGAAAGCACCCAATTTTTATCCTATTTAAGGCACCCAAAAGTATTCAAATTTTGCATAATCTTGCAATTTCATTTTGTTGTTTTTCCTTTTTTTAAAACGGTCATTCATATTTTATCGGCTGCGTGAGACGGTCGGGTCAGCATGGAATCTGACCGTGGTGATCATGGATCCATCGACAACCTGACAACCTAGGCCAAGATCAACCAACTTCAAAGAAGTCATCTTCTATTGAGTTTATGAAGACTTTTACTATGCTATACAGATGGATAACAGGTAAGAATTTAGTATTTATTTAAAGAATACGTTTGATTTTACCATAGTATTAATGTTATCTTAGTTACAGTAGCCCATTGTTTAGTTATAGTTGCCTACTATTTAGTTACAGTAGCCAACTATCTAGTTGTAGCAGCCAGTATCTAGTTACGGTAGCCCATTATTTAGTTACAGTAGCCAACTACCAACTAACTAGTTATAGTAGCCAACTATCTATTTATAGTGGCCAACTATCTAGTTACAGTAGCCCATTATTTAGTTTCAATAGCCAACTACCAACTAACTAGTTATAGTAGCCAACTATCTAGTTACAGTAGCTAACCATTTAGTTACAGTAGCCAACTATCTAGTTACAGTAACCAACTATCTAGTTATAGTAGCCCATTTCTTAGTTACAGTAGCCAACCATCTAGTTATAGTGGCCAACTATCTAGTTACAGTAGCCGTGCACCTTATTATATTTTTTTCAGTTTTCGCTACAACAATCGCCATTCACGAATTGGACACTTCTACACCGCTCTTCGAAAGCGCTACGTTTCATAATGATAAAATTTGAATAAAGATTGCTGGGTGCTTTAAACCATTAGTGGGTGCCTTTATTATGTTGGATGCTTTCTCTAGTATGGCCCCAAAAATTCTTACAAAGATTGGTCAAAGTACATATGAGTAAATCCAAAAAAAGCAAATTACCTGAATTTGTTGAAGAGTCAAATCCAAGAAGGTTAGGTCGTTTCTGACCGAGATTACCGACTTTGGTCCTTTGCATCCCATCGAGGTTCCCAAACCACCATTCAGCTTTACTACAACAAGCTTGTCCAAGACTTCACGAACATCGTCGCTGGCTGGCAGTTGATTGTAAGGGATGACAGTGTTCTCCTTTGGTGGTTGGATCTTCTTCCAGTCGATTACTGTCTTTCCTCTCAAATAACGAGCGAACAATGACTTGAATCCTTTCAGTTCGGATAGCCAGTACTAAAATATGAGTGTTAAGCTTTATAAAACTTGAAAAATGATTTTTATGATAACTTTTAAACGTAACAAAGATCAATACAATAAAAAAAATAAAAGTTAATTAAAGCAAGTCCTTATTTTACCAATAAACAAACTTACGTTGGCTTTCTCATCAGTAGCAGTAGCCAACAATCGTTCAAGCTCTTGTTCGACTAGTTTGTACAATTCTTTCGTCGTCGAAGATTTCCATTCTTCAGTACTCTAAAACAACATATTATTGTGCAAGAAACACCACAAATTCAAATTAAAGATACTTTCTAACTTTTAAATTCTTATCAGTGCCATAACAGAATGATACGAAAGAGAATTGAATCAAATAGTACTCTTAAGTACATATCCCAGTACTTACTTCGCTGACCGAAGTCAATCGCTGAGCTGGGCGATGCGGCATTACTTCCGGTGGATCTAGAGATACGGGAGCTTAACTATATTACTACTACTCAATCACAATTGCAGTTATGAAATTCCAAATATCAAGATATTTATTTTCCGGATCGCGTTATCAATTGGTAAGCTCGGAATCGTTCGACCGGTTTGTTTCTAATCCCGCCCCCGGATAACGTGAGATTGTTGCTTATTATAATCAGAATATTCATGCAGCAAAACGCTCATTTTAGGAACTTTACAAGAATAACTTTACAAATTCATTCGTTAAAAGTTTTCAAAGTATAATGTTTGTGCTATTTTTTGTAGGTTAGCAAAGTAGTTAAACATACCATAACCTAACTCCTAGTTTTAACTTTGAATTAACCTTCAAAATAACCTCAATTACCCATTATTAGTTTATATTTTATCATAATGTCAGAAATAATAAAAAAAAATCATAAACCAAGCTTCACGACTCCCCACTATCCTTAACTTTGCCTTTCCCGACTGACTAACCAAACAGAAGAAGAGTAAATGAAAACAGTTTTTGTAAGCAAAACCGTAAGGTATCAGGGTCTCTTATCACAAACATGCATCGACTACTCGCACAAACAATAAAACGTTTTTTAAGCGTTTCCTACTATGCCGTTTCCAAATAACTGATCAACGTTCTCCCATTAAACAGTTGTTCTGTTTATATCGCAAACAAATAAATGATACCTTCACATTGCAACAATAACAATATTTTTGGCACTGCTAACCTATTTTAACTAAAAATAATAATAGTCTCTAGATGTCCCTACCTCAATGTTAATATAACAAGCATTAACAAAAAAAGTAGTTTAATAATGTTGTTGGATGGCAAACAATTTAAGCTGATAAAACAAACAACGCCCTCTCAATCCAAATGTCATAGACATAAGCTTATATTGTATACTCTGCCATATCCTCAAACATAGTCCTGTACAGTATAACAAGACAACATCTTTTCAAATACAGACCTAAATTATAAACTCTATCAAAAGCTTGTGACAAAGCGCAGACATCACAAACTAACAACAAATTAATATTGTTAGTTTGCGATTTATTTTCGGAAAGTCATAAATCACATTTCGATTTCTTTTTCGGGATTGAAACTACTCACTATGTTGTTATAGCTAAGAGTACACTATAATATAAAAGCACAAACCCCATAGAGGAAGATATTTATTACACAATCATGTCCCACAAATACGCTAGCTTTTCTAACACTAACATAAGCAGCTGGAACAATTTTCTAAATCATAGCTATACTAGAACAACATGAATCGGCGTTAGAAGAGTCTAAAATAGATGCGTTATCACCAAAAATATCTACTACTTTGTTGTTTTCATCAAAACAAACAGCAATTTCATCAAACTGTCCTTTGAATCCTTTCCATAACGCAAAAATAACAACTGATAATCTTTTACTGAACGGTTATTGATAGTAAAAAGTACTGCTGTCGACTCTAATGGTAAAGAACTTGTAAACAATAGACAAAATAATCAGTACTATCGAAAAATATAGTGGATTCATCATTAAAAAATGTAATAGATCCAAGTAACTAAACAGTTATAAATACCATTTGCAAATAACCCACACAACTGTTCATACAACAACCCTATCAACAAGTCACAAGTCAAGAGCAAAGTAATTAAAGTTAAATTGATAACAAGTCCATTACTGATAACGAAAATGTTTACTAAACAATTTGATATACCGCAAATTAAACTCTGTTACAGCTAATCTAATTCTATAGCATTAATATTTTGAAAAACTACCTTAACCAAGGTTTTAGCTATATTGTCATAATATCCCAAAAAAACTGCTTTACTTCTATCAAAAACCCTTTATCATAGGATAAACGTGTTTCCAAAGCCTAGAAGCAAAGTTTACCCATGCAGAAAAAAGTGAGAATACGTCTAGGTAAGCCTTAAACTAAGCTCGATTTTTCGTGTACGGATACCTACCTGTGGAATTTTTTTCCCCCCCCCCTTAGCGACGCCCCTGATCACAACTAAAAAAATTAAGAAAAAACTCAATTTCGTGCAGTTTCAAACCTAAATTATTAATTTTTATCGTTCGAACCCTATATTCACAATCAAACAAACCCGGCCGCATATTGTTATCTAAACGGTGGGCCAAACAATGATTCAGGCCATTTTCGGAGCCTTTATAAAACTGTTTCGAACCAGAGATTTGAATTTGTAATTATTCCCTTCCACGTAAACAAATATGCAAAGCTCTGTGTTTACAGCCGTTTGTTATACACTCTTAAAGTTAGGTTTAGGCTTACAAATTGCATCATTTCATAGTAGGTTTCCTAATTATATTGAAATATATTAACCTTCTATCTGATATTATACTACTTTTAAAAAATATTTCAAATGTATCTTCAAAAGTTGTTTTTACAAAATATAAACCTCAAAGCCTCACTTTACATAAGCTAACCGTAACCACAGCTTCTAAAATCACTTATTAAATTTAAAATTACCAACTTATATATATTAAATGTTTCTCTTATAAATAGTAAAACAATCAAATCAAAACTGTTACTTTACACTAACACTAACTGTCCTTTTAACTGTAACTTTTCAGCCATAAAAGTAACAAACCATAAATTATCATTAAAGTGTAACTTTTGTTGATATTACACTTGATCTTTAGTAAAAGACAACCGAGAATAGTCATAAAATAAGATCAAAAGACCATTTAAGGTTTATCTAAAGTATCAGGCGTTTAAGTAAAGTGTTATCAACAAAGAAAAGTCGTTAAACTTTAAAATATCCTATTGTAGCACCTTATTTTAAATATTAACTTACACCTAGATCATGCAAAGCTAAAATTTATCTTTTTCTAAAAGATTTTCTGTTCTAAAATTATCCAAATTCCAGGACACAAATCCCTTTACTATTTTAAAAATAACCTGACAGATCCACCAGAGTAACCGTAATGCCAATAAATCAGTACTTCAACCTACTACAACATAAACTCACCTTTTCATCGTGTCCATGGAAAACTTCATGTGCCAAGAATTGTTCGGAGATGGAAGAACGGTCTAGGTCTACTGATGACATATTGGGTCTTCTGAAAAGGTTTTATAATTTTTAGGTAACAAAATAGATCGTCATAACGTTTTTAAAAAATATAAAACAACACCTAATTTTACAAATTTTTAAAAATTTTAAGGCTTAAACATATAATAAAAAACTTTAAAACACTCGTTAAAATACGTTAATTCACAAAAATCGCCATGAATCTTCTGACCCGCGCAACTTTTAAACTCCTTGAAACAGTCAAAATATTTTAAATTTCACGCAAACTATTGATCAAAACAAAACAAATAAAAGCCAAGGATACTCTCCCTCACGTTCGAGTCTTCCAGAAATAAACAAGACACGTTCTGGGCCGAAGAGATCATCAATTTAGCCCTAAAACAAGGTCCGAACGATATCTGATCGGCTTATCGTTAGCCAAAACGATGATTCCAAAACAAATTCATAAAGTTCCAACTATATATTTCGTAATCACAGAAGGCGAAGGTGTAAAATACGGTGATCGCAGTTTGACAACAATAATCATAACAATTCTTGGCCAAGAAACGACAAAAAACCTTGTTTTAAGCATTATAAACCAAAGATAATATAAGAAAACAAAGAAAAACAATAAAATAATCTTTGAAAGGCGTTAGCAACGTTCGAATTGGGACACACAGACAAAAAAAGAACGGACAAATCCTAGAAAAACATCTTTTTGCCGTTTCTTGGCCAAAAAACAACATTACGTATAAAAGGTTCTTGCAGGTCGCATAATATTGGGCGCGAATGAGAAAAAAGTTTTATTTTTATTTTTTACGGTTTTTTGTAGATGTTTCCTTTTTAGTTGTTGAATATGGCTTCTACGTCAAAAGCGCTGTTATGTGAAGCTATTTTGGCAGATTATTTTGGATATTATGTTAGTGAAGTTGGCAGGAGTTTGTTGAAATGTGATCAAACCTTTAGATCCATTCACAAAAGTGTCAGAGAGAATTGTAGAAGTCTGGATGTAAGTAAAACCTCAGAATGTTATTTTATAACATACCTTTATACTTGTTATACTTCTTTCTGGTGAACTGTTTGATGAATTTTTTGTTTAAGGTAAAGAAAGCATTGGTTATCCTGGAAAACTACGACTTGCTCACCTTTACGTTAACACCAAGAGGAGTTATTTATAAGATTCTGCCCGACAACATAATTAGATTCTGTAGGATTTTTCGTGCTATCACAGCTGTGAAACAACGTTATGGAGTAGAAGGAGAAGCCGTGGCTGAAGAAGTGTTTAGCAAGGGGAAGATAACCTTTCAAGATTGCAGCAACTTGCTGATAGCTCGGTTAAATTTTGACCCACAAGTTGTAAGTGTTATATCTTTGTTGTTTTTTGAACTTTAGGTATCCAAAATGTTTTAAAAAAGACCACGCAGAAATGCATCTATATTATTATAAGTTCATAGGTCTTATTTTAGATTAAGAAGAAGTTTGAACTCCTTGTCCAAGGTCAGATCCTTCGAAAAGTGGATGATGTTGTCTCTGTTGACTCTGGAGTGCCAATCTTTAGTCAAAACAAAGAACCTTTCTATTTTGACGCTTCCAACGTCTCCAGGATTAAGAAATCGGAATCTGGAGCAACGAAACGATTGGCAGAACCAGAAAAGGGCGAAGATATATGGCAGTTCAACTGGAAACGAGTTGATTATATTCTTAGAGACGAGCTGGTGTTAGAGTGCATAAAGAAGTCTGAGGAGTTTGATGAAGAGAACATTGTCCTCTGGAATGCCTTGCTACAAGTGGCAGGTCAAGGGACCACGTTGGAGACCATGCAATCGGATCCAATCGCCGTTCAATCAGTTTGTCAGTTCCTGAAGGAGGAGACAGGAGAAGTTTTCAGTTGGGAAGCGGTAGATAAGAAGCTGGCGAACGTCGCCAAGTTCATGGATGCTCCAGTTCGGAGGATGGGGGATTCTGGAGGAGGACTTTATGTTGTTGGTAAGCCTGTTTTGGAAATAATGATTGCAAGACAACATTCTTTTGCTTTTAAAAGAAAACTGGTTATGATCATGTTTTAGAGTACAACGCAGCGTTCCAGAGCATGTGCTTTGCCCACGTCGAGAGTTTGATATTGGAGTTGATAGATGAAAGAGCTGTTAGGATCTTTAGAATTGTCAGAAAACATCGGAACATTGAAGAAGACGAACTCTCGAGAGCTGCAATGTTGGCAGTAAAAGAAGCTAAGGAAATTGCTTATGCTTTGATTGAAAACGGTATTATTTACAGCAGGGTAAGCGGTATTCTCACCCGACCAACTTTAAATACGGTACATTTTTCTTGTTCCTAAACAGAATTGATGATGTTTTGTGTGACTTTTCTATATTTATTTTAAATTTTGATATATTTTAATATTTTCTTTTCAGCCGATTGCAAAGACAAATGACTTTGCTCCAGCTAGAACGTATTACTTTTACTCTCATAAAATGCCAGAACTAGTGGATACGATGATGATCAGGTCGTTAGATGTAAGTTTCTGTATAAATAATGTTATGTTTAAATAGTTATACATTTTTATACTTTTGCACAGCATAAAATTCTTACTTTAATATATTTTAGTCGATACGAAACCTCTGTTATCGCAGAGTTGCGGAAGTCAAACGAAATGAAGTTCTACTGGCAACCAAAGAGAAGGTCGATACCATCATAGACAGTATCCAGAGCGACGCCACCTTATCAGAGGAAGATAGGAACGGTCAAGTAAGTCTTGAGCAACCATGTTTTTTGAATAATAAGAAAGATAATTATAATAAAGATGAATATTATCCAAGATAACACGCTGATAAATATATATTTATTGGTCTATCCGTCTATTCCTAATCAGGCCTAAATAATTAATGGTTCCAGGAGCAAGATGTGCGGAAGATGTACATGACCGTGGAAGACAAACGTAACCTGAAACGGCACCAGGAAAGCCAGAAGCGCCTTCATTCCACCGAGATCAAGCTGGAAGAAGCTCTGTTCGTGTTCCAACTCTGCGACAACTTCCAGAAACTACAGTCTCGCATCCTGGCCGCCAAATTGGCCAGCAAAAAGCGACGTCGCAACGCCGACATGAGTGCGTAGAGATGAAGCCGAGATTCGAATCCATTGCGTCTTGTTGTTATCCTTTTTACATGTTGTTGTATTTAGAAAGTTGTTATAAAACTAACGTAAAACTTTTAAACTTAATGCTGATGTTGTTATAGGTATAATATAACTTTCTATACACTGTAAATAGAGTAGAATGCAGATGTATGGCTCAGGTTTTTTTGTACTTTTGGGTTGTTGTAGATATGTTGAATGTGAAAGTATACATGTATTGTTGTTATTAGTTTTTGTAATAGTTAAAGGTAACATGAGGTATCACTACACCCTTAACGAGTTCATTGTGAACAAATCCACATCAGGCCGCGACCACCAATCACAGTTCTGGCCAATATGATGTAGAATGTAGCCGAGTTCGTGGAAAAAGTCTCTTTCACTATACTCCTGTAATTTATATATTATTTTACTTCTTACATTTACATTTTTTTGAAAAACATCCCCTCTGAACTTACCTTATTCACAACCACTGCCATTTCCAATCCATTGTCTAACCTCACCAACATCGAAGCCGAACCAGGCATTCGTCCATCATGTTGCCATCCATTAAAGCCCATTACATTGATCGACCAGCCTAAACCATAGGTTCCATTTGAGGCTGGTGACGGTTTAGTCCATTCTTTCAATGCCCACGGACTCAGAAGGTCAGCACGGTAAGAGAACCCGTCCAAATGCGACATTATTTTCAGTAGTTCTATTGGGGACGCGATCCATCCTCCCCAAGGCCCAGTACGCTCGGGCGGAGGCATCTCGTAGGGATTGAAGCCTACACGGTTGCCTGACATGTAGTAGAACACTTCTCGGCTGAAAAGTTTTATTTTGGAATGATTTGTAGCTAACATAACATCAAAAAAAAAGATTTTATTTTAAAAACCGTTTATAATTTCAAAAATTTTGATTTGAAATTAAAATCTTCCCTACCGTGACTTCTCAGCGATCGTCGGCCTGGCAATCTGAATCTCATCCACCCCCACCCTCTCCCACACGTGCTTCTTCACAAACTGTTCGTAACTCATCCCACTGATCCTCTCAATGATGTGTCCCAGCAACTGGTACCCAAAGTTGGAGTAGATCCATGTTTTACCAGGCTTGAAGACCAACTGTTGAGACTCCAGTACCATTCCGATGAGTTCTGAAGTCGGTTTCCGAGGTTCAATCCAAGCAGGGTCGTTTTCGAGGTTGTTCCAGCCACCTAAAATACGATCATATTGTTTAAAATTGGAGGGTAATCTTGCCGGATGTGTGTTCGAGAAGGTTCCTCACGGTCAGGTCTGTCACGTAACGGCCGTAGGGCTTCTTGCGAGAGAATTCAGCTCCTGAAATTGGGAGGGGATAAGGATGGTAAATATAAGGTAAAAAATTACATTTTAAAATGACTGCAGGCAGGGCCGGGCGGGGACTTTTGGTCTGGGGGCAGGGGTCCAAAAAATCGGCACTTTGCCGATTTTTTGCGAAAATTTTTTTCCAAAAATCCACAGGGGGGGGGGACCACGTTCAAATTTTTTTGAAAATTTTTTTCTGGGGGGGGGGGGGGTCCCCCCCCCTCGCGCCCGGCCCTGACTGCAAGTAAACTACAGGTATTACAGTTTAAAATTGGGCCTAAAATTCAATAATAAAGTCTATGTTAATATCAAAAATTTAGGTTTTAGTCCAAAGATATCGAATTTGAAGTAACTGTACCAAAAAGCGAATCCGGTCCAAAAACCTTCTGGTCCAGCCTCAGTCTTCCCTGATCCACCAATGTTAATATCGCGGCAGCCGTTATGGGCTTCGAAACTGATCCAACACGAAATTGATGCATCGGAGTGACGAGTTCTTGTCTTCTGACATTACTGTAACCGAATCCTAAACTTCTATAATGTAATCCAGTCCCAAACATACCGGCCGCGAACTTTAGTCGCTCATTCTTGGAGATGGCCACTGAAAGGCCAGGAATGTCCAAATCTCTCATAAAATGTTCGACTCGCTTCACGATGAACTCGAGTTGGTCCGACTTCAGTAGGTCGGTTGTGCCGGGAAGGTAGGTGGTTGGGATATGACTGGAATTAAAGTTACAGTAGTATACAGGTCAGTATTATATGATAATAAAACTCTTGAATGATTCACTTATATAACGAATATCTTTTTATAGGTAACGAGTCTTATGTATTTTCATTGAAACTTAACTTTTTTGCAAAAACTAAAATTTTAAACTATTGTTTTGCCGCAATTTGTCGTTCTATTTCGTAACAAGTTGCGCAAAGACCCAAAGTCGTATTTCTGGAGAGCACTTTGATGCTGATACAACTGTTGTAGCAAAGCAAGTGCTTTTTTTACCCCTCCCAAATAATTAAAACTTATAAAGAAATCACCCATTCCAAAAAACCTCCCCAAATTAACAGTACATGCCCTCCAATAATTTTATACCCAAAAAATGTATTTTAACCTCTTCCAAACATACCTCAACTTACCTTTTGTTAGCCCAGATTTCAGGTGGGTTTGGATACCTAAACGAGTGTAAGTCACTCCACAACACAACGTATGTCACCTTCTGCTCCGCGTCGATGTAGTGTGACACTTGTCGTGGCAGGCGACTCCTAGGCAGAGAGTTACTGTATTGTGTGACTTTCTTCTGAATCGCCTGTAACTCTGTGCCCCATTCAATCGTATGCCACTTCTTTGGTTGATACTCCCAGATGGCAGCGCATAGAACCTGTCAAGTACAAGATAACAGAACATCTCGTTACCTACATCATTTCCGTTGTTGAACACTCTGAACTGGACGGCGACATAGCCTTTGGCTTTCAGAGACTTGTCCTTTTCTAGGCATTCCGTCATTGTTAAGCCGTAGTACGCTTCGTATGGAGTGTTGGAGAGGGCAGGCTTGGACCATACTCCAACGTACTGAGCTCGGTTCTGAAAAATGTGTTAATATAGGTTTAAATCAATAATATACTTAGTTCTAGGTTAAAGTTGAACAGAAAAGTTGAAATATACCTTGACACTGTAACCACATAAGCTTGTGAGTCGATATCCTTCATTTTCAAACTTGATTCTCTGCATTTCAGCTTCTCGAGTACCGGGGAACCAAATCTGAAAGTTTCTAATTCATTTTGCCAGCGTTTAGTACATTTTTCAATTTTTTTTTTAAATTGCGGACATATTTGGATTGGAACAGCGATAAAATGAAGCCCGATCAAGACAGTTATGTAAACTTACTTTGAAAGAAATACCTGGAATCTTCTCCCAGTACGTCGAGAAAGTTACTTTTCCTTGCCCGTTGTCTTGTCCACATAACTGAGTCAGTCCTAGTTCGACTTCTTCATTCTCCCTATAATTTTATTTCAAAAAAGTTGAATTTGTACTAAAATCAACACCTATAAACCCAAAAATGTTTTGTCCAAGCCTCTCTGTCCCATCTACACGACAAGATAATCATAATCAATGTTATTTCGCGAAATATCAGTCTTTCCACTAAAGAATTACACAAAATCGCAAACTCCAATTTGGGGAAATCGCTGTCGCGCCGAGAATTGGGGGACGTCGCGCGACATACAGCGAGTTGTGCGACATTCGCTTGCACCCTGCGACATCAAAAGGGGTATTGCAATGTCACAGGTGCAAAGCCTTGCGACAGCGTGTCGCGGTTGTCGCAACGCCCAACCCACCACTGTGATCAGTGGAAGGTTTGCGACAAGTTTCTTTTGACTGTCGCAAGTCCCCTGACTCCAGCGACAAACGACCGGTGCGACAATTGGGGGCTTGCACTGTGCAGTCTTTCCAGCATCGCTTGGTGTTGTAAGCGATCGCGGGGGAATCTGCACAGTGCAGGGGAATAAAAAAGGGCGCGATTTTCCCAGGAACTGCACAGTGCAGTTGTGTAATTCTTTAGTGGAACGACTGATAAAATAACATATCAGTCTTTCCCGAAAAGAATGTTACAAAACTGCACAGTGCAGTTTGAAGGAATCGCTGTCGCGCCGAGAATTGGGCGACAAGCGACAAGGTCTGCGACAGTCGCTTGCACCCGGCGACATCCCAATGGAAATCGCAATGTCGCAAGTGCAAAGCTTTGCGGCAAACTGTCGTGTCGCGCTTCGAATGGCGATGCGACAGTGTGTCGCGGTTGTCGCAACGCTCAAGCCACAACTGTGTTCAATGGGAGGATTGCGACACGTTTTTTTGACTGTTGCAAGTCATTGAATCCTGCGACAACCGACCGGTGCGACACTGAAGGGATTGCACTGTGCAATCTATCCTCACATCGTTGGCTGTATCGGGTGATCGCGCGGGAAATTTGCACTGTGCAGCGGAATAAAAAAGGCGCGATTTTCTCGGAGACTGCACCGTGCAGCTGTAACATTCTTTAGTGGAAAGACTGATATCAACACTATAATAATATAGAACGTTAACAACTTACCGCGCCACCCTCATCAGCTCGGTATAAGTGTAAGGATTGGGCTTCAAAAACACAGGGCCACTGTATTTGTGCATGATGGCATAGTAAAATATGTCTGTGCCACGATAAAAGAATCCCATCGACGCTAATCGACCACCATACATCAAAGAGATGGCTAAAACATTGTCAATCGCGGTTTCGTTCCCTGTAGCCAATACCCAATCTCTTTCGTGCGGGGAAGGTGGATGCGCTATCTGAAAGTCAAAGTTAAACGTGTTTATACAGTAAACGTTATTTTACTGTCCGTTATGAATACAATATACTGTCAAACCTACCTGTAAATCCCCAGTAAAAGAAGGCCCAGGTTGTAGCGGCAGTTGAGTCAGTGATGTCTCAGCCCTTCTGTAGACTGTCACGACTTCCCGACCCAAAGGACCTTGATCCGAATGCCGAACCTGCCCCGACGGTGCACTCTGTTCATTCAGAAGTGGAAACTCAATCGGCGAACCGGGAATTGCCTGCGGCGAATGAACGAACGGCGTCGGCGGAGGCATCGAAGCCGGTGTCGCAATTGGCGCCATTTGCGGCGGATTCGGACCAGACGGATAACAAGGGCGATCCGCGCCAAGCCTGGCAGTCTGCTGTCTCAAGGCCTGACTCTGAGCCCATGGTGAAGGTGGAGGTTGAGGATATACGATTACAAAGAATGGCGCCAATGACACGATATACCTCCACATCGCATTTTTCATCAAATTTGACTCCTATTGGGACTACAATTGATCGTAAGTGTTAAAAAACGTTTTTAAACATTAGAAATTTCGAAGTTTAAATTTTTAAAAATTTGGTTTTTTTAAATAAATTATTTATTTGAAAAAAACTTTAAAAAAATTTAAAACTTTGCTATTTTAAATTTAAGCATTTTTCCACATTCAGCATACAGTACCCCAAAATTGCTCATTACTCAAAAAAAATTTTTAAATCGTCCCATTATACCATCTACTTCAATATAATAAACCTCAAATCTTAAATATCACCCCAACCTCGCCCATCGGAATCTAAACCTAATGTTTGGGTAGCCTTTTATCAGACAACCGGCTGGTCCCTAATCTCAACGTGAACAAGCCCCGAACTAAAACACCCCCCGGTGGCCGTTGATGACGTCGCAGCCATAATGGAGCCCGCGCGACGACAATAACAACAAACTGTTTGTCCAGGACGGACACAAAAGACAGCCGACTTCCAATAATTTACTTTATTAGAACCTGAGACTTTGCATATGTACAATAACGTTCTTTCATTGTTCCTAATGTTCGTATATTACCGTGTTAAAGTGGGGAAGTAACCGAGAGGGTGGGGCCTGGAGATGGCCCGTATGGACTAGCCAACTACGTGATGAGGTCGGGAACGAAGTTCAACAACATAGCCATGTAAACATTGATGTAGACTAATCGGTTTCGTTACATATTGTTCTATGAAAAATCTATAATAGTCTTATATTACAGTAGACTATATTATCATTAAAACTTTTTAACAAAAACGGTTTGACCAAAGTTGACATAACACCAAAGTCTATCACTAATGTAAGACAGGGTATAACACCGTTCATTGACACCGTATTAATGAAATTCTAATTATTTAGCAACTCTATGACAATCCCTAAAAGACTACAACAAATCAACGTGTAAAAAATAAAAATTACAAAATTAGAAAGAAACCTAAAAAATTAAAAAATGATCAGACTCCCTAATACCCCAAACATCAATCAGACCATCATAGCACCGTACTGTGGTTACCCTCTTAAACACGATTAATGGCACTTAAAGACTATAACATACCATAATAAGGCAATATGTTCAATTATAACAATAAGAATATAGACCTTCAAATCACCACAGTAAATAGTATTGTCACTTTATCACCGGAATGCCTCCAACAGAAACTCGTACACCGAATTGGTAATGCCCCAGGCAATCAAAGACCGGGTGAAGTTCATCTGAACTCCTCGAAACAGGCCCTTCAGAGATCGATTCCTCTCCTCCCAAACCATTCGAAACACTCGGATTGGCGATTGAAATGTCGTACCTAGTTCTGATTGTAGTCGATGTTTGACCACGTTAACCGGGAAGAACAAGGTTGATATCGAGGCGCCGAGAATGGCACCAGACACAAAGTTCGAAATAAATGTGGCCGCTGACATCGAGGACTTTTGTAGATTCAACTTCTCAATGAATAATAGCCTCAGGGGTTCTCGTAGCGTAAAGAATAGCGAGTTCGAAAGTCCGTTTCGTAATACGACAAGTGACAGTCCACGATAAAACTCGTGAATCCCAAACCCGTACACGTACTTTATGGCTTCTTTAGTATTCTTAAAGTGGCCGTGATAATGGTGAGTCTGTAGCAGCACTTGTATCCGCTCCAGAGGGCAGAGCGTAGCTTCAGTACAGCCGGCTGTAAAGAATATCATTAAATTGCATAAAAATATTAACAAAAACAGCCATTAAAACGCATGAGTGTTAGAAAGTATACAAAGAATATTTAAATACAGTCTTACAGACCTTTTGAACAAGATTTAACTTTGGAACAACATTTTAAGCTTTTCTTATCGAATAAAACAAAACTGTTACCTAAAAAAGCGGCTACAGCATGGCGTTTAGTCAGTGAAGAAGCGATTCCTGGTCTGTCCTGTGCATTCAACAAGCCTTTGTATTTGTCAAAAGCACCAAACATAATAGACCTTGTTGATGTTCGCATGATCAGTGGAGGTAACAATCCTCTGTATAATAAACCCATTCCTTCTGATTTTAACTAAAATTAAAGTCTTGTTACTTTAATTAAGATCTTGATTTGACCTAAACTTCGAAAAACCCAAGACACAAATAAAACTTACTTGAGTGACAGCATCTTTAACAGCCAACCCGAATAACTGCTGTCTGAATATTAATTTACTCTGTGGAAACAAAATTATCGTCTCAATGCAGCCGGCACACCAACCACAGTAAAAGTCCACATTGTTGTAGATATGACTCCTTTGTTGCTCTTTACTTCCCATCTAACCTGAAATCATTGTTCAACGATTAAAAACTCTTAAAACGCAGTTTTTTAATGTTAATATCCTGCGTAATATAAAATTAAAGATTTCATTAATCTTTTTTAATTTATTTGCGAAAAACTTACCTCACCGACCATGAATGCTATCAGAATCACCGTTATCAACGAGTTTCTCGGATCCGAATTTTTTGTAAAATAATTTATCTTAACACGGAATGCCAAAGTGTTTGTTTTCGTGGTGGGAATCATTTTAAACAAAGTTATCAGTTAGGAACATGAGATTATTTGAATAGTGAGTCAAAACACCTGATAAAACGCAAGAATGTGCATTTTGAAACCCATTGATGGCATATGAATATTGTGCAAGCCATCAAACACGATCGTATCTTGGATTATTATCGACTTTTGCTGATTATTTGACATTTTAAAACAATATCAGCTCTTTTTGTGAAAGTTTTCTTTTCAAATGTTATTTTCGGAACAGTACAAGGCTTTGTGTGTCAGTAGAAGGTTGGAGAGACCAGGAATCAAGGTAAAAACGTTTGAATAGAAGCCGTGAAGATATTTATAAAGTAAGCGTCTTTGAGGATTGTGTCTGGAATATACGTTTTTGGAAGGGTTTAAGTTGGGGTATAACTTGTGTTTTTGTGTGGGACTGAAGAAAATATAGTCCCTTTTTATATGGTAAATAAAGTTTTAAAATTTATCTGGTTTTTGTTGACTTAGTGCTAAAAAAACGATTGTTTTTCCAGGAAAAATCACTAATTTTAAGCAAAATTTATTTTTTTATGTCATTAAAATTAAAACGTCATGAAATAACAGAAAGTCTTCATACATCTAGTATTATACTGGCAGTAACTTTACTTTCACAGCAAGGTCACAAGGTAATTTATATGAAACACTCGAGATTAACAAGATTATATTGTGATTCCCTCTCTCTGTTCCGGAAAGTAAATAAAAACATTATATTTACAGAACTCGGAGTTAAACTCGCGTTTAGTTACTATTATTTGTGGATAATGTGGTTTGGAATATGTAAAACCGGTGATGTTTAAGGTTTAGAGGGTTTTGAATGACATAGTCTTTTATGTTGTAGTTGGTGAATTCAGTGGGACTTTTTATGTTATTCTAGTTGTTTTTGTGTTTTAAAAGTTCTGGACTAAAATAAGTTGTTTATAACGAATTTTAGAAATGTTTTATGAAACGGTTGTACTCCATATACCACTTCATACAGCCCAAAACTCTAATATCTTAGGTATATAGTGTCTTGTAATCCGTGACAACCTCCTCTAAATGGCTCTAACCATTCTGTTTGTTTTACTTTTGAAACAAAAATATAATTTTCTTCTTCATTAGAACGCAAATTTTGTTTTCGGAGATGAATAACATTTGTATTAAACATGTTTATATTTCAATTAACGTTTGAGGCACATGATATTTATATTGTTGTAGTTATTTTTGAACCTTCAACTTATGTTAGATAGTTTAAAAATCAAAAAGTAATAATCTAGTTGATATTGAAGGTTAGATTGGTTCAAAATCGGGTAGGACCACAACTTTAAAAAAAATTTCAGATATATAATAGTTTTGTGGCTCATTACTCTTTGAACAACTTAATAGTTGATTTTGATGGCAACTTTTATTGTGACTTACCAAATTTACTGTAAACTCAAAAGTCTTGACTTTACGTTTCAAAACGCACGTGCACTTTCTGCAATCGTATGTACTTTGTAACGTGCTCAATAGTACGTAAACGATGTTTGTTTTCCGTGGAAACCGAGGTCTTTGCAGCTTTTCTTTACACCTGACAGCCCTTCACTACGCTCGGGATGGGGGTCGAGTATGTTCGTTCAGTACATGGTCTGCTCAGTATTATCATTATGGTATGTTTGGTATCCTTTATCATTTGATAGAATTATAGAGCTTGTTTTATAGTGGTACTAGGACGTTATTGTTGAGGTTTTCCAAGAAAACGACCAAAGAAAGCCTTAAAACAATAAAGGTCAATAAAACTGTAGAATTTTCCGAAATGACTGGAAATTAACATTAATGTTATTGTACAGCAGTAGTAAAGTAAAATGACTTTAGATACTGGGTTCAGCGGCGATGTTCGCCGGTTACTTTGTGTGGAACGATGGCTCAGTGTACTTCTTGTTCTACCTTTCTAGCGTACCATTAGTCACACTCATTCTTATCTTATTAGTTGTATGTTGGTTTACTACTGCGATGATTATGGCCGCTCAAGTAATTGGAAAAGATTTGTTAGAAAAAATGGGTAAAGCCAAGGTAACCGCGATTACAATAGAGTAATTTTGATGACTGTATATTTTATGCAGTAAGAAGAAACTGCAGGTTTTGAATGTAATTTTTATACATCATCTAAGTAGAGTAATATATACTACTTACCTAAAGTCATATGCGTTAAAAGTTTTTACATTTGTTACAGGTACTAATCATACACACTATAACAGCAATACTAATCTTGGGAGCGGCTGTTTGTAACTGTTACAATCTGTCCAGTACAGAAAAAGGGTACTTTTACTACCCGCGGATGATAGCTGTAGTTGTAAGTTTTTAAACTTCTAGTTTTGAACTTTTAGGCACTTTCTTATTATTTGAAGACCCAAAATATGACCTTATAAACGCATAGTCAAACTAATGTATAAACAATTTTCACCTTCATTTTACAATCGCTTATTTAGGTATGTTGCTTCCTGATGTTGGTGGGATATATCGGACAGATTGCCTTTGTAATCATGCAGTAATGGCTTGCTATGTAACCCGATTTACTAATATTATTCTAGTCTTATACGCGGTTATATGTATATTTGTTTTTTGATTAAATAAATTTGTTTTTACTTAATATGATAAGCCAAAACTTTTCTTTTTGATTACTGGGAGTAAATACGTTTGATTATTTATCGTTTGCAAAGGGCTTATGGCTGTTAGAAACAAGAACATACTCAAAAAAGCTGTTTTACTCAACGTCATTACCACCCAACTGTGTGTTGACATTACTCAACATGGTTTACGAGGACGATGCCTGTCCTGCTCCGCTACGGTCGACTTCAAACTTCTTATGTAGAGAGATCATGTAAATATAAGATCTTAAACAAATTATTAAATCGCGTTTTCTAGACAATCTCGAGAAAATCGAGAGCAAAAGCTTAGGTTTTGAATTTTCCGCCAAATTGGCATTGTGTTTCAAGCTTGTAACTTTGTCATTTTTTGACTTTTAATCATTTTTCTTTGATATACTGATAGAAAACCTAAAAAAAAACCTAATTTTTTAAATTTGTAAGCGTGTCTTGTCGAGGAAGTCGAAGAAATTGCTTAAAACACAATGCCAAATCTGTTAAATTGGCGATAGACTCAAATATTTAAAATTTAAAACTCAAAAGCGCAACCTAAAATTCCTTAAAAGTACTAATAAAATTTTAACTTTAATTTTGATAACAAGTTTTATTTGAGAAGTAAACATAAACTTCCCAGTAAAAAACTACCTAGTATTTCGTAAAGAAAGCGTGCTATTAGAGTATCGGAGTCGAAGAAGATGAGCTCATGATGAAGGCCGGAAGCGAAATGCCCTGAGGGGAAGTTGGCTTCTCTTTTGTTCCAATTCTGATGGGATTTGGATCGGCGTCGGCTTCGAATTCCGTGTTTAAAAACAATTTGACTTGGGTTTTGATTGATTTCCAATCTACTATGGTGTCATGTAATTGGGTATTGTACTTTTGATTGTTAATGCTAGGTCTAAAAAGGCGTTTAATTCAGTGACTAGGTTGTGTGCAATTAGTTTTGGCACACCTTTCTAAAAAAGTGGTATTACAACATTCAAAATAATTTTAAAAATATAAAATTTTGCATATTTTCTCCTTATAAAGTTTATAACGTCAATGTTAGGCTTATATTTTTAAAATTATAAGTAGAAAGCTTAGCCTACGCTTTACTATAGTGTTAAATAAGTCACATATAGACGTTTTCTACGTTTTATTCGGGTATTATGTAGGTTATATATAGCTGTTTAATTGTTTTGAAACAATGAAATTGAGTAAGCTTGATGAAAGTCTCAAGTATCAATCAAATGGCCTTAGGCAAAGTGCTACTGGTGGCTTTTTGTTCATTTCACTTCCGTTACAATCTTTTGGAAAGTAGAGAATTTTTGTTTTAAATGTTTTATATGTAATATAATTTCTGTAAGTTTTATATTTTAGGTTGTTCAAATAATTCTGTGCTCCTATTGAAGCGAATTTTTGTTGATGAGAGTAACGTAGTATAACATTAGAGCTAAAAAAGATAAAAAATTTTTTTATATTTATAGATTTTAACACTAAGATAAGATTTTTTACTCCAACATCCGGTTTGGAGATGTAAAAGTAATGTTTAATACAAAACAAGTAACCGAATTGTTTTATTTTGCTTCCAGTAATTTGGCGGCCCCCAAAGAAGGGCCGCGGGGCCGAAATGACACGACCGCTCTCTTCCACTTGACATTTCCAGGATTTTAAAGGTCTTGTTGAACTTGACCCCCCAAAAACCGCCTTTTGTTTTTACTTTACAGCTCGAGTAGACCGGCTTACATTGTAACTTAAGGTGGCTTTTTTATATTGTAATTGAATGTAGGTAATGGTGACGGTAGGCCTCTAATTTGTCTTAATGGGTAACAAAAATATTTTCGATTTTGTAAGCTAGGTATTGGACTTAAAACTAGATTTTAAAACTTTAAACTATTGTAGATAAGAGCCAAATAAGTAGCCAATGAATCATATTTAACGTGCTCTAGAGTTGAAGTTATTGTCCCATGTTAATAACATTCCTAGGTATCGTAGTAACGTCGTGTAGGAGCAAAAACGTACAAATGAGTTTTGCCAAGTATACTTTTGGCCTTTTACTATGTAATATAAGCAAAGTATATCAGTTCTTACATTTCTTACGCATCTTTGTTATGCTATTCTTGAATTTCTTTAAAATTAAAAACTTTTTTATTTAAATTTTGTAGTAATAAACTTCAATATTGCGTAATATATACCTACGTTCGTATTTATTTTTTCAAATTAAGAAAAACTAACGATAAATCTACTAATCACCAACTTTCAGGTCAAATGTCATCGTACTTCGACGTGCTTCGCGGCGACAAAACCAAAAAAGTTCGTTTCTTCAACGTTCTCAGCGGCTACCTCAACTCAGAGAACATATGCTTTGACGTGCAGTACAAGGTGGGGCATCAAGTCAAAGACAAGGACTGGATCGGCGTCTTTCCAGCCGGCTTTCAAAAGCCAAACCAAGACTTTGCTGCAGTCAAAATGGCACCACCAAGGAGGGGGAGGAAGTACAAGAACTGGAATGAAATGCACAAAGTCATGTTCAAGAGTGTGGAGTGCAAGGTAGGGTTGTTGAGTAATTTGATTACGAGAGTTTAGTTAGTTTGGTTGGAGGTTGGGCAAGGTTTTATTGGGATTTTGGGAAAAATGCTAATTTGTGACAATTTGAACTGGTTATTCAAAAATCATTCTGAAAATTGAAAAAAAAACTTTTAAAAAATAAAAAAAAATTTGATATGGTATCTGCTCATTAAAGTATATTCGCTTTTAAAATTAGGAAGAAAATATCGCATCGTTTTTAAGTGTACAACTCTAGTAAGCTTCTACTACCTTAATGCTGCATCATTTTTTTTTAAATTTTACTTTTGTAAACTTAATGTCTGAATATAGATGGAACATTAGATAAGAATCCAGTAGCGTCTCGGGTTCTTGGTGTTGCAAGCTTTAGGTTAGGGGTTAGGACGTTGAGTTGTGGCGGCAAGATATGACTCAAATGTGTTACTATTGACCTTCTGATCAATACGGCACGTCCTGAATGTTAGGTATAGGAATTTTTCTGAAGAGCAGAGAGGCAATTTTAAAAACGATTTTATTTTAAAACTAATCATGATGTATATGTATAGAAGCTTTTCTCTGAAACGTCTTAATTACATTCTTCTATTTAAAATTTCATGAAAGTATAGTTTTAAAAGGTATACTTAAAGTTGTAACAGATATAGTACCTTGACAATTAGTTTATGTATGTTTTAAGATATTGTACTTACAATGTTTATTTAAAGATAACTTTGTATGGTAAAAGTACAAGTTTTTTCTCTCTAATTATATTGTATACTAAAGTACAAATTTTTAAATTTTTAAAAAATTTTATTGGGGTTTTTAAATGAGTACATATTTGGTATGTTATGTAGTCTTTTACTTATTACATAGTAAAATGTTTAATATTTTGATATATGACGTTATATGACTTACTTATATGACACTATTCCATAATTTCCAAATATACCACACAGCAATATCTTCCAAAAATATGTCATTTCAAGAAGATACTATATAACACTACATGTTCTTCTTGCACCAATATTGCTTCCTCTATTATTACTCGGCCATAATTACTTGGCCAAACTTTTCGCACTTCCATTACATTATTCATGAGACATTTTCCAATTAAGACTCTTCTTGTTTTCCATCTTCATAACAACTTAACTTCGGTTGGCGTGAGAGTTGGCCCTTGTCTCGATATTATGCATTTTCACGAATTCGGGTATTATATAAAGTGGCAACTTTTGTTTCGGTCGGAAAGTGAAATGGGGTTTCGAGGAATGCTGTTCAAATAATTCTGCGCCCCTTCTCAAAGCAAATTTTTGGAGTTGGGGAGGAGGGTGCTGAATTAGGTGATCAAACTAATGAGTTGGACTGAGATGTGATTTGCAAAAGGAGGGGGGTAAAAAATTTTTCGGGGGTAGAGAAGGGAAAATTTTTGAAACATCTGGTAGTAAAAAATAATTTACTGTATTTTTGGCTTCAAGTATAACATTTTTGAACCAGAAAAGCCCCGTTCTATTGTAAGAATAGAAATTTCTAGCGATATAAAGTCAGCCGGTTGTCAGCAAGAATTATTTTGACACACCTCGAATTGGGAATGGCATTTTTGTGCACTATACGAACGTCGTGCTGCCTGAGCCAAGGTTATATACGATGTTGTTTACAACTCCAAGGGTTATACATCTTGTTCCGAGGATTTATGACTTTTCTTGTCTTATGACATTCTCTGCGGTTCTTCTTATATTTGGCACTTCTTTCCTTAAACTTAAGTCATTTAGTCTTAAGCTTGGCGCATCTCAAAGGTCTTCTATATTAACATATGTTTTACTATCTTATTTGAGCTATTTTGAGCACATATTATGATGTACTTGCATATAAGCCCTATTACAACAATATAACTCTATACGAATGTAAAAGGGAGCGTAATGTAATTTGGTATCTGAGTTGTTGACATGTTTTCAATTTAATTTCCAAACACTTGAGAGGCGATAAAGTCGCTTTTAATTCGAGGGTCTGTTTATGGCCAAGATGTTATGGTAACTAGAGTCTGAGGATCTTGCTTTGTTTTATATAGTCAAGTCAAAAACAGACAAACAATGAGGCTATTCTCGCGGCTTCAGGGTGCAAGTTTAGCGCTTTAAGGTCGAAGTTTAAAAGATATTATAGGCTCTCGATGTTAACTTTAGGTTTAATTTTGTTAAATTTTTAAAACTTTAAGGCTTTTAAAGTTTAAAAAGAGCATTATTAGTTGAAAAAATAAAATTTTAATTAATTTTTGAAATTTTAAATCCTCTAAAACACTTGAAAAGTAATTTAAAACGTCGCAAGTTAAGGAAGCCGGCTTCGGATCCGGCGAGTACGGAGCTGTTCGTACTCGAAAAGAGCACGTCCAGGCTGTTTTGATAGTGTGAATCAGAAGCAAAACGCCTCAGGGGATCTTTTGTCACATTCTTCTTTTGTGCTTCTAGTTCTATTGTTCGCGAACCCCCTCAGGGCATTGGGAAAAAACGGCGTTTGGCCGATTTGGAGCCCCAAAAGGTAATCGGAGCCGGTTTTTTGTGTGGACGCGACTTTCGGCCCCAAGTCATATTGTCTCTTTGTGGCGGGAAATTGTCGTATTTCCGGTGCCGCAACCAGCCGGCTTCACTTAGCCGAACGGGTCAACAACCAGGATTCGCTTAAGCAAGGGGTGGAATGGGGTTGGCGTTGGGGGTGGTTTATTTATGGGCTTGAATGGGATCATGGACTAGGCTTGAGTTTTGTTTTGAAGCGCTTTAGGGACTGTTGAGGTTAAAACCAGCCGGTTTTATGTAAAGTGCTAAATGAGGTAGTTAAAAAATTATTCAGACTTAACATACTGACTTTAAATTAGAGATAAAATAAATTTTACTAAAACGTAAAAGCAGCCCTTGCCCATAACAAAATTGCCAACTCAAAACCTGCCACCCCCTAAAACAACGCCAACAACCAGCCGGCTTCCGCGAGGCGCGAAGCACGCGGAAGACGAATGACTTTAGAAGTTGTATTCTGCCGTTGTTCTCGACCATAATCTCGTTTCGGCTTTGTCCCAAATCGAGTTTGGCGTATTGTTTCAAGTATCGTTTATTGCACTTCCGAGGCCACGATTTATGGGATGGCACGCCGTTTTATAGGTGACATTTCCAATGTTTCACGAAGGCTTTTTGGCGGATTCTGAAGGAGGGTGAAGTAAAATACGGGCTGACTAGGACTTTTTTGTCGTATAGAGATGGGCTTTTTTTGAAAAAGAGGGGTAAACTTTTTTAACGTGAGGAGGGGTGTTATCTGATAATTTTTTTTCTTTTTGTAAATACAATTAAACCTACTCTTTTTTTATATATGTTACCACTTTTGTTGATATACTTTTGTTCAGAAGGCCTCGAGGCAAATAATTTCTTGGAAAGTCAAGAAATTCTCAGGACCTTCTTAATAATGTACTGCTTATCGCGTTTTATGCCCTCAGGGCCCAAGAAACTTCTCATACTCACTTTTTAAATTCTTCGTCGCTAAATTTACTTTGCTTCGAAATGTCGTATATCAAGTTTAAAAGGCTTTTTCGAAATGCAAAATACGATTCCAGTAGTATTTTTGAATTTTGAAACTCGACTTAACTTATGCCTTGTAAAGAAAGTTTTTGCTAATTTGAATTACTTTAAGCTAGCCCCAAGAAACTTCTACCAAATTGCCTACATCAACTCGAGCAACAAAACTGTAGCGACAAGTGCCATATTTTATATCGAAGGGGAACAAATCATGCCAAAACAAGCTGTCATTATCCAGAATCAGCCAGAACCTGGAATTCTTAGTCATTGTAAGTTTCTTTTGTTTTTGTATTTATTATATTCTTTGGTTTTACCTAAAATATAGGTAAGAAATTTTACTAAAGTAATATTAAACCTAGGTTTTTAAAAGTTGAACTTTTTCAACATTATTGAGAATAGTTTACGGTAAAAAAAGATTTTATTGTTGTTATTTTTAACGTTTTTTCGGCAGGAAACGCGTGTCATAAAAATATTATATTATACTATGAAAAGCTGTCGAAAGGAAAAACGATAGTTTTTATAAAAATTACTTTGGTTTAAAATTTAAAAAACGTTTTGACAAGCCAGTTTTGTATATACTTGTTATTAAAAGCACAATTTATTAAACTAGGCTTGTTTGGCAAAATATTTATCTATTTAAAAAATGAGCAAGGGTTTGGAAAAAGCTAAAATAGACAAGGGTTGGTTTGTGAAGATTAAAATAGGCAAGAATAGACTTGGGTGAGCCTTTGTACAAGGTTATGCTTCTTTTCAGCGGGGTGTTCTATTCTCCGGAGATTTGGTTTTAGTCAGGTGATACCTATGATCTTTCCAATCCGGGCCAAAATTGCAGGCCCTTGAGACATTTTATTTTTTACTAGTCTCAGGGTAACATACATTCTGTCGAAGCAAATGTTTAAGGTCAGGGGGCATAGAGTTGTTTGAACAACCTAATATTTCACTTTTTAGCACAATATGTTAAAGCTACAAGCAAGAAAAATCTATTTGTTATTTAAAAAGATAATAGTTTCTACATATTTTAAAGTTTTATTACTTTGCAACATGTTATAAAACTGGTTTATTAACGATTTTTGAGAATGTTTTTCTTATGAAATGTGAGAAATGTTACATTTTTCATCATTAACATTATCATTGACGTACTTTCCATTATAATTACTCAATTTAATAAGCATTTTTTGTAAAGCCTGAACTTTGAAAATGAAATCCAACTCAAATTATAAGATATTCAAGTTTCAGTGTTGTGTTCGTCGGCGTCATGGACAGAAAACACGGCGTCGATGGCGTTGTCAGACGACTCTGGGATGGAGGACGATAGCTCGGATTCGCGAAATTCGAGAGATTCACTCAAGGCCAACGATGACGACGACGATGAAGCCGACGAGAGTAATCCACTGCTTGAATTGAGAACTCAGGAGCAGGTCAGTATTGTACTCAAGGTTTTAATACTTGTTGTTGTATGTCTGAAGTTTGTTTATTATAGTACTTATAGTATTTTGGTCGTTTTTTTGTATTATGGAGTACTGTGAGCATTGTACTTGGTTTTGAAGTTGTCTATCTATGCCTTGTGATAAGGCCATACATATACTGAGGTTATGACCAATATTTCGTGTCATAAAAAGCCTAATAAATATATAGCTAGCATAACTTAACCTTACTATTACTATTTTTACTACTTCTATCTTTCGCACAAAACCTCTTACTATCATAGTTAATATTAATTTTAAAACCAATAGCACTTGTCTAATACTAATCAAGCTCTCTCACACTACAATAACAATAAGTTACAGTACTTTTTCTAATTATAATTCTAATTACAGTGGCAGTAAGAAGCTGTATCTGTATTTTGTGACACAATAACTTAAGCCTTTTACATGGTAATATGTTTGACGAAAGATGTTGTAGGGCTTTTTACAGTAGGGATGATGTGTTATCTTATGACACTTTAATGTACTTGAGGGCTTCTATAAGTATGAATTTTGGAAGAGCGGTTAATCAGGGTTTATACTATGTTATAGGAGATACATATATGTTTACAACATAATTTGGTAGAGGTATATATGTATTTTTGCAGTGTTTTAGTAGATGTATATATATTCCAGTTTAACTGGTACTACAGTAGATACATACTTGAGTTTATATGATGTTATAGTAGGTGTACATTGCTGAGTATTTGTATATATAATTAGGTAACATTGTTGTTTTTAAAAATTGATTTGTAGTTTTATCTTGTAGTAGCCTCAGACTTGTTATGTTACTTATATATTCTTATTTTTTTTAAGGTAAGGTACACTTTTTACCCAGGAAGGTATGTCATCAAGTATTATAGTATCTTTGAATCTTCATTTATTACATTATATTACTTATGTACGGCTTCTCAACATCTTCTTTGTTTTACTAATATCATACGTAGCTCTACAGTACTATAAAAAATAGGATTACATTTTCATCTTATGTAAAACCATGATTACGTGTACATGTTACATGGAAAAGGGTCATTTACTACTTCAGTAAACGTATGTAGGTGGATTTACTGAGTGAATAAATTTAAATTTATTCATTTAACGTAAACGCCTTGTTTACTCTGTAAACATATAAATACGTCAAAATGTAAACTTTTTTGGCATGTTTTGGTTGTTACAGTACGATTATGTTACGGTAAAGTAAAAAACCTGTTTTGGTCAATTGCGTTGTAAGGTAATTAGGTAAGATTACTGTATGAGCATATCAATGTAGCAATGCTTAAAGTCGTACCATAATCATCAAGATACGAAGTATATTGTTATAGCTTGTAGTTAGTAATTGTATCTCATAGTCTAATGTACAAATACGTATTCGTGCAATAACTTTGTTTACAGTCGTGTTATTGTATTTACTCTAACTTTATATGTTATGTTCCCAGCATTTCTGGTCTACTACGCCATTTTGCACGTGTATGTAGTGTTTTTACATATGGCTATTTACTTGGGAGCTGCTATTGCTGTAAGGGTTAGTAACGTGTCTTGATTGTTATGACTTTTGTGACATTACAGTAGAAAAGCATTAGAGGTAACTGTTATAATATATTGTTATAGTCAAGCGATACTTACTTAATACCATTTACGATAACAATATTCTAATGTAGTATTTTTCATAACAATATTTTACTGTAGTAAGTAAAACTGCACTTTTAACAACAGCACACTGTAGTAATAAAATTGTGACGTGACCTCATGTCAAATGTATAAATTTGGTCAATTTAGAGTACCAGCGATGGTTTATGTGATTAAAGTGGGGACATGTTATACGATTATGCTAATTCGATTGTGTTGTAAACATGGTTTCTTTTTGAGATTTGCCATTTAGAGGACAGCAAACGTCTAATTTTGAAGCCGTTTTTTCGTTTTTAAATCTGAAATTTCAAAATTTTCTATCCTTGATAATATAAAGTCTTCAAGTATAAAGTCTATGACACACTTTGTCAGTTCTACGACACATTTCTTTCCGTTTGATATCAATCGTGGTATCTTTGTTACAAGTACAGTAAAAGTGCAGTTTTTTGTTGTCGCACTGCTGTTTGTTGTGTTAGAAGCACGACATGTTTACATCAATGTGAACGCTTAAATCTGACAGTTACTCCAACTTTTTTGAGAAACTTATTATAGAGTATGTACTATATATGTAAGTACATGTATATATGTATTTATATTGATACAGTTGTGTTGTGTGGGTACTGTGCAGAACTTGACATATTAGGCCGTTCAAATAATTCTGTGCTTCTTTAAAAAAAAAGCAAAGGGGCACAGAATTATTTGAACTATCTTATAGTGAATGACGGTAGCGTAGTGTAATATAATGGCTTACATAGTTAATATTATCGTAGTTGTTTTGATATTATTATAGCTGCTTTAGAGTGTGGGAGTTTAAAAATAAATGTCATGATAGCGTTCCAAATGCTCTTGTGTTAATTACTGCAGCAACTCTAATTACCTCTTTCTTTGTCTGTCGTCTCTCCTCTCTACACACTCTCTCGACGCCATTAAACTTTAAAATACGATGAAATCATTAGGAAAGTCAGTGAGAACGGCCGTTTTTCGAAAGTTTGGAACGTTGGCGGAGATAAATTTAGATGTTTTGGAACGGCACGGTTTAAAAACAAATTATTGAAGCAAGGAGGAGGTATGATGGTTATGTTAAAGAGGAGGAGGTATGATTGTTACAGCTTAAGTAGGAAGAGGTATGATTGTTGTATGTTATGTACGGTGCTTATAGAATGGAGGTATACAGATAAGAACAAGGAAGTAGACTCAAGTTATTGAGGTGTTTGTTGTTGTAGGTTGGTAAAGTGAAACAATTATAGATAAGGGTTTAGGAAGATATATAAAGCTAAGTTAGGTACTTCATAGCAGTTTCTTTTAGTAGCGACTTGCTCAAGGAACATTGAGTTTTTATATTATAGCATAAGGTCTTCTTGGTGATTATAAAGTTTCTTTATCATATCACCATCTGCATAATTAGTAGCTGATATAACTCTTGTCACCTTTATAGTGTAATATATGCATATATGTTGAGGTCCTTTCTTTAACTATTATATTTTATACATCAAGGTACATGTTTCTACGTATATTCCAAACATATGTTGCTATGTATATCTTGGGTATATATAGCGGTTATGTCGGTCTCGGAATGTAATTGGATTCAAAATCATTTGGCCAAAATTTGTTGGTCATTAAAGTATTGTCTGGGGATATACACAACAACAACGGCTTCACTGTACATCGTCGTACGTTTGTGTGGATAACAACATACGATGCTCACAGTTATGATGTCATTGTTAATATTTTTATCATTTACCTGGTTTTTCTTGATTTTACTCTACAGTCGTATGACTTAAAGATCTATATCTTGTACAATATTCTTAATTCTGGGACTTTATAACTGTTGTAACAGCATATCTATAAGGTTTTACTCTGTAAAGTCTCTGAAAAGTAAGTTAAGTAGTTAAAACAAGAATATATCTTGTGGCAATGTAACGATATTAGAGTAGGAATACCTTCAAGCGGTTTACATTAATGGGAGAGTCATATACGTTACAATTTTCGTATCTAAGGCGCTTACATTGTAAGTGACATTAGTGTATGTTACTAATGTCACTTACAATGTAATCGCTCGTTACACACAAACATATGTCTAATTGCTACCTTTTAGACGTTGGTTTTGGAAGTAGAATACTTTTTGATTAGTTCTACCTTTACATATGGGCAAGTAAATAGTGTTCTTTAGATGTTTCATGTACTTACATGTCAGTTATGTTTACGTATGTGTTGTTATGGGTAAAGGTGTTTCACTTACTTATGAACGGTAATCTTGTTCTAGTACGTACAATATCTTTGTTTACTGTTAACTAGTGTTGCTTGTAACGAGTTTTGACTATACACTTTTTTTACATACTATTTCTTTATCGTATGTTCTTATTATAGTCTATGCTATGTTTCCAAACCCATCTATACATCTTTTCCATGTTATATATATAATGGCCACGTTCCTTCCATAATTGCCATGTTCCTTATGTGAACAGAGGTAATGTAGCTGTACATTACCTTAAAGTACCCATAATGTTTAATGTAGTGGAAGGGATGATATCACGCTGTAATCGCCGGAAACTGTGAAATCGACCAATAAAACTGGTCTCTTCATCGCTGTGAATAGTAAGGATTTACTTGCAATGTGCCTGACACTTTTGATTGAGAACTGTGACGTTCCTTCTTGCACAATGTTCTATCGTTTCGGAAATTCAAGTTTTTGGAACGTTGCAATATGATCTTTAAGCACGGTGGATGTTTTTTGAGCACATTGTTCTTGGCATAGTCGGTAGAAGTGTGCTGGAGTACTGTAACCCTGAATTTTTGAGCTTTTTTCATACTGTAGCGGAGCTATGAGATTTGTTAGAAGCTGCTACATCTTTGCTTGGTCTTTTAGTATAATATAGATGATCTATACCTCTCTATATCTTTCTCTCTTCCACCGTTTCAATATATTCACGGTAAATGCTTTCTGAATCACGGTGAAACATTGAGACCGTTCCAGGAATTTTGAAATTGAAGGCCAGGTTAAAACGTTGTTCCTGACACTCACCGTTCCTCGTCGTTCCGAAAGAAAAGGTCATAAATGAATTATTTGAAAGTCGTGGCCTTTAATCTACTACAATATATAGCTGTTTGCAGTTGAGTACGGTTTTGTTTGTTTATTTCAAAGTATTATAAATTAAAATCGTATACGATAAGATAAACCTTAGCGTTCTCGATTACGTATGTTCCTGGTTCACAAAATTTAAATTTTGTTTTAAATTTTAAATTTAAAAATTTTGAAATAAGTCTGAACCAGTCCAGTATCCATAGAAGTTGATCGTCGTATGTTAATTAAGATTTATTTTAGAAGCGATAAACACATTTAGACGTAAATGCCGGTCTTTCTATGCTAATATCGTGAGGAACGCCTATTATTTGAATTTTGAAGCCTATATAAAGCTTTATAAAACTTTAGCTATCAGTTTTGATGCGAAAATAATGACGCGTGGCTTTGAAATTATATCTTTAAATTACTCTTTTTGTCAAGGTACAATGATAAACTAACGTTTGTGATATATATGATATAACTGTCATGTTCGTATGTAGTGTGATCGTTTTGAGAGTTCAAAGTTCGACAAACTCAATGTTCTAAACTATTCTAACGCTTACAATAAGCTTGTATAATATGTGTTATACAAGTATTCTGGGTAATATTGTCATGACTGCTTGACGTGACATTCTTTTTGTCAAAAGTTGTCATGACATTCCAAGTCATATCTCATTCAAAGCACAAAGTTTTGTTTACTTTTACAATATTTACACCACGTTTTGTCATGTATATTAATATCTGGGTATTTGTATACATTTACATGTAGGCTCTTTATATGTAAATCCCTGGGGAAGTTACAGTAAAACTTACTACAATACTTTATACAGTCTTCTTTTTAATAGAAATACTGTATGATGTTGAGTAAAAACTAGGTAAACGTTCTTTGGTGTGTTTGTATTTACATGTAATTTTAGCCTCATATACACCTTGACAGATGACCTCTGTTTGTTAATTGTCACATGCTTTTACCTATATAAGTAACACCTTTTGGGGTCTTTTACTTTGTTACAAATGTCAAAGTTACCGTATATTTTTGTTGTTTATAATCAGATATACGTTAGCTTATACGGTGATGTGCCTCATAGAACCGGATGTACTGTACCACCTTATCACCTAACTAATATAATTTGCCCTAATAACTTACTACGACTTTGAAAAAACCTTTGTGTGTAACCTCTAAACCGGATTCGGCCTAAAACAATGTCAAGTTTGGGGCCAAAGTGTTTTATTTGTTTTGCTGGCAGCCGGCTGGCCCCAAGAGACGGCCGAACGCATTCCGAAAACAAATTATCCAATATGCAAATTTGACGTCGATTTTGAGTATTTCGAGTATTTTCGCTAATTTGTACTCGAAATAGTACGAGTGCTATTCAGAACGGGGAGTGTTATTGTGTTGGCGCCAGCCGGCTGCCTCTAGTTTCCTTTTTTTCTCGCCATATCGTCGATGGGAACCGCTTTTACTGAGTAAATTTTGAACTGTATGGGAAGAGGAAGTTCCGAAATATTAGTTTAGGTCCAGTTTTTAAAATACGACCAGTTTGATTTTATAAATATCTTCACGGTGCAAAATTTAAAATTTTCTGATTGCACCGTGCAAAATTTTCAAAATAAAAAAAAACTTTTAAAATATATATTAAGGCTAAAAATATAAAATACGTCATGTTTATGTCTAAAAATCAGAGTAGAACGTGTTTATGTTAAACAGTATTGTTATTTTGAGTAACACGGAAGTTGTCGCTCTTCCAAGTGTTAACTCATTTTGAATATTGAATGCTTAAGTTTGGGTATTCAAATTGCAAAATTTATCCGATTACCGTTTTGTAATGCCTTCAATTACATGAGTTATGCTATCGTGAGATACCATTTTGTGTCATTTTAAAGCTTCATATCATTTTGTATCGTATATTGCCATTATTTACCTAATATCTTGGTCAAAAAGTCTATAAAATACTATGTTCTATCAGTCTAGCTATGTTTTTAAGTCTACTCTCCACTATACGATGTTTGATGGCTATATCCATGGCCATTTCAAAGCATATCTACAGCGTTGTATGATCGATGACCTTGTATGACTAACACGCAGATGGTCGTATGTTGTGCTATGTCTCTTCTTACTTTAATTACTTCGAAAAAGGGCGTTTAATCAATCATTTTCCCTTTTGTTTCGGCTAATTAATTGGCCTACGAAAAAATAGGGGCGATTTAGCCAGTAATCCTTGCACTTTGCATTCCAAAATTGCATCGTATCTTCATAACATGGATCGTATCTTGTCATAACTTTTATTTTATAAGCGTCGTATTTTGTTTACATCAGTGAATTATGCTTACAGATTGAGATTGAATGTCTGTTCGTATGATATTGTTCTAGTGCCATTTTGTGATGTATCGTGCCCTTTTTACGCGGTATCTTCATGATATCTTGTCGGTATACCCCCAGCACCTCCTCAAACCTAAACCACGTTGTCCTTCGTAATCCAGTCACAACATACCACCCGTGTGATAATGTAATGCCATTCCAGAGTGCCCTTTCCTCACTGACCAAGTTCTTCTCCGAACTCTGGCACTCGTCCATTAACGCCCCGCCCGACCGATCTGCCTCCATGTACGAGATCGGCGTCGCTCCCTCCACCTCCAACGGCTTCCACGATGAATCCCACGAACACTACCAGAAACTTATTGGACAGCTGACTCGGTCCAATGCTAATTTGATGAGAGAGAACGACTCCATGGCCAGAAGGCTCATGGTAAGGGTTGGGATGGAATAAAGTGATAAGAGGCCGTTGACGGGTTGAATTTTAAAAAGAATGGCATTATAATACCATAAAAAAGAACATTATGACAAAAACTAATGTGTGATAAGGAAAGAAGTTCTAGAAGAAACATCGACTATCAATTCAATTTCTAAACTAGTCTTTTCAGCAACTCGAGCAACTTCTACGCGACCATGTCGAGCACCTCAACTCTGTATATTACACTCTGTTCCGTAATGGATATTCATCACTTGAATTTCCGGATGGTAAGTTTTTGTACAAATCTACTGTAACTTACAAAAGTTACAGTATTTTTGCTATTTTCTTACTCATCATATTAAGACTTACAGTATACTTACTGTAATGCCTGCAGTAAATCTTGTTAATATTGAACAGCTTTATAAATAGCTATTATTTCTTTAAAAGAACATTGTTTTGATAAATTTGCATAATAGTGTCTATAAAAGGCTGTCATAGTAGATATAGACAGGCAGTAATTGAATTTTGAATAAAAATGAAAAAAGGGTTTTGAATTGAAATACGGGCTGTTATAGTATAATATACTCAATACACTACATGACAACATCAAGAGAAAGTCTAAAAACAAGGCCACAGTAAAGCATAGTAGATTACAATAGACACCTACATACATTCGTATCTTTAGCTAGTAAATGCAGGGTTTATAAATTAAATCGAAACCGTGAACTATCAAGTATTGACAAGATAGACCTATATTTAGAATACAAAGCCTACATAAGTCCTCAAAAATCGATTAAAAACACTGTAATCGTATGTTGATTTAGGTCAAGAAGTGCACTTGAGTCAGTTCCGTGGAGCTCTACTAAACTTTTCCAAATCTGGCCAAAAGAAACCTTTGAACAACAAATCGTTGGTCAGAGAGCGACAACTTCTCAGTGAGGTAAAAACAAAAAAAGCATCCACAACAAAAAATTACTATAATATTTTTAAATGCATAGTTTGTAGCTTCGTATTTTACTTAAAAAACCAATGTAAAACACGGAAAATCACAACTACTAAAACTGGTTTTAGTGCCTATATCCACGGTAATTTTTCAGAAAACCTCCGACTTCTCGTCAGACTCCTCGGTGTCGTCGACTTCAGTAGATCAAGAAGAGCTACGTACCACGATGATAAAGTGCATAACCAAACCCAAATACGACGATCTCGATGACTTTGTCAATTGGCTAAAACAAGATCAGAACAAAGTAAAGAACGAAGCTCAAAGAAAGGCACATTCACTGGAAGAACGAGTACAGGAAACATTAAGACTCAGAACCCCGCTACAGAGATCGTCACGGATCGACGAACTCCCACCGAGTCGGGCACGGAGCGATTCCGAACTTCGGTGAGTAAAACTATGTTGCTTTAGACTGTGGACAACATTTAGTGCCTCTAGGTTTAAACTTGAGGAATTTCTTTAAGCTTTGACTTTTACCTTGAACTTGTACAGGTAATTTGACCTTATAGACATTTTTGACCATATGTTAAAAGTAAAATCTCAAAAGTCAAATTATTATCATAAGTTACATCATTTAAACCAATTTCAATATTTTTAGAGCAGCTTTAAGTGTATCTCCATGCCCACCAACACAAACGACAAACTCGCCCGACCGTAGCCCACCCCAACTCACACCCACACGATCTTCCATTCCCTGTAACCCTAACGCCAAAAACAAAACAGCACGATTGCGGTGAGTTTTATACCGTCATACTACGGTCATAGTATCATCATAATCCCCCAACAATTTTACTCTTCATTTTAACCTACTATAATATAAATTATGGCTAAAAATAGAATGGTTGATCCCGTTTTAACGTATTTTACAAAACAAAATTAAGATTTAACAAAACAGCCCAATATTTTAAAAATAACGTTCGTATTTTAGCACCCAATCCCTCGGCGGAGGCAAGATCAACTTCCTCGGCGGACGTCGAACCTCATCCCAACGTAACTCACAAGATCAAGTGAAACCGGCTCCACGCAAAAGTCTGGCCAATCTCGCATCACTCAGGTTAAACACGCATCACAGTCCACGACAACCACAACGCAATCTTATCTAGGAATGTCCATAATATTACACTAATAATAAATTACACACCTCAAGGTGAATATGTGAAGATTACCATGTGAAACATAAGAATATAGGGTTGAAAAATATTTTTTAAAAAGAAGAAGCTTCTTTAAAGACTCATCCAAAAAAATTCAAAAACAAAACCGAAAAAATCAAAGAAAAATGATGAAGAAAAATGAGACGAAATGTAACTATTGATTGAGAAGTTCAAACTCGATTTTCTTTGCAAAAAGTCGGTTTTATGGTCATTTTACTTTACAGTATACCTATTTAAACCAGAATATATAACTTTGCTTACTTATTTTACTTTTTCAAAGGTCAAGAACCACAAAAATTGAGCAGAAACTCACTTTACTCTGCAAAACCATCTAAAATAATATAAAAAAGTTGAGAAGCAGCTCGCTCCACGTTAATAAATAACAAATTTTTCTTCAAAACTACCGCAGTAAACACTCTAAACATATATTTTGTTGCTAAAAGCGCTTCTCAATGAAAAGTCGACGATCGACGGAACCTGTTTGAGGCTAAAGAAGTCTTATCTCTTCATTCGATGTTCACCTTAACCATGAAGCTCCTATTGCTGCTCATCGCTTCAGTGTCGTGTGTGTCGGCCATACGACGGCCAATATGTCACTTTCTGCTCAGAGATTACACAAACACGTTCGTGGAGGTGATGAGAAAGTGTCCTGCGGGTAAGGCGGTTTTTATATTGTTTTAGTTGATATTGATCCTTAGAAGATGGTTTTTGCCTGGTTCTTTTTTTTATTGGGTATAAATGAATTAATTTTGAATATAAGGTCATTTTTTGATATTTTAATGTTGAGTAGAACATAGTTTTGCTAACAAAATGCCATTTTTCCTTGTTATTTTGTAAACTGAACCTCTTCAGGGACGTCGTACTGCGCAGCACGAGTGTCAAATGCTACTGGACTGAGCTCATTAGTTGTTGATCATTATGAATATTACTGTGAAAATGAACGAAATGTAAGGATCTAATTTCATCAATTTAATACCTAAACCTTCAGATAACATTGAACCTGCAAGTCCCAGAAGCGCCAAACCAAGGATGTTATCCCTTTGGTCCTTCTGGAACCGAGTTTGTTTGCTTCTGTCACGAAGACTTCTGTAACAACAAGGAGAACATGGAAGAAGTCTTCTTATCCTTCAGAAAGTTTGTTCATCTAGCTCCAGCTGTGCCTCACCAAGTCGCCGCTCCACCGCTTCAGCTACCTCAACATGCTCACATCCCTCTACATCGACCTCACCCAAACACTGTACTAGAAGTTCAGCCTAACATTGAGAGACGACCAATAGTACCAAACGTGCCTGATGTTGTACCAATGAGACCGCAAGGAGCGAGGAACAATGTTTTGAATACTGTTCAACGACAAGGTCCACTTACTACAACACAAAATAGTGTTGGTGCTACTGTTGGCTCATTTAATACTGCCCATGGTGCTATTGGCACACCTAATGCTGTTCATAGTACTGTTAGTTATTCTGGTACCCAAAAAGGACTGATTAGCAATGAGGATGCTCAGAACACTCAAATAGTCACTCCAGATGCTCAAACAGTACCAAACACAGCATCCAAGAAGAGAAATCTTGTTGATATAGATGCTGTTTCTACAGAAGCTACTACTGATGCTACAAAAGCTGCTACCGACTCTACTGAAGCCTTGACTACTCGTACTACAACTCAAAGTGCAACTCCATTGGCTAGCGACAATATTATTGGACTAGAAAATGGTATCCTAGCTAGACCAAGAAAATTAGCAGGTAATGATGCCAGAGCAGTCAGTCCATTACCCCGCCCACGCCAAGATGGTACGGTAATTCATCGTCGTATCATCAGGGAGGCCAACAAGAACCTTCGGCCGTTCGAAACCAAGGTAAAGACTCAACAAATCTTCCTGATCAATGACGATTCACCCAAGATCAAGCACGGATAAGGTAGTGATAGAGGCTACTACAACATCAATAAATTGCAGTAGCCTAAGTAAATGCTGTAGTAGGCTGGTACTTACATATCTTGTCTCTTACTGGACTATAGCTTTCACAATGTAGCAAATCAATAGCCGATCACGATGTGATACACAATTAGTCTTTTATTTTATAATATATATGTATATGATGTTGTTATACCAAAATAAACGATAAAACTCTATAGTAATATGGATAACAAGCCTGACTATGATTCGATTTGGACTATTTGACTATAGATACGAGAATATACATACAAATAATATCTGCACTGAGGAATGGAACGTCGGGGAAAGGCTTCTGAAGTGCGATGTTTCTTCGGCGAAGAAATTTGCATAAATATTTAAATAGGGCGAGTCCCGCGAGACTCTGTTAGGTGTTGTACTTGGCTATCGAATGGCGATGGTCGTTGATCTGGAGGTAGCGATCAAACTCGTGCGGATTTAGATCAGCCGGGTTCAGGTCCTGCAACGAAAACAAGCATTGGCTTTGTGTTATCTGAGATAAAATTGGGATTTTGTTAAGCAGTCCGGCTTTTCCAGAGGTTTTTATGTTGGATATTGTGGATAAAAACTTGCTTTTTGATAATATCAAAACGTAATGTAAGTTTTTTTCATAGTTTGATATGTTTTAGGTCAATTATATTATCTTACCTGCACCAAAGCTGGATCAATCTGATTCAACTGTTCGTTGTGTTGGTAATCAACTTCCATCTGATTGTCTAATGTAGAATCGTTTGATGGTGTTCTCTGAAAGAGTTTTTTTTAGTTTACAGAGTTTAGACATGATAAAGTAAATTATCAGGAATATAATAGGTATAGGATGTGTGTATTAGAAGTTAAGCAAGGGTATACGTGTTTTAAAAGGCAAGAAAGTAAGAAAAAGTATATTCATATGAAACATACGTTGTTATTGTATCCAGTATCGTAGTTCTCCATGGTCATGGCTTCTGACATCGGGTTATACATTTGGGAAGAACGATTGAACGGCGAGTCAGAGGTCTGGCACGGTGGAGATCCGAACGTTTGGCTTTGGTGGGGACTTTGTTGTTTTTGGTCTAGTAAGCCCTAAAATACGGAATTTTTTGTTTTTAGCTTTTTTTGATAGTCATTAATAACTTTTATTGTAAAAAGATTTTAACAGTTCATGTTATGCAAAGTTAGATTTTAGGTAACATTTGATATTATACAAGGCTAGGTATGAGGTCTAAAAGTGAAAAAGGATCATTTAGGAACACTTACTTGTTGCTGGAGTTGTTGTTGTCGCTCCTGCATGTAATTTCGTTCCATTTTCAATTGTTGAACACGGTCAACTCCACGTTGGGCTTGGTACTGAAAAGGTTGTTCTATATCATATTATTGGACGGCTTTTTTAATTTTTTGAGTTTTTTCTGTTCAGACAAACTATGATTATACTATGTTTGGCTTTTATTGCCTTATATTGTTATAGGCCAAACTCGACCTACGCTGTATTGTGGAGTCATCTGTACAGACATGGGTTGTTGATCATAGGGATTACTATAATGTAAAGCTTCTCCGCTGCTTGCTTTTTTGAAAGAGTTTCGGGCTCGGTTTGAGGGATTATCGTTTTGGCCTGAAATGTATTATTATGATATGGCACAGCTTATTTAAGATCTAGAGAAGGCTATCGAGATGATATTTTATATTTAAATTAATTTTTTTACTATTATTTTAGGTTTTGTCGTCTCATAGATAAACTCACAAGTTCTGGGGTCAAACCACGTGGTGGTTTTGTTATTATGGTCGATAAAGTACGGTACTCCAGCCTCGGTATAAGCTTTGACCCATCCGTTAGGCAATGGACCCATACCATCGTCTAAACATGAGTCGGAGTGTGTTGAAATGGCACTCAATGAATGAGTCTGCTGATGGTTCGCGTTCTGACTTTGACTCTGAGTATTGTTCATACTGCTCTGTGGAGCCATACTGATAGCCAGCGGGTCCAAAGACTGACTCTTTGCTCTTGGATCAGTCCAGTACGAGGAGCTGGGCTGTTGAGAGTTGGCAAAAGTATTGACCTGATGCATACTTCTACCTAGATGGGCTGGTTCTTCGTAGCCGGCCGGACTGGGTTGTTCCTGTTTGATCTGGTTCATGTTGGAAACGGCGTCAAAGTCGCAGGATTTGGCCGATCTCTGGTGATGGTAGGCTGGTTGAGGTAGTACTCCATCGGTGGGGTTGGTTTGGAACTGGGTGTGACTAGGTTGGGTGTGGAGGGCGGCGGTGGAGAGGGATTTGGAAGAGTAGGAGTGGGCTACAGGAGGCAAGCCGGCCGAACCGATGTGAGCGCGGGCCGATTCGAATCTACTGAAAATTTTGATGGTTTTATGTTAATATAGGTAGTTATGTTATCATAAACCTTGCTACGATAAGAGTTTTTGAGCTAATGTTTTAAAAATTAGATGTTTTAAAGCCGAAAACCTTTGTTATCACTTATCACTTTTTTACCATGTAATTATTGTTTTCATCCCCCGGCGACAAGCCTTAAACAAACTCGGCGCAGAGAACAAGTTTTGTGTAAAATTGTAAACAGACTCACTTGTGGTGTGTCGGTAGATGATGAGGATGGTGCGCGGGATGAGAGGAGGGATGCGACAGATGACTGTGACCTTGCTCGATCCCGTAGTTAATCAACTCGGGGGCCGATGCCTGACGTTGATGTACGACGTTCATCGGCTGCGAGTAGTGCGAGTAGTTCTGCGCTCCGATGTTCGACGATGAGATGGAGCTGGGCGAAAGGGTTTGACGGCCAGAAGAGCCGAATCCATCATCGGACGAGCCCTCGCGACTATGGCCAACCGAGGAACCACGCGACTTGCACGAGTTCTTGGGGTAGTTGAAGTAGGACATGGGGTAGCCTTTGGTCTTGCGTTCGAAGTGCTTGTTCCGATTCTGATGGTCGCGGACGCCTGCACTGATCAGCTCGTCGATGGACTTTTGGGGGTCGTCGACGGAGGTGTTGATCTGGACTCCACTGATCTTCTGCTTGGCTAACTCGACACGTTTCTTGGCTGACGCCATCTTAAGTCACGTGTGATCGAATTTAATAAAACGTTTGAACAAGTCTATGATTAGACGTCTTTTTCGCCTTAAGCAATCAGTAGAAAACGGTCCGTTTCTCTGTGCACCCTCCTCTTTGTCCGCGCTCTCTCGCCGCACCTTGATCCTGTACCCCAATGAGAACAAGTTGTTGACCAAAAACTGCACGGCCACTGAAAGGAATGGCATTAGCATATTAATAAAGTAAACTTTATGGTATATTGTAACACGACATAGTCATACTTTGTCATGTCGAACGAAATGTCACAATTAATTAACGGAAAACGTCACGAAATGTCACATTTTATAAAATGATGACAATACCTATAATAATACATTTCAAGGCTTCAAACAGACGCAAAACCACGAGGTAACGCGACAAATTATATTTTGTAATACAACAACTTTTCATTATGAAACGATATTATTTTGACGACGATTGACACTTGATGTCTACGAAAGATCAGAGTGAGGGGAAGACGCGTCGTTATCATTGATCGGGAAGGGGGGCAGGGAGGGAGAGAGAGAAGGAGCTCGGGATTGTGACTCATTCGGGACTGATGGCACGATAACCACAACGCCATTGTTTTTGACAAAATAAAAATAGATAAATTACTATCAAAACAATCGCTGTAACAGTAGTAGTCGGGAGGGTATTTTTATCAACAACGTCAGCAGGGACAGGTGTGACGCCAACAAACATTGTCATAAGTTTTGAGGAGAGGGATTTGCATGGGTTTCGAGTTTGGGCAGGATAAAATACGGCCGATGTAGGTTTTTGAAGGAAAAAGATTAGGTAAAGACAATATAATAACAATTTGTTTATCACATGTTATCACAAAATCATATATTCTAAAAAGTGATCAAACAGGCTCAAAGTCAATATAATTACAGCTTATAAATGTCTCTCGACCAACCGGAAACCCCCTTATCTACACCTTAACATAACTGTCATGCCTACAGCAATTACCCGGAATTCGAATGAATATTCAACGTGAATATTGATTAACCCTCGGGGCAAGACGACTTCAGGCTCTGTTATCAGAACAAAAAATAATTAGAGAGAGGCCCCTGAGGCGACTTGTCCCTAAGCCGGAGAACAGGTGATCACTCAGCACTTTTACCTCTGTTTACAGCGCTATAATTAGCAACATGGGTTTACAACAACAGTAAGGGGTGGTTAGAGTATTAAGACATGGTTCAGTTAGGAGAAAGACTTAGTTAGCTAAACTAGGCTTGTCTGATAAGGCCCACGTATCTTTTAAAGTTTAAAAGTAGAAGCTTTATAGGCTTACCTATTTTTTAGCTTCAAAACTGATTCATTTCATACCTAAAAAGCTGGTTTAAATGACTAAAACAAGGTAAAAGAGATATATATTTAACAAAAACCAATTCTCATCACAAGATCTCTATTTTAAACCTAATCTTTGAAGTACGTAGGCTAAAAGTAATACCTAAACAAATTACTATTAACCTCAAAATCACCACTTTCCCATAAGCTGTAGCCGTTAAGGGCGACAAATAATCAAGTAAATTCGAATTCAAATTTAAAAACGCATTAAATTTAACGGCCAAGACATGGGAAATCGAAAATCATATTACAAATGTTCTGTTTACTACCGTGGAGGATGGATAATATAGACTGTTCTAATCTAGAGTAAAGATGAAAGTAATACAAAATACCATGGCTATTAAATTACGATAATGTATAAAATACGACAGCTGAAGGGCTGCAAGAAACATTATAAAGGCGTTAAAAAGCATGGATAACGTATGTTATAGTAGTTATAGTACAACACAAATGCGTTAAATTACCTAAAACTTGCTAATCAACGCATTTCAAACTGATTTCACAACACTTTTACCACGGTAAACCCAGGTTTGTGGACGTTTCGTTAACGCACAAATCGAGTTGAAACAAGCGAAAAAGCAAGTTGCATGTTGGAATACAAAAACACATTGATTGAGTCATCAGAAGGCGAAAAGGAAGGGACGGAGGGGTAAGAGCCTTAAAAGCAGTGACTCAAGATACATTTAACGGTCATTAGGGTTCACGGTATTCCGAGTTGGGAGGCAACTTTGTCAAGGGGTTCAGTTTGAAAATGAGTTCAATGTTACTAAAAATGTTGATTTTACTAAACTATTGATTAAAGAATGTCATTACAGAAGGCTTTATTTGAAGTCAACACAAGAAATAACCTTTTCCTCAATGTTCCTCGTAACCAAAAGTATAATATACAGTATATTGTTTGAGTATATTACAAAAAAGATTTCAAAGAAGTGTAGAAACGTTCAACTTCTTAAACCCGAACGCTCTATATGTGATAGTATTGATAAAAAACAGCAAGAGCAGCCTTCTTAATACATTTATCATCAAAAAATAATCAGAAGCCGAAGAAAAGGTAACAAGAACTGATAAATAATGAAACGTTTGATATAGCAAAGATAAAGAGCAACAAAGATTTGCAAATTAGGTAATAATAAAGATAACTTTTGTATACTCAACTTTGTGAAGTATGCTTTATCAATAGTCAAAAAAGGTTTAATAATCAGTAACGTTGACTATATAATAGCAAAAATTAGAATTAAAAAAATTTTGTTTGTTATAGTTTTATAATTCAATATTCCTTATAAAGATAGTCAGTTTATTAATAAGAAATCCTTAAAAACTTAACATTAACTGGCAAAATCAACAATAACACCCCATTTATCAACATAAAATCAATAAAAATCAAATTATAAATTTAAAAACGAATCAAACCGCTCAATTCTTGCTTTACCCTACCCCCCCCCCCCATGCAATCAGTAATAACCTCATCAAATCAGTAATAGCCTGATAAGATGGGGTTGAAAAAGCGCGAAACATAATATATAATTTGACCCGCGCGTGTGTCGCTGGAGGATGTTGGTGGCTTGAACACGAACGAAAGGCCTCCAAAGGTCAAGGGCGGACGGGTACAAAAGGCTGCTTAAGGTCTTCTCGAAGATGACCTGAGGACGAAAGGGAGGGGGGGGGGCTACGGCGTGAGGACGAAAGAGGGGGGGGGGAGTATTACTGGTGAAAGAAAAGGGGGGGGGGGCTACGACGAGGGGTTACCTTGTTTTCTCTCATCTGGCTTATACCGTCCTTTCGACTTTTCCTTCGGGCGACAACCATATTTTACCTTTTACCTCAACGGTTTGTACGCACTTTCTTCTGACGACCTGAGGCCAGAGTTGCAAAAGAAAGAGAAGGGGAGGGGAGGTTGGTTTTATGCAAATGATTCGATCGCAAGTCAAAATTTTATAACTTTTATTACAAAATTTGGCAGCTTTTGAAAAGATTATATTGCTCATTGGTTTAATTTTAAAATTTTTCGCAATACCCTCCCCCCCCCCATTTTCCCAACTTTTTTTTGCTTTTTTGGGATTAACCTACTGTTACAGTTTAAAAAAGTGACTTTATACTACTCAAATATCGGCTAAACTACAACCCTCAATACCACCTCAAACCTCACAAGATTTGTATTCTAGGGTACCCCGAAAAGCGGCCCTTCTCGTCGCGTTTCCCCTCCGGCGAAAAAGTTTGTCTTTTCGATTCGTCTTTAACCGAACGCCCGTGATCTCCCCCCTCCGCTTTTTGGGTGTGGTGACACCGGAGTGGGAAGGGCAACTCAGGAGAGGCAGCGGTGAGATAGATGGTCGCGCGTCAAAACCCGCAAGAAACCGACTTCAACCCGACCTCAACTCGCTCTTTTTGCTTCAATTCGAGTTGGACATTTAGTATAACACAACTAGTAAAGGGGTGATTAGGGGGTCATTTAGGTTTAGGTTTGTTGGGGGGGGGGAGAGGGGAGGGGGTTTAAATTGAAAATTTAACTAGAAAACAAGGGATCGCTTATGTTGAACTTTCAAGGCTTGGAGAGGGGGAATCCTCTTTAACTCGGTTAAGAGCGGGGGGGTTGCGTTGAGGGGCTACACATATGCGCGACCCATCTTCGGAAGTTGTTTTTTAATACTTGTCATCGGTTTCGAGGGTTACGATAAAAGTCATCAGGAAGTGGAGATCGTCATCAATCACTTTCCTAGTATTTCTCTGATCTGCTATGATTAAAAAGTGTTTTGTTAAGACAAGATACCAACTTTTATGGCTATGTTATCAACCATGATCAAAACCTACCAAAGCTTACTGAACTATAGAACTTTAAAAAGTTATCAAAAAAATGCCCTCAGCTTTATAAAAGCTCTTTACCACCTAAAACAATATAATTCAAAGCAAAATGAAAGCACTAAAGCAAGCATAATAAAGCAAGGTCGTCGTCCAGAACAACTTCTGAATTTGCAACATTTGGGATCAGAAGTCGAAGGTGATAGGGAACGTAACATCTTGCCCGGTTTCCGTTCCGCCCGCGGCCGGAAATAGATATAAATCGCTCTTTTTTGCTTTCTTTACAACAAGCTCGAGATTCGAAAGCCCGGAGGGCAATAAACTTTAATTTGACCCGGTTATAAAAGACGCATGAACAGACGTTCCGATCAACAATGTCACAACCAAAAGACCAAAGACAAGCAGTCTGGAGCTGGGAGGGAAAACAAAGTTCGAAAAGTTAAGGTTTTGGTACTATGTACTCTGCAGTGAGTATACAGTATGTACTCTATAGTATTAAGAAGATATTTGGAGAATACTTACTCTGCTTAAAAATAAAGCCAAGCATAACATAAATCAAGCCAAAACTACATAAACATGCCTTTTCTCTCTAAAAAAAACTTCTCCTGAATCCAAAAAATACCCCCTGCTTCGGCCTTCGCCCTCCCCTCGACCCACCTGACACCAGCTCCAGATTCTTTCTTCAGGTTTCTGGCGCCAATCCAAAAAACACTCCCGATTAACGGAATTCGTTTTTTACTGTTTTGAGGAGTTTTTTCTCTCCATTAATCGATTAGAACCTGGCACTAGAGGTTACCCTTCACGAAGAAGACTGTTACCTAAAGAAGGGAAAGGAACGATCTCTCACACCGTTACAACTCGTTTCATCACTCTCACCTTCAGCCGGTCTTATAGTTTTGGCCATGTTTTGGGGTTTTATGGCTCAGCTTCAGTACTTTCTGGCCATGGTTTTGTATTTTGTGGCCATTGCGGCGAGGTGCGAGAAAATTTCAACGAAATATTCGAAATAGATCAACTTCGAATCAAAACATTTGCAAAACGAAAAAAAAACAAAGGAAATGGACAACAAAGTGTTATTATTAGTTTAGTTGAGACAAAAATAGAAATTAGAAAAGGCATAAAAATAATATTACAGAAAATAATAGAAAAATGCAGTTTTTTGATTAAAAATATACGAAAAACTCACAAATTTTTAGTAAAAACGTTGCTTTTTAGTAACGAAAAGTATAGCAATGCCATTTTAAGTAACAACACAAGTATAAAAAACAAAAATGTGATAAATACAGTACAAAAAGTCTCTCAGACAAATGCCTCAATACTCCTCATGGGGTTTATGAATGAATGGTTAGGAACTCGGTAAATACACTTCACTGAGACTCGAACCCGCGGTCACGCGGCTCAAAAGCGAAACGCGCTACCACTGGACTACGCAAGCAAGTCTCTTCAAGGCTTTTGGAACGCTCTTTATTCCGAACCAACCTTTTTGTGGGCGCTTTTTTTCGGTTTTATACCGATTCAGAACCAATTTTAGGCGGATTTTCTCGAAATAGAAGCACAAATATTGTGAATTACGGCCTTCTGGCATCATGTCACCGAGTGATGTAATTCAAATCCTGTTCAGACTCTACAATATTCGGCATAAGTGGTTTTAATGTTTTTCGACCAAATCTGCTTATAACTTAATGGGTCAAAATGTTTTTTGGTGTGATGTAATAGCGAGGTAAAGTGGTCTTAAAGAACCAGAGTGATGTTACAAAATGTAAACTGTAATTCACCACTGTTTCACAATAATTTCGCACAATTCGGGGAATAACAATGCCTGTTTTGGTGAAGATTATAGTAAAGAAGTGCTAGTTGGTAGTCTTTCGGGATCATTTTTTGTTTTTACTACTGCTGTACTTTACTCTGTTTCACTGCGTATTGTTTTTGAGGAGAATGGGCCTGAAACACAATGCCAACTAGAGAAATTTAAATGTTCTAACAGCAAATTTTTTAAATTCAAAGTTCAAAAATGAATTTAAAACTGATATTGACAAGTACATAACCAAATTTTACAAAATGTAAAAAATAAAATTTATTAAAATGTACCCGTTAGACGTAAAACTTAAGGTTATAGTGTGATATTCAAGATTTAGGCAACAAAAATATTAGGATGACAAGCAAAAGTGCCACAACTATTCCTATGGCTACCATGATGCATATAATGGTCTTTCGCTGAGCTTGCTTCTTGTAGGTCACGGCACGGTTGATCATAACGTTCCCTTCTTTTGTGTATTCTGCCGCTGTTTCAACGTTCTTCGCTATGTTGTTGACTAGACCGTCCTGAAATGGGTATTTTATAATAGGTAATAATGACGACATGTTTAGTCAAACGGTAGCCTTTTAGGTAAATCAAAGTGAATTTTTTAAATAAAAAACTGGGTTATAAATAAAAACAATAATGTTGTCCTACCTGCATGTGCACAAGTTCATAAACCTCCAAGAAGATGTCGTTCAGCTCTTTGATACTTCGTTCTACTCGTAGAATTTCATTGTGGCGATTCGTAGCGTCTTCTAACACTGTTTGAGCCGAGGCACTTAAAGGGTTAATTTCACGGTAAAATACTTCTTCTGAATTCGACTCCATCATGTGATGAACATCATCAGCACTCAAGGTCTGGCCTGCCATATCTAGCTGCTTCTTTACTCGTCCTGAAAGATAATAAAGAGTATTATATATATCAACTTTAAAAATTCTAAATTAAGCTAAAGTCTTATTGTTTACTATATGCCAAATTTTAAGTATTAACGTATTCTACAGTACATAATAAATAGATAAGCCAGTTTCCTTACTAGACACTCGTCTCTTATATTCTACTTGTGAATTGTTAAACAAATGTAGCACTTCCTGCAGCCTCATCTTCAACTGTTCACATCTGTTCTTCCTTATTCTTAGTTGTGCCACTGTAGCATGCTCTGACTTCTCATACTGTCGTACATTAACATCAATTTCTCGAATCCTTGGTCTCAAAGCCTTGATGTGTTCTTTGATCTCGTCGATCGCCCTCTCGAGTTCGTACTTCTGGTCGGAAGAGACGATGGTCTTCCCCAATATGGCTGTTTGTTTATGGTTAAGGTCCTTGATCCGATCTTCCAACCGGTTTATCGACTGTCGCACTTCCTCGGTCTGATTAAGGATGTCCATCGTATGAGCATTGTCATCGTTGACCAAGTTTTGGGGGTCGATGACAATTTGGGTTGGAGCTTCTTGACGGGCCCGAGCACGTTCCTGCAAAAAAGCATGTTTAATAGAGCACGTTACTACAAACCTGCATGTTTAATATTGTTTATGTGCGTTTTGCAATGGCATATTTTATTTCAAAAACCAAAATTCTAAATTTGACTTTATGATAATTTTCAATTTTAGCAAAATGATGACTAAATAATCGATTTTCGACCCAAAAAAAATTAAAAATGTTCTGCAATCCTCAAAATCATGCATTGTTTACTCATTTTGTAAAGTCGCAGTTCGTTCAGATTCAGGATCACCCTCGAGGCTATTTAAATCCACTTATGCAAACAGTTATGCAGCCAATGCAATCAAATACTTAGTCATCAAATATGGGAAAAGACCATGTTGACTCAGTCCTCTTGATTAAGCCTTTTTGAATCATGAGAACAACCTTGTTATATGTAGAGAAATAAGAATGACGTTATAATGCTGACATGAAGTTATGTACTTGAGAAAAATATTACAGTAGGCTCTCTTTAAAAATAACATTTGATCCAAATTACTACGTGATTTTACCTTAATACCTTATTTGAGTTCAAAAAAAAGCTTGTTATCCTCAAAAAACGTCTACCTTAGCTTTTGATAGTAAGTAAGAACTGCCAAATATAATATAAACAGTCAAAAACGATAGTAATACAAATGTTTAAGGTACAAAGTACAACCAAAAAGGAAAACGATCGTATTCCAGTACGTGTTACTGCCATGAATAAGTAATGTCACCAAAAAGGAATTGACTTACCTGAAGTTCCCTCAGGCGATCTCTGGTCATTCAGCCGTCAATTTTTTTATCTGAAATCAGCATAATTACTTTTGTAAACTAAAGTCCTTATTACACATTATTCAATGTGCACAAGACTTAAGAAAAATCGCGTTTAAAAAATAGTCAATAAAAAATTAATATTTTGATAATTGACAAAGTAAATAAACCTATAGCTGAACACGGATATAAATAACAAAATGTACGCAATATGAATAACTAAAAATAAATTTGGCTCGTACTCAGTAAACACAAGTTCAAATGCATAATCAAATTGGTACGTTATGCCAATTGTTATTGTATAATTTAATTTAAAAGTGAAAATAAACAATAAAATTGGAAAACAAGAACTACAGTGCAAACTTGCTAACAGTACTCTGCTTACGACGAAAACACCGTTATAATAAATTTATGTGAAACCGCTAGTAAAAGTTTTGCACTGATTGCTAAATAAATAAACTCGGCAGATAACGAAACCCCGCTGCAACGAACGATTTTTCAATCCCTTTGCGATTCGTTATATAGGAAGTTCTCTGTAATTTTAAAATTTATACAAATTTTACCGCAAAACTGTTTTGAAAACAACCTTGACACTTAAACTTTTCTAACCTTAACATCTCTAAATTTGTACAAAAAGAAGCCTGGATCCATCAAAAAACCTTCATATCTCAAGTGATTAGAAAAAAAAGCTCTATTAATCTTAAATTTTGAAAAACATCTGCTATTGTTAAGTAAAAAATAAGTTAAATTTATAAAAATTTTAAAAATACAAGATATAATATTTTTATATTACATACAAAAAAAACAGCATAACACCCTTAAATTAAGAAAAATCAGCAATAATACCTTTATTCAAAACAATTATCCCGAATACTTAAATTTCCAAACAACTAACCCCTCGAACATTATAGTAATAAACAAAAGTACAATTTCGAAATTGCGAATCCGCTGTACGGATCCTGAAGCCAAGAAAAGTTTCCATGCCAACAAAAACAGGACTGGAATTGATTTTGCGTTCGCGAGCAGAAACCGTGATTCATCCGCAAAAATATACAAATTCGAATATTTTGGGGTGGATTTGCGTGGAGAAGACGACGAGGGGATTGAGGGCGGTTCCGAACATACGTCGAGAGTGTGCGGATTCAAGAGCGCGCAAAAAACGAGATGGTTTTGTTTGCGAAAGACTTGAACAGGTACATCACACATGTACTGCCATATAACGCTCTTTCTGTTTATGAGGTGCATCGTAAAGGCGGTAGTTCAGGGGTGTTATTATAGGTAGCTTAACGTTTGTTTCGGTTCTTTTTGAGGGAAGATCTTGTAAGAAAGTTGAAGCAAAATACCTTTTAGAAGACTTTATAAGTATTAGAGTGTGAAAGAATCAAAAAATCTTTTATATTATCTTTAGACTATTGGTGATTTTTAAAAAAGGTATCTTTTCTTGCCTCAGGCAAAGTTCCTTTGGACCGAGCCAAAGTTGATTTTAAGGCCTTTTAGTTCTGTGACCTATTAAATGAAGCTCCAAATTGAGCACTAAATAAGACTATCCCCCACTTCCAGAACACGACCTCTCGCACTGCCCGACCCTGTTCCCTTTCCTATATACATACCTCAAATTATAAAACACTTTTTAAACCTCAAAAATATGACAAACCAACTAAAACAGTGCCACTCATGTGAATAAACAAGTGCATAACATATAAGAAGCTATAAAATACATGTTATGACACAGCATTTCTTTACCAGGAACTCTGGCCACAATACCGTATGTTTAGTGAGAAAATACAAGTTCAACACAGTAATTAGAAAACAAACGTGTACTTGAGTTTACTCACACAGGTAAGTAATGTTTAGGATAATAAGAGCAACAATAACATATTTGGGAAAGTAGATAGTACTATAGATATTTTATTGTTTTAAATAGATGAATAAGCACGCTATACTTGCTAAATTATACAAAAATGCTTATGAAGTACGTTTTGGGTGATTAAAAATTGGTTTTCGTCCTGTCTACTGCATAAAATTGCAGCAAATTGCTAGTAACGTAATATGAATATGAAAGAAGTTTTTTTCTTAAAATTTAAAATAAAACAAGAGGACTGAAGATTAAAAGTAAGACAAGATAACCTACATCACCTTTACTATATTACAGGAATGAACAATATGTCAAAAATCATATAAAAACTTCCTTAATATCGAAATTACTATAACAATCTGCTACGCATTAAATTCGAAGACGTTGACAACCGTGAGTTTATACAAATTTAAGAAATTAACTGCATTGTCCTTTGTTAATCTATACAAATTCTAATCTCTTCAGCTTCCTATCTTTATATCGGCAATTACCAGATTAAACTCTAAGTTACAATTTTAATTCCTCGCTTGTTTAAGTCTGCACAAGTGCAACAAAACTCGGCTCAAATAAATTTAATCACTTAGAAGTGTAATTGTAGCCATTTACATGCTGACTAAACTGTAATTTTAGCCATTCACAAGTAATTCAGTATGATCAACAATAAGATTCATTACAGAATAGCCGTTTCCTTTAGTGTTTTGATAAAGAAAAAGACCTTTAAAGGGTAATTTAGGCTATTGTAAAAATTTTATTAATAAAAACCTTTAAAGATCTAATGAAAAAAGTTTTAAAAATTTTAAAACAAGATAAAAATGAAAAGAATTTTCGATTTCTAAATTATAATCATCAATATAATGCGAGAAACAAACCAATACACCAAATTTTAATCGAAACGTTGTGAATCATGTATGATGAGTTCAACAAAGAATTAAATTCTTATTTTGAAATCTTTCTCTTACTTTTTTTGCAATGTTGAACAGCTAAATCTTATTATAAAAAATTAAAATTCCACTTTATTTTGTCATTATCAAGTTTTTTCTTTGGCGTATTTTTACCCACGGTCTTAATACCATTACAAGCATTAAAGAGGTGTTTCATCTAACACATTCTTTGTCATTCCGTTTAACAATTGTCAACAATACCTCAAAAGATTTTTTAAAAATATTTATCAGAAATCTTTAACAATATATCTTAAATCTACTAATTAATTTATCAACAACAAATGAAAGACAAAATAACTTTACTGCACTCTACTTGGTTAGCCGTGTAACACGGAACGAACGTTCTTCTGGTTCTTCGGACTTCTCCACCAAGGGAATCTCGAATTCGTTCACAACACGGCCAGCTGACCCTGACTCAAAGAACCTGAAGTTGGTGGTTTTAAAAGTTATCCATCATGATGGTCATCATAGCCCTCAGTAGTTAACTTTTTCATTTTGACTAACAAAAATACAATAAAAGTAATTGTATGTAAATTATTTAAAAATTATATACAACCTACCATCCGAGCGGGTACCAAACTCTGACCCTCCAATCCGAGAAAGATAGACTAGCGTGATGATAGGCGTACGTGTGGTAGAACAAAAACAACCTTGAAGATATATAAAACGCTACGAAGACATCTATACTGTAATGTTCATGTCCAGCCAGAATAAAGAAAATGCCAAATAAATTAAGTACCCATGTAGCGGTGTGGAGACCGTACCAGTCTTCTGGGGTGTCTAAAAAGAAACGAAAAAGTAATAAAAGTTCAAAAATAAATTTGAAAAACAACTAAACATATCAAAAAGAAATGACTTGATAATATTATAAAAAACGATAAATCATTCAAAATTAACAAAAAGTCTTACATTCAGTAATGAAGTGGTTCAACAATGTAATTGACGTCGTATGCCCACTGAACATGTAATCTCCGCATGTCCTCACACCTTGAATTGACATCCCCAAGTGTGACCATATGTGATAAGCTTGTTTTATCTTCGCTGATAACGTCCCGTAATTCTAAAAACATTAACAAGCAATCAATGTTATCAATTAAATTATCAATTCTGTCATTTTTATCTTACTAATTAACTCAAAACCATAAAACAAATTAATTTCAGAACAATCTTGTTTACTTTCCCTTTACTGTAATAACATGTTCCCTTGTTTTTTGCAAAATCACGTTTTTGTTTGCAGTTTTATTAATTAACTTGTTTTAACTAAAATTCCTACCATTGTATTTCTTACCTTTGCTGAGCATTCAAGATGAACTCCGGGAACTGATAACGAAGTGATAAGCATGGTAACGCATCGCAGCAGAAAAACTGTACCGAAAAGTGAGAAAAAACGTCGCAGAATAACAACTCTAAACAGAAAAATATTAAAAAACAAACTAAACATCAATTTCCTACATTAAATATATTAAACCTTTGATTAGCTATAAAAAACTTGCTATTATTTATCAAAAAACCAAAAGCAGAACTCACCGATGCTTGTGGAAGACAATAATAGTCAAGAACAAGCCTCCTAATGCCACTCCAATTATCTCACACAATTCGAATGCCCAAGGGATCAAAGGAAGGTTGTCAAGAACAAGATCAGGCAACGGCGGATACATCTTCATGTCCGGAACCCGGTCGTGAACCACTACCATGACTAGAGCAGTTACCCATAACGACAAAAGGCAATAAAACAACGCTACACCCATCTTAACCCATGACTTGAGCTTGGTATCCGGGCTCTCGACACTCCTTATTATCTCTTCTCGTGTCATTAACCCGCATCGTGCTTTAGCTTGCCTTTTTCTAAAAATAATTTTGTTATAGGTATATACTGCCATATTAGAATTAAGAATACATCCAAAATAAAGAAACAATGTTAAAATATTCTTGGAAGGTTTTTATTACCTAGAAGACAAAAATAAAAACAAGGAACTTACAGATCAGAGTCAGAAGCTGACTTTAGAAGCCCTTCATCAAAGCTGCTGTCTTCTGAAGCTGTTTGCAGCAGACGATATGTTGAATCTGTGCTATCACTTAAACTGCCTGAATCAGAAAACGTCCTTGGCGTCCTCGTGTCTTTTATCACCGCCTTTAGCTGTTTTTGAAATTTCAACAATCTCTTAATGTCTCCCAATTTTTTCAATGCCACTGGAGGTTGTCTGAGATCATTTTCTGTCAAGGTAACGAATAACTGACCGTCAATCTGTAAACAACAACATTTAAAGATAACAAAGCCTTTTATAAAATCAACAAGACCTTCACACACTCTGTAAAACATTTCAAAACCACAAATATTCCCTAAATTATTGATAGAAACATAAATATGGCCAAGCATAACTTACTCCGTGGATATCAGTTAATAAGTCCACAATCGCCTCTTCAAAACCTTGGTCACTAAGCCATTCGGCTAGCTGCGTGGATGACCAATCCAACGGAGAGCCCATTCACTTGAGTTGTGTTCAGCTCACTCCACAACTTCGATTGTAAAATTTTTCTTTTTCCGTTTTAGAGGAACTTAGGGCGCGTTTCGAAGCAATAGTGAACATGTTTGATATAAACCAATTATCGCCGTAATGTCTTCTGACACCGTTAGTGCGTTTCAAATGTATTTTGTGTCGAAAGATCGAATGAACTTTTTTGGAATTGCGATTTCAATATAATCAAGATTAGTTTAGCCGGCATGTTTCATCGTATAAAATGGGTCGCGCAAACTGCGGCGAAAAAATAATTATTTATTTGGAAATATTTTTTGGAGAAATTGTGTGAAGAACAAATCAGATCAAAATCAAGGAAGAACAATGGCAAATAATGGAGAATACAAGGAGGTGAGTTTAATATTGTGTTTAAATTATTTTACTATATTTTACGTTAGATTTTAAGGTGTAATATTGACTCTTAAAAGCTAAAGTTACTTTTTCTTTAGAACTGTATACAAATATGTATTTTTTAAGATGCTTTTTGATGTATTGTCGATTTATTTGAAATTATATTTTAGTTTGTAATGACAAAGGAAGAATATGATAAGCCGATAACTGATCCTTATGTCAAGAGTTTGGCCGAAATGCCTATTGAGGACCTTATCGATGACTATAATCCAGGTATGCATAACGTTTTACATTCTTACTACTTTAGGTACTACTCCGAATCTAAGATAATGGTATGCAAAAGAGTAATGTTATTTTATATTAATAATTTAGGACCAACGAAACCTGATGGATCAGTAAACTTCGAATGTCATTGTGTAGCTCATCTGGTGGCAAGTCCTTGTGGACACGAGTTTAGACAAGCGATCAGTTGTCAGAAGGCTGCAGAAAACGACGAAATGAAGAAAGGAGAATGTGCTGAAGAATTCATAGAGTTCATGCAGTGCGCGGTCAGGACGAATTGTTTTAGGTGTAAGTTGTTTGTTGTTATTGCAATGCTTTTAGGTTTATAACCTTAAACTACTAATTGTTATATATTAATTAGGCTACTTTTTTAACGAGAAAAAATAGTGTTTTATATTTGAACGGGATAAGCAACGTGTAAAAAGGCTTTAATTTTAATGTATTTTTATAATTTCAGCGTCAGACCCGGATCCAGAAGAAGAACAAAAGTAGAATTGCAATGAAATATTTTTAGTTTTAGTATAATTGTTTATTGTTAATAAATTTGTTACGTTTTTATTGAATTATATTATCGTTTATGGGTTTCAAAACCATGCTTTATTTATACCTATATTTTACTTTACAAACTTTCTCCTTAATATTCTCTGTTTTTTTCGTTTGGTATGTTAGTTTTGTTGATGTGTTTTACTTTTTCGGGTTTTATTTTTTAATTGTAATGTTTTCCAGATGGATGAAGGTAAAGCTAAAAGGAAAAGTCTGTTGGATACGCCTCAGAAGCGGCGACATACAGCAACGTCGGTCGACTTGAGAAGAAACAAAGTTCAGTATGTTAATCCAGTAGGTGGTACAGTTACAGATCCGTTGAATGTGAAAAGTGAGCATAAGGACACAAAGCCAGCGATTATTCAAAAGGTAAGTTTTTATAAGTTACTATAATGTAAGGTATATCTGTGGCAATTTTGTAGAACACTGTAAGGTTTTGAATACGTTGGTTTAAAAGTGATTCGGTTTTAATGTTGTTATTTACGATGACGATTTATATTTTCAGAGGAAGTTCTCCACGAGAACGTTGATTAAAGAGAAGCCGGCTCCAAAAACGACCGATGAAGCCGAAAGAAAGATTCATAGACGAAACATGAAGCGACGCTACAAATACGGTAATTTTAATTACTTCCATCGTACTCTACATCCCTTCTACACCGATGGGAGGACAACATTTATGTGTGAAGATTGGTTTACTGGAAAGAATGTTCTGGACATTGGCTGTAATGCTGGTAATTTAACATTGTCAATTGCTAGAGAATTTGAACCGAGCTCTATCTTGGGTATTGACATTGATCCACATCTGATTGCTGCTGCTAGGAAAAATATTCGGCATTTCTATGATAAGGATGTTAAGGTGAGGGTTTAGCTTATTAATAGTATTCTACAGTGTAAATTTAAGTGCTAATGCAGTTTTTAGAGAAGATAATAATGTGAATCTATTTTTAGACGGTCAACAGATTTCCAGCGTCATTTGCGTTAAGGTTTGGACCTATTTGTGTACCTCCTACAGCTTCGACAGACTCTTATCCGAATAATGTTTGGTTTAAACAGGAGAATTATGTATTGCCAGATGATAATCAGTTAGAAAATGTAAGTTTAGCTTTTTTCTAGGTTAAAAGAATATAGTAATTGATATTATTCATAACTAATCTTGAATTTTAACCTAATTTTTAATCCTTTTCAATTTTTTAGGTAAAAGCAGAGTATGATGTGATACTAGCGTTTGGAATTACAAAATGGGTACATCTCAACCACGGAGATCAAGGGTTAAAACGATTTTTCAAACGAATCTACAGACAGTTAAACCCTGGAGGACTACTTATTCTAGAGCCACAGCGTACCAATGGCTACAAGAAGTACTCTAAAATCGATTATGAGATTGAAAAAAATTTTAAAAATATTAAAATGTGGCCAGAGCACTTCAAGGACTACCTCACATCAGAAGTTGTGGGCTTTGCATGCTGTGATTACTTGGAGACGCCGCTGGTCGAGGCTTATGGTAAGGTTTGTGGTTGTTTTTAGGTATATAACGACTTTTCAGTAAAAAATTTAACTCAAATTTTGATTTTTAATTTTAAATATTTATCTAGTATAAGATAATACTTGAGTTTGCTTACAAACTTATTTTAGGCTGTGATTCCCCCATTTTACTACTCTACAAAGGCCCATTGGAAGGTGATGTAGCAGACGAAAACGATTACAATTTCCGATTCTCAAACCAAGTCGATTTCATCGCAACTCCTGAACATGATCCCAATCAAGAATCTGACGAACTTTAATTTATTTATTCAGTTTTTAATTGTTGCATTGTAAAAAACATTGTTTTTGTTATGTTGTACTATAAATAAATGTAAAATTGCTAGATTAGGAGCTGATTTTTATTGGTGTTGGACTAAGATTATATATCTTAAACTTTCTTTTTTGATTTTTTTGTATTTTTTGGGGGTTTTTTGAAATGATATGTGGCGTTAAGGGGTTGGAAGTGTGTCATTGTGCAGGTATTCTTACAATTTATTAATTGTGTTGTTTAGTACTGTTTTATAATACTTTATATGCACTTAACTTTTGCTGTCTTAAGCCCTTATAACAAAAAGATACTCTATAAAACATAAATTTTAAGAAGGATTTTGCAAAACCGTGTCCAATATTACCTTATTTATCCTTTACACACAATATTATACTTGACATAATTGTAATATAATCCCTTTTTCTTGGAAATTATACTTTTCGCACTTGTAATTCCTTTACAGAGCCCGATTTGTTACCGTACGATTCTCTTATGGCGGTGTGTTTGCTAAAAGATAAGTCAAAGGAAAGGCGCTGATTCAAGGGTTCTTTAAGAGTCAACGATCCCCCCCCATTCACTTGTTGGCCCTGCCCCAGTAATTATGTGCTTATAGGTGTTTTAAGTGCGGCTAATTACGGTTCGAGGACGTTTTAGCACTATTTTGGCCGTGGGTTTGCTACCCAGTAGTATTGTAGTATACTCTGGTCGAAGTTTGTAATTTTTGGTAAACTAATTGCTCTGTGAAGTGGCATGGTTAGGGTATGGACCTTAGATGTTAATACTGTAAAGCTAGTCTAATATGTTACATTGTAGAGTGAAATTAGAGCTTATTTTTGAAAACCGTACCATTTTAGTCTACAAAAATCTTGGATATCAAAAATTAAAATTTTTAAATTTAAAAAGGTTCAAAATCTACCGTAATATTACAAGTTTAATATTATTGTCCAAATTTATATCTACAATCACAAGATAAAATGTTTTTATATAGCGTCCATATATCTATACGTCGTTTTTTATATATAAAGTAACTTTAAATGGCAAGGAAAGAAAGGAAAGTACAGTAGGAAAGATTATTATGCTACAGTAAGATTGTGACAGAATAGTAAATAGAAATAACTAAGGTAACATAGCACTGTGTTTAGAGACTTAACAGTACCTTTACTAGTATTCTACAGTGTGAATTTGGTACTCTACAGTAGGAAGCCTAGTCATTACGGTATTATATATGTCCATGCGGAATGAACTAATTACTTTAACGACTATGGCAAATTCAAAATTTAAAACTTTACTTTTTTGTTGAAAAGATACGATGTAAAAATAGAAAACGGTGACATTTGGGTGTTATTGTGTAGATTTCAACATAAGACGCTCTACATCATAGGGTTACTGTAACAGATTATCTCCCAAACACTGGCCAATGTTAATATCACTGGATAACAAGACAATTATACATTTATAAACAACACTACAGGATATATTGTACATGCACATGAAGGTGTGAATACTTGTCATGTACACGCAGCTTCGTATGCATATTAAGATAGGTCGTGTGATGGAATTCAAAAGACCGGAATAACATTGTTTTAGCTATATTGGTAGTAAAATTGTTTTATGTTAGGTGACATTGTCTTGCCAGTACTGCTCTAGTACTATTGTGGTATCAATGTTACTTTATAATAACATTGTGGTATTGATGTTATTAATACGACACAATGACATTAATACCTGCCAATGTTCACGGCCTTCAGAATCTTCCGATTCTCAAAAAGGGTACTTTAAGTTAAAAGAATGAACCAGCCTTTTATAAATGACACCTTTCTCCAAGTTACAGAGTAACAACATAGTAAGCCTGAGGTAGCGCTTAGAACTTGGAAAGGTCGGACCGGGATGTGTTCATGTAGTAATTCGGCGTCGCTGTCCCCAACGTATTATAGTCGTAAGGGTTGACAGTGGCCGCACTTTGGTAGTAGGGAGGGAAGCCTAGCTGTGTCGAGTAGGGGTTGAACAAGTTGGGGTAGTTCATCCAATTTACCGCCGATCCATTCAGTCCAGGCGTGCCAGCCGGCTGTAACGGATTCGAGACGGATGAGAACGATGGTGTGATACCCATCGAGGTGTCTGTTAACAAGGTTTCGTTCCCAAAGTTCTCGAGTTTGATCGAGCTCATGTCAGTTAGGGTCGGGGTCAGAGCTAACATAGGCATACTGGAAGCAGCGGGCAGGGGGTCGATCTGCGACGACATTATGTTATGCTGAAGGCCTGGAATGTACTTGGTGTCGTCTTCGGTCGTTTCTATAGAGTTGGCGCTGCTGGCCGAGCCCGCACTGACAGCCGATGTGACTATGGGGTTGACGAGAGAGCTGAGCGAGTTGTTGTTGGCTTCTTCCGAGGATTCGCGACGCTTCATCACTTCGTCTTCGAACTTTTTCTTTTGTCGCTTCTTGGCTCGCCGGTTCTTAAACCACACCTGGAATTGGATTAATTAGTTTAATCAAGGTTTTAGTATCGATTAATTAGTGTGTTATATTATAGTACTGTTTGCGTATGCAGAGTTAAGCTTGAGGGTATTAAAGTGATGAATTTTATTAGTTTTAATTATTGTTAAAGTTCCAAAGATTTTGCAAAAAATTTTATATTTTTTGACCAAAAAATGTTTTTTATTACCGAAACATGCTTTGGCAATGAATGTTTTCGCGTCGGGACCTAAATTCAAGATTTTTTTGAAAAATTGTAAAAATAATATTTTAGGTAATACTTACTTGTACTTTGACGTCTGTTAAGTGAAGCTCTTGAGCAATCTTCTCCCTCATCTGAGCTTGAGGATACTCGCACGAAGCGAACCAGTTCTCGAGGCAGTTGATTTGGGTTTGGCTGAACTTGGTTCGTTCTCGTTTTCCTGGAGGAGGGGTGGATTTGTAGTCGTGCCTGAACGTTTAAAATTGAAAAATTGAAAAAGTATGATGTACTGTAACTTTTTTCAGCTTTTTAAAAGATTTTTTAAAATATATACTGTAACTTTTTAAAAATTTTTTTAAAATTTTGAATTTCTAAATCTATGTTATTTCAAAACATTTCTTTAAATAAAAAAACTCACGGTGACGGGTTACTGTAGCCGCCATAACCACCGAACGCGAACTGAGTTCCAACAAGGTCGGACTGAAAAGGTTGGATCATGCTGAAAAGTGATATGAAAATGGGTAAATAGATGAGAGAAGTTGGGATAAATAGAGTAGTCTCGCGGCTTCTCGAACCACAAAAGTGTCAAGTACGATGGATAAGGTACGGTATTTATTAAATAAATAAATTCACAAACAAATATCTGGGCACGATATAACTATGTTAAAAATGTAGATCTAAATTTCAAAAATTTGAAAAAAAAATTTAAAAATTGTACTTATAACGTCAAAAGGTTGCGTAAGTCTTTTAGTGTAAAGGCATAGTAAAAATATTTAAAAAGTAGTGTTAAAGGCATCTCTTTGGGCTGGTTACCTACTCAATTTACTTTAGTATTCTACTTTCGGGCTACCACTATATTTTACAAAAATCTTGAATGTATTTGTATCTGAATGACCCAGATTATGCACAATCTAGCAATGTATGACAGCTAATACAGCTAAATACATAGTATGTGTCCATTTAAAATTATCATAGCTAATAGTCAAAGTGCATCACTAATCACAATACAAGCTAAAATAAAGTATGTAAGTATAATATATAAATAAGCTAAACTAGTTAAATACACCCAAGAGCTACATTTAAATAATTTAAAGTACGATATGTTAATAGGCTTAAGTACAGTATCTAAAATAAGCCCAAGAATACTATAAAAAGCAAGCTCAAGAACAATATGTTAACGTAGATGACCCGCACTCGGCTTAACCGTGATAAGCCTAGTCCTGATTATAATCTGGATCGGCTTCGTAGTAGGGCTGATTAGGAGGGTAGCGTGGAACGGCGTCGGATAAAACGTTATTAGTCGGATTGTACGCGTTATACAGCCCAAATCCTTGACCAGAATAGCCGTAGGGGTTCACCCAGCCTGAAAAGTGTAATGTAAAAAGTGTTTTAAGTGCCATCCCATTTTGTCCAAATCCAACTACTCTGTAAATCCCTCCCTTGTCCTTGTTGGCGTCAGCAAATCCCATCACACACAGGCCCCGAAAGGTGAGGCCTAATCCCTTATTTCACTTTTTAATGCCCAAAGTCAGCCGTATGGCTACATCAAAGTGTATGGCTATATCACGGTGTATGTCTACCTCAACACATATCTAAATCTCAAAGTGTAGAGCTATCTTAAAGTGTATGGCCATGTACAAAGTGTATGTATCTAAGTGTTTGCTGCATCCTCTCGGCTTCGCGTGATTCGAGGCCGAGAGTGAGTGAGTCCAATTGTGAATAAGAGATTCCACGCAACCAGTTATCTATATTTAATATCTCATTGTCTATGAAACTACCTGCAACATGGCTTTGTCTATTGCACGCGCTATAAATATTACTTTTTGCTTGATACTGGTCTAAAATTATATAGAAAGGGAGATCAAGCTTATGCGCAGAGTAATGCAAATTCGTTCTATGTATTTTTTGACCAAGATATTACTATCTTTTATCTTAACTTTGTACCATTTTATAATTATATCCTTATATTGCAATAACTATATTCATATAGCTCTATGTACTTCTAAAGCCTCTAACCATACCTGTAACGTTACTCGGATTGGGACAAAACCAATTCGTCCCAGTTACCGTATCCATAGGACTCGAGTTGAAAAGTGTCAGTTTTTCAGCGTCCTCAAGGAACGGCTTCTGTTCCAGTTTAATGTCTTTGTCTGTTTCACTATTCGATGAACACGCTGAAGCAGAAGGTGAGGTATTGGTATCAGTGGAGTCGTTGGGGAAAGGGCCTGGCTGAGTTATCGCTGGCGATGAGGTTAAAACTTTGTTTCGTCTGGCCGCTATTGTCTTCTGAAGCATCTCTTTCTGCTTTTGTTGCTGGCGATACTTTGCTCGACGGTTTTTGAACCAGACCTGGAAATTTTGGAATTTTAAGAAATTTAAATTTGAATTTTAAATTTTTTAAAATAAAAATGAGGACAAATAATTAAAAAGTATGTTATTAGAGGTGTGAGTGGATTAAAAATGTAATATAAGTTCTTCTTTTACCTGTATCCGACTCTCCGGCAAATTCACGTGTTGTGCTAGGCTTTCACGTTGAAAGGCATCAGGGTACTGTGAGGTCCGTAGAAAGTGATTTTCCAGAATGTCAAGTTGATTTCGGTTATAAGTTGTTCGTTCTCGTCTGTTTCTTCTTGAGTCACTGAAAGCATTATTATGCATTACTATCTTTGAAAAAAATGTTTTGGTAAGCAAAAAACCTTATTTAAAAAAAAAGTTTTTTAAATTTGAAAACGGTTTTAAATTTAAAAAAAATTTTTTTTAACTTACCTTATGCTTCCCTGAATATTGGCAGAACTTGTTGACGGAATAGGACTCGCATTAAATGAGGTAGGACTTGAAAAGTAGTTGAAGACGTTTGTGTTATAAGTCCCAAGACCTGTAGGTGATCCAAAAGAAGCAAATGGGTATGTTCCAAATGCTGGGAATGGTGCTGAACACATAGTGTTGAAGTCTAGAATAGAATTGGCCATGGATAACTTGTCTTCTGTCTGATCGTTCTCTGACACGTTGTCTTCGTTCACTTCTTTCTTGAACGGGTCCATGCCTTAACAAGTAAGTTTTAAAATAGTATAAAGTAAAAAATAGTGGTTGTAAAAGTACCGTAAACTAAGATTTTGTAAAAAGAAGTTTGTAACATTGCGGCAAATCTTTTAAAGATTAGTTTTTACAATTATATAAGGAAAGAAAAATAGCTAAAATAAATAGTTTTTTTACTTTCTAAGATCACTAAAACTTAAAAAATCCGATTAAACCATTCATAACACCCCAAGACCCATATTTAGCCGCACTAATTGTAAGCCTTCCCCCAATCCCCACGGAACGGTGGATAAGACGCTCCAGAAACCCGCCACGTCTCCAGAAGTGCGTCAGATAAACCCCGGAGATAATCTCAGGATGATACCGTACCAAAACTTTTATGAACTAACCTTGGTGCGAAAACCCAAACTCACGATCAGGTAAAAGAGGTCCGGTCCCTCATCACGCCTATGGGGATTATCGATAGAGGTGCGCGACAACGCTTAAATGAGGGGGCCAGTTTAGTTTTTCGAAACCCCAAAATGTATTTTTGTATACGAAAGAGTATTTTGGAAACTGTACAAAGCGATATTGATCGGGAAGGAAAATAAAGTAAAGTTAGGGGTATAAACTCAAGGGAATGGCAATAAATTTTAACGATAAAATACGAAATCTACAGTAAAATTTAAAAATGCTTTGTAAAATAATCACAAATATAAAAATTAGAGATTTCATTAACTTTCTGAAATTGCAAAACATCCCCCAGCTACACATCATTAATTGAAAAGTTATGTAATCAGCCTTAATCTAATTTCGGCCGGCTGCCAAGAAATTACAACGAAACTCGGTGTTAATCCGGTTACAATCCGAGATAAGAAGGCCGATAAGCTTTGTGGGATCAGCACCGAACAATCCCTTTAGCATTATTCCATCGGTTTGTCTTACTATTGTGAACCGTTTCAAAACCACCGCGCGGCCCCGCCCCTCCCTTTTTGTACGACCGACCAATCAGAAAGCGCCGAGGTGGGGTGTCGCTCGATCCGTGGAGGCTAGGCTAGCACACTTACAGTTCGAACTTCTGAGGGTTCGATTGTCTTTGAATCGCGTTGCATCACAACTTTTTGTTTTAAGTTTGTAGTGCTACTCGGTGCGGTGGTACCGTCAATGGTACTTCATGGTTTTGATTACTATACTTCCTTTGCTACAAAATTTGTAAATCTAGGATTACTGTGATCGTATGTATGATCATTTAAATAATTTTGGAAGACTAAAAATATTTTTTGACAAAATTTTGAAAAATTAAATTTTTTTGTGATTTTTGTCCGAAAAAAGTTTTTTTTTCGTTTTTGTAGGTTTTCAAACCGTATTTTAAATTTTTCTAGTTGCAAATAAGACCATATAGTATAAGGTAGTGATTCTACTGCTAATAAAAATTCTAAAAACAACATTTCAAAGAAGCCATAGATAGTGCACTTTCGTAAAACAGTTAATCATGTCGTATGCGTTACATTTTGAGGCTTCACTAACATTACGGATATAGCAAAACATCGCTTACTACGAACGATACTTATTTTTCTATGCTTTCTTAAACTTTAAATTTTAATTGAAAAATAATTTTTAAAAATTTTAAAAAAAAAAAGTTTCACATTTTAAAATTTAACTTTTAACTTCATTTTTAACACAAAAAACTTTAAATCAAAATTTTTATGACAAAATTAACCCTAAACGTTCCGATAATTTGTCGCCACTAATCCACAGTCGTTTTTTAACCATGTAATCAAAAAGCGATCGAAATTAGGCACCTGTCACGATCTTATCGCAAGGGAAGTGGTTATGGCCTTACCGGTGGTGCGGCAATCAATTTGGGGCCTTGCGTCACGGCACAGCCTCGAAAACCGATACCTATTCATTGATCTAATTAAGCGGACGGATCATCCCAATGACTGGAAGGCGTATCGCTGATAGGCATGGCTTTCTTGGCTACCGCATGGACTCTTCTTTAAGCATGCGTACCCAGAAGAGGGGTCTTCGTGAAGGTCAACGTTACTGTAAGCTTTAAGGGTGGTTGAGTCTTTGAAAATAATGGCCATAGTTGGCTTTTGAAGTTTATCATAGTTAGCTTTTGAAGTTTATTATAGTATAAAGTATCAAAAGTTCGGTATTACTGTACTAATTTATGATCAGAACAATACTTTTTGTATTTAAACTCTAGCTAACACTATCGATCAAACCCTCTATACGACCATGTTCTATCATCGCACCGTCGGGCAGCTGCATGCCCAAAAAAACTAGGCTAATCCTCGCGCAAAAAATGGAGCGGCCGCTACTTTGGCTGCACATAATTGCCGTAGCCGCTTAATCCCGGGTCCCCGCCATTCTTGATCCAAATCGACTAAACGCTCTTTAAGGTAACCAGATACCGCCGCTCTATTATTTCGTGGCTATGGTGGAGTGAATAACAATAAGTAATTGAGTCCCCGGAGACGGCGGCGACAAAAACACTACAGTAACGACTATTTACCGTTACATTGTTTTCTATGTCATGCACTTTCGGTTGATGATTAGATATGCGTTAATTGTCAATTAGTGATGTTCACGTATACAGCTTGTTGTTCTTTGGCAAAGCGGGCTTTACAATGACTGCAAGGTAGACTGTGGCTTACTGTAGTTTACAATACGATTGGTTTTTAAAATTTGTAGTTACTTTTTAAAGTTTCCGCCAAAATATTAAATAAAATAGGTAACTACTGATGTTTTGATGTGTTCAATAAAGTTTAAAGTGATTTTTTTTTGTCAAACATGTAGCAACATTATCTTAATCCTTGACGAAGCAAGTGTCAATTAGTTGCGCAACGCTGATAAAGACCACAGAAGAGTGTTGCTTATCAATTTATGAGGTCGGACATCATAAAAAGCCGCAAAATCGTTTATGACAATGTAAATTTTTATTTTTTACATACGTAAAGGCCATAGTAGAAAATAAAAAACATGATTAAATATAAAAATTTAATTTTAGCAAAAGTTGACAAGTTGGCAACATTGTGAAGCCTAACAATAATTTTTAAAAATTTTTGATTTGGAAAGTTGCTATTTCAAATTATGAAATAGTTTTAAAATTCTTTTTAACTACTGTGACTTTGTATCGTTTAAAAAAATTTTTGAAAATTCTTTTGGAATAGACTATTATCAAGCCCTAACTCAACATAGCCAACTCTGATTTGCTTGAAAAACCTTTTTTATTCAAAAATGACAGAATGAAACTGTGAATATGAAAAACCGTTTGCACTGGCGATTGCGCACTAAATCTTTAGGCAAACTTTGCGCAATCACTCTCGAACTTGACCCCATTTCTCGACATTACATAACCCGAGCGTATTTTGTTGTGGCCATTTCCTGACTAAATGCTTGGCAAACTTTCAGTTTGATAATGCATTTGGTTAAGTACACATCAATGGTGCAATGGGGTTCTTACTGTAATTTTAAATAATTTTTGAAACTATCAATAACTTTTTACTTTTGTACAGTAAGACAATATAAATTATTATATAAAAAACTTAAAAGTAGCAGCTAATAGTACAGTATCTTATTTTCTATCTTAAACTGTATTCACATACAGTACCATATGTTTTCTTGCACTATAAAAAAAAGTATGCCAATTCAGTCACAATGGGTGAGTAACACACAGACATACAGTAATTGTTTCTAAATATACACATACCAACATTTTATTACATCCACGGTATGTGCCGTTAATCTCCAACAAATCCGAGTTTCTTTCTCTCTGCCCTGCGGCAAAATCGGCCGCTAATCCTCGCGGACGTCAATCCAACAACTTTACGATTAACACCACAAAGCTACATGACGATAAACTACGTTATCAGTAATTGAAATGCATATATGTCAAGCTATTAATTAGGACGAAACACTTTTACAATTAACTCAATCGTATAATCTAATAGCTTATCCTATTAGATTATACGTTAAGTTCCTACGGTTAAATTGTGACAGCTTGAGGAGTTTTCTCATTGGTAGGGTGATGAATTGAATGAAATTTAAGCGTTATGTTTCTGTATAATATTGAAAATTTATAAACTATGAAATTGAGCAAAAAGTAAGCAGAATATACATTTTTTTCATTTATAAGAAGCTATTCTTTGTTCAAATACAGCCTCTGCACTGTGCAAAATAATATAATAAAAAATTAATAGTACGTGGTCAAAATATACACGAAACCCTGCTCAAAAATTATATATTTTTATTTTTTTGTAATAAATCTAATTTCAACATGCCTGCCAACGTTTTTATGCTATTTCCTTATCAAATAAAACTTCTGCACAGTGCAAAAAGTGATAAAGTGCAAGACTTGACCCTATATTTGAAGACTACCCATTAGTTTAAACGAAGTAACGAGGCCAATGTAACAGGTGTTATTTTTGGTCGAACAAGTTGTCATTAATCCGTTAATCCATATCTGATACAGTGCGCGACAAGTTCGCGACAATAATTAGCGCCTCGGAGCGACGGAAGGAGAGTGTCAACTGTCAATCAGATTCGAGGATAATTTGGACAAATTGGAACATGCGCAACATTATCTTGGTACAAATTATATAATATGGACTTAATAATCATTTTCTTGTTTAGCAAGATAAATTAAAAATCTCCCGTTATAGTCAAAAATAACAACTTTATAATGTTGTCTATCATAAAAGAACAGTAAAACACAATATTAAATTACAGTAAACTAAAAAAATAAAAAACAAAGCCCGCTAATCAAAAAACAACAAAATCAGCATGAAACTGTTGACTTGTCTAATCAGGAGACAAAAGCCTTCCACGAATATGTTGACCATCGTATGTGCCGTTTTGCACTTGAGGCAGTTGCGTCATAATCCAAACTGTCGGAATCTTTGGCGGTACGTCTTTTCAATCAGGCCTGACCTCAGCTCGAGTGGCCAAGGTGCCACCACACTTGAGGATACAACTTTAGAGGATCCGCCACACCTGGTTCGTGGATTCAACAGAAACGGTTGGATACAACAAGGTGTTTAAGTTTTGGAAGGAAGTTTTAGTTACATAATGGTGGTTGTTATCTTGCCGTATTTGCTATAAAATTCACTTAATTTTAAAATATTTTAAGTATAAATTTATGTTGATGTAGACAGCAGTACATAATGTAAACGCTTTTATTTATTGAGCTCATTCTATTTTATATACCAATCGCTAGCCCAATGACATAATCCATGTTTTCCAAAAAAATATTTTAAAATATACAGGGTAAACATATCTGTTCCGAGATACGACGAGGCCATTCATTACACAATCTATGGTTTTACACAAATAACCATCGTATCTTGCTGTCATGGAGTCTCAAACTTAAATTTACTATCACTTTCTCGAAATACACAGACTTGCAATACCTTATTGAGTGAAAAAACTTCAAATCAACTTCTTGAATTGAAATTTTTAAGTTAAAAGAATCAGTCGCATTACCGTAGACTTCCCTGTCATATTATCCTTGATACAGTTACACTTTTAGACTTACATTGTTCGTTTCTTTTTTTCTCCTGTAAACAACAGGAATAGCTTATGCTTCCTTAAGAATTGCAAATCTCTTAAATACGTTAGTTTATAGATTAGCTGACTAAAAATGGCTACCGTCTTTTGATAATCTTCTAGCTAAAAATAGTAGAGCAATATTAACTTCCAGCCTAAATATAAAATACACGACAAAGGTTGCAAAAAAAGTCATAAATCATTAAAAGTTGTTAATCACGAAAAAAATGTAAAAAATATAGTCCTTATTATTAAAAGGCAAAATACGAGAACTATTGTGCAGTTTATCTAAATTTGATTTATGTAAGAGATTTTTAAATATGTTTGTAAAAATTAATTTTAAATTTTAAGTGTCTTAAATAGTTTAATCAAAACTAATTTACTATGAGAAAAGTTATAATAACATCAAACATACGTTGTGTAAATGAGTCCCGACACGAAAACAAACGACGTCAGAGATATTTCGCGAACTACGGTAAAAGAATAGAAAAATAATTTTTCTCCATTTTTTCAAGGTTTTTTGCAAATTTTATAAAGTTTTACATTGAAAAGAAGTAATTTATTGTTTTTTGAGTTGTAGATTGTAATTATCTTGATGTTTGCATTAGCTTTCTAATTAAATTTTTATTTTTTGTTTTTATTCGCAGTTTTTAGCTTTTTCAAAATAGCTTTTTTATTGTTTTGGACAATTTTGAGGTTTCAATTCGTTCTGTAGATCGTCCAATTTTTTTCGAACATCGTGGTATATGTTACACAACTTTTTATGAACATTTTTTGATCTTGAATTCGTTACAGGTTTAGTTATGGACAAGCCAAACAAGCTCGCCAAGGTCACCCGTGTTTTGGGCCGTACCGGATCCCAAGGACAATGTACTCAAGTTCGTGTTGAGTTCCTCGACGATTCCAACCGTTCCATCATCAGAAACGTTAAGGGCCCAGTCAGAGAAGGAGATATCCTCACACTTTTGGAAGCTGAGAGAGAAGCTCGTCGTCTCCGTTAAGTTGATCCATCCATGAATCGTGTCCCTTGTTTTGTTTATTTGTTGGAATAAATCCTTATTTTAAACGTAAGGTTTGGATTTTTTGTTTTGTTATTTAGGTAATTATCTTAACAGGCGATCGTTGTTCTTCAAAAGATAATTTTGATAGTTTCATGAGGAAGTGTAAATTAGTTGTCTTGATAAGGTTTGTATATAGGTAACAAAGGTGTCGTTTGCAATTAGATTTGAATATAAGTCGAATAAAGTTATCTTTAACAAAGTTTATTATCTACTCTAAGTTTCACATGTAATATAATTATGATATCACTAGAAATTAAGCGTTTGAGAGGGCTTGAACTCCAGGTAACACTTTACCTTCAAGCAGTTCCAAACTGGCTCCTCCACCGGTTGAAACGTGGCTGACCTTGTCTTCAGCTCCCCATTTAGCGACGGCGGTAGCAGTATCTCCACCACCGATGATGGTAGTAGCTCCTTGTTGAGTAGCATCGATAACAGCTTCAAGTAGAGCCTTTGTTCCCTTTGCGAAGTTCTCGAATTCGAAAACCCCGGATGGACCGTTCCAGACGATGGTTCTGGCCTTTCTCACGACTTCTTGGAATTTCTTGGCGGATTCAGGGCCAATGTCCAGTCCCATCTTGCCATCTGGAATGCCGGACTTGGCATCAGCTTGACTGACTGGAGTGTCAGCGGCAAACTTCTCTCCACATACAAAGTCAACTGGGAGGTGGATGTTGACGTTGCGGTCCTTCGCCTTCTGGATCAGATCCTTGACGATCTTAGATCCTTCTTCGTCGTACAAAGAGTTTCCAATTGACATCCCATCGAGGACTTTCAAGAAAGTGAAGGCCATTCCTCCGCCAATGATAATGTCGTTAACCTTCTCCAACAAGTTTTGGATGAGGGGGATCTTGTCAGCAATCTTGGCTCCACCAAGAATAGCCAGGAATGGTCGTTCTGGAGATTCCAAGGCCCTGGCAAAGTACTCGAGCTCCTTCTTGAGTAAGAATCCAGAAGCCTTGTTTGGAAGATCGACGCCAACCATCGAGCTAAAGAAAAAACGTCATTAAAGCATCAAGCTTTTCAATGAAAAAATAACTTTTTGTATATATAACAATAGAAGAAAAATAAAAGGTAAAATCTTACCTGTGAGCACGATGAGCCGTACCAAAAGCATCATTGACGTAAACATCACCGTGTTTCGACAGAGATTTTCTGAACTTCTCAACCTCATCTGGTTTGGCTTTTACCTAAACTCATATTAAATATCCAATATGTGAATCTTTACCTTCTCTCCGGCTTCATTCACACCTTTGCCTTCTTCAGCCAAATGGAACCTCAAGTTCTCAAGCAGAATGACAGATCCTTCTTCTGGGTTGGCAGTAGCCTTTTCAACTTCTTCTCCAACACAGTCCTTCAAGAAGGTTACTTTCCTGTAAATTTTATTTTAGTTACAAATAGTTAATCATAAACAAAATTATTATTTCATCGAGGTACTTTATAAATAATGATTTCTTACTTCTCCAAGATCTTTTCGAGCTCTCCAACGACTGGAGCCATGCTGTACTTCTCTTGTCTACGGCCGTCTGGACGTCCAAGATGGCTCATGAGGACGACGGACTTAGCTCCGTTAGCCAAGGCATACTACAATAATTTTTTTAAACAATTTAATTATTATCATAAAATCTTAACATCCTCATAAAGGCTTTTACTGTTAATACACACAAAGTTGCCGTGTTTTAGATTTTATCAAAATAATAAAAAAACAATCATCATACCTTGATGGTTGGAACAGCAGCAACGATTCGTTGAGTGCTGCTAACTTTGCCATCCTTGATTGGTACGTTGAAGTCGACACGGATCAACACTCTCTTACCCTTCAAGTAAACCTTGTCAATTGGAAGCTTTTGAAGAGACATTTTCGAGAATCTGGCTATTCGAAGAATCTAAAACAACTTTTATAAAACAAATCGCATGAAAATCAAAAAATATTGAGAAGTATACGCGTAAAACAATATTTCCTGCCAATTTGTATGCCTTCATTCAGAAAACATCTTATTAGTATAAGAAACAAACCAAAAGCCTTCAAAACAAAAAATAATTGATAAAATGAGAACTTTGGTAAAGAGAAACTATCAGAAACCGATCGCATTTGTAAACAGTCCGTTTCGAAACCGCTACGATAATATTGAGAGTTGGATGTAAGTAACTTTACGTGCGAAAAATCGAAAAGTGGGGCTTTGAAGTTCTCAAAAAACGGCCAAACAATATTTTGTTTGGCGTTCGGAATTTGGAACATTTAGGAATTGCGTCACTTCTAGTTAAAACTGTCCAGAAAAGATGTCAGTTCGCAAACAGAAATTTTATGAGAATTATAGTTAAACCGTTTTTGAAACACATTATTATTAATCCATAACTTATACAATAATATACTAATAGTCCTACATCAAATGATTCCTTTTTACAAATTATCCTCAAAACTCTTATCTAGAAAATACGTCATCGTCACTTTACGAAGTTGTGTATTTTTCTTAAGTTTTTGATAAGAGAATGTCAAAAACAATGTTTCTTATTCGAATCATAATGTTTTTCTTACTAATCACGGTTTTGAATCACAATACATAGTTAATCAACACGTCATAATGACTCATATTCTGTAATTTCTATGGAGATTTTCGGAAAATAATTTTCATAAATCTTTTTTCCTCGTAATTATTGACCGTTTTTAGACGTTCATAATATTAAACTTTTTCCTGGAATTTGTGTTTTTGGGCTGGGAATGTGGATTATGTCAAAGGTTTAGATTTGTTTTGGTAGCGATTTGCATTGATAACTTGATCTTGCTCATCCTTTCGCTTCAGTTTTCCGAAGAGAGAGTGAAATACAGGCTCTTTTCTTCTTTTCCGAATAACTACAGAGTAAGCGGCTGACGCAACCCCAACTACTAGAACTTTTTTTGGAGTAAGGGTTGTTAATTATATTGTTCTTGATTTAGGGTGCGATTTTTTTTTGAACTTCAGGATTTTTGCTACAAAATCTTGTTTTGGCTTTGACCTACGTTAAAATTTGGAACTGATGCTTAATTTTTAATGAGGAGTTTGGCTTCTAAAATAGACTTTCGTGTTATATCAACATCAAAAGTTAGGTTTTTCTGTAAATTTTAAAGTTTAGGTATATATGAGGTTGTGAAACAGCTCTTTTTGGTTCTATATTGTTAACCTTTCCCAATTAAAAAGCTTTTTTTCAATGTAGTGTTTACTCTCTTTGTGTTAATGTTTGGTTTGTGGTTTTGTATATAAAATATATTTGTTTGAGGGTTTATACATCCTGTTTAGTCTGCAGTTATCTTTGTTTGAAGTTCACATTCAAATTAATGTGATCTTATAGTGAAAATATGCATAATACAGAAATTTAAAAAATATTTTAAAATATCTATAGGTTTTTTTTTTATTTTTAATATTTTGAAATTAATGTTTTGATGGTAATCTGTCTGGCGTGGATATTATTGAATAGAAAAGTGGATTATGTATTTTTATATTGATAGGCGTTTATTTTCTGATTTCTAATCATGTGGTCAAGACATATTGCACATGTGGGACGATTTTTTTACGTTTCATACGATTCAAGATGGCGTCTTAAGGTGATTTATGCATAGTTATATAAAGATTCATATGGCTCTCCCGTTTCGAAATATAATATAATATTTTTAGTATGCGACATGGGCTTAATTTTGTCATAAGAAGCTTGATCAGTAGCTGAAAGATAGTGTTGAAAATGTTTTTGATATGTCATATGTAAGGCTGTGCTCAGCTTCTGGATCCTTCTGAACTTCTTACCCATAAAATATACGTTCTTTTGTCTTCCAAGTTAAGAAACATGAACATAGTTCAATAACCTTGCGTGTTTCCATCTTTAGCCGGTTCTATATATAACATTAGCTCGGTCGCGCCACAATCTATTTACTTTGGCTCGTATAACTGATAATGTGGTTGGTCAGTGTTTTTGGGTGTGTTCGCTCGAAAATCGATCGGAACACTCTCCAGAGTTGACTTTGTCTTCAAAAATCCATCGCTCTCGACTTTCGCGGTCTCTGCAGACTGACCTTGACTCGAGCTAAAAGGCTTTCAATGTAAACATTCTCTAATTTGGCCCCTTTTAAATGAATCACAAAAAGTGCAATTTCAGAGCTGATTTTCCTCTTTTCGGACGTTGAGGAAAAAAGTTTTGCGATGCGTTGTAATCGTATATGGCTCATTTTTTAGTGGGAGTGGAATTGTTGATTGCCGCCATTAATCGTTGTTTTTGTGTGTTACGGATTTGCGGCCTCAGAAGTTGCCTTTTGTTAGTTGCCCGTGTTGTTTATTTGATTTTTCATTTGTTTTGGAGGGTTTCGGAACTCTTTACAATGGGTGTTTTGGTGGTTAACATCGTGAGACTGTAATTTGTGGTGTTACGATGATTTTGGTTTTTTAAACTTTATGTTTTACATTGGAACTATTACTAAAGTGTGATTTTTAAGAGCTTTTAATATAAATCGTGGCCTTACCTTTGAAAGTTTATTACCATATAATAGGCACTTAAAGGTGACATTTTTGCATCGTAACGCTTAAACACAGCTTACAGTGTCCCAACTGTTTACAATGTAAAATCTATTACGCCTTTCATAAGCTAAAGTCATTTGTTATTTCACAAACACAGTTTGTAAACGGAAATCAGGCTCACCTTCGCGATGTTTGTCCAGGAATGTGCGAAGTGATTCCCTTCCGGAAAGCCCATTATATTTTATGGGATTCCCACAGATCTTTCTTCGTATGTTATCCATTGGCAGCCGCCGCCGCTCTTGCATATCTTATTGTCGTAATATTAACGTGTTTCTTTTGATACTTTGCAATCCAATTTTTACAAGGTGGGATAAGTGGGGTTTTGTATACTGTAAGGTTTTTGGTAAGGGAGGTTGGGGTTTTGTGGTTTGAAATAAAAGACTTATTATGGGTATCACTTATAGTTATAAGTGTCCGCTGCTTGTCTCAAGAACAGGGGCAGAATTTATTTATTTGAAGTTTAAAATTTAAAATTAGCACAGAACCCAATTTAAAAAAAAAGTTCAAGTCGACATTACAGTACTTTTTGAAAGGATTTTGGGTCGTCCTGACAGTGTTGAGTTAAGTAGAGTAATAGCAGCTATTTGAATAAGATATCGAATGGTTATGTCTACTTTTCTACCTCCGTAATCTCGATTCGATCTCTGCGGTCTCTGTAGATCGCGTAATCCGTCGCCCCTTCCGTCGTCGCAGATCTCCACCACCGATCTTCGCTTTGTTGGTTTATCTAGTCGCGGAATTTGTTGACTGATCAATTGCAAGAATTCGTTGTTTTTTGCAGAGAATGCGGGATTGGATGAGATAATGACCATCTCTAAGTACTGGGGCGACGAAAAGAAGCCCGACGCCGTCTACTCGGTCTACCTCAAGAAGGTGCGGTATGTCCCGCCGCCTGGCTACGACAATGTCGCCCATTATCGACCGATCGATCCGGACAGTCATTTCCTCACCGACTCGGGGAACGATCTTCTACAATGGGAAACCATCAGGGAGAGGGTTATCAAGGCTGGTACATTGGAGCGGCTAGTGGTATGTTGAGGATTTTTGATGATTTGAAAAACGTGTTTCTTGACAAAAATTTGAGTTTTTATTTTAACTTTAGACATATTATGAAATTTTCATATCATAATTTTATTTTTTGACTAAAAGTTTTTGGATATTTTTACACTTTTCAACGTATAAAATGGTAAAAATAAAAAATTTCAGGACAGTCTAATAGGATCTGATGACAAACTAGATTCTCGACATTTTAATGTCTTCTTCGCTACTTACCGTGCCTATGCCAAGCCTTCAGATGTCGCAAATGTTTTGTTCAATAAGTGTCAGGAGATTCGAGATTGTGATGGTCATGGTGCGTTAAGGTCGATATTCATATGTTGGATGGACATGTATGCCGAGGATTTCTACGAAAATGAGAAGAAATTTAATTTACTTAACAAAGTTATCGACTTTTCCAAGTTACACAAATGGGCTGATCTCAAAGTAAAGGCCAGGAAGTTGAGGGAACGGTTTCGGAGGGTCGCTGACGAAGGAGGACTGGCTTGTAAGTTATTTTAAGTTAACTTTTTGTAGTTTAGGTTGAATTTCATTATTGAAAAAATTTTAAAAAACGTCTATGCTATTTAAAACAACAAAAATGATATTTTTAACTTTTACTACTCTTTACACAAACTGTTTTAGCTCAAATCATGGGAATTGCGCAGTATACCTACAGTCTCGACTACGACCCGAATGATCCTAATTTTGCTCAGGAACATGCTCAAAGGTTTGATATTAGCAAAGACAATTGTGTACAAATAGCTGAACAATTGACATTTTGGGATGCGATCTTGTTCAGAGAAGTTAGACCATTCCAATGTCAAGGTGCGATCTGGGGGAAAAGGAACAAGGAGCACGCTGAAAACGTTTACAGTGTAAAAGCTACTATAGATCAGGTAATTTTTACTTCTGATTATTAGAGTTATACTTTTATCGATTTTAATACGTCAATAACTATATAATGCTGTATATTGATGAAAATTGTTCATAAAAGGCGCAAAAACATATTTTACACTTATTCCTTTCAGTTTAACTCAGTATCCAAGCGAGTAATGACAAGTGTTGTCCTACCAGAATGTCGACCTGAATTCCGAGCAAAAATTATCGAAAAATGGATCGAAATCGCTAAAGAATTGAAATCATTCAAAAACTACTCATCGCTCAAAGCAATATTATCAAGTCTACAGTCAGAACCGGTGTACAGAATCAAATCCGCGTGGTCGTGTGTCTCAAAGTCGTCAAACTTAACCTTCAGGGATCTTACCTCAACTTTCGAACGTGAAACTCAGGATGATACAAATGATTCGGGATTGGAAAGCGTAGGTTTTTATTTATTTTTGCTTTTTTAGGTTGTTTGTTAATTAGTATGATCTATAAGTATTGAAATTATTTTGCAGCAAGGAAGTGGTCGTCGTGAAAAGAAGATTCAGCAATGTAGGAGGAGTAAAAGTGATGTAAATTTAACGGATTCACAAGGTTTGGTACCATATTTGGGAAATTTCTTGACTGACTTGACTATGATCGATCAAGCTTATCCTGATACAGTCGAGGGTAAGATTTGGTTTTTTATTTGCATTTTTAGGCTGAACTGTAGCATTTGCTGACATCTTATTTTTTAGACAATTTGATAAACTTTGAAAAGAGACGCAGAGAATTTGAAGTTATGGCCAAGATCCGTCTGTTTCAATCAGCAGCCCGAGGCTACACCGTTCCCATGGATGCAGCTTTCTGCGCCTGGTTTTACTATCTACCAAGTCTGAACGAAAACGATTGCTTCTACAGAAGTTTGGAAGTAGAACCTGGCTCCAATAATGGCTCAGGAACTCCAGATTTCAGACGAAAGAACCAGCCATTGAGGAACTCTGGAGGATCTAAACCATCTTCATTCACAAAGATATTTGGCCAAATAACAGATGAGTTTGTGGGACGATCATCTTTCCAACAGACTTCAAATGATTCTGGCATTGTCAGTGAAGAGGGATGGATTACGAGAGAAGCGGATTCAACTAGATTGTCATCAGAATTCAGCCCTTTCATGCATTCTACACCTAAAAGGGATGACAACATGACATTGGAGGACTCTGCCTTTTCTTGTTGTTCTACTCCACAGCCTCAGACATCTGGAGGTCTGAACAGGAAAATGGTCGGACATAATTCTAGCTCTAGTCATGTAAGTTGGTGTTTTATTATTTTAGGTACATTTTAAAAGTTTTTTAGGTTAAACTTTATGAAATACGTATATTTTTTAGATCTTTTTTAAATTTAGGATACGTTTTTTATTACAAATGACATTTTCTAAACACAATTCATTTCCAGGCCTCATCCGCCTCGTCCGGATCAATGTTTTCGTCTTCGGTGAATCAAACCCTACCTCCAAAACCTCAACAAAGAAATGGCCACGGTACGAACCTGAACTTTTACCTGGCCAGAGTCGGTTTGGATGAATCGATTCGCGGCGAATCATCAGAAGGCGCCAACTACAAATGCATAAAGGTCGAGAATGGCGACAGAATCAGCACGCTGGTCGAGAGGGCGTTGGAGAAGCATATAATGGAAGAGGAGAACAAAGACGACTATTGTTTGGTACAGTTGCTGCCTGATGGAAGTAAGTGGTCTTGTTTATTGTAAAAAGTTATTATTTTTGAGTTTTTTTGAATTTTTTTAACACAAGCAGATGTTATTGTTGTTTAACTGATATTGTAAATTTTTTAGTAAAATTCCTTTCAATATTACTATTGTTTTAGGTGAATTCCGACTCCCCGACCACTGTAACCCCTTCTACGCCGTAGCACCCGACCCGACCTCCCCGATGCTCAACTTTCTACTTAAAAAACGCGAATCCGATGATCAGAAGACGATTGCACCGTCGGCCAAGAAGCTGAATCGCCAGAAGCGGAGCAATCTCCTGCGATGGAGCAGTGGCTACTTATAGAGTTTTATGTTTATTTCATATTTCAAATATTTGCAAACCTTCAAAGATGTATTCATATCTAAAAACCTGAAAAGTGATTACATAAACGACAGTAATTACAGTTTTTGACTTAAAAGTACAATTTATTCTAATTCCTACTGTAATTGCACTTTGTAACTTAAAATACAGTTTATTTTATTATCTTTCAATATGATTCCAGTACACTAATTTGTAACAGCTGTAATTAAAATGTAATATTTGGTAATGTTGTCAGTTATGTTTGTATATAACCCCGAGATTGTGTTCTTTTCCAATTGCTCTATCCATATAACTCATTCCACAGCTGTGATTATCGTAAACGCATCCCTTGTTACAGTCTCAACACATTGCTTGTTTTATTTTGTTCCATATTGCCTTACGCTCAGTTAGTTCATACCTAAAGTGTAATAAAGACTATATTTATTTGCTTACTGGTTCAGTTGGATATTGGCTATGTTGCTTCGCTTAAGAGTACTTTAAATATGTTTTAGGTACAATTTCATTACAAAAAAACTCAGAAAAATCGGCGTTTTGTAACGGTAAGTGGTGTTGTTAAAATCATCATCATGTTTGATTAGATGGCTAGGCATAGCATTTAAGTATTTGGAACATTGGTATCCTTACCTGTATGACGTCCTGAAGTGAGCAAAATATATTTCCCTTGGAGATTTGAGAAAACTTTGAACCTCATGTTCTGTATTGGTCGACAAATAATGTCGTCCAATATCAATGTAAAATGTTTGTGAACCATTAAGTAATGCTCGGCTCAAGTACCAGTCGTCCATCTGCAATATAAATTTGTAAAGTACGTTGAGAGAGTGGGGAAAGTTTAAAAGTAGTTACGTAACTTTTTTAAAAAATAAAATTTGTAAGGTTTACCCATAAATACTGTACTTTGTCCATATTCTCAACCATTGTATTCACCAGATCCCCAGTAAACATCATTACCATTCCTTGGCAGTAAGTACCTAAACTGGTATCACTGTACTCTTCTTTGCTCAGGTACCATTTCGACGCTGAATTCCTCACAACTTGGCCTTCACTGTAAACTCTACATAACACTGTATTCCTCAGGTCTTTCATCTGATTCAACATCATTGACATTCCATTCCAGTTAATCATCACATCGTCATCTGTTTTCAACACAACTTTTGGTCTTAATTTATGCAAAAATGGAATCCATGCTCTGATTTTGTGAGTTATGTTATGGTAGTCATCTTCAATGTTATGTACAAGTATTATGTCGTTGTATCGTCTGAATTCCGCGTGAACATCTTCATTCACCGTGGTCGTATTGGAACGTAAAATTACAAAAAATGGAACGATCTCAGTCTACAAAACGTTAATAAATGGTTGCGAAGTGATGTTATTGTAATAAAGAGATGAAAAGATGGTTAATGTAATAAAAAGAAGTAATTTTGAGATAGATACAAGTAAATTTAGTAAAAAGTAGTTGAGCTATCGATAGGTAAGTGACAAATAATTGGAATTTAAGATTATTAAAAGCTTACTTTTTGATCAAGATATTCGCTTCGAATATACTGTCGTTCTCTGAAGTTTCCCGGCGATGAGTGTATTATCCACGCAATTTTTAGCCCTTTTGTAAGAGTAGTAGATAATATTGGGTATGTTACATTAAGGGGTATATTGTGTTTGGGGGTCGATTGGATTTGAGGGTACGGGTTGTAACCAAATATCTAAAATGATATGTTTTGATTAGAAATTTAGAAATCGCCATAGATAATGTAAAGAAAATTTGTATAGGTCTTCTTTTTTTAAATGTCATATTATAGCCTAGACCTATTAGGTTAACTTTATTAAATAATAGGAAATTATTTTTTCATACATATTTCAAATTTTAAAATAAATATCAACCTTGTCTTACCGGGTAATGCCTCAACAACGACAGTTTCGAAACTGTCGGACATTCATAGTGTTTGTTGTTGTTATAGTAATAGAAACCATAAAGTAAACTGCTTGAAATAACCAGAAATAAGAGTTTGGAAGTAACCGGTCGAAGGTGGCTTCGCAGTGTGAAAACAGCCATCGCCACGATCACAAAGATCCGTTTGTTCGACGGAAAAAAGTTTTATCACCGATTCTGTTATTAATTCGAGTAAATAACATCGGAAACAATAACTTTTTGGTTACTGTATTTCAGGATTACGGTATCGGGAATATAAAGGAGCTACCATTTTTTAAAATATAAAGTTAAATACGGTTTGAGGATATTGCTATTAGAATGTTATGTGCTTTTTTATGATAACCTTGGCGTATTACTGTAGTAAACCACATACTACAAGCAGAATGCGAAGCGACGTGTCTAAAGTAATAGAACAGGTGATGTAGGTATACTTTTAAAAGGAACGCTCTTCTCTTCATTTACGTTCTTACTGTTCTTGAGGGCTGTCAGATGTGGGGTTGTTATTGTTATGTAATTGTCTTCAAAACAGTCTTTTTTGAACTTTCAATTTCAATTCGGGAGTTTTTTTAATTGTCAAGTATTTGAATTGTCTACTGTAAAATTTTAACGGCGCTAGGACAAAAGCGGTTTTTGGACACTTGCGGATTTTGGACATTTGCGGATTTTTTAAAGGTTTTTTTAAATTTTTTAGTTAATTTAGTTCTAGTATGGTACTAAATTGTAATAAAGTTTAAATTGGTGCGGTTTTGACATAACAGTACCTTTTTGGGCTTTTAGTACCATTCAGTACCAAAAAATATAAAACAGTACCAATTTAAAATTTAGTACTATTTAGCACTAAAACATTAAAACAGTACCAATTTAAACTTTAATACCATTTAGTACCATAATACAAATAAATTAACTAAAAAATAAAAAAAACCCCTTTAAAAAACCCGCAAACGTCCAAAATCCGCAAGTTTCCAAAAACCGAAGATCCGGAAGTGTCTAAAAACCGCATTTGTCCTAGCGCCATTTTAACATAGTTTTTGTTTCAATGTGACATATGTGTTATAGGGTTATATTGACCATGTTTATACTAATGTTGTGCTCGTTAGAATAACTTAAATATACCAAAAGTCTTGTTGGCTTCAGCAAGATAATTCTTAAAACCTGATTCTACTGTAACAAGCTCTAGTCTGCTTCAAATGATAAAAATAGCTGATAAACGCTAAGAGATATCAACCTCATAAAAGCTATGATAACAAGAATAACTTTGGTAACCAGGAAGTAACTGTACGAATTCTACCGTTTGTTCACGCCGAATCACGTTGACATAAACTAGATCTTGAGCTCGGAATCTTGAAGCGTTTGTTATTGTGTTTTTCAATGTCATCGAGCGATCACTCAAAGAACAGGATATGAATTTGGCTTTTATTTCAACGAAAACGTAGTCGAGTACATTGTAATGGCAGTGTGTGGTTTGGGCTTGCTAACTTACTGTTTACTAGCTTTATAGAGGCTTATTAGAAAATATTGTAGTAGGCTATATAAATCTGTTGCTATTCTGTATTTTAAATCTATTTTTTACTTTTTTGACTCTTATGTATTACAATATTTTTAGAAATACAGTACTAGTAAGACTAGAAACCGTCACGGTACTACTTCTAAAAGCTCGTATATTACTGTAGTTTATTTATCCATTTCGAAAACATTTTTAAAGATTTGTATAATCTTCTCTTCGTCTTCCTCTAGCCCCTTCATCACGCCGTTCGATCCGTCTATCTCAACATCTGCAAGCTCCGGAAAGTTACTCTTTGCGCCCTGAGGGCGTTGTGAAGGGCTTTAATGGCTTGAATTTAGGTCAAACCCAAAAAATGTCTGTTGCTTAAACAAATTTTTGTCATAACTAGCAGTGATGTCTGTAAAGTGCTCTTGGGGGTGTTTGTGGCTTGGGTGGGGTATATTGACTTCGGTAGAACATATTTTACTTGAGTTTTTAATCCTTATAATCGACTAAAAACAGCCGTCTCTTAATGGCCATTATTATAATAGTGCTTATCACGACAGTTTACTATATTTATCTGCTTTAAAAGCTGTGTTCTGATATCTTAGACAATAAAAATAGCTTTCTGATCATACGGACCACAAATAATACTATTTTTATTACGTTCCAATCCCTTACAGTTTCGAACATAAACAACATTGATATATCGCTTTTCCAAACCCCTTTTACATTACTGTGCTGTGTAACAAACCGCGTTTAACCGTTTCGCTTCCCGTTTATATTACACTGAACTTGCAGAGACATGACGATCTCTCAATTAAATCCCGATGAGCTCAAAAAGGTGAATCAGTTGCGGAAGCTGGTGAGCGAAGAACTCAAACCCGGCGACTACTACAACACCGATTTCAATTTATTGAGATGGATTCAAGGAAACTGCCACGATTCGTTGGAAGAAGTGGCCAAGAAGCTGAAGACGCATCTGAAAATGAGGTATATTAACTTAGATTCACAAAATATTTTAAAAAGGGAATTTTTAAATTCTTTTCACGAACAATATAGCCGTATTACACTTCATAAAGCATCAAAAAATAATATTTTTAATATTTTTGGTAAAAAGCTTGAAACGCAATGCCAAAACTACCTAAAACAATATTTTTTTAAATAAAAAAATGAATTTTCAGAAAGTCCTGCTGGAACCTAGATGAAATGGCTAGAAAACCAAGGAAACATCCAATCCATAATCATTGGAGATACGGAATTACATCTGAAAGCAAAGTTTTGTCAAATGTGATCGTTAACATTGAACAATGCGGAGAGACAGATTACTCTGGTATGATTGAGACATATTCAATTCAAGAAGTTATGAAGGCACGATGCCAAGATTTGGAAGATCTTTTGGCTGAAGTTATGGAAATGGAGGCTAAGACTGGTAAGTGGAAATATTAGAATGATGTTTAATAGTTTAAAATACGAAGTGTTGTTGCTGAATTGCCTAAAATTGTTTGTTATAATAAGTAATTTTTTATAATTTAGGTGATTAAAATTTTAATTCCTTTAGGGTAATGTTTTTTTTTCACTACTAATTCAATCTTTAAAACTTACTGTTTATTAAAGTATTTTCGTAATTAGGTAACAAAATTATTATGTTTTATTTTTATGTTACAAAGTTCACTTCTAGGTCGTCAAGCTTCAGTACTGTACATTATGGACCTAACCGGCTTACAATACAACACTAGACTGTACACTTTGGTAACTGGTGCCATGAGAGCATTATCTGAGTTTATGGCTCATCATTACGTTGAACTGATTAAGTACTTCCTCCTCGTCAACGTACCTTCATTTATATACACCATCTGGATGGTGGCCAAGCCTCTGATTCCAGAAAGAACTCGTCACAAAGTCAGAATCTTATCGTCGCATGGTTGGCGTGAAGAACTTCTAGAATATTCTTGTGTGGAAGCGTTACCTACAAAGTGGAATACCGATACGATAACACACTTCGAAGCCAATGTAGACTTGCCTGTACCGTACCCAGTGGAGAACTATTACCGTAATTGTCCTAAGGTAGTGAAGGATTTGGAGAAGATACGATTGGCAGCCAGGAAGACACAACTGATAACAAAAGAGTTGAAGAAGGGCGACATGCTCAGCTGGTTTGTCAGTGCTGATGCTGACTTTGGGTTCGGGGTCTATTTCACAAAACATCGAGAGGAAAAGAATCTGGAGAAGTAAGTTTTGTTTATTTTACAGTAGTCTTAACATGTTACGGTTGTGTTACAGTAGTTTTTATTTTCTCTACTACAGAGACGCATAAGATACGAAAGTTATGTATACATAAAACTTGTGCCACAAATATAACTATTTGTCGCGCAAGTGTTTATTTGGTATTAAGTTATCTCATCAAATAATGTTACAGCATGAGTACAGTATACCCATGTTTGGAGTGGATGCCAGGACCTTCAGAATCTCCACTTGACGGTGAAGTAGAAGCTCCAGAAGACGGTTATTATCGTATTTGGATGTCGAATGAACGAGCATGGTGGCATACGTTGTCATTACAGTGTAAATTCGGTGTAAACGAAAACGTGTAATTATCATTTTGTACAATACGTAGTATTTTGTATATGAGATGTTATTTATATACCTAGTATAATATCTTATCATTTTTTATAATTTTTTGCTAATTTATCTTCACGATGCTCATCGTATCAAGGTAATTAAACTTTAAATTTTTACTTTGGAATTTAAATTTTTGTTATTGGTCAAAAAGTACTAAGAAATGCCTTTTGATTGATTTAAAACATTTTTAATTGACTTAATTAAACTTTATCACAATAAATCAAACATAATAAATCCAAAAGAAAAAACTATTAATACTATAAAATGAGTAAGATTTGAATCCCACGTCGTAACTCTGATAACAACATCCACAACAAACGTGTGGAATGTGTAGATGTACGTCGGAACAAATGGATTTGTTTGATGTGACCTAATTTGTTTGTGAAGATTCTCCTGAATTCAACGTTTTGATTCATTGTCGAAAGGCATGAACTCCGTCATCCTTGTTATCTTCACTTGTTGTTGCGTTATTGTAAACGGGTTTACGGTGTACGGTAAGTGAGATATGTTTTTTAAAAAAATATTGATTTACAAAGCAAGTTTAGTATGGTATACTTGTAAAAACGTATTGTAAAACACGGCTATTGGTGGGGGGTTTGGTGATTTTCAGTGTTCATCTGCACACATTTTTATACACATTATAAAGTTTTAAAAGTCATAAGCTATACTAACATATAATACATTAAAAAGAAATTTCAGACCGCCGAAAGCCTCAAGATGACTTAAACCCTCAACTATGGGCTTCACATTCGGAAGCCTTTAATCATCCTCTAGAATTCCATCAACATAAACCTACTCAAGCCGTCGCTGCCTTACCTCAACTGTTAGAAGAGAATCCTCGAGCTGAAGGAGTTTTTAAAACCTTGAGTTCTTTGCCAATCCTCAATTTAAAATTCAATGGAACGAAAAGGTAAAGAAAGTCATCGACCAGGACTTACCGTTCACCGACAATCACCAAAGTAAAATCGACAAGTTTGATCGTGATCTACTTGGAAGTCGAAGAAGCTAAACTTGTGTGTTAGTGACTAAAAACATCACTTTTAGTGTACCAATGTTATATGATCTATCAGTGCAATACTATATTTAAAAGCTAACCAATTATAAAGTACCTACCTGTAAATACATACTATTCTAGCATGCATATATGTTTATTCACCCAACTTGTAAACTCCATTAAATCATGTTTATGTCTGCAAATAAACTGTAGCTATTTGAACAAGATGTCATATATCATGAAGGTTTAAAGTATCTTTTTAATACGCGTTCAACCGACCGCTTAATGACAACCGGAATCACGAAGATTCCGGAACGTAAAAGATATATCTTTGAAACATGATAAACATAGTTAAGTATTTACATAGTAATATACTAAATATAATAGTTTCTTGTACGTGTTCAATTTTTTTACTATTTTTTGCGTTGTAAAAAATTTAAATTTTTTTAATTTTTATTTTATGATTATGGACTGATTATTTTCATATAAATATGTACTATTTTTAAAGAAAAAACATTTTTTTGATTTAACTAGTTTTTTTTCTGTTTTTACGTCCATCTCTTTGACACCAGCTTTGTATGCTTTTAAACAATGCTGTAATAATCTCGATCTTCTTCAAGGTTTCAACGCTTAACAAGATTGTTTTCCTAAAAATCCAAATTTTTTAATGTTAATATCTTTACTATAATTGTACTTTTATTTTTTGCTGTATTTTAGTCATGTCATTATCAGCAAAGGATGGCATACAAACAATTGAAGAGGGTATAATAACACATCCAAAAATGTTAACAGAAGATAGGCTACAAGAAATGGAGAGAACTCTTCAGTTTTTCGTCGAGGAGCGCTTGGCCAGGAAAGAACGAAAGTATAAAGTAAGCATTTACTTTAGGCTTTACATATATTTCAGGTTAGTCATTTTTGTTTTGGTAGGTAAATAAGATATTTAATATTGCTATTACCAAAACATTTTTGAAATTTTTCAAAATATAAGCAATTTATGTTTCAGAAAGCTTGTTGTGCCATTGTTTCGATTTGTGCAGCTCTATTATTTTTTGTCATTTATGCAGCGATTGCTACAACCTTCAACCAAAAATCGCCGGCTGTGGCATCGGCGGCTGTTCCACAAGTCATTTTTGCATCATGCGTCTTAACTGGCATTATCTGGTACAATCTGGAACCGTGTTGTCGACCACAAACAAAATGATGATAATATTTTTAAGATTCGTAATAATTAATAAACAATATTTTGTCATTTTATTGACACTGTTAATAAACTTTAGTTTTTTCAGTATTGAATTTCAAAAGTTCTAAAAAAAATACAGTGGAGCTCTTGTATACCAGATCGGATTTTAAAATTTTTCATTATAAAAAAGTTTCGTTATACGGAATCTTCTTTATACAGGAGTTCCACTTTAGTTATCAGTCTAGAATATACAATTTTAAAAGTTATGTTATAAACGGGATGACTTATCTTTTTTGTTTATTTCCATGTAATTCAATATTTGATGGTTTATTTTGGTAAAGGATGAGTTTTGAACTGATTTAAAACTTATGCGTACTAGAACTTGATGTAGCTTTGTTTTATAGACATGTCTACGAACCTTCAACTAGAAAGAATGGCACGGCAGTTAGCTAGACCGCCACAGCCTATTGTAACAACAAACGCCAGTACTTCTTTGGTAAGATGGCATTATATTGCGCCTCATTTTATAGATTAATTTTTGTCTAAAATTTTTTTTTACTATTTTTGGATTTGTAATTGGTGGAATATGTTGTACTACATATGTAAAGTACAATCGCGTAACTTAAAATATTGTTTTTCAGAGGTTACAGCTAGCAATTCTTGTTGCTATATCTACCGCGTTGTTTGTTTTTGCCTTTGTAGTATGGTACTGTGCAGACGATATATTCCCTCGAGATGTGAGTATAGCAGTGCAAATTCAACTTTTTTTGTTGATGTTGACTCTAGTTGGCGTTATTATTTACAACTGTTTGATGACAGTATGCGTCAAAGAGTAGTACTTTTAATAAAGTATAGAGTGTAAATAAATGTAGATAAAGTATAAATTTTCAATGATAATTTTTCGTGATTACCACTTATATATTATGTTTCACTACCTTACACAGTACCAACCTTTTCGTACCCCGATACCTTGAACAATACCATATTTTATAAGATAATCATCCTTTGACATTTTATAAGTATCTAATCAGCAAAGATGAAACAGTTTATTAGTGCAAAAATATAAATGAGATTACTACAATTTTCAAAAAAAAATTGATGGTTATCAAAATCATTGTGACAGTTGGCTGTCGCTTACTTTTGAGCCCATTCGACCTTTTCTTTCTCGGACTGAAAAAAATATAAATTTTTAAAAACTGACTAAAATCTACCTTGTTTTTAATTAAGTTGTTCAGTTAATCCTGTGCCCATTCGCTCCAAAAATGTTTTTGAGGAAAGCACATAATTATTTGAACAATTTAATAGTAAGATACATACTCTTTAAAAACTGAAATTAAATGGAAACTCACTTCTTCATCCATGGCGAACTGTTTCTTGTCGATGACTTTGAGGTTGTTTCTGAAGTCCACCGTGTTTCCTTGTTTCTTCTTCAGCTTGTCGAATTTGGAATCTGTTTTGGAGACCTTTTTCAAAGTGGGCTTGACGCTGAAATTAAATGTAGTATAATACTGCACATAGAGTTAAATCAAAAAAATATTCTGCCCTTTTTACATTGTGTACAAGTACTAATACCTGCATTTCCCTAGTGTTATTAAGACTAACTCAAAATTTTAATGATTACAAATAAAGATCGTTAACTCACAATTTTCCTCTCAAATCATTAACAGCGATAGTCAATTCGTTGATTTCAAAGTCCTTTTGTCGCACGGTGTAGCTGAGGTCGTACTTGTCGCTTTCCAAATCTAAGACTCGGCCCTTGAACTTCTCAATCAAACTTTGAAGATCAGAATCCGATTGAGAATCCAGGTCAGGCAAAGGAATAATACGATCTTGGAGAATACGTTGACGTTCTTGTTCGCGCAACATTTGTTGTTGCTTCAGATCTTCAGCCGCTTTTAACATAAGCAGTTTCTAAAAGTTTTTGATTTTGATAAGAACATCCGAGTCAATTGTAACATATCAAAAAATGTTAAACTTTACAGTAATTGTTTATGTAAAAATGATAGTATGGTGAGCATAGTAGTTATGTTAACTTACTCTCAGCTTCTTCTTTCTCTCAGGCGTCAAGAAACCTTTCTTGGCATTCTTCATCCTTCCGGCTTCTTCCAATCGCTTACGGACTTCAGCCTTCTTCCGTTCACGCTCCATAGCGGCTTTTTCCTTCTGTAAATAATGATGACATATACCTTTTTAAATTAAAATAATAATTCAAACGAAAAACAAGTAAAACAGTACCTATTATTCATTATAAATAACTTTATTATAAACAATATTATTCATTACTTTATGATAGTATTGTAGTAATCAGGAACCTTTACACAATAGTGATCAAAACTCTATATTAAGACTTACTTCATCATCGGCCTGTGGGCCTCCCCAGCGGTATTCCTGTTCGACCTCCATTCTTCCAGAAAAACAGCCAAAGTTTGGGTCTCGGGAACCGAAAGAATCGCTCAAGATCCTTGGCCACCCTCTTTCAGGCTCGATCAGATCCCCCGAAGCGGGGGCGCGCGAAGCAAGTCAAACTCATCACGATATACATCTCAGTGATCGAAGAGATCTCCAAACACCTCTAACTTCAAAGAGATATCACAAGATCTGTCAAGAGAACCTTTAGATACTACTACCTTCAAAGAGAACTCTAAGAAACACAGATATCGCTACAAAACAAACAATCAGGAAAAAGGTTTTATTCACTATATTATACATGACAAGCGGAGAGATCTCTTATGCACGGACACATTCCGTGTCCTGGAACTGGCTGAACGTGCTCCAGCAGTCCATAGAGCGGGCTAGCCTGTCGCCGTCCCGCATTAAATAATGTTTCTTGAGCAATTCTGGACTAGAATCTGTAGATTGACTACCGAAGAAGATGCCTTCCGGGTTTCCGATCAAAAGATATCGAGATTTTACAGCATTTTGTCGCGTCATCACATGACATTGTGTGTTACATTCTCTGAGCCATATCGAGAAAGTTTCGGGTTCTGCAAAATTGATTTACATATATTGATAAATAAATGAACAAGTAAACTTATATCCATAAATAAAATTTACTTTTTTTGAATATAAGCCAAAATTGGTCTTTACATCGTATTTTACCACAAAAAAACATAAATCATAAAAAATTTTAAAAAATGTAAAAAAAGAAAAACATACCTGTAACATTGCCATACCATTCAAGAATCTTGACATCATAGACATCGTAATTGGCCCCTAATCGTTGTTCGACCCGTGTATTCACTATTCTGAAGATCACAGCTGAAAAAAGGTTAGGTTAGCCTAATTGATGTTTTTTGACTTCACAATTAAAAAACCCACCAAATCCTCTATCATTGTACTCGTGACAAAGCTGCTCGACAGTAGTACTACTACAGTTGGTACACTCTGTTTCGCACGTAACTTCGGCACAAGTACAAGCTCCATTCTCGAGACAAACAGTCTCGACCACTGAGCTTTCAGACTTTGATTCTAGTAAAGTTCTAACTTCACGTTTGCTTCTCGATTCTGAGACAACTTGTCCTCTAAAATCTTCTTGTTTTGCACTGTAATCAACTTTATTATCCGCAATACTGTAGACATGACGTTTCCTTCTGAAATCCATGGCCAAAACTCCTTCGTTAAAGCTGACATCTTCAGATCCTATAACCAAGATACCAACCACTCCATTCTTCTTAGCAATGATAGCAATTGGAGCCAGATTCTCTGGTATGTAGCCGTTTTCCGGCTCACTTACAGTAATATTATATACAGTAGGAACGTCCTTTTCCAAATTTTGTAAAGCAAAGTGAGCGGCAGTCAAAGAGAATTGAACTGGACTGGCTAGTTGGTTACCCTAAAATTTAACTGAAAATTATTAAAATATCTAGAAATTTACCTAAAAACATAGAAGTTAAGTATGTTAATAAAGATGTGAACAATTAACCACAATATTGTACTCACTTCAGTTTGCAGGTATTCTCGTCTTGAAGTGAATCCTGTGAAGAAACCATGTTCAATTTGAATTGTCTTTAGAAGCGCTGAATGTGGCCTAAAATACTTCTGTTGAAGCAAAGTAAGAGTAAAATACGTTCCGTACCTAACCACATAAAATATGTTAAAACATACGTAATAGCGACAGTTTGAGTAAAAGAATTATTCGGATTTCTCTTTTGTCGCATCTTGATTTCGACCGGATAAATGTCGCTAGGATCTCGTTTCGACCGTTTTCTCTTTTCTGTCAGTACTCGCACTCCCAGCACTAGTGGCGAATCACCAAACGATGCTACTTGAACGTTCTTGGCACTTGTCGGAAGCTAAAATTAAGTTTATAGTAGTAAGACTATAAATAAAATAAGCCATAGAAAACTTAACTTTAAATAAAAAAGTTGCATGATGTAACACGATATATTAAAAAACTAAAAAAATCATAACTTACACTCAAAGCTAACGGTAGATCAGTTTCATTAAAAGTGCGACCATTTTTCTCTCCTTCAACGGATATATTACCCACCAAATGCTTCACAAATCGATGTCCAACTTGTCGTTTGCCATAAACATACAATGCTCGTAACCCAAAGTAAGTACTCTAAATTCCAAATGATAATATTAATAATAACTTTAAAAACTTCAACATTAACAACGTTAGTAGCCTAATTTTAATCAAAACTGAAGCTACAACAACAAAAGAATTACCACAGGCGTGTCGTACTGTCCATTACTATTCTGTTGCTCCACCAGCCATTTACTGAGCTTGTCGAAGTCCAGGTGGTTCTTCCAGTAGTTGTAATCGCTTTCCTTGGCAATAAAGGCCAAGATTCCAAGAGAATTTGCGAGAACATTGGCGTTCTGAAAACAGTTCGATAAATAACGTATTTTACTACTATTCAAATATCCTACCTGGTCAAATACGATTTAAAAGTTCTAGAAGATAATAAGAACTTACCTTTTGAGCCGATTCTTGTAAAATATCAACTGATCGATCGTTTTCATCTTGATTTAGGTTCACAGTCCAAAATGGAAGCTCGTTGACTAAAAAAGTCGCTTATTTTAGGTATAATTAACAATATTTTAATAATAACGATCATATGCGTAAGATTTTACAGTAAATATCAGTTTCCGACAAAATTTTGTCCAAATTATTATTATTATATTTTAGTTCTCTTGCGCCCAACTATTTGCAAACTGCAAAACAAATCGAAAAAAGTGCGATTTTTCGATTTTTTGGGCCAAATCTCCGCGAATTTGTCAAAAAAAACTTACGATCAGCCTTCTGAACCAGCCTGTCCTTTTTGATAATGGAAGTAGAAGTGGTAACAACCCTGGCCAAAGCTGCATCCAACCTCAAATCTCGGTAAGTTTGACCAACTTCGTCGAATCTGAGACTGTAAATGTGTTTCCAAGCACTGGAGTTGTTAACGCAGGTGTACTTCTTGCAGTCTCGGCCTACCCAACTGATCAAGGCCAGCAGAAAGTCCTTGCGGTCTTTTTCATTTTTCTAAAAAAATTATACAGTTTTAGAAGAAAACTAGTTACCTAAAATATTAATGCTGGTTTTAAGGGTCATTGTTTGAGAGTTTAGGACAAATATCAAATAAAATTTACTAAAAACTTATTTTAAAATTAAATGGTATTAAATAAAACAAAATAGTGAACTTACAAAGCTCATGGTGTTGATATAAGACTCGGGTTTTCTTTGAGTGTCGCTAGAGGCTAGATCGGCAAAATATTCCATTGGACCACAAACAAACTGGTCTGCCGCGTTTTGTTCACACAGTAACGATGTGGCTAGAATACTGAGTAAAGGGTCGCGTTGTGGTGGACTAGCTGGTGCTCCATATTCTCCAAAGCCACAAATTTGGCCATTTAGGGTAGAGGTGCAATCAGAGTAAGTGAGAAGCTCGGATAGCACTAAAATTGTGTGATTGATTATCTTTCCTGTTTATTTATTTTTTCTTATTATTTGTTACCTAAAAGCGTTTTTTTAATTTTTATATTGTTTAAATGTTAAATACACTTACAATCTCCGACGACCTTGTTGTAATCGTCATCTTCGTTGTTCCCTCGAGGCCTTTGATAGGTAAGTTGTGACAACTCTTTGATGACAGAACTTAACCCATACGACACACTGTTATCACGGCGTTGACGACGTAACAAACGTAACCTATTCTTCTTTGGTTTTGGATGGACATTCGAATATTCCCATTCTGAAGGTAAGATTATTAATTTTTTAGATTTTGATTTTATAAGTCATATACACAATGGCAATTTACTACTCAATGGGTTGCTGTTAAGGTAAGAACTTGGATTTTTGCGTTTGTTATTTTAGATATATTTGTTTTTCAGTTTAGTGGTGATATTAGGAACGAAATGCTGTTAGATTGTTGTTATTGTTACCTGAAAGCTCAATTTCCGAGTTGAAGATGTTCTCATTCGACTGTACTTTGACGTCTGCTAGCATTGTTCCGTTGTCCATGAATTCTTTTTCGAATTCTGAAAGAAACCATTAAATTAACTTAAAAAAGTTACCTTATATGGTAAATCAACAACAAATAGCATAACTTACGTATTACATCAACCATGTGTCGAGGAACCGCATCCAATAGATGTAACGTTGGATGGATTGGCTTCTGAAGAACGACTTTTCTGAAGTGTTCGTCAAGATCAACTCTATGGGAAACTTTTACGTTTATTTGGATACGATCATGCACATGTAACTCATCATCGCGACAATGCCATCTTCCAACCGAAAAGGTAGGATTATCGACTAATTTAAACGTCAATTTGTGTTCTCCAACCTTGAGGAACTTGACAAAAATGGACTTGATTACTGATTGGCCTGGATGTAACGTGATTTGACTGTATTCTACTTCTCCCAAGATACCATTTGAGCCTACATCGCCACAGACGATAGGGGACAGGAAGTCGAAGCAGATTGAGAGCTAAATATGGATGTATATGATAATTACATTATGGAAGAAAAGGTAAAATACTCTTCCGGAAACTTCTTTATACAAATGATTGTAACTTTAAATTTTTAATTATTATTTTAAATTGTAACATATTTGAAACTATGCTTATTACCTGCCTACTGTCAGTATGATCTCCACTAACTGTGATTCTCGCCTGGATTGTCTCATTTTCATATACATGTAGTGGTATGTCTACATTCATGTATATCTTCCGTTCGATTTGAATGTTGTGTGTCGGTGTAGTGCACATATCAAAGCGTTTTTGGGTCCAAAACCCAGATTGTAAAACGAACCTTGTCACCGAATGAGGGCTGGCCAAGCTTAAGGAAGCTTCTCCACTTTCTCTACAATAATATTTTTGAGAGTTAGTTTAGCCGTAGTAACTGTATTTTTTCCAGATTTTATGAATTGCTACGTGATTAAACGGAAACGGTTACTTTTTATTGACTTACGGCATCACATAGTCCTCGAAAAGCCAAACTTCAGGGAAGAAGTCTCGTATAGAGTCTTGTTGTTCTTCTTGTTTAGTACCGGGATCATCTTGTGATGGAGCCGATTGTAATGTCAAGACCCTTTCTGTTGTAGTTGCTGGGCGATCTAAAATTTTTGACAATATTAGTCAACTATGAAATTTAAAATTTTTCGTCGTTTTTTTCGCAAAATATTTACATGGTCTATTAAACATATATGTATATGATGTATATTTTGCAATATGTAGACGCAAACGAAATGTTGTACTTACACCAACCAGGTCCAGCGAGTAGAATTCGTGGAGCTTCAGATGGATGTGCTGCTTCAGTACCATCTCTAACAGGAGCTTGTTCTATTCCACCTCGTTTGTTGCATTGATAAGTGATGCCGGCCAAACAACTGTCAGAAATGGCAGAGTAGCCAACATGATGTTGAACATCACAGGTTACTACATTCATGGCTGCTGTGTGACACAGGGTTTTGACTTCCTCGAACAATGTTCTCACGTTAAGGAAACCGTTAAGGTACGATGTTTGTGAGGAGAAACTTTCTGGTCGATGGAATTCTGAAAAGTAGTACATCTTGTGGCGTTTGTTGTGATGGTTGTTCTGTAGGGAACTTTCTAGTCTAGCGTCTAGAAGTCGTAGTAAGGCTAGCGATTGAGGTTCTCCTTTCATTTGGACGTTTAGATTCTCTCCCACTTGGATATTGCTTTGTGATACGGCTACTGAGTACTGTAATATTGTTTTTAGAGGTAGGAGGGTTGGTTAGAGGGCGTGGGGGACGTTTTGGGTAAAGGCGGGGAGGTAAAAAGTGCTTTTTTAAGGTAGCAAATTGTAAAGAATTTAAAAAAAAATTTTTTTAATTGTAAGAGTGAACTTAAATTTGTGTGCTTGTTTATCGCTTACCGTATCTTGAGGACATTCGTGTGTATCAGCGTAGAATGTCCACATGTCTACCTTATTATTCGTAGCACTAGCTGAATAGACGTATACTGTACATAGACCACTGATAGGACCGGTTACTTCAAAGGCCAATTTGTCGCCATTCAAAGTACCATAGTCTTTTACTTGGTTCTCACATACGATCTAAAATAGTTTTTAAAGGTACATAGGTAATAAAAAAGGTCATAATATTATGTAAAATTAGAAGTCTTCTGTCTTATAATGGTATAATAGCTTTGCAAAAGCCGAAATTTTTGAAATGTTATTGAATTGAATGTCACATTTTTGTTGTACTTACCGCGTAGTTAAGGTCGTTGATGTGGGGGACTTTGAATTGAAAGATTTCTTTGTCGTGGTATACGAATTTGTGCTGCTTCCGAGGTGTAATCCAGTTGAATTGTAGCTGGTTATTGTGGCCGAGGTTAGGCCAGGCGAGGAGTTCTGCCGAATTTGCATCCACTTTGCCATTTGTTTTGGTAAAGGCCTAAAAGCTTTACTATATTAGATGATACGTTGCATACAACTGTATTATTATTTACCACAGTAACTTTTTTTATGTTATAGTAAATAAGTTTTAAGCCTGGTTTTTAAAATTTAAAATTAATTTTTCAAATTTCATCGTTTTTAAATTTCCAAAATTTAACGTTGAACTTTTGCCAGAGTTTTTCACCGCACCATGGATTACTAAGAGCGTTTTGAAATGTGCTTAAGTGGTATAATAAATGAAATATGGAAATCTGTAAAGCCATTAAGTAGTAGTGTTATCTCCTGTTCTTTTGCTTTTATATTGTAAATTTTTGGAAAAAACAAAAACCAATTGGAGGTGTCGTATCTAAACACGTATACGTAGCTGTAATTGATCGAAACGCGGTTGAAATTTGTCTTTTTAACTGGGTTTACTGCGTGCAAGTCTGTAACTTATGAAAGTGTAAGGGTTTTTGCACTTTTTCTGAATATCTAGAACATCAAGTCTTACTTTAATGACATTGATGCTGCAAAGAGGGTCCACATCGATTTTCGATGAGTAGTATCCATCAAGCTGTTGGAAACGGGGGTGGTCTACTTTTCCATTTACTGCGACACTGTCTGATACACATAAGCTTTCAATGACTAGTTCTGCTTCTGGTGATAGGGGCGATAGAACTTTTACCTGAAATTAGATGATCATTATTATGTTATATACTTATAAAAATATGAAATAGAATTTAAATTATAGTGAGGCTCAGAATTTCGTGCTTACTGTAAGAATTGCTGCTCCTATTGAAATTATTTACGTATCAAAAGCTACAGTGTGGGTTCACAAAGACCTATTGAATTACTGTAAATGTCTTTTTTTGCTTTTATTTTTGAATTGGATGAAGTCATCTTAATTAATGTCATTTCCATTGTCGACCGCTGTGGAGGGTCGATTCTGATTTTAAGGATTGATAAGGGTATTGTTGTTTTTTCCAATTCATTTTTGGCGGGTCTGGTTCTATATATGGTGATATTTAAGGCTATTTTTTACAATTTTGCTTTGTTTTGCGCATATTTTGGTGCATAATATTGAACATTTCAGTAATTAAGTCAGCTTGTGATGATATTATTCATTACTTAACTATTTTAAGCCTAAAATTTTCCAAATTGAATTAAAAAGTTAAAATTTAAGAAAAAGTTTAAAAAATGTAAAATTTTGACTGTGCAAAGTTCTAGAAACTTTTGAACTGCTAAATTCTTTATTTAGTCCTATTGTTAATTCAGCAGACCTCCCACCAAGTAGAAACCCGACATACCATGGTGATGTTACATCAAAATTGACACATTCTAATTACCCTAGCCTCATCTAAAATTAACTTAAATATACAATTACTGTTTAATTATTCATTTCGGGCGTCCTACTTTTACAATTTTCATACTTAATCTTTACTTGGATATAATTGGGGTGCATGTCGCGGCTACAATACTTTGGCACGGTAGTCTTGTTTGTTGTAGGCAATGTGCGGACTTTATAGTTATGAAATTCTACTTTTACGTTTGTTAGTTTTAAAGAAAATTGGGTGTATAATAGGTGGGATTGTGTGTAAAGTAAAAATATCGCTGTACTATCTTACAAATATTATACGGAACACGTATTTTACCTAAAACCTCTGCCATTTACTACTTTCCGCTATAAATTTACCTTGTGCTATAGATTATAGTTGGACTGTTTGTTTACATTTATTAGCTTAATCTCCCCGCCCGCCTAATTACGCCGTAACAAACAGCACTAGTTAAGTTAATGATAGATGTCGTTCCATTAATCAAAAATGGAACTTTTGTTGAGATTTGTACTATCAGGTCAAATTCAAAGTATAATTTTTTCCAGTTTTTAAATTTTGCTTAAACATGGATTTTAAAAATAATTTTATTCCAAAAGCCAATTTGAAATTTGATAGAACTTTGCGCAGAAGGAGCACTTATCATTGCTTGTTAGTCCTGTTTTTCGGTTATTTTGAATCTTCGGATTTGAATGGTTTTAAAAAGAAATTGCTTTAGGCTACGGAAGTTAATTTAGTTAAAAACTGGAAAAAATAATGCTGCTGGAAGAACGTTTTACTATACTTTTTGTACTTTTTATACTGACAACGTTTTTTTTATTTTTTTATATTAACATAGATGAAAAAAAACCAGCCTCATTGGACAGGTTTAAATTGGGCCGGGACTTAGTATTTATTTTAATATTTTCAAATGTTTATTTAAATTTTTTAGATATTTTCTGTAGAGGGGGAGGGAGGTAAACAAAAAGTTATTTTCTTGATGTATATATAACATTAAAAAGTCATTTTTGGAAGTGACATTGCATATTATGCCAAGTGGCATTTTCTGTTTTGTTTTACTCTAGGAATATTACCCTCGTTACTTGTCTGCTGGCCATAGCTTTAGGGTTATTTTTACAAATTTTAAAGTTTTTATTTCATTTTTAAGCTGTAAAAGTACGTATTAAGCTTGTGTTTAGTCTGTAAAAGTGCAGAAAGTACATGTAACGTCGACTTTGTAGTGTGTAGATGTATTTCTAGTTTTTCAAATCTTTTTAATACGTCTTCAAGCTTATGACTCTGCTTAATGGCAGCACTTTATACGATTTCAGTATTAACACGAGTTATGCTAGACACTATAACATAAAGTTAAAAATTAAAAACTAATTTCAAATTTATTACTTTCCATATTAGTACTGCCATATATAGTCTAACATGATTCAATTAGGGTGCAAAGGTCGAGAGTTTAAAAGATATGATCATGCCGTGAGGCGCTGGCAGACCGAACGATCCCCTAGGGGCATGGGAAGGTTTGGAACGCCGGGGAACGGTGGGTGGTCTACCCAATTATATTTGTATCGTTTAGCATGTCCCTGTTCGTATCTTGGCTGTTTGAAATGTTTACTGATAGTATCTTGGGCATTTGTTATTTCAAAGATAATATCACGGCAGTTACTGTAGTAAGGAATTGCACTTTAGGGGTTTACTGTGGTAAAATGAAATATGAAAATACATATATGGTGACATCGTTGGTACAAAACTGTGGTAATTTATCGTATCTTTGTTACCTGCTATGCATATATTCAACCTATATCTGACTCATTTACTATATTTAGCAATCGTATCTTACCCGTTTACTGTGTCTATTACCTAGTGGTTTACCATGTTTACTCTTTTGTATGTTCCTGGTCTACCGTGTTTATATCGAGTTATCTATGTTTACTACTTGGCTCCAGTAAATAACTTTTGTTGTTGTGACATCTTGCACAACATGTTTGGCCAGAAAATGTAAAAGGCGCTTTTATAATGTAACTCACCATTAATTATTGTAATGGCATGTTATTATCGCTTTTACTAAGAAGGAGTTACTCGGTAAACCGGTTTTTGTCACTTAACTATAAGTCATGTAAGTCGGTGTAGTAAATGATTATACGGTGTCTAGGTATCTTACTATGTTTTAGAGGTACATATTTCTTTTTGCTTTACCTTATCTTAGGTTTTACTACAGTAAAGTAATACGTTGGTACTATAAACAGTATTATGTTCTTTTAGACTTGATATCTACTATAATAACTTTTCAACTCTTACACCGTAGATGACTTGGATATGTATTTAGACGTATCAACATACCATATTTTACTATAGTAAAAATCCTAAGCCGATTAAATAACAATAAACACATACTCGGTACAGGATCGTATGTCTTCTAGCAATAATATTATGAATGCATGGTAACTGCTTTGTATCTTAATTTACAAAGGGTGGTAACTATTGATATCACAACGTTTCATTGACAGTAACTATTGATGTTACAAGATAAAATTGATAGTAACTATTCATGTTACAAGATAACATTGACAGTAACTATTGATGTTAGAAGGTACAATTGATAATAACTGTAGGTATCACAAAATACCATGGTATTATTATAGAATACTATTGATAAGGATTACTTGTATCATATTACCATAGTTTGCTATACTTGTGACTTTTGGCATCTTATTTTACTATAGTAGCTATTAGTACATTACCTTATAATGACATTTCTACTAATGTTGTCTTAACCTCCCTATTGATATAGCTTCCGGACTTTAGCACTAAAAATACAAGAAGCAGAAACACTGTATCGAGAAGTGTTCGTATGGTGTGCATATGTCAGTATCGGATTTCACCTGAGGGTTCGTGATCTTGCGGACAGCCGACTGTCTCTAACAAATTACGTGTTTTCTCCGCTTTCCAAGTACATTTACACTCACTTCCGCGCCAAAGAGTACTCGGTAAATGAATCGTGTTACTATAGTAATCATCGCTTAATTTATGCAAATTTAAGGACATACCATGGACATACGATGGTATGCACGTGTATATATAAACTTGTATAGGTACAAGGTGATGGGGGCACTAAGGGGTGCAGAGTTGCAAGGGGGTAAAACATTTTTTACTACACCTACATGTAAAAACTTACTGCTGCCAAACCCTCCGTATATTTGTGGAAATGTAAATATAGCCGAATCATCGTATGTTGTTATGATTGAGTCAAAATGACTAATTCCGGACTCTTCCCCCTCAGGCATTTTAATTAAAATTTGCACGATATTGTAGACGACACACTATGTTTGTACTGGCTATCTTGTTAGATATTTAACAACATAGTCTGACTTATATGTACTTTTATGTCATCTTATCATATATGATTTTAAGTATAACTTGTTTTACCATGTTATAGTACATAAAGCGGGGGTATAAGACATTATAGCAGCGTATAATGGTATTTTAATCTTACCTTCAGCCTATCATATTAAAGACAATCTATGCTATCTCAAATAACGTAGTAAATTCCTAGTAACGTAGAGTAAAGTAAACCTACATAAAAGTGAGCTTCCTTTACATCTTCAGTTATGACCGGTCGAGATGTTATGATCTCCAACTCTGCACCTTTAGGATCATATTCAATTGCTACTGTCTCGGACTCTTGGTTACTGTCGGTTACTGTAGCCACCAGTTGTAAGGTAGAGTTGGTTGAGGTATAGGGTTCACAGGTTGATAGGCTGACATTCCCAGTCCAGATACCGTTTCGAATCTGAAAATGAATTATATTAAATGTTGTCATTTAGAACTTTCTTAAATTTGATTATTGATATTGTTACCTCAGGTCATACTACCTTAACTATGTAAAATATTTAGAACAAATTTTATATTAAATAATAATACTATGTCTTTAAGTAGTATCTATGCACTTCATATACTAATACTATCATCTATCAAACTTCAATATTCTATATAAAACTTGTGTCAGATGTACTCTCAAGCTTAATGTACTACAGTGTTATCGAAATTGTAATAACTTTAATCATTATTTACTTCGGAAATGTGTTATTGAACTCTAAAGTCACATATACGTGAGCAATAGCTATATATTAATGCAATTACAAAGTACGTGCACAATTTTGGTTATTACACTGCTTTTCATCGTATACTACAGGTCTTTGCCATTTTTAAGTTTAACTTTTCTTTTAGGCGGGTTTTCCACTTTTTTAAAATTTTTTTGGGGTATGTTTTATTAACTTTATGTTAACAAACTTAATTTTACAGTGCAAAATCTATGTTACATCTTTTTCTATCGCCTATGCTACTATATACACCCTTTATTTTACTACTTTTCACCATCTACAGCTAGCTTTACTGTTTTTAAATTAGTTTTTCTCTTGTTGAATTCAAAACCTTATTTTCCAACTCTTGCCATTATTTTTTGACTCCAAAACAAGTTAATTCAACGTCGTATTTTACCGTTATCCCACCAATGTAATTAGGAGATTAGCCTGGTATGTTGAGCGTCATGTTCCGGATGAGGAAAAGTAATGAAAAGATATATTTGTTTACTTATTGGTATATCGTGGGGTTACATTTAGTTGTATGCGGCTATTGCTGGAATACATATATGGATCTGGATACACAATAATAGGCGTATTTTGTGTTGCTGGGTTATAGTAGTGTCTTAATTGTCGTATTTTGTAGTACAGTAGTATGTTAGAATATTAGGGCTTCTTAATTATGTTATAAGGGTTTGTAGTTTTGTATAGGAGTATCTGCAGCTTATAATTAGCAGTATATTATGTTGTAGCAAATTTTTGAAATTTTCCAAAAGCTTTTGGTCAATTTGTAAAAAATTGTTTATAGTTTTCACACTTTCATATGTTTTACCATGGTTTTAAGTCAGAAAGGTTATGTAGGTACGAACATGCGTCTAAGCCTTTTTGAATTATTTTTAGTTACTTGTTTAAACTGTTTTAAAGTTCATTTATTTGTTGTAAAAGACATTTTTACTTTCAGGATGAATATTATCTTTCATTCCAAGTGTCTGTCACTTATTTTACTACTGTTTATGAAATGTTTAGATAAGGTTTTGGGTAGTATCAGTCGTTCCACTAAAGAATTACACAACTGCACAGTGCAGTCCCTGGGAAAATCGCGCCCTTTTTTATTCCCCTGCACTGTGCAGATTCCCCCGCGATCGCTTTCAACCCCAAACGATAATGGAAAGACTGCACAGTGCAAGCCCCCAGTTGTCGCACCGGTCCGTTGTCGCAGAAGTCAAGGGGCTTGCGACAGTCAAAGAAAACTTGTCGCAAACCTTCCATTGAACACGATGGTGACTTGAGCGTTGCGATAACAGCGACACGCTGTCGCGTCGCCCTTTAAGCCGCGATACGACAACTTGTCGCAAGGTTTTGCACCTTGCGACATTGCGATTCTTCTTTTGATGTCGCAGGGTGCAAGCGAATGTCGCACGACTCGCTGTATGTCGCGCGACATTCCCCAATTCTCGGCGCGACAGCGATTCCCTCAAATTGGGGTTTGCGATTTTGTGTAATTCTTTAGTGGAAAGACTGATATAATATAAATACAAAATGTTTTATTAAGCCTGGTTGAAACAACTAAATAGGTTTTTTATGTCTAGTAGTAGCAATTGTAGAATGTGGTTTTATAATATAATAATGTTTGAAATATTTTTTGAATATTAATTTCAAAAATGATGACAATTTGTGTACTCTACAGACTACAAATTTAACAATTGGTATTTTGGGATAGTACTGTTTATGTTTAGTAACTTGTAATTGAACACTGTATTTAGTACTTTTTATTATTTGTGTGTATTTCTGCTCTGACTACGTCAAGGTTAACATACCTGTTAGGTAAACTTATGTGCATATTTAAAAATACATCTGCATACGGTATGTGATCTCAGTAGAATCTTGTTATACGAAAAAATATTTATGATAAAACAATGTTTTATAATCCTGTGCATGTAGCCAAAAAATATATATATATATATTCTTGCAGTATCTATTATACTGTAATATTATACATTGTTTATAACTTCATATTACTACGACGATAATATGTATATGAAATAACTTTTAATTACCTCTAATTAGTTTGTCTCATCATCTCAGTTATCGCATGTTTCATTATTCTACAGTAATAAAAAAGTTACTATTACTAACATACGTGCTAATTGCTATGTGTTTACCAAACATACAATATTACTATCGCGTGTTTCATATAACATGCTCTACAGTAGGTCATGAGCTGTCTGGATGCATTTTGTAGTAAGTAGATCATGACATTGTAGATACGATTTGTCGTCAAAGTAATTAATAGCAGCTACAATACGTGTGTTCTATGAATCTTTGGGGAAATATATCTGATGTATTTGGTATCTCGCTATAGCTTTACATATTGTGGTAGTTGTTTTATAGTATCTTTGGGGTTATTGTAGTGAAATTGTTATGTGAGACGAGCTTTTTACATTTTGTTGCAACATACGATGATTTGATTAATGTAGCTCTTTTTGTTAATAATTTTTACTGTTATTGTAAAATTGATGTAGCATATGAAATTGTATCTTCAAAATGTAAAACATTTACTGTCTTTTGTAATTTTTTACATTTTAAATTTGTTTTACTATACTATTATATTATATTCTAATGTAGTTTGAATTCATCGTCCTATACTATATAGTATTGCACCTGAAAGTTATCATATCATAATAAACAGTCTTGTAGCTTAAATTCATCTGCCATAACTTATTAGTATTGTACTTCTCCTACCTTCCCACATAGTTATTGTATCTGAAGGCGGTATTACTTTCCTTTTCTCAAAATTACTGAAGCGTCACGTACTTTATTTTGAATTTATTTAAATTCAATTTGGCTTTCACCTGTTGGCTTGAAAGTTTGGCCCATTTACATTTTGCGTTGCCTAGATAAGGCATGCCTTCAGGGCCTATCACGCAACCAGTTTGTATGTGTATTCTGTATGTATGTATATGAATCAACGGAGGTGTGGGTTATTAATAGCCGCGGTTAATTGAATTAAAAAACTGTAAACATAAATATGGTATGGTATAACTGTTTAAAAAACAGTATTATGATAATGATGTACGAGCTTAACGTACGAACGACGATTGGGATTAGCTAGAGTAAGGTAAAATAGGGTAGAGTCGGCTATAGTAACAGTAGGGTAGGTGGGGTAGAGTAGAGTAGAGCAGGGTAGGGTAGGGTAGGGTAGGGTAGGGTAGGGTAGGGTATAGTAAGATACTGTAGAGTAGGTTCGGATTAAGGTAGAGTAGAGTCATGTGGGGTTTGGTAAGGTAATGTAGTTTAGAGCAGTGTAAGCTGAAGACAAAGGAGGACATTTGAGAGCTATATCCAACATACCATAGGGTATTCAAGTACCAGATCATCTTTTGATGACCGCGTGGTATATAACACTTTATGACCACTTAATAAGTTGTTCTTGATGTATTAAGCTTACTTCTATCACTAGCTTTACTTATTGGCAAGTACTTTTATCTTTTTTCATTTTTAAATTATGAAAATGGTTAGGAGCTATGATATGACAATAGTTGGCAGAATTTATTCAATACATATGTATTGGCTCTAAATGATAACAGTTGTAATATCATTTATAGGGTTGGACATTTACCGGTACATGTAAATTTACCGGTGAATTTACCGGTAAAAAAGTGTTTTGTGTCCTAGCACGAAAATTATTTTTGTTTCAAAATTTGTTTTTGTTTTGGAAAATTAGCAATATTTTGACGAAATATGTTGAAAAATATCACAGACCGTTACAAAAGAACAAATAATGACTACTTTTGCAATTATTGTGGTGCAAAATACGTCAGTAACCTTACAAGACTGTACCAACATCTTCTGCCAACAACTCACAAGGACGGAAAATTCGATTTTTAAACTTTCTTGTTGATTATTGATACTTTATGTACAGGTCTGTGATTTTTTAGCGTTACAATTGCACTAAGGCATCTTCAAATGATCAAGAACAGGTCGTGCAATTATATGAGCAAAAATGCGGAAAACAAAAGATTGCATCGAACCAAGCAGAGTCTACTGGACAATGGTCATCCAATCATCTATGACTAGCTACGTCAACATAACATATACCGGTAGAAAAAAAAGAAGTGGACAGAGCTATTGGACTTATAAGTTGTTTTTTAAAGTAAAAGAGTGAAATACTTACTATTTTATTGTTTTTGTTGTTTTAAAACGCTTATTAAACGTTTTAATGACATTTTAAAGTTTTTAAATACCAAATAATAATCCGGTAAATTTACCGGTAAAAACCGGTAAAATTTTTACCGAAAAATCAATTTACCGGTAAATGTCCAACCCTAATCATTTAGTTGTCTTGTCACTAATTAGCATAGTTATGTTATCTTGCTGACTAAAACCCTATTATCTTTTACTTCCGCGACAATTGCCAAAAGGGATTACAATAGACATTACTTTGCTTGTATTGTAAATATATTTTGCAAATATTTGCGATTTTTGATGACATATGTTTGTTTCTTATTTGATATGAATATTATTTTATTATCTTGTATTTACAACTACATAGGATGTACCATCATAGTATTTGTGGATTTGATATCTTCATTTAGGTGTCTTGAAAGTAGTTTTACTACAAGTATCTAGAAGGCACAGTAACTTGTCGCAGTAACTGTTCTATTACTTCTAGATACTTGTGCCACTTTTAGTTTACAATGTGTTTTCTGATATTCCGGCGTACTTTCGTAACATATATCTAAATATACATAATTATACCGGTTAACGTGCTATTATCACTCTTACCACGCCCACAGTCTGTAACTGTATTCTTTAGTTACCGCTTACAATTACTCTCAATATTTGAATTTTTTAGTTTGATTTTTATAATTCGTATTTTAGGAATGGATGAGGTCCGCGAGCCTCCGAAACCACTGTTTTCGGATTATATTGAGATGGTATACCTCGGCATGGTCATCTTGATTGGTGTGCCATTAAACATAAACGTATTCAGAAGGCTGGTACTCGAGATGAGGAAGACGCCCAGGCATAGTGTTAAAGTGAGTACCGTTTGATATTTTACATACTGTTAGTACATTTGGTATGATAGATAGTCGTTTTACTGTTCAGTAAGAGCTTATTCATATGTAGCTTCTATAACATACGGTTCGTATGTGAGGAGTTATCTTTCTGCAAGATACGATGACATCAGGCAGTAAACAAATGGTTTACGTTGTGTTTTGTCATATAACTGTGGCCAAAATCCTCACAATGATAAAGCTTTATGGCTTTTGTTTTTGAAGATACCATGGCATTACAATACCATGTTTTCTATTTTAACTCAGGAGCGTTCGTTTGTCTGCGGGAATCTTTTTATACGTACATACAATGCTTCATACTCTTTTACATGTAAATGTAATACATCTTATGACGATGATTGATTTTACTGTCAGTTGTTGACATATAATACCTTTGCATCCACTATAGGTGTACGTTGATATAATTAGACATATTACAGCTGTGACTGTATAGAAGATGTAGTAGCAGTACACAAGTGCATACGGAATGTATATGTTATAAATAAAACATAATCCGTTAATTGTAGGGCTACTAAGGGGCTAATAGTCAGCGCCTACTCACGTAAGTTGATTACTATGGTATCACACCTGTTATGAGTAGTACATGATGTTGAAAACATATGTACACTGAATGACCTTAGCTAGTCTGGGAAGTGTTGTGTTGAATATAATATTCACATAAGGCTAGGTGTTTTAAAACGTCAAAAATCAATAAAAAATTAGACGAAATGTCCACTTTTGAATATTTAAGAGAATTTTATGTCATAACTTTTAAGACACAGTATCAAGAGCATTACTATGACTATAAAATATTGATGTAATACCTACTTAACCTATAAAACTCAAAATTTTACAAAAACTTTGTTTTCAGCGCAGCTTCCTTCTCCTCAAAGTCAATCTCAACATCAGCGACCTACTCATCCTGCTAGTCCACGCCTTGGGCAAGTTCCTGTGGCTAGCGACATACGAATGGAAGGGAGGCGTGTCCCTGTGCCGTATCTTCAACTTCCTCTCCATGTTCACCTTATACCTCAGTTCCAATATAATCGTATGTATCGCATTCGATCGTCTTCGTACCGTGCTCGCTGCCAACAAGATTCAGCACGGTAAGAACCAAACGTTCTGCACGCACAGTCTGATATGTTGTGGATGGATGTTTGCGGTGATATGGAGTCTACCACAACTGTATGTGTGGAGGACGGTGAATGCGTTCAAAGAGCATCCAGGGGGGTGGATACAGTGTACTGACATCTGGGCCATCAACGACTTTCATCTGGACACTGAAGAACATCGGAACGACAGTTTGAGGGCGTTGATATTGAGGGAGGAGAGCAAAGACTTCTACAATCTGTCACATTTGGTAAGTGCTATAATCTCAAGCTACGATAGTATGTTTTAATATCTCGATTTACTTCGTATGTCATCTATGATAACATAGCTTCAAAATAATCTATTGTTTACTCTCAACATCATTGTATGTTAAAATCCGCCTACATTGGTTATCTTTTGCAGGTGTTCGTGTTTTATGGTCCGCTGGTGATGCTGATGGTATGTTACATCATAATTGTTATGAAGATAATGCATTACAACGTCAAGAACCCGGCGGTTGCGGTATGTGTAAACAATTAGGATAAATTGCCGCCTAAGGGGATACATAACCTTGTTGTTAGCCTGTATTAATATAATTACACGAATTTGGTTAGGAGTTGTTTGGCATATTAATTTAGGTATAGGTGTTACTTTGGCTGACAGTTTGTAGTTCTTCGGTCCAAAAGTTTATAGATCTTTTTAATTCAGAAAATTGTAAAATGAACTTTTATGTTCAATATTATGCCAAATTATTTATATTTTTCTATAAATTTTGTGACCAAAAATAAGCTTGAGGCTTATAACTCTTCAAAATATAGCCAAAATCTCTAAACAATATTCGTATTTTAGCTAAAAAGCGAAGTCCAAACCACCCTAAAACCCTACGATGAACTGTCAACGTATCGTGAGAAGCGTTTGTCATCAACCCGTAGCCTTCTCGACCTCAACTCCAACTCTCACACGTCACCGAACAGACATCGCCATTCAGCGGCCTTGATAACGACGCTAAAGGGATTCAGAAGGCACGACGAAGACGTCAGTTTAGCCTTAGAATCGGTATCATTAAATGAGAGTTTTATCGATGAAAAACCTTCAAACTTGTTTTTAATTCGATGGTTCCCGTGCCTGAGGGGAACGGAGTCTAAGACGGTACGATCAGTGAGTCCCATCTTCTCATCTACACCACCTTTTGGACATCCAGAAGGCACTGAGAGTTTGACGACGTTTAGGCAGGAGAAGGTTAAGAAGACGAGTAAGTTTGCGACAAGTTTGTATATCATATATATAAAAGATATATCACACCCATAAGTAACCATAACTCAGTAAAAACCTCTACAACACAAGCTAATCAATCCCTTAATTCCAGAGCTCTCCCCAATAACAGGCTGGCGACGTCACTTGAAGAGCCGAGTATTTAGAACGACACTATTGATTATTGTAGCCCATGTCCTGTTCTGGTTACCGTATAACCTGTATGCCTTAATTAAGTACATCAACGAAGACCTGCACCTTCGTATGAACGAGCATGCCAATGTCTTCAAGGAGTTACAGTTTGTGATTGCCATTATCAACCCCTTCCTCTACGGATTCACCGCCCAATAGGGTACCAAATGCACCGGTTACTGTTTTTTTCTACTATAGTATACTTGCTGTAGTACTATAATATAATAGTACGGTACAGAAAACTGGTGCTTTTGGTACTATTTGATTGTTAATTAATGTAGATGCTGATGTACATACTTGTTTTATATATTATTGTTTGTTATAATAATTATTAAACTCATGACAATATTGTGGGTTGTTGACTTAATTTTGATATTTTAGGTAGTGTTTTAGTTTTTAAGTATTACAAATTAAAAAACTAACTGTATTATATGTTCAAGTGTTCAATCTAACGTAAAAAATTGAAAAAGTTAGTTTACCATGTCATTATCTTGTCATAAATCCTACGTACAAGTTATAACTTATAATATATAACATTATACCATGCCGTAGTAATAGTATGTTGCCATCTCTAATCATAGGTCTTACTTAACTTATATGTTATAATTTACTTTCTAAAACTTTCTACGCGACTACGTTTTATAATATATAGTACCCTTTTTCATATGATATCACTACATTAAGTACAGAAACCCACCGTAGCAGCCATAATTTTGGTCTGTGTATGTGAATGTACATTAATATCACCAGCTCGAGTACACTTGAGTACGACGTTCCCATCCATGGGCTTGCCATGAGCTAGTCTAAAACAGAGTTCTATAGTATTATACTTCGTGATTTAACGTTAGTTATGTGATATATAGTAAAATCTCTTTAAATCATATTTTCATCATAATATAAGACTAACCTATACAATATACTATATACATATTGTAATTAAAGAAAGGTACAATCTTCTTGTTAGTCTTACTTTGCTCCAACAAATACAGTGACCGGTCGATCTTTATTGCCAGAGGGCTTTGCTTCCAATGAGACCAAGAACTTAGATAGTACTGTAAAATACGAATTTTAAAATATATATGAAAACTTTATCTTAAAATTTTAATTATTTACAAAGTAAACATACCATACTCCTTGACCTGAATAGTAGTACTGCCCAGCACTTGGTTACTCTTCTCACTTATCGCGACAATCTTCCATCTGCCGAACTTTCCAAAGGTCGGTAATGTAAAATTGAAAGCGACAAATCGACCAGTCGACTTTTCTAACTTTTTCATTATTCTGAAGCCATTCGGATTCTAAAAGCAATAAAATTTAAAAAAGAATGGCACTTACCTCGAGATGGTACTGTACTTCTCCTTCGTATATCAAGCCATCCTTGGTTATAGGCAGAGATCGTACTCTTACTGTAATTTTAAGTATTAACAAATATTTAAAAAAAATTTTAATACGGGTTACTAGAATTTTAATGTTATACAACATACCTTCTTCACTAGGCTTATATATCATCTTGTCAGTCTGTACGATAACTTCTTTTAGAGCAGTCGACCCCATCATCGTACTCTCAAATCTACCATGCCCAGTCACCTCGATACTGACATTGTAAAACGGTGCTCTTCCATTTGGTACCAACTCTACCACAACTGGTCGACCACTCAACTGGCCTCTCAAATCTGTTACAGTATCTTCAACACCCGGTCCTGTCAATGTTACCGTAATATCGACCGGTCGAAAGCTTCGGAACGGTGTAATGACGAACTGATTCTTCTCGTCCCAACTCACAACCGATGGTAACATCACAATGGGCGTATCTCTGCCCTCTACATTACTTATGGCCACCAACAACAAGATGGCCAAACAGCCAAAGGACATTGTGGACAAGTCGATTGCCATCACGATCAACTTGGACACCACTGTGCGAGCTATGAGTCATTAGAGCATTCGAACTGTCAAATCTGCAGAATAAACACAACGTTTATTTACTGAATGGGGTTTATATCATATCAGACGTACGATATATCATAGAAATGGCAATATATGATAGTATTAAAATAAGTACATATGTAATAGCATGAAAATACAAAAAATACTGTAGAATAAAGTTAAAAATAACACTGTTAAAAAGCACTTCTCTTAATATTATTATTAAAAAAACCTTTAATAAAGTCATTTTAGCCCCCAAAACAGCTGATTAAAAGAACACTCGTTATAGTCAACATAAACTATTATTGCCAAAAAGCATTTGCAGCAATATAACACAGTTAAACCAAAGTAAAATGTAAAAATAAGATTCAAAACTACTATTTTATCCTATTTTCAAATAAAATAACATAGTAAAACAATTTATAAACATGAGTTATAACCATATACTTAGTACCATAACAGCATTTACCCTTCCAATTTAAAAAAAAATTTCCAAAATTTAATAAAACCGAATAAAAAAAGTAAGATTACGTCATACGAAAGCCCAAAACGTGGTAAAAACGCATAACAACGATGATCTGAAGAGGGGAAATGGATAATATAATCTACTTTCACTTCTTTCTCCGAAGGCTTTTTACTCTCGCAGTTGGTGATAGTAACACTTTTTGGCGTGTTCTCAAGTCTTTTTAAGTAAGGGCGATAATGAACGTATCTTACAATATACTACTAATATATTACTGTATTTTTGATTTAAGAATCTAGTGATAATAATGATCTAATAATAGTTTGTTATATAAAACGGCATATATATAAATAAGTTGCGGTCAATTTTAATTAAAAAATGTCTAATAAAACACGCCGTTCTTTTTGCATCACCTTTTATTAAAAAAAACACCCTTTTACATTTTACTCAAAAGAATACCAAAAACTAGTTGATATTACCTAAAATATACTTCAGAACCCGACTGATCAACTCTCAAAGATCTCATGAGCTAATGTGAACTGTTCCAAGTGCACCGTTCCGAACATATTAATTAATCCGAGATATAAACACCCATCTGACCTTGAGATGGGCGCCTGATTTGATAAAAGTTCTTTCATCTCTTTGCTTTTTGCGATCAAAGTTAATATCAGTTTATCTCTATATATTACTCTAACTATCTTTATGTATCTGTAAATCTTTTGACTTGAACTATAGTATCTTTCGCTATATGCTCTAATATAACTGCATTTACCTCTCATTATGGCTCCTAGATGTTCTTGAACTGTCCCTTACTATCGCTCTACCTATCTCTTACTATAACATCGCATTACCTACCCTATATCATCTTTTAGCTCCTGAACTCTTCTACTAGAACCCTCAAAATTGATCTACCTATCTCTTGACCCCCCCCCTCCCCCTCTCACACCAGACCCGTTACTATGACCTTCCGTATCTCCTACTCTACTTCATGATATTGCTCTTTTCATCTCCAGTTGATCCGCTCTTAATTGAATGGCCATTTGTGCAAACATCGTCGTATCTTGTCGCTACATGCTTATTTTGACCTGTGAACTATTTTGCTTAAAGCACGATGACAGTAAGCGAATTCAGAAAGAACGATTGACTGTGCTAATCTTGTTTGGACGGTTTTGGAGAGCTTTTCAACAATTGAGTCATAAATAATATTGTAGTTGGAAAAAAGATTATCTGAACCATCAATTGCAAGATAGAAACTCAATTTGAAAAGAAGGGAAACGTTGATATCACTCTACTCAAAACGTACCTATAAAAATAGTTCTTAGACTACCATCATACTAAAATTACCCCTCCGGCCTTGGCAATGTTAATATTCTCTCTTTTACGCACACCTATACCTGTAATCATAACTGGCCTAGCCGCGATCTAGTGGCCCCTTTTCAGGCCTATTCACATCTGATTAAATTATTAGACCGTTCATTTAATTCTTTGCCTCATTTAAAAAACCAAAATAACGCGAATTAACAAAGATAAAATTAACTCGATGAACCTGCTTATTTGCTTGTTTTGTTCTACTTTTATATTTACAAGTAATGACTCATCTTTTCAATAACTCTCTCGAACTGTCAAAAACGTTCCCTCAGGTCACTTGCTCGTTTAAAGGTTTAATGAGAAAGTAAATATTATTAAAAAAATTATATCATACTCCCACTTTTTAAAAGATACCCAAAATAAAATGACAATTATAAATATAAAGTTGTTCAAATAATTCTGTGCCTCTTTCAAAACAACTTTTCACGGGTAGGAAGCACAGAATTATTTGAACAATCTAATACTACTATACGTAAATCTAAACTATAGTTCTATTACAATATACTCTGGTCAATTGGAACGCTGTAATAGTTCAGAACTATTACTAATACGTTAACTATTCTTAGATTCTTTGTCTAAACAATGAATTATATCACTATAAAACGACAGCTCATATCACTGTGTAATATATATATAGATATAAACATTCTATTTCATACGAACAGACCTAATAAATCAAGTATAACATTTTAAATCAAGTATAATACGTTTAAAACTAAACCCAGCAGTTCAAAGTCCAAGAAACCCTAAATTTGCAAAGTAACTCCCAAAATAAACCCCAAATTCCTAAAGTAAAAGTATTCGCTGAAGAGTAAAACCAGGTATTTCAATATATTTCAGGTATAATCGATTTGAAATGACCATTCAACAAAGGTCAGAGCGGTACGCTTCTTCACGTTATGTCCTTTATATTGTAAAACCACAAATAATTTAAAATTGTTTCCGCATTTTTAAAAGTGCAAATTCACGTTTCTCAACAGTTTTTGAGAATAATTTGCATAAATTACTATACGATTTTGTATTGTAAACATTTCCTTTTAAAACATATTTTTGGCTATGACATACTGTACGTTTGGCGTTAAAAATAGTCAAAATTTTAATTGTTTGTGAAAATTATGCCCTGGTGATTTCGAATTCTATTATCGCATTTTAAATTTTTCGCGATTTTCAAAATTCGCGGGCTTTTGGCATTCTGTTGCAACTTAAAAATTTCCTTTATCATAATTTATATTTAAAAAAGACGTAATTTAGAATGATTTTCCATTACTAAAATACAAAAAAATTACTAAAACACAATGCCAAAAGCCCGCGAAACTTAAAAATTCAAACTTCAAGACCAAGAAACAAGACCAATCCAGAAAAACAGCTTAACCATATAATCCCCCTCCGAATTCTTTTCACAGAATCCCCAGAAGCCTTCTCCAACTTGCATAAATATAATTCTACAAGTCCCTTAACCTCCCCCCCCCCAATATGTTGGCCATCTAAACAAATAAAACAATATAAGTTTATTTAGGGTTAGAGTGAAACTATTGTAACCGGCAGAGATTATTAGATAGTTGCCTGGCTTTCGGAATATATGGAAAAAGTGTAAAGCATCATAACATATGATGGAGCCATACAATGGTGCACCATATCGTCGCCTAATCCTTGAGAATACCGTCGCGTTGGTATGTTCGGGGGTTTTTGGGTTGTGGGCCAAGACCGTACTGAAATTAAAGTTTTTATTATTTTTCTATAAGTTATGACAAAATAAGATAATTTTTACAGTAAAATACGGCAGTTACTTTGTTCTTTTTAGGTCACACCACGAAAACATGGCAAAATAACAAATCTTTCATGAAATACACAAATTTAACTTTATGTAAATATAGAATCATGAATTTGAACCTCTATAACCTAAAATCGTATTTTAAAATAAGTCCCACCACGAAAACTTGAAATGTTCTAGAATCTTTAGTAGCACTTTCAATTAACAACAATCTTCAACAATTAAAAAATAAAAGCAACTTACCTTAGCAAACACGGTCTTGTCGTCGTTGGGAGTGACGAAGCACCACAAGATGACCGTTACCGACAAGATGAACATGGTCGAGAAGAAGATAACGGCCGCGGCGACGGGGCCCAAGTAGTCAATCAACTCCAAGGATTGTTTCGGCATTCTAAAATAACCTATTTGCAATATAAAATTGTTAATCAGCATTTTAATCCACGAAAATTGCGCAAAAACGAGGAATTTAGGTAACAAAATGCGATTTTTTACCTAAAATAACATGAAATTGACGTCAAAAACAATTTCAAAACGTTCTAAAACTAAATTATAACACTCCAAAGCCTTTCCTACATCAATATCCATCTAAAATATCCGCCAAAAATCGGAATTCACCAACTAAAACCCGATTTGTTACCTAAAATTGAACCAAAACCTCTAAATTTCCGGCTTTTGATGGATAATATAAGATATAACAAATCGATAAGGCTGGGACAGAAAAAGGCGCTTAAGAATTTGGAAAAAGGCAAGCCTCTGGGACCGCAGGAGACAAAATAAAGTCGATGGGGCAAAAAGAGAAAAGATGGGCCGAAAAGGGAGAGAGAGCGGGCGACGGGAAGAGGGCGCAGACACTTCGGGCCAAGAAACGCAAACAAACGGAGCGCGGCCTAAATTTGAAGTTGAGATTAGGCGTTCGATCAGACAAAACATTGTACAATAGGTTGGCAGCGACATTCTTACTTTTTTATATTGTACTTTTATTGATTGAATCAGTTATACCTAAAAATATAGCTAAAAATATTTCATGAAATTTAAAAGGCAAGAATGAATTTCAATACAGTTCTAAAAACAGTAAAAATAAATAAGATAAACAATATGTCAATAACCTCACTTCCGTACAACCAAAAATTTAAAAAATTTCTTAAAAATTTAAAAATTCGAAATATTTTTTTTGCAATTTCAAAAACCTTGGCATAGTGTTGCCAGTTGATACATATGTATATAAAATATGTATATGAGCCTACGGGCCAAAAATACTGTATTTTTTACTGTTTGTATGTATATAAGGGACGAGCTAAATACATCGGATGGAAAGTATCAGACAAAAAATGCGATTTCTTGTCTGATATTTTCGTCTCTCATTTTCCCGCTATCTTTTTTTTCCTCTCGTTGCTGACGGCAGTTAGAGAAAAAAAAGATCGTTGAAAAAAATATCAGACAAGGAATTGCATTTTTTGTCTGATACTTTCCATCCGATGTATTTAGCTCGTCCCTTATATCATAAGACATAAAAGACTATATGTTTTGTCGTATAAAATGGTTTTTCTAGCTGCGCCCAACTTTTTTTGTTTTTTTTGCGCCATTTCTTGCTTTCTTTTGATCTCTTGATATGATTCCTTGAATTACACTCTGATATGGCCATTAGATTCAGTTTCTGTGCACAGTTTTGCAATTTTTGGTACTTTAGATGTTGACATAGGTAAGAACTTTGTTTTTTCTTCAAAAATGTGAATTTTCATAAAGTTGAAGTTGTCAATAAACCAAAAACAAATATTTCACCATTTTTGTCCTATAGTGATATCAAAATAGATTTGATATACTGCTTGACATTTCGATAATGACAGCAGCTGTTGGCATCGCTTAACCTTTGTCATAACTGGTATCTATAGATAGCTAGTCTGGAGCTGCTTTGTCATCTTTTTATTCAAATTTGTAATTTTAAAAGATAAAATATGATAGGAGATATCAGTTTTTTGAGACCAGATCACTCGATGTTGATATAAAAATAGGTGCTTGCTATTTAAAAAACATTTGTTTCTGACAAGTTTAATTCGAAAAAGTTTGAAATTGCTACTCGAGGATGGATGTTTGGGTCGTATGTCATTGTCACCGCGACAAACGTGTCGCAGATGTGCTGTAAGTGATAAACACTCGTCCTTAATGGCAATAAAATTGGTGCCAGAGGCAATCAAGGAACATGTCATAAAAGCCCGTCAAAATGGCACATCAAACCCCGAGGCCCTCCGGCGATCACCTGGAGCTGGTTTTTATAAAAAGCCGTTTAATCAGCCAACTTTAATCATCTGTTTCGAGGGTCCATTAAAGCGGAATATGATGGAGGATTAATTGTCCCGAAACCATTTACCCCGCCCGGGCTTCCAGCTTGAGAGTCATGCTTTGCCCGACCGACAAAGCCATGATGTCGCTCTTCCTGTTGTGCGTTGTCAACGCACAGGACGTGCTGCCCGACCTCGAGGACGATTACAATGTTCTAGACTGGAACTTTCCCACCCACGTAAGTTTGGTGGGGTACTGTAACATGGGTTGTGGTGGAGAGTGGTGTACTGTATTTTGTGCTGAAGTACTGTAATATCATTTGTGTTGACTTACAGTAACATCGATCTCGTTTGATCTAAATACTGTTGGCTGTGTTTATACTTTATTTATATAGCGCTTTAATATTACACACAGTAAGCTATACTGTGCAGAATGTAATGTTGTTTAATATTGTACTCTATAAAACGTTTTACTATATATGTCGTATATTTAGCAATATCTTGACAAAAGGTGGATAATTTTGCTAAAATGACATTTTCAGATACAAATAAGGCTTAAGCGCTGTAACATTTTGTGTTTTGTGTATTTACGTTATTAAAATCTCAATAATATAAGTGGTAAAACGATGTGTGAATGGTGATATTAACCTTGATGAGTTTATGTTCACAACACTACTGTTTCTAGTCAATCTACATGATTGTGAGGTACTTAACTAACCTTTTTTTATCTTTACTTATGTTCTTTGCTAAAACAACTAGTAAAATTAACATATGTGTACTAAACTCTCTTGTCATCAAGTATCATGTGTTAATTTACTATGTTGTTATCTCAACCCTGAACCCAAACTAAACACAGAAAAAGACATATAAAGTGTTAATCACCTTGTTTTAGCCTCCTCAACAGCCACAAACCAACGCATATGGTCGCGACAACGTGGGTCTGAATCCATATGCTCGTGAGCCTCCCAGATACCATCAGAATGTATACAAACCTCCACCAACTCCAGTATATCAACCATCTCGTAACACTGTAAAGTACCCTACTTCAGGTCATAGATATACAGAATCTACAGTATCTAAATATACAGTAGCCCCAACAAAAGATAAAAATACAGTACCTTCAGCGACGACTAAAGTTACAGTATCCACAACAGCTGAAACTATTCAGAGTTTTAAAACGACAAAAACTACAGAAAAACAAAAGGATTCAGAAGAGTACAGTACACTAGAAGCAGATGTCTCGGATTCAGATGAATTCGATAACTATGTTATATCAGGGCCAGATATAACACTAAATCCGAAGGATCCAGCAGTTTCTGATTATATTAATCCAACGAGTATTAACGTAGAGATATCTGAATGCAAGCCTGATAAGATTGTCATCAAGGAGTTACTGGCTGAATATAATGCTCATCAAACGCCTTCGGAGACAGGTGTGGAGGTTTTCATTGAAGTAGGTTTTCTTAGTGTTCAGTTATTTAAACCTTTACATTACCCCAGAAACATCGTGTGCTTGGCCTTTTATCAATAGTATTATACAATATGACTTGTGCGAACCTTGTCATACCAAAATTATAGCTTTCTTACCTAATGTTATATTTTTTACCACTTTTTTCAATTTGTTTAGTAAAACGTCAATTTTCTTCTTTTTAATTATGCTTTGAGCTGGTTCAATAACCATTAGTCATTGTGGCTATATCATGTTTCGGCTAAATATCTTATGAGAAAGTTAAGTGCCAAAGTGATTAATTTGATCACTACTAATTGGCCATTAACCACTAAAACAAAGAAGAACATAACTATATTTTTTAAAACTATACCTATATTTTTAGTTTTTTAATAAAACCAAGCACTTCCTGGCCTTGTTTCTTCAAACTTTTTGACCAAAAATGTTCTCTGATGTTTGTTCTATATAAATATAAAAATTATATGTCATCACTAATGTATATCTTAATTATTTAGGTATGGATGCAAGAAATCAACGCTCTAAACGAAAGAACGGCCGACTTCGATGCCGAACTTTACGTATCCGAGATCTGGACCGACCACGCTCTCAGATACGACCATATGCGACCATGTCGCACCAATCTCAGCGTCAGCTACGAAGTATTGGACAAGATCTGGAAGCCAAATACCGTATTCATAAACAGTAAATCCGCCCACATCCACAAGAGTCCCTTCCCCAACATATTCATCATGATCTACAGCAATGGCTCGGTCTGGGTGAATGAACGTATCCAGGTGAAGGGACCGTGCGACATGGAATTCAGCTCGTTCCCACTAGATCGCCAGACTTGTCAGCTGACCTTGGAGAGCTTCAACTACAACAACCAGGAAGTGGACATGAAATGGCTGAGTATACGACCGCCGTTAATACTCCTCAAAGAGCCCATTATACTGCCAGACTTTGTGCTCAGTAATTACAGCACTTACTTGACCAAAGTGGTACGTTAAAGGTCTTTTAGTGATGTGGTTGTTCTTGATCGTAAAACATTTCAAATCGATTTTTATAGAAAGAAAACATTAAAAATCTTCATATAATGTCATGATGATGTACAAACGAACAGACAATTTACATAAAAACGTACCTAAATATAATAAAATGAAGGATTTATAATACCATATTTTAGGAATACCCCGCCGGAATCTGGAATGAACTAACAATGACATTTACTTTCGACCGTAGGTTTGGATGGTACGCTTTACAAGCCTACTTTCCCACCTACATGACAATCTTCATCTCATGGATCAGCTTTTGCCTTGGTGCTAAAATGATACCAGCTAGGACGATGCTGGGTGTTAATAGGTATGAAATCCTGTAATTTATGTAACTTTTTATACCTTATTTTATTTTAGCTTTCATATAGATTAATGTTACATAGTACATCTACTTCTAAAGCTTCAAAAGCTAACATTTCAACAGTATGCTACAAGTATTATACCGTCCCCCGGGAATAGGTCACCCGGATACCCATAGGTTATATACACCAATATTTTCAGTCTGCTCGCCCTAACCTTCCAATTCGGCAACATAATGCGGAACCTTCCTAGAGTCAGCTATGTGAAAGCCCTGGACGTGTGGATGTTAGTATGTCTGTTCTTTGTGTTCGCTAGTCTCCTCGAGTTAGCCATTGTTGGATCAATAGCAAATAGGCGAGAGAAAGCTCAGAACAAATCGAAATCACGATCATCTAGCCCTAAACTAACGTTATCTGAAAAGTCTGAGCCAGAAGTCACTAATGCAGTGTCACAGACTAGTCCTAGAAGGCCGCAGTCTTATGCTCCACTCGAGTTTAGTGGTAGGTTTGTGTTTGTAAAGCGGTACTATAATAAACGTTTCTTACAGAAGAGCCATCGTATCGACCAAGCGACTTCAGTCCTAGTAAACCGCGGTAAATTCTTTTCCTATGACCTTTCTGCTGTATATTACTTCTTTTATACTGCCATGATATAGCTATCAGCAATGTTTTGTTTTAAAGTTTAAAATTTAAGAAAGAACGCCTGCGTAGAATTCTACGAAGTTACATGTTCACAATGGAAAAGGATATCCAGATGTGTCACAAATTATTTTAAAAATCTCAGCACCGACCAAATCGATCAGATCTCCATGTACGCGTTTCCGAGCTTGTTCGCCCTGTTTAATGTTTGTTACTGGTCCTACTACCTCAATCAAGAAAATTAACCAATAAACTGTACAAAAATGATACTAATGTCTCTGCTTTGGTAAAAAATAGAATTTAGAGGTATAAAGCTTTTTGGTGTGAGATATTCACAGACCAAACTACAGAGCCTCAACGGGTATCAATGAACTACCAAATCAACCAACAAGTATCAACCAAAGAGTTAATCAAATAGTGTAACGAATCAAAACAATATCACAAACTTTATTCAAAACCAAAGATAAATTACAACCAAATTACTTGACACTTGACCGACCGATCGCCGGGTTTCAAATTGAGGCTACTGACTTAAAAACGGCCGAGTTTTGACCAAAGAAACCAAATATGTAAATTTCCTAGTGAAAAATGCGATAAAGCGGTCGAATCCGCTTACAGAGGATTGACAGATACTTTAAAAAAGAAATGTAAAAACAACAAAGGTAATCCTTGAAAGTCTTCGAAAAGTCTGTAAAATTATATTGTGAAAACAAATTTAACAATAAATCATAGAAAATCATCTAATGAAGGTATAACAACTATATGTAGTCAATATCACTGATAAGCTACTAGTTATCTAACATCTCAATCCTTGTGCCACTGTCATGAAAACGCCGAAAGATCCGCCAGATTGAGCAGCAATCTTGCCCGTTTGAATCAACATTTCTCTTCCTCTCAATCCCATTCTAAAACGGTAACAATATAAAGTTAAACCTTACGTCCAATAAGATTGTGTATATTTGATATTAATAGTTTCATGAAATAAATCGATGCTTTCAACCACTAGTCCTTACCTCCATGCGGAGAATCCACCCAATAACACTCCTGTTGAAGCTCCAATCATGGCTCCCATCATGAAGCCCATCTTCAGCTTTTGCATACAAGTTGGACCTTGTTGTCCTTGACCAACTACTTGATACCCTTGTGGGACTGCCATTATTCAACCTAAAAGTGAATAAAAATGTAGTGTACAAAATTATACTTTTAAGAAACTACAACATCAACAAATTTACATCATTTTAGGTACAAAAGAAACAAATCCCACAAAAGTTGTGAAATAAACCATGTATAACATAAAATAAAGCAACATTACAAATGAATTGAGCTCTCCAAAGCCTTCTTATACTAAAAAGCCAATACTAAAGTTATTTACACTCTTTCTTCCTCCTAAAAATTGTTTATCAACATCACTTTCTCAATTCCGAAAAAATAAAATATTATTTTATCCAAACTGCGTCCTTCGCCTGCAGCCTGCACAAAAGAAAAAGAGAGAACAACAAGAACTGGAGGAAAAAACAATCTTTCGACTCTCGAATTTAGCGGTAAACCTTGAAAAAGTGTTCAAGAACTTTTTGAAAACTTTGTTTGTCTTGTTCTGTTCTTCTTTTGTGTTTTAAACATCTGAATTTACGTATTTTAAGGTTGAACTTGGCACAAAATGTTCTCAAAAACATTTCTTCGATCTTCCAAGGTAAGTGTAATATGAGCTGTGACTTTGCCCGGGCAACACGTTGCTTCTTGAAGAGAAGATTTTGTTTTAAAATCGGTTTGTAGTTTGTTTCATTATTTTAAAAGTTATAGATAATATAAAATAATGTTTTTTGCTGATTTTCAAAACTTTATCAGGCTTATGTAGGACGTTTCTTTCAGACATTGCGAACATCTGTTCGGACGCTTATGCTTCATGAGCACTGTGGTGTAGGCTTACTTCAAAAGGCCGGAATTAACGTGCCACCATTCGGCGTAGCTACATCAGCTGAAGAAGCTTATGAAAAGGCCAAGTCGATCGGTGAGTTAAGGTTGTCTTGATTTATATTTGACTTTTAGGAGGTAAGGACTATGTTGTCAAGGCCCAAGTGTTGGCTGGAGGTCGTGGTAAGGGAAAGTTTGACTCTGGGCTCGAAGGAGGTGTCAAGATCGTCTACACGTATGTTATTCTTGTTTTTGTTTGTATTTTAGTGTAACTTTGACGGATAAGGGAAATGGAAGACGTGTAAAGCGTATAATGATCCAAACATAGAGCAACGTTTTTTTATTTTGACGTTTTAGGCCAGAAGAAGCTCGTGAAATGGCCAAGAAGATGATTGGATATCATCTCCAGACTAAGCAAACTGTTGGTGAAGGTCCATTATGTGAAAAAGTGATGGTCGCCAAGAGATTGTTCACTCGTCGTGAATACTACTTTAGTATCACGTTGGACAGAGTCACTAACGTATGTTACTTTTATATTTTGCGGTAGTTTTATAACTATAATGTAAAATATTAAATACTAACAATTTTAAGCATTGTAAACTTGTTTTGGTGTTTATAAAAGTCAAAATCTTGGTTTCAGGGACCAATTCTGATTGGATCGTCTCGTGGTGGTATGAACATTGAAGAAGTTGCTGCTACAGAGCCGGACGCTATCATCAAAGTGCCAATTGATATTAACCATGGAGTTGATGACAAGATCGCTCAAGATTTGGCTCAGAAAATGGGATTTGCTGTAAGCTTAGTATAAATTATGATTTTGAAACTTTAGGGATGTTGGTGTTACTTTTATAATGGAATTGTATTTTGTTTTTATGAAACTTCTTATATCAGATTATTTGGAGTTTGACAGACGGTATAATCGCGTTTTTTAGGAATCTTCTCGTGACCAAGCTGCTGACATTATCAAAAAGCTGTACAATGTCTTCCTTCAATCTGATTGCAGTCTGCTCGAGATCAACCCACTTTCAGAAGATGTTGATGGTAATGTAGTGTGCATGGACTGTAAAGTCAACTTGGATTCAAACGCCGTCTTCCGACAGAAGGAGTTGTTTGCTTTGAAGGACGAGAAACAAGAAGATCCTCTCGAAGTTCGTGCTGGCAAAGCTGATCTTAACTACATTAGATTAGATGGCAACATTGGATGTTTAGGTAGGATATTGTGTGGTATTTGTTTTAAAATGATTATCTTGATGTTTTTTTTATATCTTTTGGGATTTCTTTTAAAATCTATGCCAATATTGTTTAGTGAATGGAGCCGGGTTAGCCATGGCTACGATGGATATCATCAAGCTTCACGGTGGAGAACCAGCGAACTTCTTGGATGTTGGAGGTGGCGCTACTGTAGAACAGGTGACGGAAGCCTTCAAGATCATCACAGCTGACAAGACAAAAGTAAACGCCATCTTGGTCAACATCTTCGGTGGTATTATGCGTTGTGATATCATTGCTCAAGGTATCATCAAGGCCGCTACTGAACTCGACTTGAAGATCCCTATTGTTGTTCGTCTACAGGGTAAGACTAGAATGTTATATTAGAGTTCTGATGTTTTGTCTTATTATTATTTGTCTTTTACATTTTCTAGTTGAAGATGATTGTATTAAATTATTTTTTACATTTGTATATTCTTTCTAACTTTATATATTAAAATGTATCCGTCACATTGTACATAAGACCACTAAATAACATTTCCATCTTCAGGAACCCAAGTCGAAGACGCCAAAGCCCTGATCGCCAACTCCAAAATGCGGATTCTGGCCTGCGATTCCCTGGACGAAGCCGCCAAGATGGTCGTGAAGTTGTCCTCCATCGTTGGCCTAGCCAAAGCCGCATCGGTCGATGTCAAGTTCGAGCTCTCAATCTAACTTCAACATTTCTCCAGTCATTTTAAAAATTTGAACCGGTTTCTTGTGAATCGAGAGTAGGAAAGTCAGTCCAAAAACAAATCCCGCTAATTAAATTCATAGTATCTTGTTTATTTCCTAAGGCAATGATTGAATAAAATAGTGAAATTGAGGGTTTATCGTTTGGTGTACTAGTAGAGTTGCTGTTATGGTTATTTGCATGTTTATATGGTGCTTTTTGTGGTTGTTTTAGCTTTTTTGTTACCTTTTGGTCTAATTTTAGTATTATTTTTTTAAAAACGTTAAGATTTGTTAAAGAAAGTTCAATAACTTTCGGACCGGTTTTATATTTACGTAGATGAACCTTTCATACACTTTCAATATTTTAAAATTTATTTAATTAACGACAATAATGAAAAACAAATAAAAATTTTTAAGGCAGAGTTTTGTCTCAACAGTGAAATGGATTGCCAAAAGCGCCAAACGAAGCAGTTTTTATAAAATACGATTGACAAATTAGAAGAAAAAACGGAAAGAAGGCCGGAATGAGGTTTTGTATATTATTATAGCAAACTAACAGTTACTAGCTACTTGAAGACCCAAAGTAACCTATATCAACATCTTCGATGTATGGTGAGGGACCTGAAATACCATAATATTCAGACCCTCAGGTGTATAAGACCTAAGTTAAGGTACCTTTATCAATAGACGTTAGGGTACCTACATCAATAGACCCATGAGATAGGAACCCATTGGGGAATGGCACTCAATTTTTCGACGACAAGTTCTAGCTGACGGATGGTGTCGTCGATGTCGTTATTACAAATGACATAGTCGAACAAATGTCCAAAGGCTTGTCGCAAAATCTCGGATTCTTTGACTAGCCGTTCTAGGCTTCCATCGGGCTAAAATACGGTAAATTAGGTTGATATTTCAACTAATAACTAACATTTTTGATTTTTAAGTATTATTTTACCAAAACGTACTTTTCTAAATGTAAAAGTTCATATTTAGTTTAAAATTAGAAGTAGTAGGCATCATTATCAACAAGAACATAACTTATTTGATGAGTTATAAAGTTTTACTATGTAAAAATACGAAATTTAATGTTATTGACTGGCTTTGTTATGAAGCTTTTATGGTTTTTTATGATGACTACTTACATCTTGAAGACCATGAAGATCAGGTGCTCCTATAAATACAACGAATGGGGCGTACTCAGCTGTTCGCAAGGTCTTGAGGGCCTAAAAGAATTCGGTTTTATGGGTTTCGAGGAATGATCAATATGATGACAATTAGGCTACTGATAGCATTTTCAGCTTGTGCCAGCTCTGTCAATATTATTTTAGGTAACACAGATACACACGCAAGTTAATGAATGATAAAATGTAAAATATGCAATACTTTGCGTTAAATCAAAGACAATATATACCGTACCTGTGGTTCGACATCCAATATGGCCATTTTCCCCGTCCTATGGATGTTCCTGATGGTCTCCAGTTTAGTACCATACATGCACTCTTCATGTGTACCATACTCCAAGTACTCGTTGGCAGCGATATCTGATAGCATGGCATCGTTGGACACAAAGTAATAATGTTTACCGTCGACCTCATCCTTCCGCGGCGGTCGTGTCGTATGTGGAATGGGATAGGCAAATCTGTTTGGATGTCTGTGAATCAACGTGTTCTTAATGTGCCGTCGTCCCACACCGTGCGCGCCCAACAGAACCAGAGTCTTCCGTCTGAACGTAGATAGGCGTACCACCTCTTCGTATGTCACCAGATCGACCTGTTCGAAGAGATCAGAGTGCTTCCGCAGATACTTGGTCGTGTAGTACTTCTTCTTCTTGTTGAACCACATGCACGTATGGTTGTCTTTGGCACGTTCCATCGCCAAACACGCCGTTCTCCATTCCTGAAGTTCGGGCGATGGAATCAGCCCGGCTACTGGAGCTGACGATGTAGGGCTCTGTGGAGATCGTGAGATGTGGTTCCCGATGGTCGATGTTGAAGCTTGTGTAGACTGTAGCTGCGACTGCACTGATCCTAGACCAGGAAAAGCATGGACGAAGCGAGCTTGCCACCAGTTGTGGTCGTCCTTGGATATGACTTGTAGAATATCTCCTGTTTTGAAGGGTACCCCGGCTTCTGAGCACGGTATTAGGTCATCTTGAGTTGGATCGTAGTCGAACTGAGCCCTGACGTAGATTTCACACGCTGGAGGTGCGGAACGGTACGATGGAACAATTTTGAAAGTAACGTGTCCTCTCGCATCCCGTAGCATCTGTTGTAGCGTGTCGACGCTCTGATTGGCTACAGGAATACCATTGATCTCTCGAATCTCGTCAAACACGTGTAGCGTGCCTTGACGATGGATCATGCCACCGTGCATAATTCTGGCTACAAGACATCGTCCGTCCTCCGTGATCTTCAGCGTGATTCCCATCGGTTCTTCCGTGTCCTTCTGGAACTGTACCAACCTAACACGACTGACAGCATTCAGAATCAGATCATCATCGTCGTCGTCGTAGAAGGCTTGGCTTGGGTCGGCTTTCGAAGTGGTCGGTTCCTGCTGATCGATGGCTAGTCCACGATGCATACTGACCGTAGAGGTGGATGAACTTGGGCCTGGGAGGGGATCTGGCAGTTTGGTTGGAGGACATGTAGCTGTTGGAGCCGAGTCGATCTGCATCTGAGAACACATCTGCACCAAATGACCGTTTGAGAGTTGGCCCGAAAGAGAATTACCCGTCTAAAAGAGTAGATTATATGTAATGTCTTGTGGAAACATTTATGGGTAACAATGATATTATTATATAGTATTGTACTACTCAAAGACTGGTAATGTTATAATACACTTACTCTATGTGTACTATAAAATGATTTTTAAAACTTGAGATACTACACAGTGCTTCCCAATAACCTACTTGATATGAAAGTGTTGAGATATGTTGTTCATTTGGTGTGGCAGCAACATTAGCTGTTTTGGTCGACGTTGACTGAATCAGGCTACAGTCCATGGGTACCGAGGCGAATACTTCTTCCACCGCGATGTCGTGGGATTGTACGATAGCCTGAAAGTGTAATTTGTATGCAAGTAATGTAATTATCTGTGATAATTGATGTAAAAGGCTTTAAATTTGTGATAGTAATGTAAAAAGCTTTAAAAAGTAACGGCATTCTCTCCCCGAACATATTATTCATAGAAGTAATAGTGACCTACTTGAAAGCTGGAGTTGGACAAGAGCTGAGCCAGTTCGGATGCCTCAGGCGATGGATTGAGAAGGCCGTTGATCTCGTTCTTGATGTCATTGAGGTGTTGGGTGAGGTTGTGGTTGATTGGTTCTGGTCGAATTCCGCGGTTTCGTATTCGGTCATACAACTGAAAAAGATTATATTAGACGTAACAGTAATCTTAAAGAAAGTATTTAATTATTCTTTGTATATCTTGTTAGGGATTTACATAAAAAGTCAATTTTAAAAATAAGGTAAAAGTGTAAAAGACGATACGTGATGTAAGAGACAATGTAGAAAGCGGTATGTTCTTTTGTTGTAACTCTAGCTTTGGCCATATGTCATGTTCTTTCTCAACATCTTCCTCTAGACTTTTACACTGCTCATCTTCATCTGAACTCGGTAAAAGTGAAGGTGGAGATACAATGACATCTCCTTCTCTACAATCTCGGATGTGCTCTTTCTCATCGTTATACTGTATACTTATAGTCTTCACTGTATCTTCTTCAATAATCGTCAACCTGCCGGCTTCTGTATCCTCAACAATCACTGTGATATCTTCAAAGTTTACCACATTCGAAGTCGTATCACTCGCGGTGTTAACTGTTGTTTCTATGGTATCTTGTCGTATATTCATCACATCATGTTTATCTTTATTATGTTCACTTCTGTCATTATTAATGACAGTTTTCGTGACAGTAGTATCGATTTCAGTAGTTACAATAGCTTCGCCCGACTTTGTAGGTACTGTAACAAAGTTGTTGATGAGGCGATGGATTTGTCGCGAATATTGGGTTGATTTCGGTCTTTTCGACTTTCTTTTGGGTATGGGTATTAGTGGTATACGACAGTCGAGATCATCACATACCCCTAGACAACAAACGCAAGTAAAGAAGATGAAGAAGGAGCCACACAGCATGGTCATCAAGAGGTACTGGTACACGTTGGAGTCCATTTTGGAAATGATGTGGTAAGTACTGTTAAAAGGATGGTAGAAGGGTAATATATTACTATGTTGATAATAAAAACTGTACCCTCTTTTGTAGAATGTTATCGATTACTGTAGAATTTAATCAAATTTTGTCGATTCCAGTAGCTTTTTGGCCATTTTTTTCAGGTAGAACTGACGTCACCAAGTCAAGCTTTCAATATCATGACCTTTTCTTGTCAATACCAATATCGTTATAGCACCAAACCCACGTGATTCTCATCAAAACACATCATATGCTCCCAAAACCACCCAATGTCAATATATATCTAACTCCAACGTCAATATAGAGCCGATTATCGTTAAGGAATAAGTGTCAAAGTTAGTAATAAAAGTGAAGCCAAGACAATAACAATCAGACCCAAAAGCCGAATGGCCGTGGATAACATAAATTGGGGCTGAAGTGCATGATCGATGAGCTGATGGGTTGGGCCGTCAAAACTGCGGCCGGAAGCGACAAAAACCGGAAGGGAAGCGACAAATCCCAAAAAATGTCGCGCTTTGATTAATCTCGGCTTTGCAAACTTTTTTTGAGGACAACTGATACCGAAAAAATATTTGATTAATCTAAGAATGGGGGAGGCGTTTGTTTATATTCCTCTCTGTTCGACTCCTGTCATTATCCCGGAGATTTATGGCGGAAATGAGACAGATTATAATTTGGTTACATAAGAGTCAAAGGTTTTGGGGAACCCAACATTCTTCTTGAAAAATGGCGGAAATTCAGAGAAAAAAAGATCACAAAATTAAAAAAATGGCAAAAAATAAAAAAAAATTTAAAAATTGCTAAAATTCATTTTTTTTAAACTTCAAAAAATCAAATTTTAAACTTTTTTAATTGCCCTAATGCCACAATTTTGAAAATAAAAAAAATTTCGAAAAACCAAAATTAGAAAAATAATCAAAAGTTTACCTTGTTAAACAAAGCTGGAGCTAAAATAGCATTGCTGATTAACATAACCTTGGTCAAAAAGTCTGCGGAATAGAACTAGCTAGCCATCTTCTGATTTTTTGCCAATTTTCTATCCGAAAATTAATTTTTTTGAATTTTTTTACATTTTCTAGAAAAAAATAATATAATACTAGTTTGTTCAAATAATTCTGAGCCCCTTTGCAAAGCAAATGTTCGTGTTTCGAAGGCTCAAAATTATATGAACAACCTTATAAATGAAAAGTTTAGTACTAAAACAATACTCAGTTAAAATCTTTTAGTACTAAGACTGTACGGTGTTAAAAATTTGAGTACTAAAGCAGTACTAAGTTAAAGCTTTCAGTACTAACTTAAATTGCGGTGCTCAAAACATAAAAAAGCTAAAAATATAATAGAAGAAAAAATGAAAATTGCCAATGTAAATCATGAAGATGGTGGATAACAAAAAGATTGACGTTAATTAGTGACAAACCCTCTGAGCACTTACTTTTGTTTTTTATTCTAAAGTACAAACAAGTGTTTTCCTTAAGTGTTTTTTGGCAAAACTTTTTCTGTTCTCACTTCACATACTTTGCCACCTTTCTGAGTGATATCATGTTGCAAGACGGCGAAAGGAGAGACATAATTTCAGCGAAAAAGGACTATAATATTGGTAATCAAAACGTATATTAACCTAGTATTGACTTACTTTGAAGACTTTTACTATGAAGAAGGTTTAAAGGGATAACAATGTGGATGTTGTTTATAAAAAGTGTCATCTTTTTCATAAAAAGAGCTGACAGAAGGACCAAAAATGAAAAAAATGTCTCAAAAATCTTAAGATTTCCTCAAAACCCCCTTAAATTTGCATAAATCTCGGCCCGAAACCAAGAAATCGCAAAGATACCACCATTACCTCAAAGTCGATGGTAATCTCGGTGACGGAATGGTGGAGTGGACGGAAATGGGCGTCGACGGACATGTCATGAGCGTAGCCATAAACGGAGAAGACGTGCACAGCCGACTCTCGACCAAGAAAAAGCCTCCTCGAGAGTGGCCGGCCCAAGAAAGAAGAAAGGGCCAAGAAGAAAAAGAAAGGCTAAACGGGTCTTTCCTTTTCCTGGCCAACACAACAGCTGACTGTGCAAGGTGCCTCGGGCACTGTTTCAAATCAATTCCATCACCGGACGTTTGAGTCGCTGCGTTTCCTTTCACGGCAATTCTAGGGGGGGGGGGGACTAATGTGGACAAAGTTGCGTGAAAGAGAACTAATTATAGAGGTTAGGTCGAGGTTTGACCTCTCAAAAGTTCACGTACTTTGGTCAGAAAGTAAAGAAAAACAAGTTGAAAATGAAAAAAGAGCCAACCTAGAAGAAAGACCAATATTCTGGATACTTTTCAATCAAAAACAGTATCATATAGTACACAAAACTTAGATCAATTATTAAGCTACTAATCCACCTCGATCAACACAGTGACCAAAACAGAGTTATAAACTTCTATGGCTTGGAAACAACTTGTGGTATGTTGAGGTAGATGCAACTTCAAATTGAAGCTTGGAAAAACTCAAAACGGAAATTCAATTTCCAACTTTTTCCATCAGTTTTGTTTCGGATGTCAGCGATGGTTAAAGAACAAAAATACACAAAAAAATGAAATTCTAGAAAATGTAAAATACGACAAACGTAACACGTACGAGATACAATAACATCAAAATGCTACTGTAATTTTTGAAAAAGGCTTTGACTTTTCCTAGTAAACCTTAATATAATAAGAACCAGCATTAATAACAAGACAATGCAAGAAGATATTACTCAGCAATTACTTAACATTACTTTGTAATTACCTGTAACTCTATGTAAATCAACTTACATTCAAGATTTCATGAAGCTCGGTGTCGTTCATGGCATGTCGCAGTTGTTGTTCTTCGATCGACGTACACGTGTCCAGAGACTGGTCGGTGAGGACTGTCATTTTGTCCAGAGACATCAGTATCTGAATGAATTAACATATATTGATTATACAGTCATCGTATCGGGCTTTTAAAGGTTTTTTGTATTCCGATCACAAGCAAATTTAGCAACAGTACCGTACTATCATGTCAGTACAAAATGACACTTCTTATCAATATTTAAACTGTAAAATTTCAAAAAATATGATCTTTTTGTCATATTATGGCTATAACGACTCACCTTTTCGACGCCGGCCATGTCGCTTCCCGTATGTTCATCGGGGCCTCGTCGCGTACAATCGGAATCACAAACATCGCCTCCGGGCATGGAATCGGCGCTGAGAAAGGAATGCACGGGGAACCGATTCCATTTTGGGTTATTCACCGCCGCAATGATATTACTCTGAAAATAGATACAGTATTACTTTGTAAAATAAAATAAAATATTACTCCGTAACATTCAAACTGTAAAATACACTTTTGTGATCCCCCAAAACTTTTAAAATCTAAAAATAAACAGTTCGAAATTGCTTCAAAGCCAAAAACAACAAAATTAAGTTTCGAGGCCACGTTGTGACGCAGAAGACCTTGTTGATACGAAAGTAAATGCCTGATGATATTAAAGTAAAGTCTCGGAAACTCGGACGACTTTGTGGATTCGCAAATCGGAGATTCAAAGCCTCCGTGGCCCCTGGAGGCTTTTTTCTTTCATTCAAACGGCATTTTCAAAATCGGATTAAGTCCTCCTCGTCGCTATAAAAAAGAAGAACGAAGCCGCCATCCCTCCGGGCCATTGTTTACCTACCTTGAGTTTCCGTCGATGATTGTACTTGCGAATACTCTCCACGGTCTCGCCCAAGTGGACTCGAGGTGGGATCGAGCGGTCCTGGATCCACGCGTGCTGCAGGACCTCGTCGGCCGTGAGACGCTTGCGAGGATCGACTGTCAGAAGGCCCTTCACCAGGTCTTTGGCCGGATCGCTGATCTTCTTCCAGGAACCTGATTTTAGCTAAAAAACCTATGTTAATATCGTTAAGTCTTAGAATTTTATAAAAAAAAGTATCTTCATTACCTCTTTTACATAAAAAAAAATTAAAAGAGCAATGAGATACATTTAAAAAAATCAAAAAAAGTAACCATAAACAATATAATAACTTCAAAAAATCAATATTATCTTACCGAAAAGTCGGCGATCTTAATCCGGTCGAACAGTTGATCTTTAGGCCCAGTGAACGGTAATCGACCACTCAATAGAACACATATTAATATACCCAAACTCCACATGTCTGCTTCTCGACCATACGGTTTGTTGTCGACGACTTCTGGAGCCATAAACTGAGGAATGCCAATTTGGCCCGGAGGGCATTTGTCTTCAGGATCAGCCAATTTGTAGGCGATTCCAAAGCCTCGTAGCTTCAATGGAGCGTTGTTTTCTTTACTGAAAAAGCATTTATATAAGTTTTAAATGATATTATTCATGATAATTTAAGTTTTTATTATAAAATATCCCAAATGTCCTATTTATATTACTTTAGCCATTTTTAACACATTTTTTAACAAAAAAATTGTAAAAACGGCCTTTCCAAAACAAAAAACCATTAACAATAGCCAAATAAGATATTAACATTGCCTAAAATAAACCATAACATATTGCAGAACCTCAAACTAACTCTTACTTTGCGAGTAGGATGTTGTGAGGTCGTATATCTCTGTGTACGATGAGTTGAGAATGCATGTAATGAAGCGCTTCGCTGAGTTGTTTGATGTAATGACTAAAAACATAATCCATAGTAATATAATCACTTACCTTGCTACAGTTTCACTATAAATAAAGCCCGCCGATGCCCGTTTAACGATTTCAAAGCATATATCTGCACCTTCCACATGCTCGAAGATCATATGGAAGGCGTTGGGACCTGAGATCACGTCGCGAAGTTGGCAGAAGTAGTGGTGCTTCAGGGAGGCACATATCTCCACTTCTTTCTCGACTACTGTAACATACGATAGTTGTAGTAAGAAAACGTAAAAATTTTTTTTTTAATTTTAAAATTTAAAATTCACTCTAAAAAAAATTAACTTACCATCCACCGTCAACCCAGAAGCGGCCGTATACCGTCGCAGGTCCAGCGACTTGATGGTGAAGGTCTTTGATGTTATTCGTTGTGTCGCGCGATACAACGTGCATATTGGCCCCTTCTCTAGCACGTCGCAGATCTGGTAGTGATGGGACAATAAGGCCGTCTCCTCGCCGTCGACGATCCATTCGACGCCACTGGGCTGGCTAGAGGCTTGCATCGACTGGACTGGCCCATTAGGCTCTTCAAATGCTCTCGACCGTTAGCATCGGACTGATAAGATAAGGCAGAAGTGAGCGGCAGAAAAAGTTTGTTATCTGTAATGGTGACGTAATATTATGATAGAAGTAATTATATAGAGTATACAACGGTTTAGTAGTACCAAAAGTAGAGATAAGCCATAAATGGCACCAAAAATCAGTACTAGGTTTGATACTAAACATTTAGTACTAATTTCAAAAATTTTGGCCGAAATAGTACGTAGACAAATGCATACTTAATAATAGTATAGTAAAAGACAAAAAACCACAAAAACATATAGAAGACAAGCGTAGCATAATTAATCAGTATCATACAACAAAGAGCTCTTAACAGCCATAAATTTGAAAAAGTAATTAGGCGAAACAGCGGAATGTGATGAATACCTTTACATAATCAGGACATTACTCATCTGTCAAACAAAGCCCTTCCAAAGTTTATATTGCCTATTTATTTTAGCTAAAAGTACAGAAAATCGCCAAGGCTTGGCCGTAAAAAAATTAAAAAAAAGACGGTGTGGTAAAAAAAGCTACCCCAAAAAACATTTTTTTTTCAAAAAAATTTTCGAAGTTTAATAAAAATGACCCGCCCAACATCAAAATATCAAAACTTTTAAGTAAAGACTCAAAACGTCCACCATATCTAGCGTGACAAAACCCCAAAACTAATACAAAAACACCCCTCCATAACGTGCCAAACCCAATATTACAATAAACTCCTTAGAATATCACATACCCGCCAGCAAGACACAAAACCCCCCGAATACTAGTAGATACCAGCAGTAAACAAAAACATTAGCATAATCTATAGAAAAGCCAAGAACAATATCGAACGTGAGTTGGAACAGCACAGTGCAAACAAAAAGAACCCTAATCCCCCCCCCTAAATTATAAAAACACATTCGAATCTGCAGCCCATACTAATTGGAAGAAGGAATTTAATTTCGTTTACTTAAGGACTTTGAAGCCGGAAAACAAAAAATGACAAGAACAGAAGCCGGCGGCTTCTTCAATTCTCAAACTGTTATTTACTGCGCTTTTTACCATAATATTATAGCATGATATTATATCATGATATTACACCATAATATTATATTATAATATTATTTTTTAGAAAAATCTTAATATTATACTATTGTAAATATTGTACTGCTAAGGTTAGTACCAGTCGTTTTTCAAAAGCTTTTGATTATATTTTTTGACCAGTACTATCAATTTAAACCGCGCTATACAATAGTATACCCATCTCGAATCTTAAAACTTGAATAATTCCTGTAGCTGGTAAAGTTCAAGATAAAAGCTTAATTTTAAAAAATTTGCATAAAATAGTCTACACTTTGAGTATGCAACATATCTTTTTTATGGGTATCCCCACCTCTGAAGACTTTACTTTTTAGGTTCGCGCAGTACTTGAATAAAACTAAAATTCTTATTAAAAATTCAAAATTTTAGTCAAAACACGACAAATAATAAGCAAAAAAATAACTTTTTATTTTTGCAAATGAAACTTTGCCCGTAATATTATGTAAAGTTAGCTTTGCAACGTTTTTACATAATTTCTGAAAAAAATATTCTACGCCAGAATATGTCTTAGCAAAAATCCAAAGCAAAATATAATATGCACAGTAATAAGCTTTGTTTAAAGCAACTACGTACTATTCAAATATTACGATTTAGCACGTCAAATATTTTTTATTTTTAGCGCTACAAGTTTACTACAGTTTTGAGATAAAAGTACTTTAGCTAAAAATAAAAAAATATTTTTCAAAGAGCAAAAATTCAAAAGATTTGTTTTTAAAAACGTATTCATTATAAAAAGTCTGTTACAATACTGACCAAGACATCCAGTCGCAAGCAATATCTACTTCAAAGTACGAAAATTAAATTTAGCATCAGTAAACAGTGGTAAAGACTCTGGCTACTACAATGTTATTTTGTTAGGGAATAGAATCTAATGCAGTAGAGAATGTACTTAAATGAAATCGTCACACCCACAATAAAAAAAACCTTTAAAGTACTATATGTGTCTGTTTAGTGAATAAGGTTAACTTAACCTACATTACAAAGTAAGAAACTTTGTAAAGAAGTACAAACGTTTTACTTTACAGTAGCTTCTGAGCCCCTCCCCTCCCTCTTTTCCCCAAATCTAAATCCTATATGTAACTAGTGCACCCCTTATTAATATAACATATACTACATAAGCATAACCCAAGTATAATATCCTGTGGAGTGTATAACACTGATCGAACCCCTTCGGACCAATCCCAAACACTTTGCCGACTTTCTCCTCTCATTCGTATGCAAATGAGATTAAGGCGCTGCATTTGGAGACATTTCTTGTTTAGGGCGAGAGTTTTGAGAGTGCCCGAGGGCATAAGTGTGTTTATAACCAGAAGCAAGAAAAAAGTAATCAAAAAAGGCCCCAACCAAATTTGTATTTGCATAAAATTACTGGCCAAAAAGTTAATAGTTGGGTAAAAAATGAGGAGAAATCAAAGGTTGTTGCTGATAACCAGACTATTTTCGTATTTTAAAATTAAACAATCACTTTTTAAGATTATATTCACCATGTCCCTCACAAAAAGCAAAATTTCAGACCCCAAAAACCCTTAAAATAAGCAAAATCTGAAAATGTTGACAAAGTAATTACAAGTTAAAACACGTCCTTTAATAATCGTCGCCGCTTTTGTTTTGAAAAGAAAAAGAGGCTCCGAGGACATGCCTCCAGGGCATGGGCGACTTTTTGACATTGCTCATGTCATGTCCGCTCATTGACAAGTTTATAAATCTTCTTGGCAAATACAAGAAGGTGGAGGGATGATTAAGAGCCCCGAGGGGGCAGGGCAAAGAAAGAGATGAAGAGAGAGAGGGGGGGCTTAATCCGTTATCTCCTCTGGTCAGGAAATCAGATATCCCCAAACAGCCCACTCGGCTTTAAACCGCTTCGCGCGCCCAAAGATCATTACGTTGTTTTTCCCCCAAAACCCGCGGCCAAAAGAAGCGGGCGTGGTATGGGGAGGGCCAAGAGAGCGGCCGTGGCCCGGAGGGCTAGCCAGACGCCCAGAACAAACAATCATAAATCTCTTTTATCATTTAAAGGTTAAAACCAAAGTCGTTTTTTGTGTGCGGCCAAACAGTCGAGAGTCTCGAGCGGTCCCGGAAAAGGCGAAAAGGGAAAGAAAACCCCAAAGTCTGTGCAATTCTCGCCCTTAACCCTTTCCTCCTTTTACCCCTCCCAGCTCTAACGAACTTTCCCCCTCTTACAATTCGCAAATAAGCCCTTAGGGCATGGCGCGCGCGCAAATGCTTTTTGTTGTGCCATAAAATAAGACTGGCCGAAGATGGCCAAGGTGTGATGACAATACGAGATAACAGGAATAATACTCGCCGAACAATGGACTTGTGTTCGAAAGTGAAAAACAGCCTTGTCGCGGTTCATGGCGGTGGCTACAGTAATTTGGTCAAATATATTGTTTGAATTTGCAGATTTTTGTGAGCAAGATATACGGTTTTGACGTTCGCAAATCTTTATCTTTATCTGTGCTTGAGGCAGGTCAAAAGAGAAAAAGATTCTTGTAGTGGTATAGACACTGCATGACGTTGTTTTTACGTTTGGCCTCATAAAAACAAGCAAAAGTAAGAGTACTACTAAGTAAATGAAAAGTAAGCTCACTGTTATCATTACTACAAGTTAGAAGAATGAGAAGACTCAAGATTGATGTGACAAAAGGAGGACCAATTCACAAAATTTTCAAAAGCCAGCTGCAGCTGGTTTTCTAAAATTTGCTACTGATAAAAGCTATCTATTGGTGCACTTATCAATACCTAGTTTAAAATATTTTATTTTGCCCTTCTCCCTACAATAACAACGTTAACAGCTCAAAATGAAACCCCTTCCCAGCTCTCTAAAATTAATGTATAACACGTTGCCAAACATTCATTACTTCCCTCTTACTATCAGATAAGCTGATGTAGACTCGAGATCATCCCAATTTGTTATTGCAGCATCTGGCATGCCGCAGAAAGCATCAAACCCATTTGATTACTCATTAAAAAGGCGTTAATTCAGTTCTCTTTAACTTTATCCGCCTTAACAAGCCCATAAAGCCGAGTTGCATTAGCCATTTAGAAACAGATTTCGAATTTCCATTAATAGCCTCGGGGTGACTAAGCGAATAATTTCAAATTTCAAAGGTTTAGGCCTTATGAATAATGGTATGAATCTTCGGAAACGTAAAGGGAATGGGAAGGTTTAGAATTATACGGGGTTTGAATTGAAAAAAGAGTTAGAAAAAGGCTAGAAATCAGAATCAGGCAAGACATTAAGCCTAAAAATTCAAAACATTTTTTTCGCTTTTTTTTATTTTCAAAAATTTTAGAAAAATCAAAAATTTCACATCTTAAAACCACAAAACCTTCAAATTCCACCACCACAACCCCCGCCTGTAAATGCCATTTCCCATACAATTACAAAGTTGTCACCCATAAAGCGCCTTATGCAAATATCATGCGTTGTCCATGCAGTTTGCTCAAACGATGAGTAAAGTCAAGGATGACAGCACAAACAAATACAATTAAAAGCGAGAAAAAGAGTTTCGTGTTGTTTGCCACAAGGCTTACCCCGCGGGCACTATTATTAATTCTCGTGCTAAACAAAACTCAAAATTGTTTATTCAAGGCATTTAATGAGTACGGTAATCAGGGTTACCGTGGCGTTTCATTTTATGATTGATTTTTTAAGGGCAACTTGATTTTAGTTAATAATCGGTCAAAAAGTACATAGAAATCATAGTTTCTTTCAAGTTTTAACTCTGGAAACTCTTTTTTGTGTTTCTACAAACTTTCCGACCGTAAAATCGAAAAGCATTAAGCTAGTACTATAACAACTTTCAAGCCATACTACAATATATTCTTTCCTCCCATTTACCATACTTAAACCACCCCATTATACCAACTTACATACACATGTCTTCCCCTATATCACCCCCAAAAGCCATTAAGTTATTTATTTTGGGCGATGTGTGTTATAAAATGGCCAAAAAGCCAAGGCCATTGATCTGGTCCATCATTATCGTGCCTCAGGCAGTTTAGCTCATAAATCAAACAAACCTTCAAAATGGCTCTGATATATTCGCAAAACGATCGCTCAAAGCGCACAGCCAAAGCGGACCCTTAAATACGATGACAAATTGAATAATTGATCGAGTTATGCGTACTCAATCATGTTCAATATAGTATTGAAAGTAGCAGTTGTACAACTTCTGAAAGTTTTAATATTGTATCTCCTATGGTAAAAGAGTTACAGAGTTTTGAAATTAAAAAAAACCTCCAATTTTTCAAGCGGAAATTTATGCACATACGTCGGAATTATAGGGTACTGTAGAAGTACTGTAACTTTTTTGAATCAACAGGAAAAAAAATATATTTTTTGCAATTTTTTTTGACAAAAAGGATATTGTAAAATCACAAAAATGTTAGGCCTACTCTTTTAGTTTCAAGAAAGTTATACTCGAAACCGTCGTGCCCATTTTTCATTGCCGCCACCGTACTATAGAGTAGCTTAGTAAAACACTTTATAAAATTTTCTTAAGTACACATCCAAATCAATATGTATTTCAAAAAACTTACAAAACACATTCAAACCGATGTGAATGCAACTAAATCTGTCATCAAACCCAATTCAAAATTAACATTTTTCAAATTGAAATGTTTTTAGTATGGCTGTTCGGAGTTGTGGCACCGTTCCTCATTCTTCTCCAATGTCACAAACCAAAGAGTCGTAAACTAAAATCCAAACGAAAGGTATTTGATGTACCTCCACATCTTCAAGATACACGACGACAAAGCGACATCATCGGCGACAAAGCTCCAGAAGTGGCGGAAGATAAAGATAAGTCAAGTGAGTCTACCAGCGGCAGGAGGAAGAGTAAAATCGTGAAGACAGTTAGTGTAAGTTGAGTTATTCCGGTGTAAAATTCTTTTCTCATACCTAAAAACTAAGCTATACTGTTCTGGGCGTGAAACTGTGTAGCCAGGTGATAAATTAGACCTCATGTTACCTACTATAACATCGATTTTTAATGTCATTTCAGACAGAAAAGAAGACTTTCCTCGTTGACAACCGCGACGGCGACTTCAAGATCCGAGAAGTTGAAGATAAGAAGACTCATAGTACACAAGAGATTGGCCCCAGCTCTCAAGTCGATATTACACTTGTAAGTTAATTATCGTTAAAACTGTTTAAAATTTTTTACAATGTCTATATACAGACCTAACTATAAGCCTATATTCCTTTTCTTATACCTAAAATCACTTAACCATCAAAAAGAAATATAGATTACCTTAAAATGTCCTTTATATTGCCATTTCCAACAATCCATCCACTTTCAGACGCCGAAAAAACCGTTAGAAGACGCGAATCCAGACGTAGAAACCCTTCGACCGCCTCCGGAAATCACAAAAGTCGCTCAACGTGATGTCGGCAACGGGAAAGCAGACGCTGAAGATCCTCAATATGCAACGCTGAAAATAGACGAAGATTGGGACAGTAAACGCGACAATTTCCCCGAATTTATCGACCAAGTTCACAAAAGCGGCAGTGGAAGCGAAGGATCAGACGATAAAATTCTGAAGGAAGTCAAAGGCGACACTCTGAAGTCGAGAAGAGATAAGTCTCAGCAGCAAAACAGGAAAAAGATGCTAACATCGGGTACAAGCGAGAAATAAACTTATTAATAGACGCGACACTCGGTTTTCAAACATTTTCACGTTAAAAACGTTTTTTCTTGTGTTCATTAGTAAAATTTTACCTAAATTACCAAAAAAGTCAGAAATCTATTAATGTTTTTTAAAACACACTTTTTGTAAGGCTCGAGCAGGGCCTGACCCCCTGTCGACACCAAAATTTTTTTGCTTCAAATTGCTTCAAACCTTCACCAATGGGTATTAAGGTACTCATAAATCGTTTAAACAGGAAAATTTTTTTCAAAGATACAGTAGTCAGGTGTACTGTAACTTCACTACAATTTTTATATCTCTGGAACGAATAACGCTAGAACGATGCGGTTATCAATATAATGTAGAGCATACAAAATAATGTTAATTTGTAGTTTACACCAAGTTTCTATTCTTCTTGGAAGTTATTTTAAAAAATGAAAATGTAGCAAAAGTTACAGTAATCCAATCATACCTCAAAACTGAAGCACCTATGTAGTTCTTTTTTATTAGAGATTCTAAAACTGCATTTTTTTGCGGTCCTAACGCACCTAAAAACGTTTCAAAAAAGTGTTGTTCTGGGGTGCAAAAGCGCATTTGAAGTTTGCACATTGCAATTTTTTTTCAAAAATTAAAAAAAAATTTTTTTTGACGTTGCAAAAATGTAGAGCATAAAAAACAACGTTACTTTGTACATTACACCAAATTTCTATCTTGTCTACAAACATTGCATTTGAAGTTGGCACATTGAAAAACTTTTTTTTCAAAAATCAAAAAAAAATTTTTTTGACGTTGCAAAAATGTAGAGCATAAAAAACAACGTTACTTTGTACGTTACACCAAATTTCTATTTTGTCTACAAATATTTAAAAATTTTAGTTTTCATAAAAGTTACAGTAACTGGAAATATCTCAAAATAAAAGCACTTTGTTCGCTTATTTTTATTTGTTATTATTAAACTGAATTTTTGTGCGGTTCGAGTGCACATAAACACGATGCACAAAAGTGTCGAAATGGGGTGCAAAAGTGCATTTGAAGTTGGCACACTGCAAAAAATTTTTTTTCAAAAACAATAAATTATTCCCAAAACCCTTGAAAACTATAATTTGCTAATTTTCTACATTTTTGCAAAATCGAAAAAAAATTTTTTTTTAATTTTTAAAAAAAATTTTTTCAATGTGCCAACTTCAAATGCAATGTTTGTAGACAAGATAGAAATTTGGTGTAATGTACAAAGTAACGTTGTTTTTTATGCTCTACATTTTTGCAACGTCAAAAAAATTTTTTTTTAATTTTTTGAAAAAAAATTGCAATGTGCAAACTTCAAATGCGCTTTTGCACCCCAGAACAACACTTTTTTTTGAAACGTTTTTAGGTGCGTTAGAACCGCAAAAAAATGCAGTTTTAGAATCTCTAATAAAAAAGAACTACATAGGTGCTTCAGTTTTGAGGTATGATTGGATTACTGTAACTTTTGCTACATTTTCATTTTTTAAAATAACTTCCAAGAAGAATAGAAACTTGGTGTAAACTACAAATTAACATTATTTTGTATGCTCTACATTATATTGATAACCGCATCGTTCTAGCGTTATTCGTTCCAGAGATATAAAAATTGTAGTGAAGTTACAGTACACCTGACTACTGTATCTTTGAAAAAAAAATTTTCCTGTTTAAACGATTTATGAGTACCTTAATACCCATTGGTGAAGGTTTGAAGCAATTTGAAGCAAAAAAATTTTGGTGTCGACAGGGGTGCTCGACCCTTACAAAAAGGGTGTTTTAACCCAAAAACATAAAAACAAACCGAAAATCTCATAATTATTACCTAAAAATCAAAATTTTGCCTACAACAACATAACTATTACCTAAAACCTTCAAAATAAGTCAATTTATTCGCTTCACAACTAAAATGCCAAAGAAAGAGCTGTCAAATACCCGCAATAATTAAAACAAAACAATTCGCGACATCCAGAAGCCGCCGACTTCAAAAACCACCGTGCTACAGCACAGAATCCGCCTTCATCGTGCTCGGAACTTCTGGATGCCACAACTCTATAGCTAGTACGATCCTATTCGTATGTGTCGCAGCACCATCGAACCAGATCTCGTGCTCGAAGCTCTCGTCGAAGATCAGGAACTTGCCTGTCCTCCAGCCACGGACCTCTTTCGCGACGCGGATTCTGGCTTCTGATGGTGAAACGAGGCCAAGTTGAGCTTCGAGGACAAAGTTCGTGGGACCGCAGCGTGGCCACACCCTGGATCCTGGTTCCAAGACGTTGATTCGGATCTAAAATCAACGTTTAGTTCGAATGTTACTCGTTTTACCGAAAACCAATAAAAAGGTGTCTTTTCGTCGCAAAAATCAATAACAAATAGTTGCAACTCGTCCAAATTGAAAGATTTTGCTGATCTCGATACAGATTTTTGTTTCGACTTGAATTCTATTAGTTGCGACTGTTTTTAAATTGAAAAACAATTTTTTCTCAAAACTTTCTTCCCACCTACAACAATATCGCAAAACTCAACAAACTTACGTCGCCCTTGTCGCATTTGGACTCCTCAGCGAATTCCTTGAGTAATTTGCATGTCGTGGGCACTAAGCGACAGTTTCTCTCGTCGAAAGTGCCTTCCTGTCGCAGATACAGCGACTTGTGATGGCCTTCTGTGAGATGCGCGTCTTCTGGTTTGAATCTGTCTTCGTCGTCCTTCCACGCCCTCAGGGCTTCCTCTCTCATTACAGTCCATTGTCGCTCCAGGTTCTTAAGATGTTTTCCACATAATGTTTGAGTCAATGTCCACCACGGTCGCGCAGTAAGACCGTCGAGGTTGTAGGTGGACCTTTGGTACACCGAGGGGAAGAGTCCCAGTTCCACCGCTTCTTCGTACACCCTCAGGGCTTCTTGAGCACGGCCGAGTCGCTGAAGGCCGTCGCCTAGGTGGAAGTAGAATTTGGCGTCGAGAATAGGCTTGTCCTGGCTCTTGAGTCCTCGTCGCATGTAGAAGATTCCCTTCTCGTAGTCGAGGTCGTACACCTTCAGAAGGTAACCGTAGTAGGCTTGAGCGACAGAATTCTGAGGATCGGTCTCCAAGATGGAGGTGAAGATGTTGCGAGCGTCGTCGGGTCGTCCCATCATCAGGAAGGTGATGCCGAAATCGGTCTGAATCTCGATTTCCTCAGGGAAACGGTCTATCAGCTCTCGCTGGACTGTCATTACTTTGTGGAGGTTTCCGCGGTATCGTGCACATTCGACTAGATTCTCCGCGGCTTCTCTGAAATTTTTTTATTTTAAACTTCATATTTTTTACATTTTATTGCTTTAAAGAAAGTTAAAACCCCTCTTGATCAACTGCACCGTGCAAACTTTCGAAAACTTCATTGCACCGTGCAACCTTACCCTTTCTTTGCGCTGTGCAATCAAAACCACTGCACAGTGCAGTCCTTTCCTCTTTCCCGTTTCAAAAACGATCTGCACAGTGCAATCATTTTTCATCAAAGAAATCTTTATCGCAGCGACAAACCATCTCCTTGCTTTTGAAATTCGCGGCAACAAGTCGTCGCGTTTGTTTGTCGCAAATGTTTGTCGCACGGTTTTCCCATTTCTCGCGGAAACTCAAATTGATTCTTTGTCGCATTTGTCGCAAAAATCAAATTTGGTTGTCTTGCCGCCGCTCTTGTTTTTTTTGCGACATTTCCCTCTGTTCTGAATCTTTTGCGACCCAAAGCTTTGTTCGGAGCACTGTGCATTTGCGATGACCAGTAAGGCAGCGGGAGTTTGCACTGTGCAAGAGGGAAACCTTAGCCAAAACTTTATGCACAGTGCAAGCGATTTTTTGTTTTTTAAGCGATGCGGCTCATGTTTGTTTGTTTGCACTGTGCAGTCGAAAATGGGGTAAAGGGTTTGCACGGTGCAAAACGTTTTCTGTTTGTTGCACCGTGCAGAAAGTTTGTAAAGGTTGGTTTTTGTTCAAAATTAATGGATTGCGACATTTAAAAAAGACAAAAATAGTATATCTATTGAAACCCTTGGCAAAAAAGTATTCCACTTACTTGAAAAGCTCATCCGGAGTATCGTACTCGTCCAGCACCTTCTGGAACTCGTTGATGGCCTTGTCCATGTTGTCGTCAGTCTCTTCTTCTTCAGCCTTGATTTGTAGAATCTTTCCAAGACCAAAGTGAGCTCGTGGACTGTCTTTGTAGTCCTTGATCACCTCAGTATAGTACTGAATTGCACTGTTGAAGTCGTGCTGAAAAAGGTACGGTAATCTTGATACAGTAAGAAAAAAACAATAAAAAATAAATAAAAAAGGTTACAATGCGACAAAATCATAAAAATTGTTAACCTTGCGACAAATAATTAAAAATGTTAACTCCACCAACTTCAAGATGTTTCCCTGCGACAATAAGGTTAAGTTTGGCGACAATATTCGTATACTGAACCAACCAAGAGTAAAATCAAAACATTAGAGCCAAACCCAGCGACAATAAGGTTAAAATGTTAAGTGATTAGTTGTAGTAGGTGTTAGAGGCAAACCGGTTAAACAGTTCAGTCAGTTGGGCCACCTTTTCGACCAGATAGTCCGCCAAATCCAGTTTACTGCGATGTTTGTAGTCGTGGCGATTCGTCACGGCTTTGCGATTGTAATTATTCGTCCTGGAATGCGATATTTTAGTTTTGGCGACTAAATTCTGGCACAAGCAAGTCCAAATTTCAAAAATTTGAAGGGAAATTTAAATAAAAAATGTCGCAAAATTTGAATTTTGGTCAAAAAGTTGGTAGAACGGCTTAAGAAGGCTAATTTATACCGAATTTTTAGCTAAAACCGGCCAAAAAACCATAAAAATCTTACTTTTTCCTCGTCGCCGCGACCTCTCTGACATCCACCTTGTCCACTTCTTCCTCCACGTCATCGTCATCATTGTCATCGTCCTCTCTACTGTCATCATCGCCATCTTCTACATCGTCACTCTGCTCCAGCTTTGGGTACACCTTCCTCTTCTTTCCTTTGAGCAGCGACTTCCGAGGATTTTTGGAATCTTCTGCCATTCTTTTCGCTTGTAGTGATTGTCGCCAGCTTTTGCCTGACCTTCTGACTTCACGATGAGTTCGTGGCATCACAAGGACTTCTTCATCGTCGTCTTCATCATCATCGTCATCGTCTGTCTCCTTTTTCTTCTTGTCTTTCTTCACTTTTTGGACGCACTAAAGCAATATCAGATTAGAAATGGCATTTTAAGTTGATATTTTTAAAATTTTAAGTTGAAGTACTTGAGAAAATGAAGTTTTTATATTAGAAAATGGTGAAACAAAAGTATTTCTGACTTACCATAGCGACTTCATCCTCTTCTTCATCATCGTCATCATCATCATCGTCTTCTTGGGCCTTCTTTAGTGCTTCTTCTCGTTCTTTCTTCATTATTTCTGCTTGTTTTTGTTGTCTTTTGATCTAGAACGATGTAGAATAAACAGTTTATGGTCAACAACAATATACAATTGCCATTTTTGCCCTAAACATCAAAGTCAAACCATTTTATACCTAAAATATCTATTTCTAATAGATTTTGTCTCCTAAACATCAACTTACGACATGTCTAGGTAATGGTTCTGGTTCCTCTGGCTCTTTTTCCTCTTCTTTTTCATTCTTATCGTCATCGTCATCATCGTCGTCGTTTTCATCTTCTTCAGAATCCTCCTTCACGATGTTCTTCTTCTCTGGAACCACCCTCTTCTTAAGTTCCTCTTCTTCTTCCTCGTCATCATCATCGTCGTCTTCATCTGAATCCTTCTTCTGCTCAGATTCTGCTTCTTCACTCTCTTCTTCTGAATCTTCTTTTACTTCTTCTGGCTTCTGTTCTTCACTGTCATCGTCGTCTTCGTCGGATTCTTGTTGACGACGATTGCGACGTCGCAGATCTCGTTTTCGTTGATTTCGTTGTTGATTTCTGAGAAGTTTCTCTTCGTCTACTGGTTGACCGTCTTCATCGTCCTCTTCATTGTCATCCTTTTCCTTTTTAACGTCTTTTTTCTTGGACTTTCCTAGCCAACGATCTTTGGCCTTCTGAAGCAGCGACGAGAAGAGTTGTTGTTCTTCGTCTTCCTCTTCTTCTTCTGCGTCTTCTATGTCTGGAAACATAAGCATTAACTTTTTTAAATAAAGCTTTGCAGTTTAAAAAAATGGATATGTCGCGTCAATTTTTTAAAATTTTGGTCAAAAGGTTCATAGAATTTCAATAAAAAGACAAAAAAAATTGAACTTTTCATTGTCCTGACATCTAAAACAAGACCTTACCCGGTGGAGCAGGGGTAACTTCATCGGTTTCGTCTTCTGTATCTGGTACTATCGTATCTGGTTCTGCTTCTTCTACATAATGTGCTACGTAGTCGTTGTCTTCGCCGTCTAAAAAGCCGTATTTTATGCTTAAAATTTATAAAATTTTGCTTTTTAATCAGATATATTAAGAATCCTAGGCAAAGTTTAAATTTTAGGTATGATACCATTTTAGGTATATATCAACATTAGGTATAAACAATAGGTAAACTTACCTTCGATTTCAGAGAAAATGGCCAACATCGCTGAACATAATAGTACAAAGACGACTAGTACTGCCCAACTTCTGAGACCGCCCTGAAAAAGGTAAATGATGTTAACATTAGTATAAAGAATGTCGGGCGGGGTATTTTTTTTATAGGGGTGGAGTTCTTCAATTTTTTGTGAACTAGTCTTTTTTCCATGTTTGAATACTTTTTGGTAATATTTTTTACTTTTTAATCCCTTTCAATCATATTTATTTTTTTTCACTTTTCTTGCCCTTTTTATGTTGTTTTATGCCTAACATAACATAAAAACCTACTTTCGTCACACTATAATCAATTTTCTGCGGTGCCACCATGACGGCCATGTTGTGAACGTGGCCGGGGCCATCTGAAACATTCAGATTTAATTATTTATAACATTACGAAGGCTGCTGTTTACAACCTGCTTCAGCAAAAGTAATACTAAAAACAAAAAATAGAAAGAAAAGCTAATACTAAAAAGAACTTTTAGCTCTAAAATACTACATATAATCACAATATTTGAGAAAACACGCTTTATAATATCCTAAATAATATCACAAGATGCCACTTACAACTAGAGCCCTGCCTTCTGAAGGTCCTCGGACCCGCGCTGGTCCCATTCTGATGGCCATATGGGTTTGGCGACCCACTCATTTTGTCAAATCGTATTTGCAAAGCTGGTCAATTCACTGAGCGACCAGTCAGAACAATCTCTTTGACCGGTCAGAGTTGACCAAAACTTTCGGACCGGTAACGCCAAGTCGACCGGTCAAATGGAACTAAAGTTACTTTCGGATCGGATCCGTCTCGGCATTAGTGGGGGATCACAGGCCCTCTCCCTCCCTTTGCTTCTTCGGGCCAAAAATTATACGTCGGCGCTGAGATTGAGGACAGCCGGCTGGCGGGGAAGAGGGGGGAGAACAGACAAGAGTACAACTTCTTTTTGTTGTTATGTCCTTATTCTGGTGTGTCCTTTAATATTACTCGGGGACGAGTTTTCGGTCGGAATGGTTTTCTTGATACAGTTCAGGGATAAAAATGGTACTAATGGTATAGTATTTGATAGGAGTAATATAATACTATTAGCTATATATTTGTATTGTAGGTAAAATGTCTTCCAGTACAGTACAAATACAAAACGTGGCTAGGACAGTCACTGTCAATATCGCAATACCAGTAGAACGTGATTAAGATAATCACTAGTATTTTAGTACTGTAAGCATACTGTGACTATGAAAGTCACTATAAATATGGTAAAGTTAGTAGGCCGTGACTAAGGTAGTCACTATTAGGAAATCAGTACCAGTAGATAAAAAGAAGTATGACAAAACAATACTCTATTCAGTACCAGCCCCCAAATGGTACTTTAACAGTGTGACGAAGCGACTGGAAGTAAAAAGCTATTTTTGTCGCTGATTTAAAATGTAAATTTGTAATTTCCAAAAACGGAAAAACACGAAAATTGTATGAAAATGGTAATGTAAAGTAAACAACATTCAAGTTATTTTAAGAAATACATAATACTTTGAAAATTACTTTAATGCACGACACGATCTTTAGATTACAATGTTAAATCCTTGTTGTTTAAAGCCGTAAATTTAAGAATATACAAAAAAGTATCTAAATTTACAAAAAAAATTATAATCAATTGTAAAAATACTTCAAAAATTAAAAAATTGAAAATAAAACCATCTGGATGATGATTATTAATTAAAATTTAATCAAAAACAAAGCCTCGAATGTACTTGATCTCTTATTTTGTTTGCACAAGAAGTGCGCAGCCGGCTGTCAGGAAGCTCAAGAGATCGCTGTTAAAACTTGCAAAAATTGTTTCAAACACAGTTAACAGTTTTGTAGTAAGCACTCGAGTAATTCGTTAAACTTTGAACTGTAAAAAAAGTTTGTGAAATACGGTTTTTACAGTGAAAATAGCTAATCAAAGCTGTCATAGTTTATCATAAAGTAAAAATTTATCATAAAGTTAAAAAATATTACCTTTAAAGATGCTTTTTACCTCAATTTTAACACACTTTTCCTCTTTTTATAAGTATCATACTACAAACAAGCCTCCCCACCCTCAATACTGCCCATTAAAGCAAGATTATGTTGTAATCTTAAGGCCGAGAATTAATTAAACTGCTGTGAATAAAGTTTTCAACGAAAGACAGAGCCGTTTGGCCGGAGGGGAAGCCTCGAAATGACAGTTTTTAACGTCAAAAAATGTCTGCAAACGCCTAAGATCAATAACTCACATAAACATAATGCCATTCCGAAATCATATTCAATTTGTCACACATTTTATTTACATTTCTTTTGAAGGTTTTATGGCCATTTTATGTAATTAGTTCTAGAGCCATTTATAGGTAACTAAAAGTAGTAAAAACACAATTTTAGATGTTATAATTAGCAAAAGTGTTCGGTTTAAAAAGCTTTGCAAAAAAACTTAAACTTGTGCACTTTGTAAGCTGCTTGTGCATGAACAATGCCTTCTCGGGTAAAGAACACTTTGTTGTTCAGTTTTTTAAAGACATTTTCACTTAAAATACAAGGTTTAGCCAAATGTAAAAATAGTAACATAGATTCTATAAACATTACTTCATAAACTATGCAAAACAAGCTATAAAAACCAAATTACTATAATATAATACTTAATATATATATTATAGTTGACATAATATATAAACTTAAAATTTAAAAATGTAAGAGCAGCAAAAATTATGTTTCCATTTTTAAAAAAAATTTTCAATTTGATGCAAAATTAAAGCAGCCGGAGGGGTGAAACCGCTCGTTTCTGGCACATTTTCTCGCTTTCACATTACTCTAAGAATAACTGCACGAATATGACTTGAAATAGATACATTTAACATAATGTTACTTCAAAACATAAAAACTATTATATATATTATACTTCAAAACATAAAAATGTTTTTTCTTGTAAAAACGCAAAAATTGATGCAAAAAAAATTTTATTTTTAAAATTTTCTGAAATTCACTATTTTTCACTTTTAAAACTATCGCTTTCCTTCATTTCTGTAGTTTTTTTCAATCAACCGGTGGTCTCGAGAATTACCAACAAAAGTGCTTCTGGGATGCGACAGACGACTACAGAAGGCCACTCTTCTGAACAGTATGACAGTGCGGCCAAGAATCAACCAGTCGAGACTCAAAACAAAGAACCAAACTTATTTGTCAAAACTCCATCACCTGACCAACAGAAGTCGCCCAACGTCAAAACTCCATCTCCTGGCACAGAGAGAACGGTCAAGAACAAAAATCGCACCGTGAATGAGGCTACAGGCCAGAAGAATCAGCTACAGAATCCTCCCAATGACAAACCGTCCAAATTGTCTGAAGAGAAAGCGACTGATGACAAACCGACTAGTGTTTATGGCGAGAAACCGACCGGTAGCAAACCGAGTCTTTCCAATGAGAAGGCGAGTGGCCTACCGTCACCAAACCAGAAGCCCACATCTCCAGAAGTGCAGAGAAAGTCCCGGAAGACGACAAGAAGCGTTAATCAAGAAGCAGAACTGCCACAACAGCCAAAGGCAACGAAAGACAAAAGGTGGTTCTCTCCGAGTGTCGCTGATCACCATCCTGCAGTATCACCAGGGCCGGATCGGAAGGATAAACCGAGGGTGCCCAAAAGTGTCATGGCTTCTGTAGATGCACAAAGTAAGTCGCCTGACGTGCCAAATAAGAATCTGGAAGGCCTGTCGCCCCATGATCAGACCGCGATATCCCCGGAGGTGAAGAAGAAAAAGAAGAAGACACGTAGCATCGGAAACCCAGAATCAAAGGTTGGCAGCAATGAAAGCGATGACGGTAAAGCTATGTTCATGACATCCAAGAAGAAACGAGTTAAGCCTAAAACACAAAGCCAAAGCCCTAATCCGGCGGGTGGGTCAAAAGAGTCTGCAGATGAAAAAGTAAACACGCGACGTCGACTTCTACTACCGTCATATGATGATCAGCCAATATCGCCATTGGATCGACGAGAAAAAAGACAACGTGGTCGCATCATAAAGTCGGCTGAAATGAAAAAACAAGAAGAAGCAAGACGAAAGGAAGCAGCAAAGCAACCAGAAGTTAAACAACAACAGAAGAAGACTCGCAGCCACAATCAGTCAGAAGACATGGTGGCATCAGGCAGATTCTCGAAAGAGTCACCCAAACTCAAGGTTCAACCCACTCCACCTTCAAATAAGGGAGCACCAATATCACCAGGTATACCAGCAACACTTATCAGTGGGCCAGCAACGCCAAAGACAGATGAAACAAACAAGAATGTGGCAGAGGCTGGTAAAGACAAAACAGACGTTGGGGATGACTTGGATGAGAAGACAGCCAGTTCTTCGGTGGCGAGTTCGATGATGACAAGTGTCAGTGGGGCCGTGTCACCAGCTAGTAGTACAACTAGAGCTTCAAGTATGAGTAGAAATGGTACCACAAGTCCTAGTGGACTCACCGATTCGAATATCTCGCACGTAGGTCTATTTATAAATAAAAACCTGTAAGTCCATTAATTCTTTCGTATTGATGAGTTTTACAATTTAACTTCCAACTTCATTAGCTACATATAACGTAACATAATATCATATAATTAGGTATTTAGACCTCTGCAAATCAATCAATATCCACTGGTCCTGATGGAAACCCTCTTGACCCAGCGATGGCCGCTTACTTCGATCCAGCGAATGCCAACAAAGCGAATGATAACGACGAGATTGATCTGGACAAACAAATAAACGAAGACATTACACACACAAAGCCAGCACGTCGGTCAAGTCAAGACAATGCAACATTGGCCAAGAAGGCTTTAGAAAGGCTTAAAATGCAAGTAGGTTACCGAGTATACCTCAGAATAAGCAAAATCATATTTTAACTATAACATAAATGACTAACTTCTACTATAAAACCAAATTCTTGATTAAAGACCTTAATGGTTTTTTTGAAGCTAACATTCTCTTTAATCGTATGTTATCACATATCATTATGAGCTTTAATTACAACATTAACTTTCAGAAAAAGCGAAATGACGAAGCCAAGAAGATCAGGCTGAAGAAACAACGGATGGCCAGACGGAAGAAACGATTACTACTCAAAATGGAGAAGAAACAGTCCACCAACAGCAGCAGCTCCAAGAAGGACGACACCGACTCGTCGATGAAGGTTTCTCGCAAAAAGAAGTCCAAAAAGACCAAAACCAAAACGTCAAAGGAATAAACTGTCATTACTAGTATACTACCCAGTACATTGAAGGCTCACTATTATTTTTTGAAAGCTAGGTGCACCTATTTCTTAGGCTAAGATCTTAGGTGGTTGATTATACTGTTATAGGTGTTAATCACCTAATTTTAACTATCTTATTTAATTCCTACTCCTTTTGTACAAATATTTTAAACACTCCTAACAAAAAAATTTGAAATTCAATCGCGTAAACTTAACATAGGTTAATTAAAGTTCTTTACTATGAATAACAACAACTAGAAACAATTTCCTATGATAATCTGAGCTGTTCTGCTGGCTCCCATTTCTTAACACCGCAGACAATGATTTCATTCACTTCGATCGAGTCGAGGAAGGCAATCTTAAATTATAACAGGTACACAATTTCAATATTAAAACCTATAATTTTGAAAAATAAATTAGAAAAGCACCTCATATTTTACTTTTATGTTTAAAAAAATGAATTCACCTCGTCTTTTAAAAGACGACGCACAAAATCAGAAAAAATCTATAACGACTTTCCTGAACATCATAACAAGCTTCATTTAAAATTTTTAAAAATTTGTAACTTACAGTAGCTCTTGTGTATCTCACAGCATTATTCAAATGAACGGGTTCTACAGGTATTGCCATAAACAGATTCCTCCACAAAGCGCCAGCTAAAACAACATCAGGAGACAAGAACCCTTCGTCGTACTCAAACAATGCTTGCAAGTAGACGCCGTGCATTTTCTCCATATCTTTTTTCGAATTTAACTTGGTATCGTATTCGTCCTAAAAAGATATTTATAAATTTGAATAGTACAAAAATCTAATATGATGCTTTATGTTATGATTTTTGGCCAATATTGCCATAGATCATCTATTTTTAATAGATTTTCAACTGACAAGAAACACTTACCGACAAAATTTCCAATCTTTTATCGACGTCAAACCAAAAAGCATTCAACATTGAATCCCGAAGTTGATTATAAGCTCCTGCATCCAGATTCGACTGCATTTTAAACAAGCACATACTAAAATCCATAAAGTTATCATAATTGTTCATAAAGACACCTAAAAATAATTCAGAATCTTACCATATGTGCAACAATGTAATCTTGTACCATGAACTTATTCGATCTTCCAATTGAAACTCTAAAAGACCGTATTACTACCTATATTAACTAAAACAGCATGATTTACTCTTTAATCTGCCACGTTGTATACTATTTAAGAAAAAGGTACGCAAAACTATATACCCACAAAATAAAAATTACCATTTAGCAGCCGTATATAAGGATAATTGTTTGCGCAGTCGTAGTATAACAATGTCGCTGCTTTGTCAAGTAACTAAAAATCAAATGAACCATTAATCCAAAACCTTACTGCTTTTAATTCACTGTCCACAGAAGCTTGGATCTCGTTTTTGATCTTTAAACGCTTCTTCAATGCTACCAACCATAATGGTGTCCATGCTCCCTTCTCTATCTCCTTCTGAACATAGGCTGAGTAAGATTGAGCTTCTGTTGTCTTCAAAAAGTTTTGTGATGGTTTTTGTAAACTTTTTTCAGCCTGAAACATAATCTATTAACCGTTAAATCTAAAAAATTAATATACTATGTTTAATATTACAAATTTTTAAGTTTCAAAATAGAAAACGTATAAATAACGTATTTTAACATTGTTTTAGCCCTTGAAACTTACTTTTGCTGCTTCTGCTGAAAATGTCCTACATCCTAATCTAGTTTGCTTCAAGACTCTAGTTGCAAACAATACTCTATTCATGATAGCAACATGTTATAACAAATCCCCTTAATTTTCTGATTTATATATTTTTTTTATTCTTGTGGTGTTTCGTCAACAAATTGGAGGCGAAGTGTCAAAAATAAATAATTTTTTATTTCGGAAATTATTTTTTGAAAACTACTGAAGAATAAAAAGTTACTTTATGAATGAGCTTTTAATTGTATGAACTTTTATGATTTGTATATTGAACTCTTTAATTTGCTGTAGATGTTATAATTTGTTCTTTTGTCGTCAGAGTGTTATCAGATGCGCAGGGAAAAGTTTTGTTTGTGTTCAGTTGATGTTTCGCCTTTTTAAGCAATTTGAGTCAATGTAAATGTTCTTGTTTCATTGCTGTTGATTGCGCGAATCTTTTCTTGTTAGTAACGGGATTACAAAGTTTTAAATTTTACAATTCTATTTTTTGTTACATTGATGTAGGTGTTAGTAGTATTTAAAAAGTGTTTTACTGGATGGTTGTTTACACAGTTATTGTGTTTTGAGTAGTGTATTGATACAATTTAAACTGTATCGTTTGGTAAGAGCGGTGTGAGTCACAAGTGGCAGTTTAAAAAGTAGATTGATGTGTGATTAAAAAAAAATACAGTTTTAAATCAGACTGTCATTGTTACACTTTCTCTGTATGCGACGAGGACGCCACTTATTCTTCTTTGTATAATTTTTTATTTTATGTATTGTTTTATTTTTTTTTAAGAATTATATTATTGTTTCTAAATTAAATGTTTTAGATAACAATATAACACACCATCCCACCAATAAGATCGTGCAGGTGGATGGACCAAAAAAATGGCCAGTATTCACAAAAATGCGGGAAGTCCATTGCCGCCGTTCTTGAGAGAGAACGACGGGGCATGGAGAAAGTCCACCGAAGGAGGTCCGTCCTCCTCATCCTCTTCCCCAAAAAGTTCAGGACACCGGTCAGAAGGTAGGGCGACATCTTTTTGTTGTTTTATTTGTTTAGGAGCTTGGGTTGGCATGTAAAATGTGATTAACTAGAGATTTAAGGGTAGTTTTGATAAAAGCATATGGCAATATGTATATTGTCTTATGTTTTTTGATGAATTTCTTCTAAAATTGTGTTTGTTATGTGTTGTCGTCTCGCTTTTGTGCCCAAGTATATGTTTTCTTACCATACAGTAGCAACTGCGTCCCTTGAAGGAGTGCCATTTGACAAACTCAACCCATTAGCATCTCATCAGCCTCAGGCGCCGTTGATCCAAGGCTCAGTGTCTAAAGAAGCGGCCGTAAAGACTCATGTCAACTTAAGTGGACTAAGTCTAGAAAAAGAAGAACAGATACGAGAGTTGTATGACCGATTAGACTTGGACAACGATGGTACGATCAATATTGGAGACCTATCTGCAGCTTTACAGAAAGAAGTTCCTCACATTCCCAGTAATCTAGCTCCTGTGAGTTTGTTGACGATTTGTTTGAATTTTAGGTATAAAAATGAATAACTACAATTAAAATTGATTTAAAAGTTCTATTAGAGTATTTTTTATCATTTTATTTTAAAAATTTGGTAATATGAATAATGCTCTTTGAAATACAGCTCGTTTAGAAAATCCTCCAAACGATATCACAAGAAGATAAAGACTGGATTAATTATCCGGAATTCATCGCTTATATTGTTGAACATGAAAGGAAACTGGAAAAAGTGTTTCAAGAATTGGATAGGAATCAAGACGGTCAGTTTGTTACCTAAAATATGCATATTTAGTTAAATTGTACATTTTGTTACTTAAAATACCTTTTGAGTAATTTAAATCAGTATGAGGAATAATTTAGATAGAAAAATGACTTAGAATATTTATTTTTTACTTTTAAAAGTGCAATTATGAGTTTATAAAACAGGTTTTGTTATCAAAACACACTTGTTAACAGTTTTTTACTGTAGTGTTCGGATTGGGTTCGAAATAACTGTTACAGCGATAAAGGCAGTAAAAAGGGTTTTAAAATGGAATTCACGTGAAAATTCATCCGATTGTGTTTTGAGAAATGGGCGTGGCTTAGGGGAGGGTAAAATTTGTGGGCTACTTGATAAGTTGTTACTTGTTGGAGTAAATTTGATAACAGTTTATACTTTGATCTGGAAAAGTCATAACAAATTCTACTTGAAATTATATAAACGTTTTGAAAATAGTGCTGTACTGAATGTGTTAGTACTAAAAAACAGTATCAAATTAAAAGTAAAAATAATTTTATAGCAGTTTATATCATAAACAAACAGAAAGCTGATAACATTATATGAAAATTTTAGGATTCATCGATGAAAAAGAAATCCAAAGTTACTGCCACGATCATGGTATGCCAGTTAGTGATGAAAAAGCTTTACATATCATTAGTCAAATGGACCAAACGGGCTCAAGTTCAATAGATTTAAAGGAATTCAAAGAGTTTATGTTGTTATACCCTTCAGCTGATCCGCTGGAGATTGCCAAGTTCTGGAGGCATAATCTGGTAGGATTTTGTGATTAATTAGGGTTTAGAAGACTTGAAAAGAAAAGAAGTGTATTAAATTTACAGAATTGAAGAAAATATTATACACAAAGTTTTAAAATATGAAAATATTTGTTTTTTTTGAAATTTTGGTCAAGAATTTCAAATTCTTCATTTCTTTTTATAAATTTTTGCTAAAATTGGTCGATAAATGTTTGTGTTTGCGGAAAATGGTTCATAGTAACAACAAACTGCGTCGAAGTGGTTATAGAGAGAGTTATTTGAAGGTGATTGACATTGGAGAAGACAGTTTGATACCAGAAGACTTCTCGCCATTGGAACTTGAGACTGGAGTATGGTGGCGACATTTGGTAGCTGGTGGCGTCGCGGGATGCATGAGTAGAACGTGCACGGCACCGTTGGATCGGTTGAAAGTGTTTTTACAGGTATGTTTTAGTAGTATGTTGAGGTAGTACGGAGCAGAAAATTGTGTGATATATGAAGCTGGGATGTGCTTGATATTTGGGGGAGGACTCTTTCACAAAAAATGAAAATGCTATTTTAGGTTCACTCGAATAAACAAAACCCATACGGAGTGTTAGGTGCAATAAGATATTTACATAGTGAAGGTGGTGTACGATCGTTTTGGCGTGGTAATGGTATCAATGTCATCAAGATCGCTCCAGAATCAGCTTTCAAATTCATGGCATACGAACAGATGAAGCGAGTTATACAAAGGGTCAGGTGTAAGGAAGAACTGACTATTCTGGAGCGATTTGCTGCTGGAGCATCAGCTGGAGCCATAGCACAGTCTATCATATATCCGTTGGAGGTACTGAAGACCCGGCTGGCACTAAGGAAGAGTGGCCAAATGGACAAAGGACTCTTCTCCTTTGCCAAACACATTTACAAATACGAAGGATTTTCGTGCTTTTATAAGGTAAGTTTAGGTTTTCACTGTCTTAAGGATTAAATTAAGGTCAAGAGCTTGCCAAAATCAAAATTTAAATTTCGAATATTTCGAGTTTTCAAGTTTTTGTAAAGAAAGTTCTTGCCTTTCTCGATTTTTTTATAATGTTATGTTTCCAGGGTTATATCCCAAACCTACTAGGTATTATCCCGTATGCGGGTATTGACTTGGCCATATACGAAACGCTAAAAGGATATTATCTACAACATTATCAAGTTAGCGATCCTGGAGTACTGGCACTACTAGCATGTGGAACGTGTAGTAGTACGTGTGGACAGTTGGCTAGCTATCCATTGGCTTTGATTAGGACGAGGTTACAGGCTAGAAGTAAGTTGTTATGAAACGTCGGGCTAGTACAATATTTAATATGGCGTTTTCTATGAACGGGAGTTTAAAGCGTTTTTACAAAGTAAGCAATTAACCTACTACAATATTCGTATTTTAGCGATATGCCAAGATAAGAACCAGCCAGACACGATGGTAGGGCAATTCAGGTACATTATTCGAAACGAGGGTCCAGCAGGCTTGTATCGTGGTATTACTCCCAACTTCATGAAGGTTATACCGGCAGTCAGTATCTCCTACGTCGTGTACGAGTCAGTACGAAAACAGCTAGGCGCCACAATGTCATAGAATTAAACACATAAAATACTGGTCGATTTTGTGCTCATTTTTCTATTTTTAACAGTTTTTGGTCTGGCTCAACTTTTACAGGGTCAAGTGTACTTTATAAGGCCAAGTGTTGCCTTTTGGGTCAACTTTTCCTCTGTAAGGTCGTTTTCTACTTTGTAGCAATATTTTTTGTATGTGATCTACAACTTAAGCATTTAGAATACTTGAAACATTTAAATTGTCATTTTTTGCAAGCACACCTTATCTTTAGTCTCTGTGATATCTATAGGTAACATAATGTTACTCTTTGTGGTGTTTTGTCTCTGGCCAACTAACCTTGTTCTTGTTATCTCATCATCTTGGTAGGACATTTCAAAGAATCGGTTACATCTGCCTATTACAGTTATTGTATACAACTACTTTAAAGTTCGGTGCCTTTGATTAGGGTAATAATATGAAACAGCTCAATGAAATTAGAATTTTAAATATTGAACTTTCTTAATTTGACAGGTAGCATTTTGAACTAAACTGGTTTTAATGTTTTTTAATAAATACAATGTATTTGTTGTATGAGGAAGGACTTATCGTGATAGTTGAATATCTAATTGTACTTTTGATGTTGATATAGTTAATGGTGTGTTTTAAGTTTTTTATCTTATTGAAGTATACAGTATCAAAAAATGTAAAGTTAGTGCTGATTTTTTAATTTATATATTTAAAATTAGGTTTTTCTACGAATTTTTCGACCAATGTTACACATCCCGAATGCCCAGACGATTGAAGAAAAGAACTTGAAAAAGACGTTTGAGCTGATCAGGAACGTTGTAAGTGAACTTTTTGATTTTTTTTATTCTATGTGAACTTTTTTTGTAATTGTTTGTTTTCAATTCGCAGTGATAACTGTAGTTTAGAGGAAGGAGATCGAGAACGCACAAAAGGCACAACACTTGGGAACGGCCAAAAAGAACACTGATGGACAAGGTATGGTGATTTTAAAGCTATGCCATTATTTTAAACTGATCTCAAAAATACTGACACCCAAATACGATTTCTCTAAGATTATTATAACTTTTTCATAGTACTCTAACATGAATATTGACTTCCAGATTTGGATCAAAACATGGCCGAGGTCAAAAAGAAGCTGGCCAAAGGTGTGATTAAGGTGGCAAAAGACGAGAAACACACATTCAAACGGCTACACGGTCAGAAGCGGGAATCAGTCAACTACGTTGAAGAACCGATAAGTATATCTACAGAACAACAGTCCACTTCCGAGATGTTTAGTCCAAAGAATAACAATAATGAAACAAATAACACCAATTTGTATATTAGAGGGTTCGAATTGGACTACAATTTAATGAGAGAAACTTTTTCACAGTTTGGAAATGTGGTGCGATGTTATGTCGAGGAACATAAACGGTAGAATTTATGGTTTATTTTGTGAAAAGTTGTGTAAAATACGTATCTTTAATTTTTTTGCGGCTATATAAAGTATATAATTTGGATATAAGGTTAAAAAGCTTTAGAAAATAAAATTAAATGTAGCTTTTTTAATATAGCTTTATATATTGTATAAGATTTTTTAAATATAACTTTATATTTTAGATCCGGCTTCATCAATTTTGCGACTCCAGAAGAAGCAGAAGCAGCAATAAGGCAGTTAAACGGCCAAAGGGTTGGTCAATCTAACTTGAGAGTCGAGTTTGCCAGAAAAAGAGATAACTCAAAAAGACCTTCTAAGCCTTACAAGTCTTTCAGTCAGAATTCAGAGGATGGTGCTGCTAAAAGAGGTATAATCAGTCATTTTTTATGTTATATGAGGTATTTAAAAAGATCAACAACTTATGGTCTACAAAATTGTTGGGATGGTTTTTAAAATTTTTCTTGCTGTAAAAACCGAATGAAGCGTAAAAATGCTAATTTTAGCACGTACTATGTCTACGACAAGCGATGATCAACGCGCAGTGGTATCGTACGAAGATGGCGAAATTTTTGATTAAGTATTTTCTATTTAAGTACATTTACATCTTTTTTAATCAAGTTAATAAAGCCTACCGATTGATAATATTTAGCCTTATTATTTTTTACATTTTTAGTGCTTTTGCCATAGTTTTTTACTGTCTTGATTATTTATACATATACTATATATTATATACACTTAATATAACGTGCTTTAACTTGTACAATACATCTTAAGTACATTACCTTTACTGCAATTACATTGTTAACATTTCCACCCAACATCTGTTGGCAATGTAATTCATATGTAAATGTGCATGTGGAATAAGTAAAGAAACATATTATTCTCATACACATGACAATTAGCGCGAGATGTGAGTTAAGCATGTTGTTGTAGACTCTGTGCCCTCTCTCCCTTCACATCTTGAGTTTGCACCTGTGTTTACACCTGTCACTTCTGCCTTCAGGCGCTTATCTCGAGTACAACGAGTTGTTATCGCAACAGAGCGGGCAGTGAGGGTTGGTCTATTGTAATAAAGGGTTGTTGTTACTGTAATATGTTAGTTACTGTATGTTAGTATCAGTGTTGGGGAAGTAGTTTCTCACCTTTTAACGTATAAAACAATATTAACATGCCTATGCACTTAAACATTCATTCCTGCACTATAACAATCTCTATATCCGAGTAAAACGAGGTGCATTAACACGAGAATATCCTGCCTTTTGAAGGGATTTATCGTACATTAAGTGCCCGATTAGGGATTGACAGTGGTTACCAAGGGAGAACGACGCCTAAGGCCAGCTTGTTCAACCAGGTGATTATTACGAGATGGGTGTGGTGGGGTGAATAAGACCCTCAGGATGATAAGGCTCAATAAACAGCTTCAGGAACTCGCGAAGCTGCCTGACTCACTTTAGGGGTTCGCTGGGCGACGTCGCTATCCTTGGGTTTTCTTGGTTCAATATTTAGTTTCGTTCTGCTTTTGAGGAAGAATAGTATAACTTTTTTTTAAAATTAAAATTTGAATACTTATTTCGCTACTTCTTTAATTTTTTAAGACTATCTTATATTAATATGACAATGTTACACTAGATTTTCAATCAAAAACTTTGAAAATTAATAGTAAAATAATATTTTTAGGTAAACCATGTTAGTACCGACCCCAGAATCCTCAACAACATCTTCAGCAACCACTACTCAAGCCTTAGAAGTAACTACAAAGTCTGGGATGAATGACAAAATACCTTCGAATCACTCCGACCTTATCATAGCCATGATTTTAGCCAGATCCGATGAGTTATTCGCTGATAATCGAAAGAGAAAACCTATCTATAATGCTAGAAGGAAGGCGAAGTGGAAGGAATTGGTCGAAAATCTGAATCGACAGCTTGGAATGGATTACTCGGTCGAGAGGGTCAAGAACAACTATCACTACAGGGTGACGTCGCTCAAGAGGAACATGAGCAGACATATGGTGTGAGTTTAAAATTGGCTTTGAAATTTTATTTTGTTGCAAACTTGTACTCTGTTTGTTAAAATACGGATCAAAAAATGCAATTATTTGATCCGAGAATGCCTGAAAACATGTATATTATAGTAGTTGAAGACGTATATTAGCTAAAGGGTCCTTTGAATTTCTAAATTTAACTCTTCAGATCATTGAAAGAAGACGACGTTGCGGATCAAAATTCAGCGTCACAACAACTGTCAGACATTGATCGAATGTTATATGAAGCGATCAAAGCTGCCAATCAAGACGAGTTTCTACCGGTCAAACGACAAAAATGTAACTTATTTTACGTTGACTTACAAAAATATCTTTAAAATTTCATTTATATATATACTACAATATTTTTAAAATTGATATTTTTTTATTTTTAAAACTTTTAGCGTCAGAACAACCAGAACACGTAGTTGAAAAGCCCGTTATAACTACTGATGTTAACTTTGTGGAGAGCTTGTTTGATGAGAGTAAAGAGGAACGAACTGCAACACCAGATACTAATGAGGATCCAGGATTCAAGAAGATTATGGTTACAATGATGAAGAATCAAGCTGATTCTTTTAAAGTAAGGTTGTATACTGTAATTAGTGCTGGAGGACCTTTTAATTTGAGAATACAGACTTTGTTACAGTAGAATATAGCAAATTAAAAAAAATTTTTGGAGAATGAGCGACTTATATGTATGTTAAACTTTTCTTAAATTGTATTTTTAGGCATTGCGCGACTTCATGAACGAGCAAACCCTGCAACAAGCGAAAGTGATCGAAATGATGGCGGCTACTGTAGAGTTGGTTCGTGAAAGCACGTCGCATCTGGAGCGGGCTGCCAGTCTATGCCCTGGCTGTACTGGCAGTCTGTTGGAGAAAGTGTTTCAGCCTTACAGTAAGAACGACTCGGAATAATTACTCTTATTTATTATGTAAATATTTTATTTTACTCAGTAAACTCATCACATCTTCACGCTTTTTTTGTTGCCATTTTGGGTTGATTATTCGGTGGCATGTGATGGGGTGGATAACATGTTTATATACTTTTTGTACTTGGGTAATTAAGTACGTTGAATTTGATATTGAGTAGGGTTAGGTTTTTTTTTGGGAAAGTTATATAGGAATACAACTGTTGTAGGGCTATTGTTAAGTTAAGTTAGGCTAAAGTAAAGTATAAAAATAAAAGTAAAGGTGAAGTACTGTAAGTTAAGGTTTAAAAACGTAGCAGAAAGCCTAGAAAAGCTTTATTATTTAAAGTATGCTTACTTTTTTTTAAACCAGACTAGTACACGTTTGCACAAGATAAGTTATACAATATAGTATGCAGAGAGATTACATTTTATAATGTTAGAAAGTATTAACATATATTTTCATATAACCATGGGAGCGGCGATGATATTTGGTATGTTGGGAAGTGTTCGTCCTTTATGATTTCTTTTAGTGCACAAAGTGCATTGTGTTGTCTATGATTGATATGAAAAGTGATTTTTGTAATTATGGTACTACCCCTTTTACATAACCTTACTCTTTTTTTCTTCCTTTTTTCCTCTCTTCCCCCCCCCCCCCCTCCCCCCTATAATCAACTTAGGTAATCATATAGTAAAAACTGTACATTACAACATAATATATCATAACCTTATGCTCATTAACATACTACATGCACTACCGCAAGCATGTATTTAGTCTGCAAATACATGTTCAAGATATTAAACAAAGTACAAACTGGGTTTACTATGAGAGATATTTACATTGTTTTGTTTGCTGACATCTTATTATTGCTTTATTTATACTGCTTTAACATACCAAATATACATAATTTTACATTTCTTTCTATTGTGAGTTATACGCATAGCATAGTAAATGTCATGTGTAAATATATGAAATCTTTAAACATAGGTGAAGTGTATATGTAGATATAAATGTATATACAAGTATATGTACATATATATATATTGTTCTTGTAGTTGTAGTTGTATATTGTAAGTATTCAGAATGTTTATATGCGCATTTACTATCAAACTATATATGTTTACTATCGTATGTAATATGTATCTGTATGTATCTTGTTTACTACCACGTGCTATATCTAGGATTTCTTTACAGAGTTTTCTTACAGCTTAAGGTTATCTTTTATATCTTCCTTAAATGTCATTTATACATTTTGTAACACATATAAATTTATACATCTGTGTATGTTAACCATACGTCTTCATGTATGTAGAGTTTACAATAACATTTTAAAATATATATATGTATGTAGGTATATATTATTTACAGATGTAAATGTTTCATAAATATTAATTAAACTTAAACTTACTGTGTTTTTACTTCAAACATATACGTTTAGTCTGGTTATGTGTATATATAAAGCGTAGTAAATTTAAAATCTAAAGACGTATGGTTATGATATGTAATTTGTCAAAAGATATGTAAATTACAGATTTATCGCCATATGCTTGTTGTCTTCTCTTAAGAAACATGTTTTATGTTTAAACATGTACATCTAGACAGTTAAGGTTTGACGGTTTACTGTGTTTTAATCACTTTTACCTACGTTATCGTATTTAGTTTAACTACCTACATCCACGTTGTCGTATGTAGGATTTTAGAATTGTTCTGTTAAAAGTCGGCAATGTAATACATATTATAATACTTTCACGTTTGATCAAAGAGATTCAATGCTAATTTGAATCAAGGAAAGGCTGGTTAATATGTTAAGGCACATGGTGTCCCAGTCAAATGATTTAATATTATTCTCTAGGAACATTCGCTTCCTTAAATTCGGTCACTATTTTTGTCTTTTACGTGTCATTTTAAAATCTAGTTTTCTGGGATGACTAAGCATTTACTTTGCTATGCTATTAGTAATAACAAACAGATTAACATAGTGAAGTTTAGTTTAAAGTTAGGCTTGTACTATTATGTAGTGTAGTAAAACAGACATTTTAGTTTCAATGGTAAGCGGATAATTGAGGTCTAGAGTAAGAGCAACTCAAAGAATGTTTTTTTGACTAGAGTTACCCTATTATATTAATACTTGTGGGTTGTTTGACTATAATAAAAAATCATTCTCAAATTATTATATAATCTCTGATAAATTGGCAGAAACTTCAAAAAGCCTTTTTTTAACGATAATTTTAAATTTTTAAATTTGTAATTTTAATGTTTATTTTTTAATTTTGACTGAAAACGGTTATAAAACCACGTTGAAACCATGAAAATATCGTCTTCAGACGTACATCTGTTGCTATTTTTAATTCTTCTAATCAAGATACGCAATTTATTCCGCCATATTTCACATGTTTAATTTGGGAAATTTGACAGCAATCAATTTTTTTATTTTAAAAATGCTTTAGAAAAGCGAAGCGATATTAATCTGAATCTTGTACAAACTTTAACAATGTTAAACAAAATCTTTCTAAAAGTTGATAAAAAGATATTTTTAAAATTCTAAAGCGAAAGAGATCCATATTTTAAGAAAGCTATAAACGGAACCAAACTATTATAATATTAAGCTACTTTTGCTATAAACTAAGATAATATTGAACTACAGCAGCATGCCAACTAATATTGAAGTTTATGTTTTGTAAAAGTTTTGTAGCCAAAGCCAAAACAAAAGAGAGTACATGGTTTTAGAAGCGCTTACTATTGGCATTTTACTCTGTTAATCTTTGTTTACTCTATTATAAGTTGTCTTGTTGTGTCTGAGGTTGTTACACTCGATTGTCACCTCTAAATACTTATATTACTACATCTACGTATAGGTATAGGTGACTCTTTGCTTTGTGCAGATTTAAGGGAAGTTTGTAGTAAATCTTAGGTCTAAAAAATGTTGTATCACAGCTACTTTGTTATATACTTTTTACTATACATTTTTATACTATGTAATAGTATAATATTTCACTAGGGACGGTATAACACGTACGTCTATCTAAATATCAGTAGTTATCTTACATTACCCAAAAATCTATTTTGGTACCATTTGAAGCCCTGTGTAATGTTCCCAAGTTATCTATCAACATTAGGCGTAGTAATCGCGTTTTATTATGTGTTGACAAGCATTACACAGTTAATTAGAAAGTACATTTAAACAAGTTATGGCTGATTTGGGTTTGACCGATCAAAGTGTTTTTTTCAAATAGTCATTTAAATTACCGGTTTTTGTAATTTACATTGCTCTTTTAGAGTTAATTTTGTTGCAATTTTTCAAAAAAATATTTTTGTTTTCTAACTTGGGATTTTACTCAAGTATAAGTAAAAAATATTTACTTATACAAAGCTGTTTTATCTTTGATTAACTTTGTTTATATAATCATTTTACATAAACTTGGTTTGAATTTTCAATTTTTGATTTGTTACTGTGAGAATATTGGTCTTTGTTTAATACTCATTACTTTTAACTTTGATTTTTTGTCAATGATTACATTATCTTTAACTCACGCTATTTCTTTTTTAAATTTTGCTACTTTTTTCGCTACGTTTTTCTTTTGAAAGTCAAAAGAAACTTTCTTTCTCTTGCCGCTCTCCCACTTCATTCTATCATTCAACTCTTTTTTCTCTACTCTTTCCTCTCTGCACCCCACTCTCTCCCTCTTCCAACGTTCCGAACGTCGGCTACAGTTTGGTTCTAAAATTAGTACTGCTTTTGTTCGTTTTGTTGATCACCGTGAACTTGAGGCTTTCATTAATCTCGTCTTTCCTTTTGCCCGAGGGGTTTTAGGTTGCGCGGCCTTTCGACAAACACAAACAGTACTGTAAATCCGTTTATTTTGCGTTAATTGGGTATAAGTGGTAATTGTTGGTGCCAGCTGGGCTGACAAAAACGCATGCCCTCAGGGGATGGGGCAGTGTTATGACAAGCGAAATAGCACGTTCGATGGTCAAAGCATGCTTAAGCACCTGGTTTGGCCATATTTTAGTGTTTCTTGTTGTTGGAGGATTAGATTTGGGTTGATTTTGAAAATTTTAGACCTATTTTTCAACCCGGCTGACAGACCGGGCCTTAGTGTCAGCCTCGACCCTTGGGCACACATGTGCCGGCCTGTCTAGGATCTTTTCAATTTTGCTTTAGCCCGTCTTAATCCGGCGCAAGGCAGGGCTGGACCATGACAGAGCCGGGCCTGGTGGACTTTTTTTCAAGCTTACTTCTGATATTTTAGGCTTACTTACAGAATATAATAATTTACTTGCACTATTATACTCTCTGCAAGTACGAACCCGTTTCAATACTGAAAAAGGAAGAAAAGACAGCGTCTGAGTGCATTATCCTAAATAGTATTAGCTCATACTGTCTTCCAATTTCGCTGAAACAATAAATTTTTCTTTTTTTTCGAAAATCTTTTTATCACATTATTTTTAATGACAGTTTATTGCGGTTGTCAATCACTTTTTTGCTAATCTACCTTATTGAAACTGCTTGATTTAAAATTGTCTTTTTCATTCTTCTTTGTATTTAGCTTTTTTGTAAAACAAAGTTTGTACAAGTTTAGTATCCAAAATAATATTTTTATAATTGTAGCAGCTTTGGCACTACAATATATGTGATATTCTTAGAAATGTTACATTTATATATGTTTTGTGCTTTCGTAGTTGAATATGATTTCTTGTAGTAATAATGTTTACGGTATATTGTTCATTATACATAGTTGTGGGTTTTAAACTTTGATTTTTGAAAAAGGAATATACAGACTACCTAATGTGTAGCATAGATCACACCTTTTACTGTAAAAATGAATTTCTTTACAGTGCGTTTTTAAAATATATTTTAAAATTTTTAATTTTGCAAGATTTATACTGTTTGGAATTCAAAAGTAAAAGTTTTGTTCTTGGAGATGGGGATAAAGAAGTTTTTTTCACCGAGTTATAGAAATTATTTAAATACTCACATATCACTTTTTTGATTAAAAAGATATTTTTAAAAATTAATTTGTAGCAAATATTATTTTAGTTATCTTTGTTTAACTTTTGAGTTTTGGGCAGTATATTCGCTTTTGGTTAGCAGAAGGGTAATATAGGTTTCGATGCATAAACAATGCACGAATTACTCTTAATTTTGCAAGATGATGTAGTTAACTCTAATTATAGTTCTGGTCTTCTTAATTTAGATCAGTGGTCTTTCTTTTATATTTGCACCTTATTTAGAGGAACGTTTAGTCTTTTTTGTTACATTTTGTTGGAACTGGCGGTTCAAAAAGTTTTACAAGGGAAAGGCAAATAGGGGGGTATCGGACCTAGAACTGAGATCTATATCATCTGAAAGAGCGTGAAAATTTATATAGAAATTAAAATTTTTAGCGGCCCAAAGTCATATACTAAAAAGTTACAGTAATTCAAAGTTTACTACTTTCCAATATTTCAAAGAGTCCCCCCCCTGTGGATTTTTTTTGGAAAAAAATGTTTTAAAAAATTTTTCAGTGTTTTATTCTGAAACTTTAAAATAATATTTTTGAGGGTTTTTAATGTGCTTTTTGATTAAAAAAAATATACTTTATTAAAATTGAACCGTTCAGAAATTTTTAAAGTTTAACACCGTATAGTAAAACGAATATATTTGGACTGCCTGATTTGCTTTCCAAATTGACTAAAAATAAATCTTTAAAAACGCTTGTTGGCCTTTTTTTACAAAATATAAAAAAAATTCAAATTTTTTGCAAACCTGCAAGCATCAAAACGAAGCGATGGCAAAAGTGCGACCGCAGTGGGATTCGAACTCTCAGCCTCCGGAATATAAAGCTAGGTTTCAACCCACTGGGCCACAGAAACACACAGCGTTTCTCTGTCCTTTTGGACGCTTTCTTCCAGGGTATTCTCTAATAAGAAATCTCATAGGAAAAACTTTGAATTACTGTAACTTTTTAGTATATGACTTTGGGCCGCTAAAAATTTTAATTTCTACATAACTTTTCATGCTCTTTCACATGATATAGGTCTCAGTTTTAGGTCCGATACCCCCCTATTTGCCTTTCCCTTGTTAGCTTATGTTTTTGGACCATGATACTTTCTATAATGACCATGATACCTTCTGTAAAAGAATCATGGTACTTTCTATAATACTGTATTCTTCTTTCAATTTTTATTGATTTTAGTTCATACTGTAAATATTTTATGTGTACTATAAGTTGTGTTTGTTTAAAAAAGTTACTTTTGGTTTAATCTTGAAGTAGAATACGTAACGGAACTTTTTTGGTGCTGTTGTGCACGTTTTTGTAATTTCAAGTATTTTAGAGAACTGAGCCATTTGGCGATTCAGTTGTAATTTAGCCACTTGTACTACTTGTTTTTGTCGTCAGTATAAAGGCATTAGATGTGGGTTTGTACAACATATTAAAACAATTTTGCAAATGAGGTTTCTGCCTTTTACGTGATAAAATTATGCACGATTTCTTGAAAAATTTTATTTTTAATGCAAAAAGTTTCTTTACAGTAGAGCAGAGACGTTTTATAATGTTTTATCTACTGTAAAGAGCTGGTAGTTAATATAAAGGTGGTGCTATCAAAGTTTTGAATATCACTTAATCATTATGACAATGTATATCAATATAATTATTGTGGTACCAGTATAGTAATGTAGGTATTGTTATAAATAAACCTTGTTTGCAGTTAAAGTGAGTCGAAAACAAATTCTTTTAAGGCCGACAGTTGATTGTCTTGTAAACATAATGGGGAGATATTGATCATTTACGTCTAGCTCATTATCTAATGAACATCTTTATCAACGTCTTTTAATCATTTTACTTTGTCTTGCTTCAGTTTTACAATTCTACATGACAGATACAATTGGTGTGGTTTGCTTTTTCTAAAACTTCAATTTTGTTGTGTTTTTTGGTTAGGGGAGGGATTAAAGAATGCAATATATACTATTTTTAGATATTGTAGTACTATCTTTATAAAGCTTACTGTTTTTAAACTTTTGTTTTTTACACATGTTATGTTTTTTATATTAACATTCGATTTGATATACCAAAACTCATTTTCAGAACGATGGAATCGAACATCTCCACAGCCATCGTGCCAGAACAGGACGACACCATGTTGCTGGCCCATCCTTATGTTCGTCTGTTCTTCCTGGTAATGTACTTGACAGTATTCGTGACATGTGTTTGTGGAAACCTAGTAATCTTGGTGGTGATCATAACTGATAAGGCTATGAGAACGACGACAAACTTCTTTTTGGCCAACTTAGCTGTGGCCGATTTACTGGTCGGTATATTTTGCGTCTTCCAAAATGCTGTACACTTCGTGTTATTCGAGCATGGTACTTGGCCGTTTGGGAGGATGATGTGTCATTCTTATATCTACATATTACACATGATACCCAATGCTAGTGCTGGGATTTTGGTGAGTTTTTGATTGTAAAATACGAATTTTGGCTTACTTTTTTCATAGATTAACATGATTTTTTAAATTTTAAAATTGGCTTTTACTTTATGAAATGGCAGTATTTACACTTTACAGTACAGTCACTTGACGCTGCCTAATCACACATTAAGTGTTTACGTAGCCGTTAATCGCTGTGCCCTTTTAAGGTGTTGTTGTCGATTGAGAGGTTCATCGCTGTAATTCGGCCGATGTTCGTGCATCATCTGTTTACGAAAGGTGTCCTCGTACTAAGTGCGGTCTTGGTATGGCTCTTCTCGGCACTTATGAATCTACCGTACCTAATTGCCGTGCACTACAAAGAGGTACCGAACAAAGTAACAGGAAGCAGTTATGCCATTTGTACTAGGAGGTTCTTGAAGATACAGGATATTGACGTACTGAAGGTTGTGACGACTTTGAACTTGATTATATGGTACATTGTGCCATTGCTGATACTACTGGTCATCTATATTACCATCGGGTTTGTGTTGATGAGGACGACTGAAGACAACTCTGTTGCTCGAAGTAGTCAGAACAAGTCGGTTACTAGCTGTAAGTTAGAATTCTTTAAGTCAATTATTTTGTTTTATCATTTGATACCAAAATGCTAAAAATAGCTAGAAATTTGAAATTTTATAAATTAAAAATCAATTTTAAAATTTAGGTACCAAATTTTTAAAAATATTTATTTTTTAGCCAACAGCAGTCGTTCGTCAAGAAAGCTACCCCGCCTAGAAGCTGTGGACAGTCGAAAGAAGGTGATCCGCCTTGTTGTTGTTATTGTACTTTGTTTCGCCTTACTTTCTCTACCACGGTACCTATACCTCAGTTGGTCGGTTTTTCGACTCAAGAATGGTAAGTTTTTTTATTCTATTGATAAAACTTCATTTTATCACGTAGCAGAGTTATATGACGTATTTTACATAATGTAAAACTACTTTCTTTTATTTTAAAAGTTAAATTGATAGCTGTATTTTACAATATATACAACCTTTCGGCTTCAAAACATTGTAAACTTACCTTGTATAATATAATAACTAGTGTGCTTTTTACAAAAATAACTGAGGAACATAAGCTCAATCTAAAATAAACTTGTATTACTTCAGCTCCCCGATGTCTGAACTGCCTGGCCGCCCTCATTCAGCCGCTGACCTTTCTGTTTTTGTTTATCAACAGTGGCGTCAACCCCATCTTGTACGCTTTCTTGTCGCAACGATTCCGTTCAGCCATCGCTAACATGTTCGTATGTTCGACAGCAAAAGTAAGTTGTTTTTTAGTTTTAATTCGATTTGCTGCAGACTTTTAAGATTTCAATTCTTTTGTCTCAAATCTATATGAAAAAAAAAAAGATTTCATTTCATAAACATTTTTACCTAACACACTTAAAATTATTATCTTATCGTATAGTAATAGGCCAAAACAGGCCAAAATCATAATGCCAAAAACCCCGCCAAAACAAAAATTCAAATTTTTAAACTCAAAATTTAAAAATTTGAAAAATAATTTTAATTTTGCAGCGTAAGACCCAGCTGTACCTAAAACAATTGCGACGACAATCGCCTGACACGACAAACATGGTCGAGTACAGTAACAGTGGGTACCATCACCGTACTCCAAAAGAAGAGTACCCAATGACTCAGATGTCAACCAGATCTGCACATACTCGACCTTTGTTAGTTGACATTTGAAGCTGATTCTGTTACTGTAACATCTATAGATTAGTAGTACTGGTAAGGTAGATGGCACTAGTACTAAATGGTATCTCTACTAGTACTACACCGTGCTAATCTCTGATACCAAATAGTACCAATACAAGTGAATTACTATGTCAATTCTACCAAAAACTGCAAGATACGAATCAAAGTGCATGGCCCCATTAAGAAGTACAAGGTCACCTACATACATACCATCATCTACACAATATTGTTGATATCACCAACAGACGACGTGTACATCATTGCTTTAATATACATATTTAGTACAATATCATTATGAACTGATACGGGTAAATATTTTATGGAGTAAAGGATAACTTAATAATTATTTAACAGTATTGAGATATACAAGAGACCCGGAGTTGAAGATACGATCGTATGTTCTGTAGTTATTTGCCATTATCGTGAGGTTGAGGAACGGTGAGGAGGGAGCCTTGACTCCACGGGTGCTGGAGCTGAAGATACAACATTCAGTATTAGCATTCTATCGATAACGTCTTTATCATAACAAGATACTACAATATATCAATAAACTAATTACTATAATAATATACGACAATAAAGCCATATATCACCATATATCCTATTATAACATGCTAATACCTACCAATAACGGAGCCGGCGTCACCACAGGTGAAGCCACGGTCCTGGCTGGGAATGGTCGCTGATTGTTGAGCTGCGCTTGTTGCTGAGCAACTTGAGAGTAAGCAGGTTGCTGTGGCTGATACGTTTGCTGTGTGTTATATTGCTGATACTGTTGTGGCTGAAGTTGTTGTTGATGTTGGAAGTAGTGAGAGTAGTATGGCTGTTGAGCAAACAGGTTTGTCGCTTGAGGTTGCATGAATTGCGGAGTATGCAGATGGCTAAAGTAATGTGGTTGCTGTGGTTGCAAAAGATTTTGCTGTGGTAGCTGTTGCTGGGGTTGTTGTTGTGTTAGTTGCGGAGCTTGTTGTTGTTGCAAAAGTGAATTGTGTTGCTGTTGAGGTTGTTGCAAGCCATAATACTGCTGATAGTATTGTTGATAAGCTTGTTGATATTGAGCGTACGACAATGTTGTAGGTACAGGTGTAGTCATAACAGGCGATGTTGTAGTAGGAAATGGGTAGGGCGACACATTATTGCGATTTAGAGCAGCTTTAGCCAGATTTTTGCGATTAATCGGCTGATTAGCTACTGTTGTTGTTATGAAACGTCTAGGTAACATTGACACTTGTGGAGAAGCAAAGGCCTTCGACGAGTCATCTTGAAGCTGAAATAATTTTGATTAATACCAGTCTTGATTCCAAATTTTTCGTTAATTTTTAAAAATCCAGACAGTTTCCTATAAAATAAACATTATCCGTACCTTCTTCTCCTCCACCTCCCCATTGACCATCGGCCTTTGCAACTTCAGAATGACAGGTGAATCTCCCATCAACTCTGACAGCCGGCTTCTCAACTCCGGCCTCGAGTCCAACGCCCGCCTCAACGCGGCCAAATTCCTCGCGACCGCCTTCTTCTTGGCGTCCTGTTCCTGCTGTTCCAGTTCATTCTCAGGCTGTCTATCCAGTGGCGTCTTCAAGTTAGTTGGCTGAGGAGTGGTGTTCTCTCTGGGAGTGCCAATTTCCTTGTTCCCCTCCAGCTGAATCGAGTTAATTAATAGAGAAACGCGCAACAAACCTGCTTGGTCAGTTCGCGCAGCTCGGATTGAGTCAAATTACTATTGCGCAACGCGTGAATCAGCATCTTCAGTTCCGGCACCATGGATTGGGAGTTCTTAGAACCGACCGGTAAGTGGTCGACCTCAGCCTGGTTCGGTGAAGCGGCTTTTGGAGGTATCTGAAAATTTTTTACTGTATGGTTTCATATGAAAACTTAAAACTGATGCCTAAATGCAATTTTTGTCGAAAAAAATCAAAAACTCTAATAATTTAGGTAACAATATCAAATCTTAACCAAATTATACAACTTTTAAAAATTGAAAACTCACCAAAGGAAAGTTATCTTCACTTGAATCAATGCTGAACTCCACGCTAGGCTTCTCCATCTTTTTGACCTCTCCGAACTCATCGTGATCTTCAGGAAGCTCCACAGTGATTCTGGGTGCTCCTACTAGCTTCATTTCGACTTCAGATGGCTCCAAATGTGCTGGTGCTTCCGTGATCTCGGTAGCACCCCTTTCCTCATCTGTAACCGCTTTCTCTCCATCTATACCACCATGAGATCCATCTGTACCACCATTGCCGCCTTCTGTACCACTTTTCTCCAAATCAGTACCAATTTTGACTCCATCTGGACCATTCTCGTCCGTAATTTCTTCATGCGTACTGCCCGTGCTCTCTCCCGGCAACAGCGACACCAATCCGGGAAGCGGGACTTGACCTCCTCCAGCCTTCGAACCCTCCTTCGTCAGTTTGTTTTCGGTTTCATCGGTCGTTTCGTGACTGCCAAACTCCTTCCCAAACTCGCCGCCAAGCTCGTCGATCTCTTAAAGAACAGAAGCGGATCAAATAACCGTTTCGATGAGGGATTTTTATGCTAAGGAGTTTGTATTCCGTTTAATGGATCCGCAAAAGTGAAAATTTATGTGTTCTTTTGCTTGTTCAGAAGTCAGAAGAGCAGGATCGTGGGATTAATTGCATGTTATGACAAAGAAACAAGTAGTTTTTGATTGAAAAGTAATGTAATGAATGAAAAATTGCTCATAAGAAAGATTTACATAAAAAACAGAAAGCAGTGAATGCAACTCTTAAAAAAACCCAAAACTCTCCTTATAAAACGAAGTTATCCTTGTTTTTTAAAAAATTAACCTTAAAACAAACACCAACAAGGTTACCTTACATCCAACAAAATAAACCCTTAAATTCTAGACTTTTTAAGACAAACTATTACCTTTAGCAGTGCCAACTCCAGAACTCTTCGGCATAACTCCTAATAAGTCAGGAAGACCACCAGCACCAACTCCATTCTTTTGTTGCAGTAGAAGACGGTCTTGTAGCTCTCTGTTCATTTTAGCTGCATTCTCAACTGCTGCTGGGAACCAAGCACTCTCAGAAGCTTGATTCACAATTCCTACTCCAGTACCAGTCAATTGAAGAGCAGCTTGGGCCAGTTGATACACTAAAATATAAACATTAAATTTTTAGTTAATTTTATGATCTTTAGAATTAATGAAATATAATATAAATTTAGATTATATGCCATTATAAATCAAGATTCATATTTATAATGAATAAAAATGTAAAAGAATTACCCTAAAAGACCTTAACATTAAACTTTTACACTTTTAAAACAACAAAAATATTTAAAAATACAAAAACAAAACAAAAATATAAATACTTACACTGTCCCACACTACCCAAAGCTCCAGCTGCTCCTGCCGCTCCTGCAGTTCCTGCCGAAGCACCAGCCCCAGCCAAACCCGCTAGAGGTCCAGCCCCACTGCCCAAAAGTCCAGTGACAATGGAAGCAATCTCACCGAACTGAGCATGAACCGGAACCAGCAGCACCAGTAGCCATATTATCTGATGACATAATCGACCAGATGGCATCGTGTACGCGTCGAAATGAAGCGGAATTAACAGGTCGGTTTAGTTAAGCGTCGGACTGCCTGGGGGCATGAGTTCGTCGGTGAGTGGTGGGCAGGTTGAAGAGGATCGGTTTGGAGACGAGTCAGTCGATGAAGGAATCGCCAGAAGGAGAAGAAAACGATGTTATTTTCACTTGCTGTGGTCACTCCAATTTTTTTCAAGGTGACGACGTTTTTTTTTCGCCTTCCTTCGTCGTCAACGAGCCGAGCCCTCCAGCTGAGCTCGTTTCGGAATTCTGAAGGCGGAGACTGAAGCCATCGCCAGAAACACAACTCCTGAGGGTGTCGCCGGAACACGTTGCGACAGTTTCAGGCCATTCAAGTTGAGAAGAACGGTCGAGAATGACCTGTTTTGAAGAAGCTTGAGCGACCAAATTTTGAGGAAAAATTCTTTTTTTGACGTTTCTGAAAAATTATCATCTGATAAGCACCATCTACGTCAACATAAACTTCAGACACATTTAGTTTCTTCCAACGGGTTACGACATATCAGATAACACTATTTTACAGAAAAGATACCAGATCCTTTTATATTACACTTGATAAACCCAAACAAAAACACGAAATTTTGCCAGGCTAATGAAGTTTAAACATATTCAACTTTCTTTAGCTTTATCTACAGATTCAGAAGAATTTTACAAAAATCTTTGTCCATACTTTCATGTACTAACCAATCTTATATTACCCTTGATGCTCTTCCTTCATATGACAAATTGTAGACAAATTTATCAAGCAAATCATGCTTTTCATCAAACTTTCTAAATTCAAACTATTTTTCAACTTTATTCCAACCATTTCACAGTGGTTTCCAACAGTAGATTGTCGCAAACCGAAACCAGTTCTACAACAAACACCGAGACGGCATGACCTTTTGTTGCATATACAAGTGTCTGATTGATCCGCTTTCACAAAAAACTGTCGCAAAAAGTTTCTTTACAATGGCGCAATGTCTCGGATTTACAAACAAGAATCTGAATAATTAAAGGTTCTACCGAAAATTGACATAAAGGATGGTTTATATTGACTATCCTTGAAAACCAGAACTTTAAAATTGTATCAAACGTCTAACAAATAACATATAGATAAAACAAACAATAATCTGCTCAACTTTGACATGATAACCCACAAAAACAAAAACTTGTTACCGTGAATTCATGGCCAGAGTTGACTCTCAGCAAAATAATGAGCCAAGTCTCCCTCGATCATCACAGTTTTGTTTTTGCGCGGGATTTTGGACAGAACTGTGTTCTGGAATAGTATGCTTTTTTAATGAACCGAGTACGTATACCCACCGAAGACGACATCAACTACGTGTTCTACTTTGGCTTGGCATTTATTTTCTTTGTCTTGATCAGCTTGGTCTGTGAAGAATTTATACTTGTGTTTGCTTCTTTGGAAAGTTTGGGACTACGGAACGCTCGGGATCTGCTCCGACATTGATATTAAATATCAAATTTTGTTTTGGTGAGTTTGTTTTGTTTATTTATATTGTTTTAGAAACTGTTGACATTGTTTTTAGCTAAAAACGATTAAAATTTTGGTGAAAAAACGGAAATCTGGGGAATTTTGTCGAAGAAAACATAAAATAAATTAACTTTGCTATATTGGCTACCGTTTTATGTTGTTTTTGAGAGAATTCCAGATGGAACAAGTCGTTCGGAATTATTTTTTTGGCTTGGGCATTCTATAACAACAGCATTTGGCTGTTTACAGCAATCTCGTACCTTTTCTTTATTTTGCACATAAGTGCAAATAAACCACATAAGTGCAAATAAAAGTGCGTAAAACAATAACATGATGTTTAAAAACAGGACGGTGATTACGAACGTGAACAGGAAGGTATACATAAAGGTCATTTTGAGAGTTTGAATTAGTGAAAAACACATTAGCATTGATATTAATATAGACATTATAGTACATCAAATCTTTTTATTTATTTTTTGTTTAAAAAATGAAGAAGAAGGTTTGTAAAACACATTAAGTCGGTGTAAAGATTGTTTTTTAAGTACTATGTGTTTTTTGAAGTTATTGGATGTAAAAGAGTGTTCTTCAGCTAATGAATAATAAGTTAATGGTCTTTGAGAGTTATATTTGGATATTAAAATCCCTGAAAGATGTAAAAGCAAATTATTTTTGGTTTTATTTGCAGGGGATTCAATTGGCTTTATTTCCAAAGTTTACGCAATTCAAATAATTTGTTTTACGTAGGACTATGGATATTAAACATAGATGGAGGCTTCAATAGTTTAGACCTTCTCAAATATTGGAAAAGATTTAAAAATTTGTAGGTATTTTAATTCAACTACAAGACTACAATTTAAGTTCCCATAAAACTTTAAGAAGATGGCTTGTATTTGGGTATAAAACAACAATCCATCCATCCGAATTGAGAGAATTGTTTTGGCGGAGTAAATTGGAGCAGAGATCGGGGAGAGAGAAGACCTTGTTTTGTTCTCTCTTTTTCTCTGCCTTTCCTCTCCGTTCGTCTCTCCAGCTTTTGAGAGAATTTTGGTTGCGAGGCCTCAACAGTTGGACGTTTACGGGTTTTTTGAACATCTTGGTGCATGTGTGGGCTTGTGGGTTGGATCAATGTTGAGTTACATGTTGTAGAGTTAGTTGGCTGAGAATTGAGGTTTTTGGTGCTGTTTTTGTTGAGTTATAAGCTAAAGTGCGTTAAATTCTATTCGAAAATTTGAAGTTCTAAGGTTAAAGTATGGCTATTTAATAGTATATTTAACGTTTAAGTTTAAAATTAAGAAAAACTACTATATTTTACTTTTTTATCGCTACGACATTAATTTTTTGTACACAGTTGTATTTATATGTAGAACAACATCGTTTTCTTGATATACTTCAAATTTGTTTTATTTGAAAGGCAGTTAAGATTGTTATCTATCAGAACGTAGCGGAATCTAAGATAAGTTTTTGTTATCTTACAATAAAGGTGTTGATTGGGAGTAGACTCAGTTTTAACAGAATACTAACTTCAACTTATTTCTAACTTTAGATTGTCATTATCTTCAAACTTACGTCTATTTCGAATTTGCGACCGGACTTTGCTTTACATTGTTTCTACTTTTTGAGCATTCATAAAAAATTGGTTGTAAGAATTAATTTTTTTTTCAGATTTGTAATGGCGACGGGTTCCTTAATTGTTCGGTCTCAATCGACAGAAGAGTGTCCATCGACTTCTGAGGATATGGATTCAAAACCTCTACCGTCTGAGTCTTCCTCAGCTACAGACTCTCAGTCTGGCTCGGATTCAGCCATGATGGCACCACGAAGACATTCGTTTAGAGAAGTGCGACAAGTAGCGTCGAGTTCGGATGAAGACGAAGATGACGATGAAGATGGTAGTCTAAAGAAGAGGAAGTTTTCTATGGATCAGCACAGGTCGAGAAGTATGAAGAAAGAGAACAGGTCACGGCACGAGATACCCAACTTTATCAGCCGACTTGAAGATGCTGCGGCTGCATTCAGTCCTTTGGCTCGAATCGCGACAACGAGCAGTATGAATGCTGAGTTCTTGGCTCCAAGCCCGGTTAACAAAAAGGTATGTTAGCTTCAATTATAATTTTTATATTTAGGGTAATGCGACCTGAGACTAACGAACTTTTTGAAAGATGATTAACTTACAACAATATCTGTTATCAATATATTATTTTCAGACTCAGCAAAGTCGACCGAACTCACCCTCACACAGTGGTACTCTTCAACGTCCCTTAGCTGTTGCTTCGCGTCATCGTTTGGCTTCAATCCGACGTGAATCTGACTGTGGGCAGGAGAATGAAGTGGCTCATGAGAAGATGGTGAAGACTACACAACAAGTGTCTACAGGGTTTGAAGACTTTTGTATTGATGAGAAGGTCGCGGAAGAAAGAAAGCGGGCCAAAAGCTTGGCCGAACCTATATCTGTGTTTACAAACGCCTTCTTGCCGCAAAGCTCATCACCCTCGCCTACAAGAGCTACTGTTGAGGCTCAAAAAATTAAAGTAAGTTCTTGATTTGTTTTTTTTTTTAATTTAGGTGAATATCTTAATTACTTTGTAAAGAAACAATTGAACATGTTTTTACTATATTATAATGTTATTTTCAGCAATGTTACTCACCGTCGACTAATCAGGTTGTTAGGAGTAACATTTCCTACTCGCCAAGCCCATCTCCAACTCCATCTAGTCCGTCTAGATCGAGAATCATGAGAAGTATGTCACCAATCGCTGTGAGACAAGTATCAAAAAGAAGGTACACAGCTACTGGAGGATCGCTGTCTGGTAGGGAAAGTGATAACGACAGTCAGTTTGGGTAAGACATTAACTAATGCATTAATTTAATTTTTCTAACTTAAGACAGTAGCCTATCTTAATATATGTTGAAAAACTTTTTTAAATTAAATTTTGATTTTTATATTTTTTAACTACAATATATGATTTTAGAAGTTCGAAACGAAGTTGTATTGTACGAAGCGCAGCTTCACCTCTTGTTCGAGATTCTTTAAGTGCGGTGGACACTCAATCTGACTACCGATCTTCTTCACCATTGTCAGTTTGTTCAAATTCAAGCTTTAGTCAAGTTAACAGAGCCAAACTGGCTGACAACCCTTCCAATCATCAAAAGTAAGTATCCCATGGTCTATTTTTATGGCTTTTTATATTTTAACTGTGGTATTCTACTGTTATTAGTTATCTTTTGGCATATTTCGTAATATTTTCAATGTTTATGCTTATTTTTAAAGATTAAGTTAACATAATAAAAGTAAAGTTTTTAAATATTGTAAATCTTCAGCTCTATCGATTCTGACGACAATGCTACGATCGACGATGCTCTAACCGATCAGTTTTACCTAAACGCGCCTAATGATGCTTGTTCTACGACGTCGATTTCGCGGACGGAAACTCCAATCGATGAGCAGATGATGACCGAGGTAAGTGGCCTTGACCATCGCTGCCACGGTCTAAACCTTGACACAAACAAAAGTTTATTGGCTTTTTATCGGACAATATGTTTTGGGAAAAAAGTTTGCGTACATAGAGTAAAAAACGTTACAGTAGTGTAACTTTATTTGGAACGATAGATTTGTTACCAAATTTTCTAAACTACTGATTTTGGACTGAAAACTTACGTTTTTGAGTAAAAAAGACATAAAAGTTGTGGTTTGTGATAAAGAAAACTTTAAAAAGAAACGTTTTTGTTGTTTTATCACATAATGATTACGTTTTGCAGGAAGCAGAACCAGCTGCAGTCGTGTTTGGACCTCGGAATCAACCTATTTCGATTCGCGACAGTCCTCTACCACCTCCATCGCCGCTGGCTTCAAAGTCGATTACATTTACTTGACTTTTGAGGTTGTGGTATCTGCTTTGATCTCGCTTTGGTCATGTTATCTTATACTTGAAAGACTATAATATTGGTATCCTTTAGTTTCATGGTACTATAATGTTTGTAATGGTATTTTATGTTTGTAATCCTACGGTTCTTGAGTAATATTGGTCTTTTGTGGTTGCTCAAGATGTTATCCACAATTTAATGGTGTTATTTACTCTTCATTGCATACGAATACTCTATCTTTGTATATTCTCGTCTATTTATGAATTTTGTATTACTTTTTATTATAATTGCGGTATCAGATCTTGTGAATACTATTGTATTCGAATGTTTTGCAACCGTTGAGGCAATATTAATGGGTCAGTCGATAAGGGTGGAAATACAAGATATCCCGGTAAACGAGGTGTAATCTTTCTAATTTTAACATTTTCTACCTTAATTTCTCATCCTTACCATGTTAAGTTATTTTTGAGTAACAATAAATGTAAATTTTGGCGTGATTGTCGTACTGTATTGATGGAGACTGTAGGTATCAATATATTTACTTTGAGGTGATGCTGTATCAGCTGCTGTAGCAGTTGCTATGAAATGAGAACGTGTTGATTGATGATATTGTGCCTGTAGATGCGACAGCTTATGCTGCTTCTAATGGCTAGTACTGTAACAGCAATAGGCTCGAAAGCCCCCAAAGATACTGATCCTATTATTGTAGTAGGTGGTGGTCTAGCCGGACTTTCAGCTACTATTGAAGCTCTGGAACACGGGGCGAATAAGGTTTATTTGGTTGATAAGGAGAAGGATCTAGGTGGAAACAGTGCTAAAGCTACTAGCGGTAAGTGTGCTATTAATTTAAGATTGATTAGGCTAAAATTAATAGAAAAGGCGCTAAATATGTAAAAAATTGATGAGAGTTTGAAAATAAATCACATTTTACTCATTTTTAGGTATAAATGCATGTGGAACAGAAACCCAAAAGAATCTGGGCATTGAAGACAGTAGCGACAAGTTCTACACGGACACGATGAACGCCGGTGACCGTGAGAACGACCCAAACTTGGTGGATGGATTAGTGAGTTATTATTTCTTTTTATGGTCATCTATCTGTGAAAGTGACGTGTTATTAAAGTTTGTTCTTTAGGTGAGAAATTCAGAATCTGCTGTTGAGTTCTTGATTGGTAAAGGTGTTGACCTAACGGCCATCAACCTTTGTGGAGGACATTCTGTACCCAGAACGCATTGGTGAGTCTTGATTTTTTATTTTAGCAGTATCTTTAGTTTTAAAATGGTTTTAAATCAAGGCGTATTGTCAATGGTGGTCTGTAGCCTAGCTGTATGTAGTTTTTCGTAATTTTATCTACCATAACATTACTTTTAAAAAAATCTTTTAAAACTAAATTTACCATTTTAGGTTGCCATCGCCAAAAGAAGGAAAACCTCTACCTGTCGGTGTCGCCATCATTAGGGCCTTGAAGAAGTACGTAACAGAATACAAAGAAAAGAATCCAGACAAGTTGGAAATTCTAACAGAAACTCATGTTCTTGGCCTAGTGACATGGAACGAATATGTCACAGGAATCAGATACAAAACCTCCTCCAATGACAACATTACTGAGCTGTCTGGAAAAGCTGTAATCCTGACGACAGGAGGGTTTAGTGCCGATCGTAGCGACACTTCTTTACTGTCTCAATATGGTCCTCAACTGACATCGTTGCCAACTACAAATGGAGCTTTTGCGACTGGAGATGGGGTCAAAATGGCTAGTGCAATGGGAGCAGCTCTGGTTGGAATGGACAGGATCCAAGTTCATCCTACCGCTTTTGTGGACCCAAAAGTACCTAATGCTCCTACAAAGTTCTTGGCAGCTGAGGCGTTGAGAGGAAAGGGAGCTTTGTTGGTGAGTATAATATATAAAAAAAGTATAGTACAATATATTGATATAAATACTTAAAAAACGTTTTTAGTTAAGCGTATACATTTAAAAAATGAATAATTGTCAGGCTAATGATGAAAATGTTTTAGATAAACGAAAAAGGGGCTCGATTTGCTGATGAACTTGGTCGTCGTGACTATTTGACTCGCAAAATCAACGAAAATTGTGCCAAGGATGAAGCTGCCGGTCTGCCAGTAGCCTTTATGGTACTGAACGACGAAGTTGCTGATGGATTCGGAATACCGGCTTTCAATTTCTATGCCAGAATCAAGGGATTCTTTAAGGTAATTTGACATTTTTCATATTAAAGTGGTGACAAAGTTGATGTTTATAAAAAAAATTAAGCATAATGGCCATAATTTTAAAATCATTATGGCTTTTGTATTACAGTAAACGCTGCAATAATGTAAATTGAAAATTGTAATATTTTATGTGCAATATTAAAGTAATTTCCGATTGATTACATTGACATTTTTAGGAATACGCTAATGTTGAAGCGACGAAAGATGATTTTAATGCGGAAACTTTGAGAAAGACACTAGAAGATCACAATGAACATTATCAAAAGGCGTTGGACAAGAAGAGCTACAAGGATGAGTACGGTAAACATGTATTTCCTGTGAAATTCGATGTTGACAAGCCATTGTATATTGCCAAGATTACCCCAGCCATCCACTACACTATGGGAGGTCTCAAGATTGACAGAAATGTAAGATATTGTATTTATTTTAATATTGGAAATGTTGAGTTAGTCCTAGTTATTACCTCTTTTTAATTTAATTTGTAACTTGTCTTTTGTTTTTAATTATATTTTTAATTGCTTTTCATTAAGAATTGTTGCTTTAGGCGTTTGTGTTCAGCGAATTCATGGATAAACCATTCAAAGGTCTTCTGGCAGCGGGCGAAGCTTCAGGAGGAGTTCATGGTGGCAACCGGCTGGCAGGAAACTCACTTTTGGAATGTGTGGTCTATGGCCGAATCGCTGGTCAATCAGCTGCCAAAATCAGCTACGCAGGACATCAAGAATTGTAGATTGTAGAATCATCTTTGTTGCCCTTGGTATTACTTTTACTAGTGATATTTTGATATACCTTACTCTTACTACACTCCAATATTTATTACTGGTATTTATTTTCAATAAAATTTGTTTTTGATTGATTTACTTTAAAAAGTAGAATGAAGTCTACATTTAGTTGGAAGAAGATGATGCTGTTTATTGATTGATGTCGTGTACAAAGTTTGCATCTCTTTAAAATTGCTTTTACGGTTTACATTAGAGGCCATTATAGCTATTTTGTTGAATAGCAAATTCAATAAACGTGATGTTTTTTAAAAGATTTTATTGTACGAGCATCATAAACACACCTATTCACGCGCATCTTCTCCATTATGTTACTATCGGATTACGGAAACGCTTCAAGGGTTTGCAATATTTTTTTGCGATTTCAAGAACATGACAAGGTGTTTGTAAAATACGACGATTTTGTCTTTTAAAATATATTTTTTTTAATTTGCACTTTTAATTTTTATATAATAGTAGTTATAGTAGACGTAATTTCAAAAAAATGATTAATTTTACAAAATGATTAAGCGCTTGGTTTGTAATACAACAGAACAATGAGTGACAAATAGTGGGAAACGTTGATTGTCAAGCTTTATTCATCATCAGTTTATATAAACGCTTTGAAGTTTAATTGATTCTATACGACTTTTAGTATTAAATATATTACACATTGTTATTTAAAAAAAAACAGTCAACGATGTTAAGAAGCAACTTTAGATTGGTGTTTTATATGAGAGGACAAAATTGAGGTAAAGTCAAAAAAGGGTATCACCAGGGCTGGTTGGTGTATATAGATAGTTAAATTTTTCTTTCGATTTTTGTTTAAAACTCAAAAAAAAATTTTTTTTAATTTTTGTTACGTTTCTAATGTGACCGACTTCCCGACTTTCAATCTATTCTAAATTTCACAAAAATCGCGCGAAAAGCGTGGCTGACGTTTGTTTTTAAACAGTAGCTGGATACCACACAATATCCTGACAGACTGCTCGAATTACACTCTTTTCGCGGTTAAAGTTATTCTTTTTGCGCGGTAACATACGACCACCACGGGGATTTAATTCTGTTTTCTGGCTTCTGGCCAAAAGCCCTCAGGGCGAAATGGCCAGGTAAATAATAGAAAAAGACGAATTTGGAGTCCTTTCTCATGGATAATATACGACAGGGGGTTTTGTCGAATTTGAGTCATAAACGTGGACGAAGTTAGGTATGGTGGTAACTTTTCTATTTAATTTTTGACCAGAGACATCATCAGTGTTTGCTTGAGACGTTCCAGCTCTAAAATGATATTATTCACTGCGAAATGGGTGTTTTCGTATCTTGATCTCATTTCGTCGTAACTAGCTGCTGTTGTGTCAGTTTGTTCGGACATAACAAGTTATGTTTATTCATATTTGTTGTTACGATGACTTTAAATCGTATCGCAAAAGAGCGGTATATTGTGATTTGACTTTTAAAGCGCAAGGTGGTATGTTGTTAGATCTACTACAATGTAAAGAAGATATTATAGTTTTGCCAATTTAAAAAAAAATTTGATATATCGGTCCAAAAATAACTAGAATGTAATAAAAAAGTTTTTTTACTACTTTAGCAATTAGCATACGATATTTATTTTGCTATTATATATTATGGCAAGTAGTGTTATATGTATAGCCAATAACAAGTAAAGTATTGTATTTGTATTACCTTGTAGTGGTCACTTTCCACCACGTAAACATAGACTTACTTAGCTGTTTACTCTGGAATACGATCCTTAATTCGAGCAATTAAATAGCGCGGTAATTGTTTGTGCATTGTAAAATGACTCTCATTTCAACTGGAACATTTATACTTTTACTTCAGTATCTTTTGGTTTTAATCTTAAATTTAATGTGGCATGGTTTAAATCTGATATTAAGGATCAAGGCTAGGATTTAAGTACGAGAAAAGTGGCGATTTTTGTCAGGGCGGTTATTTGTGAAAGAGTCCTCTTTTATCATTTTTGCATATATTATAAGACACTATTAACTAGTTCACATTTAGCCAAAACCGTGTAAATACCTATTATTTCACATTTTAAATACATATTAAAGTATTAAACATGACTTATTGTTTATCGTCTTTTTGTTATCATAAAACAAATTTTAGGTATTAAAATGACACTTTTTTGTTTCATTAGTTATTCATGGACCTCAAACGCATCTTATCAAACTTTTAGTCATCTTTTGTTGAAGTTATTGCCATAAAGAATACATTTTAAGGTTATATTCGTCTTTGGCCTACTTATGGCACTACAATATTTTTTTTCGGAATTTTAAAATTTTTAAAAATTTTATATTTTTAAACAAAAATTTTCAAATTTTTATAGCAAATCATATTTTTATAAAAATTTTTTTTAATTTTATTTTTTTTCTTTTTTTGATTACATTTCGAATTAAATTCCGCATTCGAAATGTCAAGTATGAACATTGTTTATATAGTGTTCCTTTGCAATGTTTGTCATCTTGTCCTGCTACATTTTATGGCCTTTCTTTTGTCTCATAAGTTTTATGGTATTTATCACGCTTTCTAAAAATATGACGTTATCACATGCAGTTTTTCAATGTCAAGGTGCAGTTGTACTCTTGTTTTGATTTTAAATTTGCTTTTGCTGTGGTACTGTTTTATCAGTTTGTTTTTAATTTTAAAAGTGTTTTGAAGTGGCCAATGGATGTGTAATTGTATACAAATTGTAATATTAGATTACTTTTTTATTTTAATTGAATCACTTAACTACATTATTGTAGAATTCTGTGTGGAAACTATGTTTTTCACAAGTTTTTCAATAGCTTATATTGCTTATTGTGTTAAAGTTTGAGATTTTTATACTGTAATCTTAATTTTAATAAAATACAGTGGACTTCGGTGTAAAGAACTCTTGTGTAACAGAACTTTGATATATAATATCAAGCAGCATTTAAATTCCCTGTCTATCACTACACAGTGAATTTTACAAACCTTTATATTGAAATTTCTCCATAACGAACAAATTTCAAATTTCCGGGCAATTCGTTATACACGAGTTCTACTGTATACATAACTTCAAAACGACTTGACTTTTGGTATTTACTTTTTATTAGTGATTTAATATTTTTTTTTATTTTTATCATCCGATATCACCTTGCATTACAATGTGAATAATTATAGTCGTTGCCTTAAAGTATAAACTCCCTTACAAACATTTGAGCCAAGAGATTACATTCTCTTAAGACTTATGGCCTTTCCTTTCCCACTCTCTTACAATTACAATTACTCGTAACGCGCTTATTCTTTCAAAAATACTAATTAGTACTTACTTTCTCAACGGTGCGCGAATTCGCTGTTTTCCCACAATACTCGAAAGACATTTTTGTGGGTATGGGCAAGTGAAACACGTGTTTCGAAAGGTATTTACTATGGCATAATATCACAGCTTTCAAAAGTTTGTCCGACGTTTTTAATGATTTATTTTTGACATTCCTAGTCTCAAAATGACACAAAATGGTATTTTAGTATTTAGTTTACATTACTATTTTCGTGTATACTTATCAACTATTGTTTTTTAAACAAATATTGTCGTATATACCAATTCTCTTTACTTTTGACTATTATTTTACAAAATAACCGTGATATCCTACTAAAAACTAAACCAGGTTAATCCATTTGTACTCTCATTACTATTCCAAACCCAAACAGACACGTTTCTTTTACTTTTACAACTTTGAAACTACAATTTCATTTTTAATTAACTTGCGGTCACTTTTACTTGTGGCAGCCGGTTGGCGCGTGGCCAAACACAGGTGAAAGTGAGGGCCAACTTTCGAAATTTTAATTCCATTTCACTATTCTGGACATACAAAGTCTTAGAAGATACGAAAGCTTAAAGTATATTGAGGATACGAAAGTTTACAGTACATTGAAGATAGGATAGACTAGAGTAGAAAGAAGATACGAAAATAGTAGTAAACGGAAGATACGATGTTGTTTGTGGTCATTGTCTAATGGGCGAGTAAAATTACTGCTTTCCTTTCTTTTTTATTAAGATCGTTTTAGTTTTTTTTTGTTTTTCAGGTAGTATATTACTTATGATTGGGCTCGGATGAGTTTCTCATATTTTTGAGTTTACCTAAAAATTATTTTTTTTAAATTATAGGTTATATATAGAAACGTATCTATTTATGCTATATGAAACCATAAAAGTAAAGCATAACTCTTTTTACGTTTTATACCTTGCCAGACGTATGTACTTTTTGCTCTTTTAACTTCTAATTTTTAACTTTTTAGGCTACATGAAGCTTTCTTTACTGAAAAAAAAATTTTATGGCTTACACGAGCAAGTGTGATAATATTACACTGTGAAAAACTTCAAAGTTAAAAATGTTTTTTTTGAAATTATGTAATTATTTTTATTTTTAATTCACAGCGCGGTAACATTCTATTTTTACTATTACTATACCCTAGTACCTCGCAAAGTAATCCTACTTTTCTATTTTACGGAATTATTGTATCTGAACACACGGAAGCGACAATCATAATGATAAAGCCGGGCGGATCACGGTTAACACCTTTGATTATGTTGTTGTTTGTCCTCGGTCTTACCCTTCCTCTCCACAGTCACGGCCAAAGGGAACAAACACAGTCCGTCGTATATTTTTGGTCGATTGTTCCTAGTTCAAGAGCGAGGTTACTTTGGCTGTTTACGTTGGCCCGGTCGCTAACGTCAACCAATTCATTGTTTGGGCTTTAATTCAGGGCTATACATTAGGGCTTCTATTTATTTTTTTGAAGAGTTTGGGAGGGGGGGGGGGTGGGGGGTAATAGGGTAGGTAATTATGAAAAATATTAGGTACAAAAGAATATAAAGAATAAGCATGATGTACTACAAAATTTTACCCTTGCATTTAAAAACGCTATTTTGCACCCTTTACAACAAGAGCTTATTCAAAAATTAGTATAATATGTATTAGTAATATGATACCGATGACATAGCAGTGGAAAGTTCAGAGTACTCTAAAGCAATTAAAGGATATATTAGCCAAAATATAGCCAGTTTAAAGGATTAACTTTACTTTTCTCTATTCACAGTTATTTTAGTAATTTTAATGTCATAAAAAGTATTTTTTAAATTTTTTATTTCAAAAGTGTAAATAAAAGCAAAGCAAATTTTTTTTTGTCAATTTATTAATTTTTTTAATTTTTTGGGAGTGTTTGAAGGGGCATATTCACATAAATTAACTAGACATTTAAAATATTTTTAAGACTGAGTCGGTAAAATATATCTACCAAAGAATCAATTGTAAATCAAACTTTAAAATTAAAAGTTAGTAAATTCTAAAGATAAATTTCATTTTTTAATATATTTACTTATCACTAGCCTTACCTTTATATCATATAAACTATAGCCACACATAGTCAATGTTTGCGTTGCAATAAACTGTGGTATCATGTAGTATCATTTCCGGTGCTTTTTAATGTTCCTACAACTTCTTTAACAATAATTTAACTCAAACTGATAACGAACTTGGTAAATATTGTAGTCTTTTGTTGATTTAAGTTTATCTCATAAGCCGTAGTTCTCTCAACCAAGTGAACGTTAGATGTAGGCTTGTCTTAAAGTCTACATCTAATGTTAAAATAGATAATAGGCTATGGATTAGGCTAATGTCAAGTTTAAGCTTTTGAAATATTTTTTTTTGCAAACAAAGATTTATGTCTCTTATATGACAATAGTATTGTCATAAATGAGATGGTGCTGTATACATTAAAATACGAAGAGGAATCAGAATGACTAATTATTATGAAATTTCTTTTACTTTCCTCCAATTTGCATGTAATTTTACGTTGTATACTTTTACGTTTTTTACTTTGTAACTGAGTACACTTGGCTTATAATGTAAAATAATTTAAGTGGGATGTAATTTAAATTTATATAGTTGTTTTGGTCGACGGTTTAAAGTAGTATATTGTAGGTTATTGTTACTTCATTGGCTTTTTATAATAAATATTTATTTCTCAGGGTATTATTATAAACTGGAATTTCTTGAAATCACCGTGCACATGTGTACCCGTGAGAAAATTGTAAAAGCGTCTGGAAACTTATGAAACTTGGCAACCTTAATCATAGAAACATATACATAGTTACTATAATGTTTTACATAAATATATATAACCTTGTTCTGCTTTACACATGGCCCATGTGGCTATGATGTCTTTCACATCTAAACCATGACGTATTTGACCTACACATCTCCTAAAGTGGAGGTGGTCTAAAGCCTTTTCCCAAGCACATATCAATGTTATCATCTCCACTGAGTCACGCTTCTTACTTTCGAGAAGCAGCTTTAAAGGCCATCACAACATTGTTTGGAATACATATTATGCCCTTATCTACACCTACCTCCTTGACGTCAAACGGGCGTAAACAACCGCAGATCCCTACTTCTTAACCAGCATACTTGTTTATTCTTTAATTTTACAAGTTAAACATTGTTTGTAGGCTTACAAGACTTCCATTTTTATTACTGTAGGATTATAATACATCAAGTTCTTATGATCTTATTGAAAAACGTTGTACGTTGCCGCGTTAGTAACGAGTTAAACTTTATATTTATTTCATTATGCATGTAGATAGTACTTTAAACTTGCGAGTACAGACTACTATATAATAGTAAAAAGACTAACTGTAAAAGGTTTAGGTGTGCCATGTGTTCCTTCATTGGCCAAATACTGTATGGAGCGGTTATGTTAGCAGCTGTTGGATTGACATTAGGGTCCATGTTCACATCAGGTATGGCCTTATAGCTAACACAAAAAAAATGCTTAAAAATAAAAGAAAATATTATATTATAGTGGATAGATTGAAAAATTCATTTTTAAGTTTTACTATTAATTCATACAAGCCTTCTATTGCATAATTATAAAAAATAACATAACTGTAATTACAGAATGGAGGAGGATAACAGACACCGGCAGAGGCGACACAACAGGCGGTCTATTCAATTTTGACTGTAAATTTGATGACTTGGAACAATGCCGCAGGATTTTTGATGTAAGTCATAATTAAAGTAGGAAAAATTATTAAATTTAAACCGTTGAGCAAGGGAAGTTTTTTATGTATGATACACTACACTGTCTATCAATTTAAAAAAATCGTTTTCTGTTAACCTAAGTTAAAATATTTTTTAGAGCCGAGAAGGCTGGGAGAAAGTAGTTGTGATTGCCATGATTGTAGCCTTGGTAATAGAAGCCTTGGCCGTCGCTTGGACCATCTTCACATTCTTTGCATGTTGTTGTAGGAAGAACATGTTGTATCCCTTCAGTGGCTTCGCTTTGACTTCTTTCATTGCCTTGATCGTGGCATTGGCTTTCTTCTTCGCCCATTACAAGGATCAGATTGGGCAGGGTAAGTTATTTTTGTGTTTGTTACCTAATTTAATCAGCCTTTATATCTTTCTGAACATTTAGGTACTAAGTATGTACGCAAACTTTAAAAAACGAGACTTTCGAAAAGCTTAGAAATGACTTTAGCATTGTTTGTTATGTTAAAATTGCAAAAAATGCTCAAGTTTCATTTGAAAACGCGCAATTTTCATTGGATTCTTTGTTTGTTTTAAAAAGTTTGCTCAATGACTAACGTTCAGATAACGACAGTCTTTGTACTGTACAATAAAACATATATTTTGATTATACATATAAACCTTCTTATCAATTTGAAAAAGCGAAACCCGCACCTTTTACAACTAAAATGCTAGTATAATATATATTATCCATGAAAATTGACAAAAAGTGTCAATTTTAAAACTTTCTTTGAATAATAAAACCAAAAAGTAAAATACTGCATAAGTCAGCTTATAAACTCAACAATTTTAAAACAACCATTTTCAGTCACAACAGACATCAACGACATCAAAAGCCGCGCCAACCTCGGCTACAGCTTCTACCTTGGCTGTGGAGCTGCTATCTGTGACCTGGTGGCCCTAGTCATCGGTGGCCTGGTCTCCTGTCTCACCAAGGAAAAATAAGCATATCAACAGAAGTACTTAAGTCTCAATTCGGGTCGCCTTCCTCTGATTGTAATTAACGACGGCTGCATTTAATGTCGCTTTGTGTATAATATACCTGTTCCCTCAAATTTTTAAATAAAAGTGTATTGATATCGACGTTCGGGTTTGATTAGATAAGAAAAAAACCGACATACACAACGGAAAAGGTATTTGGTTTACGTGAACCGTTTGTGGCAATCTTTGGCTTCTGGTAATATATTCTATTTAGTAACAAGATTCTAAGCTGTTAAACTTCTTGAAGGCTTTATTCTGCAGCTTTTAAAAGTTAACCATCTTAAACTCTTGATTAATCATAAATCAAGCTTGAAGGCTCCTGGAACGGATTCAGAAATGGAGCCAGAACTAAAGGAGAAGTTGTTGGCACGAGATGAAATGAGTTTGGATTTTGAAAATTTTGAGGATGCTCATTCTGTGATAGAAAACGGAGAATATTTTAGAAATCCTGATTTGTACGAACGAGCAGTAAGTTAGGAAGATTTAAAATTTATATTATTTTTGGGCATCACAGAAAAGACCAAGCAAAAACCCTGTATACTTAATGTTCGCGCAGTTGTTAATAAACTAAAATATCAAACAGATTAAAATAGTTTTAAAAAACTTAAAAATTAGAAAAATCACTTCAACAATCTTGTTTCATCCACTTTAAACTTGTTTTTCTCAAAATTTTGTTTTTTTTGTCCAAAAAAGATGTCATTTCGACTTATTTTCTAGAAGCTTTTGTTTTGTCCGACAATTTTTTGTTTGTAGCTTTCTGTAGCCACCGTACTGCCTCCGATGGAGTTGACATGGAACAATATTATTGCTTTTGTAAGTATTCTTACTGTTTTTATCTGTAATTAATTGTTTTTCGTTATTCGAACCACTGATATTGTTGTTCATCATTATTGTTTTGTTTTTAGTCGAAAGATGATTCAGAAAGAGGTTGCAGCTCGAGAATTTCTGATCTCTACAATGCTATTACCAAAGAAAAGCCGAAGAAGATTAGGAGAGGAAGGATTTTGGACAACGGTAAGTATTTTCGGTATTTCTACCTTATTTAGGTAATTGATTATGGTATTTGAGCGAGATTGCAATAATTGTGTGTTTTAGTGTTCGGAAGGTCTCGAGCAGGAGAAGTTTTGGCGTTGATGGGTTCTAGGTAACATTTTGTTATGTTTTAACGTGTTTTTTCTTAGCTAAACCTTTCATAAACAATATACATTTAGTGGAGCAGGAAAGACAAGTCTCCTCAACATTCTAACTCAACGTAACTTGAGCACAGTAAGAGTGGAAGGAGATGTTCGAGTTAATGGAGTGAAGGTAGGAAAGGAGCAGTTGAGGAAGATGAGTGCCTATGTTCAACAAGATGATCTGTTTATTGGAACGATGACAGTGATGGAGCATCTAAAGTTTATGGCCACGTTGAGGATGGGAAAGAATTACTCTAAAGCTGAAAGAGAAAGACGGGTTTACACGGTTATGAATGATTTGGGGTTGATCAAATGTGCAAACACCATAATTGGCAAACCTTTCGAGACTAAGGGATTGAGTGGAGGAGAAAGGAAGCGATTGGCATTTGCTTCTGAGGTAAAGAAACTTTTTTTATCGTTGTAAATTACGTTTTTTTTGTGTTTTAATTTTGTGAGTTAACATTTAATGCTATGATAATGAATGTCATCCTTTTTGTAGATATTGACCAGCCCGCCATTACTTTTCTGCGACGAACCGACCTCGGGATTGGATTCTTATCTAGCTCAACAAATTGTTCAATTACTCAAAAACTTGGCCAAATCTAAGAATATGACTATTGTTTTGACTATTCATCAACCTTCCAGTCAAGTCTTTGAACTTTTTGATAAGTAAGTCTTTGTTTATGGCATTACTGTTAGTATTATATAAAGTAAAGGTTTTTTCGCTTTTTGACATTTTATTATGACTTTTTATTGTCTTTTAAGCATAATTAAGATTGTAACTTTAACCTCATTGTATATTAAAGTAGCCATACTTGTAACAATGGTTTTCAGGGTGTGTTTACTGGCAGATGGTCGAACTGCATTCTTGGGTTCGATGCTGGAAGCGTCAATGTTTTGGAAAGGAATGGACATGGATCTGCCTGAGAATTACAATCCTGGAGATTATTTCATAAGCACACTGACTCAAAATGAAAAGGAAAAGAAAAACAAAAAGGCCAAGGTAAAATACGCAGCATTCTTTAGCACCTTACTTTGTTTTTATAAGCATGCTTACTTTCATTGATGACTTTTTTGATTTGCATACAAGTGGACAGGTTCAAGTTAATTTTTTAGAAGATTTGTGACGCTTTCGAAGCGAGTGACATTGGGAAAGAATTGAAGAAGTCGGTTTCTAGATTCCAGCACACTGATAACAGTGGGTCGAGTGAATCGAATAGTGATATCTTCAAGTTCAACGACATTTACTGGAATAAAGGGCCTAGCTATCGGTCGACGTAAGACTTTCTTGTTACTTTAACAAACAATTTTTATTTTAAATATTGTGTAAGCAATACCACTTCCGAATCGTTATTTGTAAAATACGACATGCAGTCCTGTATTTGTAAAAGTAAATTTACATTGTTTTAGATGGTGGCAACAGTTTACTGTGCTAACCAAACGATCCTTCTTGGTTACCATAAGAGAGCCGACTTTGTTGAAAGTGAAGCTGATCCAAACCATCATTATCGGTATTATTCTTGGGTTAATATACTTCAATACACCAGTAAAACAGTCTACTGTCATGAATATCAATGGATTACTGTACCAAGCTGCAAGTAACATGAACTTTATGTTCCAATTTTCTGCTTTGGGGGTGAGTTTGTCCATTTTATATCATTAATATTCATGTTTACTCTATTGTAGTAAACATGATTTTTTGTAAATTGAGTGTTACTGTGTAGAATTGAAATTTTAGATGATTTGTGCTGAATATCCTATTTTCTTACGGGAACATTTGAGTGCAACATACCGTGTCAGTACCTATTTTCTGGCGAAAAATGTGGCAGAAGTAAGGTCTTGTTTTTTAAAATTATTATCGAAAATGTGATTTTATCATCTTCAGGTTTACAAACTTTGAACTTTGTTTTAGTCAGTTCAATACATAATATACCCGTTTGTCTTCTCCGCTATTACCTACTGGATGGCTGGACTATACTCTTCGATCTGGGCCTTCTTGATCTACACTTTGAATTGTATCTTAATGACCAATACTGCCGTTTCTGTTTGTAAGTTTTTACATTGATTAGCTTTATTTTACTTTGGTATGGTTTACGGTTTGGTAAAATACGATATATATTTGGATCATCGATATATTTTAGCTTACTTCATGGCCTGTATCTTCCCCCAAGTGAACGTGGCATCAGCAATCATGCCCATCATCGTGATCCCGCTACTGGCATTTGGAGGATTCTTCATCAACCAAAACACTTTACCGTGGTATTTCATGCCCCTGAAGTATGTCAGTTACTTTGGCTATGTCTTCGAAAATCTGGCTATAAATGAGTGGAGTGGAATTGACAAAATCGAATGTGAAACTTCTCGGAATTGCCTGGAGTCTGGACATGAAGTATTGGAAAGCCTGAGTTTCCATCCGAGCAATCTGATCTTCAACACGGTAGCTTTGATGGTTATGATTGTGGTCTTGCGGTTTATAGGGTTTTTGGCCTTACTTATTCATGCTAGTAACAAAAAGTAGGATATTGTAGAGGTAGGTAAGTGATATTGGTTAGTGAAGTGGGAATATAATTGTTTTTAGGAAGCTAGAAGTATAGTAACTTGTATTTAAATTGCTAATGTCATGTATATATCGTTGTTCTAATTTTGCGTTTTATAAGCAGATTGGTTATATCACATTAACTGATATTGTTTTATATTGGCATAGATTAATCTTTTCGAGCTTTTCATCTTTGAATCCTTAAAATATGATTTTGTAGCCTTATTTTTAATGAAATTTTAATTTTTTAACTCTCTTGCTAATTTAATAAATGTAAATTCAGAATAATTCAGCATTTTAATGTATTGCAGAATAGCGTATTAACAAAAAATACATTAAAGTTCATTTTATTTGTTTCTATTGTATTATAACGACAGTTCTTTTATGTTTGCTGCCAGTAATTTTTATATTTTTCTCTATTTTTTATGCGTTTTCTTGTAAAAATGCTCGAAATTCGCAAAATTTGTAGTTATAAATGCTAAAATAAAGTTTGTGCCTAAACACTTAAACTACAGAATTGTGGTCTAGCCCTATGTTATAATAGGCACAGACGTTATTATAATATAAAGAAGCCTATCCAGCTGTTCATACATCAAGAGATTAATGCGTACAACTGTCTAACTTTCCTTGTACCATGATACATATAGAGCAACATGACTCAAAGTTGATATTACATTGATAAGGAAACAATCGAACGCATAACGATGTTCTGATAAACGATTGTTTGTCAACTTGATGTAGCTTATTGTTAAGGGGATAAACCTCTTATGGAGTTGTGAAGGGCGTTCCCCGTGATTCACGGGCTCTTTATGCGCCGTGAGCCCGCTGGAAATGAAATTTTATCATCGAAAGCAAAGAAACGTCCTTATTATAATATTTTAATTTCCGAGCTATCAGTTATTTGGTCTCGTGTAGGTGATCGTTAATTCGTGGAGAAGGTTGTTGACTATTATTGTTGTTTGTATTGAGTAATATTGACAATAGATAGATCACTTGTTTGTGAGTGAACCTGATTTCCAAGGTTTTTGGTTATTCAAATTTTGTTTTGAATCTACTAGTCTAGTTTACGATATTTGATTACAAGCTTTTGTAACTTGTAAGCCTAAAATTTAAATTTATAGCTTACTATTACCGTAATAGTAAGACGCATCCTAATTCTACTTATAAAATCACGATCTAAAGTGTCCACTACTACCTAAAATAGTACTCTCAAAGTTATAGAAAAACTAACTATCCTATAGTAACTATAATATTATCATATAAATCTATCTAAAACAAGATGTGTGTCTCAAGACTAGCCCAGATTTTATATGGTGTAGGCACCCTTGTAGCTATGGGACTTATCTTAGCCTCAGCCTTGACCCCTGGCTGGAAAACAATTCACATGCCCAATAGTACCTCCGAAATCAACACAGGTCTGTTCAAGTTTGCTTGTACAGCACCTGAGAACTCGACTATGAACGATATTATTAAGGATGGCAACTCGACTGACATTGAGAAATACTGTGAGGAGTGGTGGAATGTAGGTTTATATTGTTATTTATTTAAAGACTTTTAAGTTCATAACAATAAAACAAACTTTATAACTTTTTTCATGACTCATAGGGGCAAATTTACTATGTTTCTATATATGTTTGTGTCTTTTGAGTATGAACTATTAGGTATCCTAACTATAAACTTCCGCTGACTTTTACAAGTTATAACTTTTTTGAAAATTAATATTATTTGACGGGATTTGATTTGTTTTGTAGCTTGTTGCAATGCAAATCGAACGATATATAATACTTGTCTGTTTGTCTTTGTCTACTTGGAAAAATCTGGCTAAAACGTGACTGAGCCCAGTTTGGAGGTGCGATATCGCATGCGACTATGAATATAAACAAGGTAAAAGTGCTATTGGATGCCATCGTACGTTTGCAGAAGTTTTTAGAGAAGACGTTATAAGTGTTAGACATTGCAGACGTGGTTTTCAAAGTTTCATACTGTGAACCTTGACCTTATGGACAAACAACACAAACGAGGTCATGAAGTGGCAGATGCCATCAACTGATTAAGCTAAATACTAATTTAGCAACAGTGGAGTTGTCGCATATCCTTCCTTGTACCTCGCAAACCATCGCCAATCATCTTCACAAACTAGGAAAGCTCAACAAAAGTGGCAGGCGGGTGCTCCACGAGCTCAGTGATTCCAAAATGGCGACAAGGATCAATACTTGTGATATTTTGTTTCGCTTGTTCAAAACCCGAGGTTTTTTTCAACCAATTATTACTTCGGATGAAAGCTGGATACTGTACGATATAAAGAAGGTCAAAAGACAATAGATTGATATTGGTTCAAAAGCTGTATCTACTCCGAAACCTGACCTTCATGGTAAACAAAACCTTGCGTTGCGTATGGTGGTCAACAACAGGAATTGTGTACTACGGGTTTCTGAAACCTGGATAAATAATTACGACAGATGTCTACAATGAACAATTGAAACGAATCAACCATGCTCTCTACTTTCTGGGTATTGATATTTCCACTGTGAAACTTTGACAAGATGCCGCTCGAACTCATAGTGCGAAGATGACGTCATAAGTTCTTGGTGAATTGAGCTGGACTGTAATGCCTATACCGCCCTACAGTCCCGACATTGCTCCTTCTGATTATCATGTATTTAGAAGGCTGAAAGGTCGCATTGCTGGAATCCATTTCAAAAATGGCGCTGAAGTCATGTTATAGGTTGAAGATTTCTTTAAGACACAGCTGAGGTAGTTCCACAGTTCTGGCATTCACGTTTTGAAGGAACGTTGTAGAGAAGGCATAGACAATGTTAGAGTATATATCTCAGAATAATTAGTTTTGTTTCGGTTGTTATAATAAAAATAAGTTTGTTAAAAAATGGAAGTTTATAGTTAGGATACCTAATAAAAGTTTTATATTTCATAAACTTTTTTATGTTAAGCATTTTTTATTTCATATAATGAATACTTTTTTACATTGGTAATTGAGTACTTTTCTTTCAGAACCAGCCAACATGGGAGAAGATAGTAATCGGCTCATTCATAGCTGCACTCATGCTACATACGATCGCTCTGATACTAAACCTAATCACATGTTGTTGTGTATGTGGTCGAGAATATCTTTTACGTTTTCTGGGAGTACTGTCATTTATTGCGTTTGTACTTTTAACAACAGGATTAACAATATTTGGAGTTCGAAACAAGGACAGTTTGGGTGAGTTTGGCTATGATAACATTGATTTTTGAGGGAAATTCGTGGTTTTTTATAGAAAAAGAAACGGTTTAGCTTTTTTAAACATTCTTACTGTAATTTTGTTAGTTTTGTCAGGTATTAAAGTTCAAAAGTTCTCGGACAATTTTAATGTAAAACTGAAAAAAAACTTCAGTCGAAAGACTTTAGAAGCCTTTTTAGTAATACAACTTATTATATAATGTTCCTCGAAAGTGATGACTATATTAGCCTTCTGAATTCTTTTTACTTTCAGGAGATAACCTCAAAAACTTCGACCAAAACGAGATCAGCTACAGTTTCTACCTTGGAGTGGGGGCTGCTGCGTTAAGTCTTATCAATGCTATTCTTGGTGCTATTTCAGCATCATGTGCAAAACTGGGGTGTTGTTTTTGAAAAAAAGTAATTTCAAATTAAATTATACTTTAATAAAAAATATAACTATACTTAAATATGTATTTACTTTACGTATAAATCAATATTTATATTTATAAAATGATTATTATACTTATTGTAACTCAGTTACAAAAACTTTTTGTCCTACTTGAACATGTGCTTCGTGATGACTGACTTGTTTCAAATATACTCCAAATGTCATCGAAGTGCCACTTCTTAAGTTCCTCAAAGCCAACAACACATTTGGGTTTTTTCGACCTGTTTTTTGGTCGATACATATCATGTGGCATCTGGAGCACTTGTCTGTGACCTAAAATTTACATTATCTTTAATCTTAGTGCCACTTTTCAAATTTGATGCTTATTTAGAAAAACCTTACCTCAAACTCTGTGCTTCCAATGAAGATCTTTTTCATTTTGTCCTCCAAAAACGCTGAATCTGGCCCCAAATCCACGACAAAATTGGCTCTGAATCTTTCCTCTACTTCAGTGTACGTCAACTCTGTCATCTTGACCAGATACCCGATCGAGGCTTTGCTTATCATCAGGTAATCAGCTTGATTCGAAAAGTTTTGCTTTTCATTGCTGTTGTCCAATTTTAATAAGCGACAGCCGGCTGGCAGTCCTAGAGAATGGAACCAGTTTGATGCAGAATCTCCACAATCGAAGGCTGATAAACTGAAAGTTTAATTATAATTACTATACTGTGACATAGTACAGTAGTATGTACTAAGACACTACAGTTATACTACTGTACGATACTACAAGTTTATCGTGCTAAGTACTATAGTAAAACCTACTTTTTGACACAAACCCTAGAGTTGACGCTTTTGCCAACTTCATCCAGATCCACTTGAAGTGCACCAACAGTACCAGACCGATCCGCCAGTATGACCGAGTTTTCTGAAAACTACCAATCAACCATTATATTGTACTAGATTACCTGACAATCAACAGAACAAAGCCTTGGATATTGTTTTTGAGTCATTGGAACACCATCTTTGGTTATCAACATCAACTGCCGATCCCATTTCAACCCGCCTGAACTAGTTTTCCAAGATGATGCTGTTAGTACTGATCCTGACTTTAAAGGATATAAAGATATTGATGTTAGATAGCCAAGGGTTGGCTTGTCGAAGGTGTTAAACTGTTGGTAGAGAGAGGGGGAGTTGTTGATAAAACAGGTCGTTATCATCATTTCAAGCCATTCCACGTCCTAAATTTAAAAAATGTAAAAAGTTGAGCTGCATCTCTAAAAAAAACTATTTTCTGCTACAAATAAAGGGTTTTGCAGTATTTTTTGGATCAAATTTACAGTATGCTTACTTCAAAAGTATTCAACCGCCCAAAAGAAACCCGAAGGGATCCGGCCGGTCGACCATTGAAGGAGTCTATTTCATCCCCACATTCTTTCCCAGCACTTCTCAATTGTTGACGTTCACTATCAGAGAGTTGCAGATATTCACTACAAGCTCCTTGGTTACACATGCATCCAGCACGAAGATCAATGCCGTACAAATCCGCCATTTTTTCAACCTAAATTTAATTTTATTTATATTGATAAAATACTAAAAATATATAATAAATCATAATAGTAAAAATCATATTTACCTCAACATAACCAATTACAGACCCATCACCACGCAGTAAATTGAAACTAACTATCGGACCTTGATGATAATGTAAATTATCATAAGTTGAGTTCCTCCAGCCATCGCCGTACACTATTGCTATAGGATTACCGTTCTTGTGAGTTGTCGAAGTTAGATATCCGTATAATCTAACAGTCAGTGCCATCGTGTGGTTTTCAATTGCATTTACACCTCCTGAAGTTAAGTATTTTGGTAAAAAAAAACTTAAAAATATATAATATGTAATTGAATTACTTACCAAAAGCTTCAATGTCATCAAACCCACAATTCAAGGCTGATATCGAGTAAAAGTCTACAGTTCCATGTTCAAACCTACAAATTTACATTATTTTTAAAATTGACATATCTGAAGACTTAAAAAAGACATAGCCAACAAAACCCATTATACCTTCCTTAATTTAAAGTCTATTATATTCATTTCAAGACGTTAATATTACCTTGTTGCTACATCATCTTTTCTATCAACACCAAACCCATTTAATTCAATAAAGTTTACAGATCCACCACCAAAGTAGCTCTGACTTAACAACGCTTCATCGCCATTTTTAACTATTATAGATCCTAAACCAGTAGGATATCCAAATATCTTGTAGTAGGAAAACACAACATACGATGCATCGATTCCGTTCAAGTTTAATGGGGCAGTTGGTACCCAAGCAGCTGCGTCTAGTACTACGCAGAGTGATGGTATTTCTGAAATTTTCATTTTTTAAACTTGGAATTTTTGAAGTCGGATACTATGCTATTGCTTTCTACAAATAAAATTAGGTAATATATGTATATCGTATGCTCCATTGATTAAAATTATCAGTCCATCCGTTAGAATGGACTCCCAAAAATTGATAGAACTCATAAGCGAGCCCATGCACGGAAATCTTTAGTAAAAGGCGAAAGATTTATCCGTTTGAGGATGCATGGACCCCAGAGATGGAGAAACAACCTTCTTCTTCCTTTGTCATAAAAACGTGAAATGTTTTTCGACTGAGAAACTCCATAGGCGAGAGAGAAGAGAGCTTATTTCGCTTATAAAGAAAGAGAGAAATAAAGGTTCTTTCAAGACGATTTTTTGTTTTTTCCGCTTTGCAGTCGCCTTTTTGAAATAATGGGATGGAGATTGAATTAAAATCAGATCTAAATGTCTTTTGCAAATAATAAAATGTTGTAAAATTGAATACAGCTCTAATTATGAGAAAAGACGTAATTTTTCTATTAAAATTCTTTACCAATATTATAAATGAAAAGATGAGTTTTTATTTTACTTTTGATGTGAACTTACTTTTCTTGATCCGATTTATGATGGATAAGTCGTATTTTCGTCCACAAAAGTTACTTTCTGCTGTCATTACAAACAAGTGTCGGCAAGAGCTTACAACGGGATACATTTTATCGATGTACTCATTCAGTTCTTCGAAAGTGGTAACGACAAGTTGGTCATAGTTGGAAGAGTTTCTCATACCAACAATTGATGTATGAGAGTCTTTGAACATCAGAAGTGTACTCTGGTTCCCTAAAGGAGGTACTTTAATATTTTTTTCAAAACTGTTAATTAAACTTATTTAAACATAAGTTTTTGGTCAAAAAGTTTACGAAAAAGAACAAACACATGAAGAGTATAAGGGTATAAAGATATAACATACAAGTTATTTTGTCTAGCGGTACTATAACAGGTTGCCTCTGCTTAGGACCTTCATTATCGTAAGAAAACGTGCGAGAAACCATGTCAAGAGCTGATGTTGTGTTATATGTAAATATGACTGAATGATTATCGTGCGAAGTATTGAAGAAGTTAAGTACACTAAAAGTTATATCATGAATAGCATATGTTACACGCTTATTGTTAGTTCCATAAAAAGTTATTTTTATTATAAACTTAGCTAAACCATAGTAAATCAATCTCTTACCGACTTCGAACACTTTCAACAATGACGCCAGTTCTTCTACCAGCTTCATGATTACTATGTGGATTTCCAAGCATTTTGTTATTGAACAAAACTTCAGATAAAGCCTTCTTCTGTGATTCAGATATTGCAGCTGAACCAGCATTGTCCAGAAACACTTTTTTTGAATCCATCTTATATTAAATTATAGTATAAAATATTATTAAAAAATCGTTAAATCTTTAAAAATACGAGTATAACAAGTTTTACGTAGAATCTTTAAAGAAACAACAACAAACTTATAAATAAGCCGTTTGAAGTAATTGTTGGAAGTGATCTTTCAGCTCTTTCAATAATTATGTTTATTGCGCGTGGTAATGATATTATCATTACTCATCAATCAGTTTCTGCTACGCTTTAATAATCATCGGCTAATTGTTGGTGGTCTTTGTAGTTTTGTAGACAAGCCAACTTATGAAACGTTATAACCTGATTTTCGCCTTTGATACTAAGCATTTTATCATCGTATCATCAGTCTTCAATACATTCAAATCTTCCTCTATCGGTCCCTTACCCAGTTTGGGTCTTCATCAATATTGGGTCCTCCTCATACAAGTCTTCATCTGATCGGGTCTTCATCGAATTGGGTCTTCATCATGCCAGTTTAAATCCTCCTCGCAATAATCCTTTTGGCAGGCTTGGCATTCCGTTTCATTTTTTCGGAAATAAATTATTTTTTGGTTTTTTTCGGGAGGATTTGGTAGTTTGACGTGTAGTTCCTCATTTCTCGTATCGGGAGTTTAAAGGCTTTTATTTGCAAAGAAATGTTCTGTTAGTGTTGATGAATTTAATCCAGAGATCTATTTGTATATTTGCTTTGACTATAGTTATTCTTTATATTTTGCTCCGAAATTCTGGAGATAATGAACTTGAACAGGTAATTTTGATCGTTTTATCGAGGTTTTGGGTTTAATTTGGTGTGTATTAGTTTGGCCTCGCATTGTTTGTTTATAAGTTTGTTTATTTCTAAATTTTTTAGGTAACATCTGAAGAATATATCCGGTTGACGGAAGAGTTGACGAGGTTAGAACGTTTGTTGGAGTTGGAAAACAAAAATATAGATGAAATACGTTTGAAATTAGCATCTTTAGAAGGAAAGAAACCTCAGGTATGAACTTTATTTGAGCTTTCCGTTTTTAGGCAGTTAGGAGATGTGTTATATGCACTTTTATTCGCTTTTGTATGGTTTATACGGTTAAACTGAAGAAAAAGGTTAACAGTATTTATAGCTTGTGTAATAATATATTAAAACTTTATTTCGTATTGATATAAGCTTACTTTCAGTTTATACCAAGCGAGAATGCTAAAGGACCTTGGGACAAGCCGATAGCTGTGTTGATATTCACTTGTAAAAGAGCTGATGCTGTGAGAGTGGTATTGAACAAACTTCTGAGGTTAGTTTTGTCTTTATTTTTCATGTTTTATATTTAGGATACGACCGTCTTCCGAACTTTTTCATCTTATTGTTAGTCAAGATTGTGACGACAATAGTGTGAAGGAAGCTGTGGATGAGTTTGGATCTAATGTCACTTATATTAAGGTAATAATTATAGTTTGTCTTTATTGCTTCGTTTTTTTCTAGGGTGTAAAGTTTGGGTAATGAAGAAGGTCTTTGCAATAAAATTGATGTATTACTATGATATTGCTTGATTATATACAATATTATTCGCTTGTGTTACTGATACCTTTTTTAGCATTCGAGCCCTAAGCATGCGAAAATCGAAATTCCGAGTAGTCAGACAAGGTACAAAACCTACTTTTACATTGCTCGACATTACAAACTGGGATTGGATTATGTTTTTAACACTAAGAACTACGATTCTGTTATTATAGTTGAAGGTAAGTGATGTTGTTTAAAACAATTATTTGGTCCCTTAAATGTTTAGTAATTCATTTTAAATGTATATTAATGTGTATATTGACATGCTTAAATTGTGTAAAATTAACCGGGCATTTAAACGTCAAATATTTCCTATTGGTGTTGCTTTTCAATAATATTGTTGTAGACGACTTGGACATCAGCCCAGACTTCTTTTTGTACTTTTCTGGAACTCGTTGGTTGCTAGATGCCGATCCGACGTTGTACTGTATATCTGCATGGAATGACAATGGAAAAGCACAGTTGATCGATATGGAAGCTCACGATCTTCTCTACAGATCTGACTTCTTTCCGGGGTTAGGGTGGATGATGACAAAGTAAGTAGTTTTTGGAAGCGCTTAAAGGAATACTTAATTTGTTTTTTTAGTTGTATTGTAGGATCATAGAGTTTTTCACAATATATATGATGATTATTAATGTTTATTGTTTTAGTAAATTATGGCAAGAACTAGGCCCCATCTGGCCTACTGGCTTTTGGGATGACTGGATTAGAGATCCAGCTAGGCGGAAGGATCGACAATGCATTCGACCGGAGATTTCCAGGACAGCTATGACTGATTTTGGCAAAATTGGAGCTAGCGAGTAAGTTTTTAGTTTTTGAACTTTTTATTGTAGTTTATGGTATAGTGGAATATTAAAAGTAACTTTACATTGAAGTTTATTTTATAATGGTGTGCTTAATTTTAAACTAAAGATAATGGATCACAATTTCAGAGGCTTGTTTTTCGCAAAATACCTAAAGAAAATCGTTTTGAACAACAAAACTGTTGATTTTACAATGATGGATCATACCAACTTGTTGCCTGATAAATATTTACAGACATTTATATCTAAAGTCTACTCGTTACCTACAATCAAAGTCAACGAGTTCTTGTTACTGAACGAGAAAGAAAAGGAGTTTAGATTAGAATACAGTAGTATGACAGAGTATACAGAATATACGAGGAAAATCAAGATTATGGGTGATACCAAGGTAGGTGTGCTACATTTATGCTACATTTGGTATTGATTGTCTTCTTAAATTGTTGCTGTCTTATGTTATGATAAACTTTTTAATTACAAAATTTAAATTTTGATCTAAAACTTTAACTTTTCAGGCTGGTGTACCACGAACGGCCTACCATGGTATTGTGACAGCCTACGTACGAGGTAAACGATTATATCTTGCGCCAGCCAATCGCGCTTTCAAAGGATATGACAGTAAATGGGAAGCACCACAAGATATATTGGACGGGTTATAGGTACATCTGTATGGGTAGTGTAAATTGGAACAAAATTGATTTAAAATTTAAAAAAATTGTTTTAATTATAAAATTTTTACGAATAATATTGTTTAAAATTTTTTAAATTATATTAAAGAATATTATGAACAACGATGGCAGTTGTAAGACGTAGAGTAAATTGTAAAATTTTTCTTATTTTATCATAAGAAACTTAAAGGTGTGAAAAATGTATGTCGCCTGGATTGTTACAAAATATTTATATAAATAATAACTTAAGCAATCTCCACAATTTGTGCGATAAGAAAAGGCGTTCTGGTCAGTTCACATCACTCGTGTTGCTCGGTCAGGCATCGAAGATACGACAGAACTTGAAGCGACATGCGTATCCTGTATCAACTTTTTATACGTTGCAATTTTGCACAATGCGTATTTTACCAAACCTTTTAAAAAAATTTTAAAATTTTGTTTTTTTAGGCAAAGTGGTCGAAAAGTTTGTAGAATTTTTTTTTTTGTACAAGTTACAATCATTTAAAAAATTTTTTTAATTTTCAACAAATGTTGATACCTACTTTTGTAAACTGGTCCCGTGGATCGTCGCTCGCGACCGTCGATAAAGTTGTTGGCGTCGATGGAGTCGATGAACTCCGCTAATTCGTTGTCGGCTTCGGCTTTGTTCAGCCACTCGTACGAAGCTACCGGTCGGATCGAAGATTGAGCTGGTCGCATCATCCTCATGTAGGCTAAAGAGTAGGGGAAGCTCTGTAAATTTAGGTATATTTTGAGTTTACGTGGCTAAAGCACTACACTATCGCACTGTAAAGAGACAGGAGGAAACTTTATGTATTTTTGGTCAAAAAGTTTGTAGAAAAAGCGGAAATCTTAAGAAAACAATGTTTTTTACTTATCATGCTTTGTTTAGGTTGCTATACTTTGCTTAAGTTATGTAAACGGTAGAAAAAAATTATTTACTATAGCTGTAGCACTTATATAAAACAGCTCCACAATATATAAAATTTGCATAGTATATACTTGTTGTTTGCTCCATTACGCACAATTATCATAACGTGGTAAACAGTCAATCACCGGACAGTTGACATTACCAACAGAGTAAACGTTTGTATTTTTTAATTCTTACATAAAAAGGTCAAAAGTGGCAATACTTGTGGAGTTTAATTAAATTTTCAACGGAAATCTTTGTTTTAGAATTGGAAACTAGGATTATATTATGATAGTTGATTATGTTAAACTAACACAAGCTTTTATCGTGACATACTAGTTCTTACAAAAAAGTGAAAATCACGATTTCATAGATGTCGTAAGGGTATAAATTTACTACGTCATACAGTTTTTAAGTAAAAATAAGTATGACCTACAACCTATTTCAAAAAAAAGTTACATTGAGGTAAAAGTTTTCCGACCTAGCTCATAACACGTTAAATAGCACATTAAACAAGGCCATAAACGACCAAAAATGACACTAATTCGATTGTGTTTTTGTTTTTTGACCAAAAATGTTACTTTACAAACTTGAACTCAAACGGTTCGAAAAGTATTTCATTGTTGTGTATAGTACAACATCTGCTAGAATAGTGGCGAAACCCGTGATTTGTTACCGTAGTTTTAATTTTCTGGAAAAATATTTATTTTTTGATTGACATTTTAATATAGAGGTCTTAAAAAGTTTTAAAAAAACTAGATTTTACAGCAAAAGTTAGTATTATAAATAAATACTGATTTCTTTCGAAAAATGTTGTTAATTACAGTATGCGTTAGTACTCAAAAAGCCTAATGCAAATAAAAACAAGAGTGATATTGCCTGCAACCCCGTTTCAGTCAAATTTCAATGTAGCAGTAAAAAGGCTTCAAAACTGAAAGCCATGGATCTACAAGTACACAAATCTAAACCTCATCGTACTACAATATGGAAACACGTCACATTCACATCACGACGAACTTACTCCCATCGGACTGACCCGTGCAACTCGGAACAACTTTTGCTTCTCCATCTTGTCGCTGGCCGCAACCACCGCGACCAGCACGGTCGCCAGCACCAGCAGGGAACCCATCGTGAGTGGTCGAGAGCACATTGCGGGCGCGCAAATAATATAAAATGGACTGTGCACGGCCGTTATTCCTTGCGGCGATATGCCCGACTTAATTTGAATACTCTTTCCATTAAAGTTGTATTAACGAGAGATTAACAGATGAACAGTCGCCTCCCACAAATGTCATACACGTAACGTAGCCACCGTAATGGATCGTTAAGTTTTCGCGGAACGTGCTTCTATTTAGGGCCGTTTTTCGAAAGCCTTTCACCGCCAAAGGGCCGTTCCCCAACAAGCAAAAAGTACAGAGATGAAGGATTGGATTGGTATGGCAATCACAACATACGAAAAATCAGGATTTTAAAATTAGTTTACTGTATGCCAAAATAGATCAGTCTATACTATGTACTCTAATACTTTAGTTCAAACAAAGTTAAATTACTTTAAGCGTTTGGAATTTGCAGAAAGAATGATTTTTCATCATTAATGAAGTACTGTAAGAAGGAGATGATCTTTTGGCCTAATACATACTAATTTTCGATAAGTATCTTTAAAAATAATATAATAGCGAAGCGGAAGTTTTTTGAGTTTGTACATGAAACAGGTAAAGTACAAAAGACGCTTTTAGGTATTCTTTAAACTTTGTTTTCGGGCGTAAAATTTCAATAAAGTAAAAATTATACTTTATCATAAGCAATGATAATATTCAAAAGAAAGAAAAAAGTTGTATTACCACAAAGTTTAGAATTTAACAAAAAACTTTTTCTTAATACTTCTTGTTTTTTTCTATATCTTTGCTAACATATCATGAAAGCTTAGTATCCTAAAAGTTGCCTATAACAACGTTATTTTAGTATGGCAACTTACGATGAATTCAAGTTCTATATTCTTAGCCGATGAAAGAAACTGCCTTTAAAATTGATTTTTTTTGTATTTTTGCTTTATTGCCATTATAAATCAAAAATATTAACTAAACCTCATCCAATAAGCCTAACATGTTAAATTTGTAATATAAGCCTAAATGTTAGTATAAAGTTAATTATTACTACTTATTGTAAAACCCAGTATCCACCCCCACTGAAAAGCGTTTACTTTTCAACATCACAATCAAAGTATGTACGTGTTGAAAGCACCTACACTTTGATGTCGTTCTGTAATCACTTGAAGTGCAGTTAATTTTATGCAAATTGTCACCTGCTTATGTCACCTGTTGTGTTGAACTGTAGTTATACGTGAAATATACCAAGCTCTACATTTCCTACAGTTTTGTGACAATTGACTTTGTCGTCATTTCGGATTAATCAAATTGAGATCGTATGTCAGAGAGTGGCGATTAAAGTCACACCTGTCCAGAAAATATGTCATTCATAATATCGGGGTATATTGAGGGATGTCGTTCGTTTTAAAAGTGATATATCAAAAAGTATATACTATCATATGTGAAAGACGTACGATATATCATAAGTAACAGTTTTATACATGCTTATCTCTATAAAGCATAGTAATATGTTTGATATAGCCATAAGTATCAGTCCTTTATCATAAAACACATGTGCATCATAATAATAAGTTTTTATTGGCAGTAATTTATTGGAAACAAATGTGAGAGATCAAGGCAAACAGAGAGAGCGCAGAGAAAGAAGAGTGAGGGAGAGATGTCATCGCACAGTTTCGCCCATGAAATGTCGCAGTAATTCGACCGGTAACGGGAAAACAATCGTCGAATTCTTTTCGGCACTGCAATACAGTAATGTAACATTGTTATTTGTCATGTTTACTTTAATCAGACCGGGGGGGGGGTGTGAAATTACTTTAATAAAAGGGAGGGGGTGAACTTTTTTCGAAGAAGAGGGGGGGGGGATGGGAACACAAAAAAGGTAGTAAAACATATTTTTTAATTTTGTCTTTCACATCACTAACCAAGCACTATGATGTCGTTTTGACTATTTAAAGTTAAGTTATTATGAAAACAACGTTCTCGAAACCTGTCATCATATCTTAAATATTAAATTTGCTTTTTAACTCAAAATAAAGTTAAAAGGAAGTAGAATTGCGATTAAAGCTACTCAAACATTACACATTATTTCAGATTCAAAAATAATTTCGAAAAAAACTTACGCAACACTGTTCAAGGTCTGAAGATACCGTAACTGTAAGGCAGCTGGAGATTGTGAGATGATGGTAGCTGCTTCGTGCAGCGATTGTGAAGCCTTTTGTTCACCTTCAGCAGCTATTACCTATAAAAATTTATTTTAAAACTTTTCCAAAACAAAAAATATCAAAAATTATTAAAAAAGCCAAATTAAGATCTATTCTACGTACTTTTTGACCGCAAAATAAGATTGTTGCATTAAATTAACTGTAACCCATTACATATTACATAAAGCTAACAGGTCAGTACTTGTTACTACTCAATATTAATAACACTATTCTTTCACAGACTGCGTCAATAAAGAATGTCATTTGGTATTAAACTACCTCTTGACGCATGTCATAACGTAAATGTAAAAAGTAAACTTTTGGTATATTAATAACCTATGTCATGAGTAAAAGTAGTTTTGCTTGCAAAAATATTTTTGTAGAACAAATCTATAACAATTTCTAAGGTTGTTCAATTAATTGTGTGCTCTCTAACCACAAAAATGTCTTTTTAAAGAGCACAAAATGATGTAAACAATCTAATATTTTTAAAACCTTACTTTAGCTCTGGCTTCTCGTGTAGCCTCGGCTTCGGCAGCCATTGCTCGTTGAAGCTGGACTGGCAGACGGACGTCTTTTCTAAAACAATTTTATAAACCATGGATGGAAAACTACGTATTTTACAAATATACTACATACTCAACAAATTTGACTTCTACTATGCCCTAAAACTTCAAAAAGACTGACATTTCGACCCGTTCCACCTTGATTCCCCATGAAGCGGTCGTCTCGGCTAGGAGCGCTTGCATGGCTTCAGCGATGGAGTCGCGATCTGACAGAATCTCTGACAGATTCCTCGTTCCTAACATATTCCTTAAGGCAGTTTGAGCTAATAAGCGTGTCGAATGATGAGCGTTTTCTACGTTTGCTACACTCACTGTGGCATTGCAGATCCTGTAGTACACTACGGCATCTACTGATACAGTCACAGAGTCGCGGGTTAGGATCTGGAAAGTAAAATGTATTTTGAGATCTTTATATGTTGGTAAGGTTTATCTAACAAATTTTGAAGTTCTTGCAAAAAGTATAGGGAATAGAGTTTTCTCATATGAAGCATGACTTACTTCTTGTGGTGGTACACTGAACGATACAGTTCGAAGATCAACTTTCGTGTAGCTTTCTATACATGGCAAAACAAAAATTATACCTAAAAATGTGTAAAGATTAATACCTGATCTATCAAAAGCAAATTATTTTTATTTTGCATCGCCAACTGTCACATGCAATACGATAATCAACTCACCTGGACCCTTAGCACCACCGCCAATCAGCCTACCCAGTCTGAATATAACAGCACGTTCGTATTCCTGTATTACCTAAATTTATGTGTAAACTCTAAAATACGATGACTTACTTTGATACAAAAGCATATTGTGAGAGGAAATGTGGCAAAGAAGAATAAATATGAAAGAGTCATCAGGAACCAGCCACAGAAGCCGAGACCGGCATCGTATGCATCTGCTGAAAAGGTGCACAAAACTTTTCTGGTTACATTAAGGTTGGCAATGTTATTAAAAATTGTTTCATAAAAATGTCAATATTACAAAATTCTTTTATTGAACTGTAAGTAATGTAAAAATACGCATAACACAACGCTTATTTTAAATCCTTAAAATATTGTCATAGGCTTTTAGAGTCATGTTATTGTCAATAAACGTACGATTCATGTTTTTCGGGTAATAACTGAGTTTGAGCTGAGCCAGAGATTGTCGTCGTGCTTCTTTTTCCTCCTGCAAGAAAACGTCAGTAATCACCTAGGGAGGCAGTTATTGTCCTATTTACCGGGTTTGTTTATTGTGTCTTCAACAACAAACAAACCAAAGCCAATTTACTTCAAAATGACCCTTTTAAAAACTTTTACAAAAAATACACCACTTTCTTTACTAACGTACTAAGAATAATCCGACGTTTCTAAAAATAGCTAAAAATCGATTTGAAAGCCCGCCAAGGGATTATATAACAATTTCGTGGTGGGACCAAAAAATCTCTAAGACAATAAATTTTCTGTCGCTGAAAATATTCAAAAAACATTTTTTTTACTAAATCAGAAGGTTAATTCCAAAAGAAGACATTGTTTTTTTTACTCACTTACCTTTGCAAAGATCAATGGATTCAGAGTGAACCGTCGTCCCATTCGAGGACCGGTGGGAAAAGACTGCGAACCATGTCTAGAGCCAATGATCGAACTCGACCTGGGCCTCCTGAAGGTCGCTGTGGCGATGGGGAACTCGGGCACGTTGATATGGATGCTTTGTGGCACATCTTCGTCCTTCTCCTGATCGTCGACGTGGGAGTCTCCCATCAGGCGACTGCGCTCGTCCTCGTCGCCAGAACTGTTGTCGTCGAGGGAAGAGCCTTCTGAAGCGGTGGACGATGAGATCTGATGCTGACTACGGTAAGACGAAGACTGATAAGGCCGAGAGCGATAGTTGGGGCGTGACGACGAGCTGCGGACTGGAGCTGAGACGTTCTGAGCGAGTCTGCGATGCATAGTGGACTAGTTTTTGAGCAAATGAATTTGATTTAGAAAACAATATTTAGGTAATAAGGTTTTATAGACTTTGAGCTGAAGAACAGGCAATATATTAGTAATATAATATGTTTGTTCTGTGACAGCTCTGAACACAAATATTAAAATTAGATTACTCTAAAGCAATGTAGCGTTTGTAGAGAAACAAACCGTAGATTAATTTACAACGTGTTCTTTATTAAATCAAAAAACTCTTAGTACGTAATGTCAAAAAGTGTTAGCAAGGTTAGGAACTAAATACTTTAGTCACTTTCGAGTTGACACACCAAATGATCTAGTATGTATTCGACGCAGAAATGTAGGTTGCAATAATAACACTAGCACGTACGATTGACAGTACTGTCTTTTCCGAATGGCATTACTTTTAAGATGACCAGAGGGGTTCCGGAAAGCCCTCTTCTGGCTTCCACAACAAACAACCGACTTGAACCCCGCGGGCGTCGTTCTAAACACGCGATCTTGGGGGAGCGTGGCCCCGAAGCACAAACTTTTTGCACTTGATGCGGTTTTTCGTGTTCTTTTATATTCGTGTTTTCCCTGAGGGGCGCGGATTCTGATTCCATACGTCCGGAAGTATTCCTGACGGAATTTCTTTAATAGAATCTTGTCCACTCCTTAAAACAACCCAACGCGATAACACGATTACCACTCTAATTCGTTGGTTCTAATGCAGTCGAGTTTACGTACTGTCACTCGAGTAGACTGTCACTTAGCTAGCAAGCACTGTCACTTAACGTTACAAGACAATAATATAAACAGAGCCGAGCAGACGTTTGAATAAACAGTTAGGAAAACAAAGTGTAATAGAACAACAAAGAAAGGAATTAAAGACATAGTAAAGATCACGAAGAGAAAGTCGGTTATTCATACTTGATTGGATATGAGTACTAAGTAAAATATAAATGAATACAAAGTAAAAAAGTTAACATAGTCTTGTCAATCAAATTCAGTACAAATCATCCTACCTATGACACTAAAAAGCCGACCAAAGTCTCTAGACTGATTCATGATAACAACTTGTAAACTAACTGACCCTATGTATAATTTTATAAAGTAAAGTAACCAGACAGAACCACTTAGCGTCCTGAATATCTAGCAAATCACTGACATATGCAGGTCATAACTCGTGATTACCCACTACTTTTATGTTACTTTCCCTTTCCCACCACTGCCTTTAGCCTGATTTATGTGATAAAGACTTTCGACCAGAAATGTCATAAAGTTGAAGAATGTGGCATGATTAGTAAAATATGGTATAAAGTCTTAAAATATTTTACAGTCTTAATATAATTGAAAACTTTACATTATGTTCCATATTATCCTACCAAATAAAAAAGTATTCTACACCATGCTTATCGTTTTTTTCCCTTATCAATAAATTTCATACTATGCTATAAAACCCCAATATCTATAATACACTGCCACATACGGTACAATAGCAAGTATGTGCAGCACACGTATGAGGAACTGAAGTATGTCAAAGACAATACGAACGTATATAAATAAAACGTTATGAAGAATTGACGGCTAAAGCCCTCGGGTTATGAATTGGCCGGTCGATTATACGACAAGAGCATCCGGGTTTTGATTTTACTCTGCCCTAAAGGTCGGCTTTCATAACGGGGTTAATGGTGACAGACGTTGATGAATTAACATGACAGGATTTATAGGCGTTCCGCTGTGATGTATAACATTATATGGGGAAAAATGTTAGAACATTGGGTTCTTCACTGTTCCTTCGTACAGTTTAGCCTCGAAGCTACATAGTACTCTTCATATGGTAGTATTTTTAATATAAAGTAACGTAAGTTTATTATAATATTGCTAAAAGGTAAAGAAAGTTTAACATAATGTTACTATAAGGTGAAGAAAACAAAGTTTTAAGTATATAAACCTACTTATCCACCCATACCAATTTACTTAAAAGTACAAAAATCCTACCAACAACCCCACAAACCTTTACAGTACTCAATTAAACTCGTAAGACATTTAATTTCGAAGCCGCGAGACCAATTCCCCGGTTTGAAACCGAAAACAAACAAAAGTTATGCCCTGAGGAGTGAGTCAATTCTTGAGATGAATATGGCCGCGAAACATCGAGGAGAGCGGCTCGAGATTGAAATGTAAACTTTTGGCGCAAAAACATTTAAAAATGGCAAAAAACAGCTGAGCACGAACAACATGACACAACACTAGCTCAAGATTATGTTCCGATGTGTTCGTCGTATCTTGGAACTTATAGATGAAGACGTACGATAAGGTGACATTGGATTGTTGTTGAGCTTGTAAAGCAGAGGCTTACAACTTGTATCATATATGGCATGACAATAAAAAATAATGAAAATTTAAATTTTTTGGTCAAAAGGTTTGTAGAATTTTTATTTTTGATAAAAAAATATTTTTAAATTAAAAAAAAACAAAAAAGCAGTAAAAATTGTTTATAGTTGACAAGAAAAGTTAATATTAATGTTTGGGCCACGTTCAAACGCCCCGATATGACAGCCGTTTTCATATTATAGTACCATAAAGTCATATCAAATCTGTTTTATTTGACATATGTAAGGAAGTATGGCTAACCATCAGAAACATACTTTAATTTGGACTTTTATTAGAATCATAAGTCATGGTTTTTAGGCCAGGACAAGGTAAACCTAAAGTCTTCTTTAGCATTTAAGTCTTCCAAGGTATAAGACATATAATTATGTTTACGTATAGTACACTAGTAAGAGAACGGCAAAAGTTGACCAGCGGAGGCTAATGCCAATGGCCCTATAAGCGGCTAAAATACTTGACTACGACATAACTTTCCACGCTTTTTCACAGTATAAGTCTTAATTTTAGGTTCAATGGATGATTTTACCTTTCTCTTGTAAGACATTTTAATTGGTCTTTTGACCAATTAAAGTTAACAGAGACTTTTAAAAATTAAAAAACAGTTTTAAAAGAGCAAGCTACTCTCTACTCTCACAACAAATCATCAAATACCAACTTACTTTTCCTTTTCGTATATCTCATTTGTGACAAAACCTCAAAACCCAACGCTCAGACCATGTTATGTTATGGTAGTGCCAATTATGACTACATATCTACCTGTTAACCCAGGAATTACCACGGGAATTGTAATCATAACTCACTTTTCTACGCCCATTTTCGCACGGTAAGACGGGTTTGGCTACACGGTGAAAACAGACACAAGGTAAAAGACATACGGAGAGAAATATGTTTACTACTCGATTTTACATTGCTTGGTATGTAAGAGTAGTAGTTTTTGTAAAAAAATTTAATTTACAGTATAATTATATGACCATAACCTCTAAAATGTCAATGTCTAAAAAAAAGTCATCATAACATAATATGCTAATTATTGTAACGACTCTGAAAACAAGAAAAGAAAAAAGTGAGAACGTTACAGAATGTTGGCTTCATGAAATCCAATTGTAATCCAATTTCAGCTGGACTGGAATCAATACACAGTGACAAAATAGTTTATATTGCCTGGAGTTTTTAATTTGTTCAAAATGGTTTCAAAATTTCCTTTTTGACTTCTATGTACTTATTGACCCCAAACCCAACATTTTTATTTTTCTTTTGAATTTTTCAATATTATAGCTCATAGTAATTATTACTGTATGCCACTTATAAAAAACAATTTGCTTTCTGTCATTATGCCATTCTTACCAAGATGTTCGTATACAACAAACACCACAACCAGACATGTTATATATAGTAACAACAAGTTATAGTAATGACAAGTTATAGTAACGACAAGACATATATCAAACTAGAATAATATAAAAAAAACAATTACCATCTTCTGTTTACGGTATTATATATTATACAATGCGATTACTGCTCAGTAGTTGTGTATTACAAAGTTATACACTTAATTATATGTTACAGTGAAAAATTCCCAAATATATCATGTTTTTACACAGTAAAATGGAATATGTTTAATAATAAGATAATGTAATTGTCCCACATGTTAAGTAATTATTTCCTAACAGTAACAAGGCAAGATACTATGGTGAGAGACGGTTTTGACTTCCTTATTATATGAATTTACAAATATTTTTTGAAACCTGATTATCGGTCAAAAAACATTTATAAAACTCAAAAACATGCTTTAAGTAATACTGAAAAAAACTTCCATATACTTTTTGACCAGTAAAAACTATCATAATACCCAAGTATACCACATAGTATTGCCCAACTCCACTAACAATAAAGACCAGCCCATATGTAGCCCAGCATATATAAAAACGACAAAGCAACCAAGATTATTGTGCCGTAGAAAGACTACAGAATTCAGAATAAGTCACGCTATATGTAGGGAAAACAACTTGAGATAGATGCAAATAAACAATCATCATAATCTTTAGAATACGGCCCTAATTGCACTCAACGATGTAGACCAAAACATAAAATAGCCCTCGAAGGTTTTGTCGTGGACTTACCTTGAGTGACTTTACATTAGTTGTACATGTTTTGATAGTAAACAGTAATAGTAAAGTTTTGGAAAACGTAAAAGGAAAAGTAAAGTTGTTAGTGTTTACTGCGAGAAAGAACAACATACTATACTAAAAATTTATGGTCACTTCTTTCTATAGTAATATCATTTTTTAAACATTATATTGTATTATAGTAAAACATTCTACTACAACATAAAATATAGGTCACAACTATAATCAAACCCAGACAAATACCCTGCCAACACAAATACCACGCCCAAAAGTAACCGGAACAAACGAAGATCCCCTTACCTGGTGTCAAGTACTTGCCGTAGCGCGACGACGCCTTAGGCAGTCGTTTTCTGGTCATGGTCAACAAGATATAAAAACAAAGCCAAGATGTCCGCAAGAAGTTTCGACTTCTTGGGCTTCCGGAAAGCGGCCTAGATACGATGAAACGCAAATTAAGTGTCGTTAAGCGGCTCGATTCCTTTGTCATACATATGGCACTGTAATTACGCTGTAAAACAAGTAATTACATCTTAAGAACTATACATGTTTGTTGCCTTTCCTTGTTCTTATGTAGTACTAGCTGAGTAGCTTACAGAGCAAACGTAAGTAGCTTAATTACTCTGAATACAGAGTTCTTTTTCGTAAGAGTAGTCTAGCATTAAAATGACGCTATCAAGTATAACATAGCATTAAAGTATCTACCAGAACTTACTTTTATACATTATAGTATTAAGTTATTTCCTAGTACCAAATACTTAAAAACAAAAAGTACTATAGTACTCAGTAAGCCTTCAAACTTCCACTAAACAAATTTAATTTTAGACTACTAAATATAAACTAACGGAATATGAATACGAAAGCCTAGTAACAAAGTAGCAGCAACTTGTCCACTTACTGAGTAAAACAAGGAACCGAGGTGTGCCTTTTGTTATACGTCAAAAAACAAATTCTCACAATCTTCCGGCCATTGACGACGTTTTTATGACTGTGCCGAAACCGCTCTATATCCTCGTACTACACAATAGACTTCAGTATGGGTCAAAAACTAAATAGAAGGGCTAAACATAACAAGGGAAAATAAGCTATTTATGACCGTTTTAGAACAGTAGGTGTTGGGGTTATTGCAGAGATTAATTCAAAGATTCAGACAGCCTACAGTAAAGTAAAATTGCAATTCAAAACAGATTTATTGTCGTGTTATAAAGTAAAATACGCTAGCCAATTGAAGTATCTTTTAAAATTAAACATTTACCTTGTTTGTAACTCATGGTGTACATGTGACCTTTCAAATTGAGCTTATAGAAAAGTATTTAGCTTTTGTATGCCAATAATAACAGTTTGTAGCACAGGCTTATCATCAGACAAGAGTTATGACGTAACTTCTTATACGAACATAGTGAACAGCAAGATGAAGATCTTCATAGAAGAATCCTATGTTCTTTGTGTAAATATCACTTTAAAGACTCTTCTGAATCTGGTGTTTTCTATATATTTTTAATCTAACGTCATATATGTTCTACATCTCCACCAAACTGTATCCAAATCTCTTGCTCCTATAATATACCATGCTCCTTTATTATTCTTTCAATCTTTCCAGGCTTATTTCCTAGATATTCCTAGATGTCTCTGCCCAAATATGTTCTGAATATCTTTGCCCCACCATCGGCTGTTCTGTTTCGACCGCGCGCGCCTTAGATTGTGTTAAACCGGCCTTAGGGGACGCTTAACGAAGGTCGGGATTGGGCTGATGAGTGACCGGAAACGGCCTTCTTGACCCTGTTTATCTAATTATTCATTCGCCGCACGTCGGCCCCTTGTTCGGTTCCGGCGGCCGAAACTTTTGGGTGCCAAGGTGGAAATAGCGCGACACTGCCAATCGTAACTTTGAAACGGTTTAATAATTTTAAAACTGGTTTAATTTTTTAGCTTTATATTGTTTTAGATTTCATTTTGGAATAGAATCTATGTGCCAAATGTCATCATATTTTGATGACTTTAAAGCTTTTGCTCTTTGTTACAAGGATTACTATCAATTGTAATATGTTGTACTACTAAATACATACTAAATGTTTAAAAACGTACTTGATAAACAAATACATCATTTTAATACTGCGCACAGCACGTCTAGCCCTTAATACTGTGCATATTTGGCGACAATATCATGTCGAACCGAGATTACATCCGTTCCCATTCCCAGAAATTTAATACATTCCGAGGTCAAAAAAATTGGCAATTTCGTGGGAACGGCACGGAACGTCAAAAACAGGAATGACGAGTGACCAGTAAATAAATCTTATAAAGCGTTTAATGAAAAACGCCCGAAGCGAGGGGGTAAGGCACCAAACGGTAAATAACCACGAATAGTAGACAGAACCGTATGAGGACATGAAAACAACATGGTATGGCATAGAAATGCATTGAGAATAGAATAAATGCATTAAAGTAACAAAAAATGTGTTAAATGCCACAGAAATTGCAAAAATTTTTAAATTTAGATAAGCACAACAAAAAAATTAAAAATCGTTTGTACCCTGCCCTAAAATTTTTCAAACCTATCGAACAACAACCAATATAAACAATCTAGTCTACAACAACACTCCTTAAAATGCTTACAAAATATTTTTGAACATAAGCATTCTTCACAAAAAGGCAATAAAAGCAGCAAAAGCTGAATAAACTTTGATATTTTACCACACCCCACCCTGGCCATCCATAAAATGATCAAAAATAAATTTAAAAAGTGCAAACCCAACTCCCTCAGGGCGTGACATAAAACCCCAAAAACCGCGAAACATACACAGAATTAGGAGCCGTAGCAGCCAGAGTAGCCTTAATAGTATCAAAATCTAATGGTTTAAGAGTACGGAGTACTAAAACAAAACAAAGTGGCTAAAGTACTCTTAATTACAGTAACAACATCATACTTTAGCAAACAATTAGTAGAGAACTTTGAGAACTTATATTATAGTAAGTTTAGTTAACAAATCAACATATGTTTTGGACATTCTAATGTATGACTTTACCCTAATTCTAGTAAACATTCAGTATACCCCAAAACGATCAAAAAGTACATACAAATCTTAAAAATATAACATATTCCCCATGAAAAGCTTCTCCACAAACCCTTTGACCCAACTGTACAAACGAAAGCCCCATTAGTACCATAAAATATTACTAAAAATAGTAGTGAAAACTATTTGGCAGTGAGTCAAACAGAGTTAGTTGTTTAAGTCCTGGGAATCTACAAAACCCTTCGGAATCGTGAGAATTCAGAAGCAAAAACCCCTGAGGGGCCAGTTTCAAGGTATGGGATTAATTGTAAAAGTTACGTTTCGAGTATTAGGAGAAAAAGGAAGCGGAAGAGAATGACCAAAAGCAAAAATATAAACAACAATTGTTTATAAACTTGTCCTAAACAAGACGGAATGCTTTGATTTCCGAGATTTATAAGCAAAGCATCGTATCTTCAATAATATAATCTTAATATGCGGGTCAATAACTAATCAAATGTAAAGTGTGAACCTGTAGAATTAAGAAAAATTCTTAACTTTTAATTAAAAAACCTAAAAAAATAATAAAAAACAAAAAAAAAGAAGTAAAAATATAACAAAAAGACAAGAAGATACCATACTATCAAGACAACTTACCACCGGCAAACCGTATCTTTTCGCGGCGACGTTCGCCCATGTTATCTCGGAACGATCAACAGCTGAAAAAAGTTGGGGATGGTCACTTCTGAGGGCAATTTATCTGGCCAAGCGTACGCCATCCTCCCGGCCCCGCCCCCTTTTTCTTCCGTTTTATATGAAAAAATTTGCACGAAAAATGGAAAAAGTTGTTTCCGCGGCTCGGAACTTAACTAGCGTACTCACTAACACGGAATTTCGAGACACAACAACAAATTAAATGTAAGGCGATGGTAAATTTGTTTTTCGGAACAGGTTAATTATTTATCAGGAATTGTGTTGCTTTGATCAAAAAGTGGATAGAATTGGATCTTCTTCCAAATTTTAAAACTTTTCGTAGCCTTCTACTTACTTTTGAACCGCTATTAAACTGTTATCAAAACAATTACTACTTGAAAGCAAAACTACCATTTTAATGATCAAAAAGTAGGTAGAAACATCTTTTAAGAAAAAAATTCCCTTTTTGGTTTTTTCCATTAACTTTTTGACCGATACAAAACTAATCCAAAAAATATAAACTGTGTGGGTCAACCCACTAAAATTTCCGGTAAAAACTTTATTTACACCATTTTAAGTCAACAAGACGGTTAATAAACATTGATACGAAAAGTTGGTCTGGAACGCCTGGGAAGACCGTTCCGAACGCTGAGGACGTTAAATAATAAAAACAAACAATCATCGTGCCGGCATCGAAGCCAGAGGGCCGAACTCGCTTTGACACAGATGACACGACCACTTGCCTTCTGGAGCCTGTTTGAGAGGCGGCTTCAGACAGTACAAATGGAAGCCACGGTCACAGTCGTCGCAGAAGAGCAGCTGGGCCTGGAACAGATTCATATTTGTTATCTATAGGTTATTTTTGAGTTATATTTAAAATTATTGTTGTTCTAGTGACTCTAAATTCAGAGCCGAAGATTAACTATGATAAATCATGGCTCCTCAGACTGTCAATCATTCCCTACCACTAATTGATTGGAAGAACAGCAAGGACCAATATTATTCTACTAAACTTTGATTTACACACCAGATAATAGATCAACAATATCTGGAATATATCCAGGACATCCTTCAATTTCAATCATAATTTACAAATATGCCCAAACTTCAAAACTTAACAAATAGATTTATATCACCCATAAAGCCTCATATTCACCTTGGCCATAGTTCATAATATTCACCTTAACCTCATTTATACCCGTACCTATTCAATCCGCCAGAAACATATTTATACCCAAACATTCCCTACTATGAGAACATTAGGCGTCACTCTCCCCTCCCTCCAACTGCATATTACCGCTGTTCAACCCGTTATAAAGTCGAATGTGTTTTCCTACCTATATACAATAACATGTAAATATAGCGTTTCCTTTCGCCGTGTACTTGTTGTTGTTCATATCGCTCTGATTTTCATAAAATATTGTGTACGAACAAACAACAAAATTATGCAAAACACGGGCGAATTTGCGGGCGTTTCATGCACAGTAAAACATAGTGTCAAGAAATATGTCTTCATCATACACATAGTTTATATTATGTTAGTCATTTTTTCTTATCATTTTATAAAACATATCATGTTGTGTTCATTATCCTTTCATAAGCACAAAACAAAGCGCTGTGAAGTACTGTTAACTATGTTATCTAAACGTCCTTACAGATTCACTAGACTAAAACTTATAGCAGGTACAATAACTGAACTTGAATTATGGTGTATAACATAATGTAAGCAATAAGCGTCCAATTAAGCCCAGAGTAGCCTTAAAAACGTAATTTTGCTAATTTGAATAGAGAATAAACAAAAATTTCGCCTTTCGAAGCTATAATAAAACTTCGGGCGAAATTGAAAACTGGCTAACTTGTCGCGCTCTTCCTTGCTCAACTATCATGTTAGACCAACAATTTACAAAAAATAAGTTTTAATTTTTTGGTTTAAAAACCAAATTATATAATTTTAGGCAAAAATTACTAAAATTCCCAAAAGTTGCAACAATAACTTTTAACAATAGTAAAGTTAATAGTACAATAATATGTTTTAAACCAATTTAAGCCTCAGAATTAGTAATATTCTTATAAAAACTGTAAATTTAATTAAAACGTCGCCTTCTCTAATTCTATTAGCTAAATTGTTCCTACTGACAATTATAAACCTTAACTTTGTTTATGTTTTTCAACGTTCCATATTCTTGTTGACGTTCTTAAAACCCTTCTACTTACAACTGTATATAGTTGCAACTGCATGAAGTTCCTTATAAAGTTACACGTATTTTAAAAATTTTTTGTTTACTGAAAGTTATAGTACCTCCGTTCAGATATTTTTTCCAGTTCAAAAGTACTGATTATTTAGCGTCTCTAGAGTAATTTGGCCATTGAACCATAAATCCTGTCAACTTGTTTGGGGTCACTCATGTTATTTTAAAGACGTTCCCCTAGGACAAACACTGAATGGCTACTATAACATACGCTTTGGAGACCATTTCATGCTGTTTGTGGCATTACCATACTTGAATTTGATTGGCAACCTGAGTTTTCCTTACTATCCCCAAGTAGCAAAATCATTAAAAGAACTTACATCGTCCTCAGAAGTGCCACAGAAGGTGCAACTTTTGCATTCGATACATTGCCAGCCGTACTTCTTCGTAGTGACCAACATGTTCGGGGTGAAGTTAACACAAGATGGATGAGCTGAAACGACATAAATGATTACTTCGGGGACGCGAGTGACCCTCCCGTGACCACGCTTGCCAAGCTCCGATACATCCATGAATAGCTTGGGTATCGTTTCGTTTGGCGCAAGATTAATCGCCCGCTGGCAATAACTTTTCTTACAGAATGTAGCTTTGAATAAAAAAACTTATCAACTTTTTGTACTTTAAATATATTACAAATTCATATCACAGTAGAGTAAAAATCCCAATAATACTCATTCTCTCCTACTATAATGTCATAACTAGTATCATACCTTCTAAAATAATTTCAAAATTTATATTCCAACCAAACTTGGTACAAATCTACCTCAATATAATCTCTGACATCACCACAACTCACCCGAACGTCCACAATCATGACAACTGACCAACTCCTCAGGGACGTTGGACTTCTTGTTCAACTCTCGCGTTCCCAAACACAGATCACACGAATTCGAAACTCCTTCCGTGTTGTTGAGCACTGAAAGTGACACAGTTACAATTGGAAACAGTTTCAAGATTTCGAAAGTGAGGAACCCGGAAGTGAGCCCTCAGGAAACATCGTAAAAGACAATGCTTCAAAAACACAAATTTCATGTCCGCGGGGTAAAAAACGAAGCCGAACAAAAATTGACCTATTTATAAGCTCCAGCGTGGTCGAGTTTTTGGCTCAGCCTTCAGAATCCAGTCCAGTTCACCAGTCAAATTCAATTTGAGTAAAACAAAAATGTCCTGCTTATAAAGAGGCTAATGTTTATCCGTCTTCGCTTTTAAATCAAACACAAAATAGAGTGGTAAGAGACAACAAGATCAACATCAAGAAGTAAGAAGAAACTTTAATTCCAAAGCATAAATATTACTTTACCCCTATTTTACTAATAAAAAACATAAAAGCTTCTGTTTTTAGCAGTTTGACTATCAAGTGCCGCTTTTTAATACACCAAATTTGAAAAACTTATTATTTAGTAACCGCTTACATTAACCAAGCAATTAAAAGCTTTTAGCAATTAAAATGTAAATCTTAAGTACCATGTATGAAGTGAACTTATACTTAAATTATCTTGATACAACAAAAACTGACCCAATTTAGCAAAAAATTTAAAAAAAACTTCTTAGAGTAACCATAATGTGTTCTTGAATCAACCATGCATTCGTAAGTTAAAGTGTTGCGGCAGTGTAACATAGCTGTGAACTAGTTAATACCCGATACTAAAAAAAAACTAAAGGCACCCTTTAAATAACAAGTCCTAAAAATTAAAAATCGCCTAACTACCCAACAAAGTAAAACACCTACAAATAAGTTTAAAATCCTAATTTTACATATAATACTGAAGCGTTAAACGCACAAAAATACTGGTTTAGAAGCCGAAATGCAAGAAAAAAGCTTGACATAATGACACCGCATGAAGGTACCTCTAAAATATACTTTTAGACATAAAAATATATAATTTTAAATGCCAAAATCATATGTTTAGGTAAAAAAAACGTTCAAAATACCCCAAGATTAATCTAACTAATGTGCTTTTGTTTTTACATCTCATAAACCCCAAAACCATAAATTTTCATAAAAATTTTAACTTTATAACCTAATTTTACTGAATTAACCTTTAACGACCTCCCCGTTTTGTGCGGCGTCACCCTGCCCATTGGAGACAGATTCTGGAGCTTGGAAAGTAGAGACTAAAGACGAACTACTCGGACTTTTTGGCATTTCGGCCATCAGTTGTTCATCCTTGTGCACGTGCAGACGATGGTAAGTTAGGCCGGGACGAGATTTGTATCGAGCTCCACAATCTACAAAAACATTGATTTTAGTACAACATATTAAGTACATTATCAAACAGTAATTTTTTTTTTTACTTTATTAACACAAAAAAACAATTTAAAGAGAAACTTCGTTATATTACTTTGTATATTATAGTAGATAAACCATCATTATTAAGTAAAAACATATTATTAGAAATGTTATATAAAAACAAAATAAAAAGTAAAAATCACCGAGCTTTAACTGTGTATATCATTAAACCAGTGTCAAAACATACGTTGACAGGCGAACGGTCGAACTTCAGCATTGCTGACATCTTCAGGCACAGGTCGAGGCCTAGCTGCACTTCCACCACCGCCGCCGCCTCGACCTTCGCCACCTCCCGCATTACTCCGCCGGTTATTCGGCCTAGCTGTCGGTGTCTGACCTGACGCAGCTTTACGTTTCCCTCCTCTTCTTCGGCTTGATCCCCAATCATCTTCATCGGATGGATCATTATCATTTTCTTCAAAATCGTAGTCAAACTGGTCTAATTCAAACGTTTCCTGAAAATATTCTTGGTTTACACTGTTAAAGACAGAAATTTGTAATAATAAATACGTATTCAAACTTACAAAAGCTGGCTTAGCCGATCCATTAACTGTGCTGCTTCTTAATACTGTTGTCGATTGTTCTGAGTTCTCGTTGCTTCCAATTCCGTTAGGATTCAGAATCTGGTCCACGGTGTCTCTGAGAGCCGGGTTTGAGGTTAGAAAGTACTTGTGTTCACAAGCTTCTGATGAGATCTGCTTGCTTCGGCGATAACGGACAGCCGGATATGTGCAAAACTAAAAAGAAAGCCTTGATTCATTCTAATAAACCTTAATGTATTATGCGTACCCTCAGTGTTCGCAAAAATAACGGTTGAATATATTGATGAAAGTATTACCTAAAATACAAACAGCAAAAAAACTCTTACCTGGGTCGGATTTGATGGTTTACACCGTTCTTCTTTTCTTCTGTACAAAGCAGTAGTTGGTCGCTGCATAACATTAGTATTGTTGTCGTATACACCTCTGTTCCCTTTCAGTCTCGGCACAACAGCTCGACTGTTCCATTTCTGGCAATTTTTCATTGCTTCCATATAGGCAAAGTCCCCAACCATTTTACAAAAAGGTAGTTAAAAGATAGTCACAAAATATAATTTAAATTAATGTCCATACATATAAAGCCGAAGAAGTTCTAACCAAAACTCGGTGAATCGATAGAAAGCTAGAAACGACAATACCGGAGAGGGAGAGTTGACCAGGAAATTGTTTTGGTCAAGTCGTGCAACAAAGTTCGCGCTTTATGCGAATTCAAAAAAAGTAACGAAAAAAATTTTCGGATCAAAGTTTTGTTATTATTTTTTAAAATTTTAATGTATTTTAGTAACTATTTCATAATAAAGCATACAACGTAATGATTATCCTTACAGATGTCAGAAAACAAAGAAGACTGGTTTGCTAACGTGGAGAACATCCGTCCTGTTCGAGGAGGGCGATCAGCCCAAACCTTGGCTACATTAGGCAGAGGATCAGCTAAGCTTTCACACTTAGAAGTCGAGAACAAATTCAGAGAAGAAATTCGAACGGCTCGGAAAGCAGAAGATCCTTTGGCCGTCATGATCAACTTCCTGAAATGGTTTCAAGAACAATTTCCAAGTGGAAAGGCTTCGTTGTTGTATCCCATGTTGTACAAGGCCTGTATTACATTTGGAAATGACAAAAGGTTTCAAATGGACGAAAGAATGTTGAAGTTGTGGACCGAATTGGCCGAAAACTTTCCAGAACGAGGCTTGGCCGTGATGCAGTTTGCTTACACTAGAGGTTCTTTGCGACACATGGCAAAGTTTTACATAAGATGGAGTGACATGTATGATACAATGAGTAAGTTTATATATATTTTTGCGTTTTATGATTTTAGCTTACCTGTAATAGAAGGTTTGCTTTTTTACAGGAATAGTGAAATCTGTTTGTTAAATGGGTATTAAGTTATGACTACAACTGTCGATGTCGCTTTTATATTATAGAAAACTCCAAAAAAGCAAGAGAGATCCTTCAACTTGGAATAAGCAATTGTGCTGTACCAATCGATCTTCTCCATGAAGCAAGAGATCGTTTGGAGATGAGATTGGTACGAGATTGTGTGCTGGCCAAAAATTTGGATGACTCGGATTACGAAGAAATGGACATGGATCACTCAGAAGACCCTGATTTTGATTATTCAGCGTACACTCAACCAAGGCGACCAATAGCCCGACTTCAAGGACTTGGAGACACCGGAGAAGCTCCAATGATACGAAAAGCTTTGAGTACACCACTGGGACCAATCAGAGGACTTCCACAGATGACTCCTCAGCCGTCTTTTGAGATTCTGGCTGATACTCCGGTTCAACAAACACCAAGACAAACCACTGGCAGTAAGAAGGCCAAACGATTGGCTGATGAGTTTGCGGAGGATCCAGATTATATGGTGAGTTACATATTTTTTTGAAATAATGTTATTTAGCTTACTGTACAGGTTGATTATAATGTTTTTCCTTTCAGTCGCTATTCGGGTTCTTCGATCACCGTCCAAAGGCGAATCTTCACCTTCATACAGACGAAAACAATCCAAGGCCTAGTAATTGGAAGGAATGCGGAGTCAAAGAGATCATTGAAACCGCAATACCAGAAGCGGAGTTTGAGATCTACAGTGATGAACCAGAAACTCAGCCAAAAGCTGCACCAATTGTACCAAAAACTCCCAGAACAGGACCAGTTAAGGCCAAGATGAAGCTGAGGAAAGACTTTGCATTGGAGATGAGTATAGAAGAAGGCTACGCGATGTTGATAGAGAACAACAAGGTAAAGATGTTCGGAGATTGTGCTCCATTTAGTGTCCATGAAGATGGAGAAGCATAATAGTGATTGTGTCGTAGTCGTAACTATTAACCTTAATCTTTTAAAGTCACAAATTTTAATCTGTAAATCCAACATAGTTTATAGAATTGTTCCTAATGTAATATACAGCATGGTAAACCTTAATTTGCATAAATTTTCCGACCAAACGTGTCTATTCATATATTATCGTATGTTATATGATATCTCTGACAGTAGCGCCTGCTAATGATAATTACATTTATTTAAATTAACCATAAAATAATTAGTTTACACATTACCCGTTCAAACATACTTGTATTTAAATTTTCTAATTTTTTGTGAAATATTGGGAGTTTTGGAAACTTAAATGTGTACAAGAGACTTAGAAAAAACGTGTTACAATGTACATTAGACCCCACAAGATCTAAAATATTCAATCGTCCAAGGCCCACTCATTCTCGGCTATGAAGGTGTCTAGCACCTCTTTCATGGCCAAGTTGGGAATTAGTTGTTCGACGGTAAGAGGAACCCTGGTAATCGGATCAAAGTGTCCTACCCGATGTAAATGCTCTTTGATATCAGATCGATCGTATGTTATGCCGCTTGGAGTGATCACGGGATCTCGTAACAGTTCGAACGAGATCTTTCCACACAAATAATCCGGAATTTCGCGTCTTCTTCGTCGATCATCAAGCTGAAAAGATAGGTTTACTAACGAATCCTTGGGAGTTTTGTAGAATTACAGTCCCTTTGTTTGAACTGTTTAATTTAATTCAATTATTCATAGTTGTTATAAGAAGTATCATACCTGTGCAAACATGGAATTCAAGTCTTGTTTCTTCTCGTTTCCCTCGGCTTTGATCTTTTCTGCTTCCGAGTCTGGCTTCTGAAGAAAACCAATATTATTACACAAAACTTAAAAAACGTAATAAGTCAGCAACACAAAGAAGTACTTGTCAAACATACTTCAGCAATTGTCTTCGCAATATCATCATCGATAAGTTTGTTCAAATAACTTTGTAGTTCAATTTCTTGTACAATCCGCTTCTCTTCCTTGATTCTAAACTTTTCTCTTCGAGCTTGACGCAGAAGAGCTGTGATCTCATCTCCAAATCCCATTTTCTGAGCCGTAGCTCCTTCATGAGCTCGGGTCAAGAGCATTACAGCTTCGTCGAGCTGGTTATTGTGGAGACAAATCTTGCCAAGAAAGTAGTTTGCCTAGAAAAGAAAACTTTAATGATTCTTTAAAAAACGGTCTTAAAACAGTTTGATAATAGTTCAGTTTTCTTTAGCGTCACCTTGATTACGTGCTTCAACAGCTTTGAAACATCTAAACATTAAAAACAAGACATAAAGGAAAATACCTTAATATTTCGTCCATCCAACTCCAAAGCTCTTCGACAATCTTCAGAAGCCAGATTCCATTTCTTGAGATTCACAAAACACAAAGCTCGATTTGTGAAGAAAGAGGGTTCTGAATTGTTCTTCAAAATAGCTTTTCCATAAGCTTCTATCGCTTCTTCAAACTTTTGTTGTTGAAAGTATCGATTGCCGTCTTCTTTATGTTCTAGAGCAGATGCCATTTATCTAAATTCACACTTTTAACTACCAAAAAGCAAGTTAACATTATAAACGCTATTTCATACGTTAAAAAATGTACATACATAAAAAATGCCACAAAATAAACGTAAAATTATATTATCAAATAGTATTATTATGACCTAATCAAGAGTTGAGTAAGACGAGACAACCAACGACATAGCATGCCGTCTAAACGAGTTTTTATCTACTGCTTTAGCAAAAAACATGTGTTAACAGAAGATCTTCGATGAAAAAAAAAACAATGGAAAATAAGTGCATTATGCCATTTAAAGACGTTTCGTGACGGGACCTAGCTCTGCCAACAAGTGCTATTTTGAATTGGTCTTGGAACAAGTATAGGTATTATTAAAGTTTTTAGATTGTAAGTCTTAAAATTTTGGCGAAAAACGAAATGCTTTTGTTAGTTTAGTTTCGTCATATCACAGTGCATAAAGCTTTGGGATTGCACTTTGTATAATAGTACAAAGTCAAATATATCTTTTGTGTTTTCATGTATTTTATAAGTAAGAAAAATAGTCAAACAAATGATTCTTAATTTGGCTATGAAAGAGGTACTAGACAAATTCATGGCTGAAAATGAGTGGGCTTCAGTCAATTTGAAGCTTGTGCTTACAATATTAAACTGTTTGGGCGATATATAATATTACCTAAAGATATTTAAATAAAATGTTGTTACAGCACTGTTCATTGATTCACACGTCAGTTTTGTTTATTTGTTGTCTTGTTTACTCGGAAAAGTAAAGACAATTTTATTTGGCTAATTACTGGACTTGTTCTGGTCTTTACGATAAACTTCGTAGTAAGGAACTTGATGTAGCCTTATTCGTCACTTTTGAAAAAATGATTGAAATGACTGAAATAAAAGATTTTGTAATTGACGTCAGGTTATAGATTTGATTGTTTTAAATATATACAGTGTTTATGTGAGTTACAAACAAAATGCTCTAGCTGTCACAAAAGTCTGGCGCTTTTGAACGTACAAAACGTTTCAATTTACAAGGAAAGTACACTACCTGCCCCGCTCAGAATCAGCTCAAAATTTTTATATGGATTCCTTGTACCACCAATAGTACTCATAAAAAATTTTAGCTCGCGCTTTTGACATTTAACTTTAAATTATTTGGGTTTCCCGCCAAGTTGGCAAATTTGGCATTGTGTTTCAAGCACTTTTTTCAGCTTTCCAGACAAGATAGGCTAACAAGTTTAAAAATGTAGGTTCACTTAAAGGTTTTTTACTAGTATATCAAAGAAAAATTATTAAAAGTCAAAAAATGACAAAGTTACAAGCTTGAAACACAATGCCAAGTTGGCGGGAAATTCAAAATGTCATTTTTTAGTCTCGATTTTCTCGAGATTTCCTGGAAAGCGCGATTTAGTACTTTGCTGAAGATCTTATATTTACATGATCTTTCTTTATAAAAAGTTTGAAGTCAATCAGCGCGGGGCAGGTCGGGCACTTTCCTTGTTAGTGACAAAACGTTTGTAATGCTATAACATTTCATCAAAGCTATGTTAATAATAAGTATTACTCTACTACACAAAAAACAATTGTCGTCACGTTGCTACAGTGTTTCTCACATGACGTGACTCAAGTTTCCGGATATCGAAAACCTGTCTTTCATGTATAATACGATCCGTCGCTCTCGAAAGCAATAACTCTGGATGCACACGTGGTGTTGGGTTCTGTTTGTCACCTTGAGCGTCGCTCACGAGGATAAGGTAATAGTTGGCACGTTTTTGTTTACGGAAGGGCTTTAAAGGTTTTTTGCTTTTTGAAAAATTGTTTTTGGCTTAAAAGTTTGGCCTGATAGTGTTCTTTATATTCTACAGTAATATTTTCAAACTGTTCTTTAAATTTAAAGTTAAAAAATGTTTTTTGGTTGTAGAGATTGAAGGAATCGGCCCAACTTTTATTCGAATTCCATAAATGGTGGAAGAAAGCGGCCGAGCAGATTCGAGCGACTGTCAACGAAACTGGCAGAAAGATAGGTGAGGCACAAAGATTACCTTAGGGTTTTAAGCAATAATCCTAAAAGATATTTATAATAGGCTCAAAATGAGATTTGACATACATTAATGTATCTGATACATTCATATACATATTTTTTGAGCAGAAAATAAACAAAGTAAAATACAAAAAAAGCAAACTTTGTAAAATTTCGCCTACTTTTTATAACTATACTTTAAAATTTTAATTAACCTTTTTCTTCCTACTTTTTTACAAACTTTTAGACCCATCCTTACCTAAAAGCGTTTTAAAGGCATTCAAAGAGTTTGGTCAACTCATTTGTAGTTTTAAATGACACACATGTTTTTGTTTAAAGGAACACTGAACATTAATTTGACTGCCATTTTTTTCGTTTTCTTTCAACTGATTTTTTTGATTTTTGAAACTTGAGCAAATTGCTAATAAATCCTAAGGCCAAATGCTCTTCTTTCCAAGTGATCACAAAATCAACATAATTGTAACGGAATAAATGGCTGTCAAAATTTATGTTTACCGTGGTTTTAAGGGTCTTTGCAATGCCATATACTATCACATTGCAGACGTTCTTGTTCGAGAAACTTCTGAGCTCATAAAGTCTGAGGTAAAGTCTTTCAAGATGGATACTCAACAGAATTCTACAGTATTCCCACTAGCACAGTTTGGCAAAACTGAAATTTTGAAAAATTATACAGAGTTTGAAGATGAAGATTCTGTATTTGAAATCGCTGAAAATAGCATTTTTTGATATTACAACGGTCTGAAAATACGTAGAATATGTACTTATACGTATTTTTATACTTTTTACTTTTGTAAGTAGATTTTGTAATCCAAAGCAGCACCATTACCTCACTTTTATAGTATGAGTACCTCAAATTGTTTTTGTCTTTCAATGATTTTTAAAATGATATAAATAATGTTTATTGATTACCTCGGAATGATACGTTTAATAAGGAGGCGACAGAGATAAAGCGAAAGGATTTACAATTACTGTTTGTATATTTTAATTAAGATAAGAAGTTGATAGGACATTGATTTTAAGCTTATAGAGACATCAGATTTCGGGTGTTATAAGGTGCATCGGTATTGTTAAGTTTGAAAATGATCTTTAAAGGTTTATACTTAAAAAATCAAAACTTCTAGTTAAAAGCCTTAAGGTTTGAGTCCAAAAAAGTAAATTTTAAATTTTGGACCTTAAGTTTTAACTTTAAATATTCAAAGCGTGAGTTCAAACAGTTTGAAAACAAGAAAATTACAAAATCGTAGACAATTGGACACAAACAAACAGACTGTTCCACTTTACATGATGACGCAGCCCTTCTCCTTCTTCAAGTCGCTCACGTATCTCAGTTTACGTAAGCGACCGTGACTTTTGTATTGTTGTAGGAAGGATAACTGTCGCTCGTTCAGAGCACCACGACGTTGGCTGAAATCAGATGTTTACTCAAGAACCTCGTGTTTGTTTGAGAAAGAGGTCAGCAGGCTCGTGAACTTTCTGGAAGCTCAGCTTTGTTTTTCCGAGACCAAAAGTTTGGTCTTGGGCTTAGACCTGAGGGGATCAACACTTTTGAACTCTCAGGTTTTGGTGTTTTAAAATTTTAAAAGATCTACGAGTAATTTTTAAGTTAAAAGTAAAATACGGCTTCTTAAGTGACTAACCAAAAACCGACCTTCTGATCAAGAAAACAGCATCGTCACACTTCATTCCAGCCTCCAGAAGAGCGATTCCGACCAAAACCGGCGCTCGTCCCAGGCCGGCTACACAATGCACGGCGATGCATTCTTCTCCAGCGTTCCCAGAAAACTTTTCCAAACACAGATTCAGCCATTTGTCGATGACTGTAGCTGGCGGAGGCTGACCATCCACAAACTCCCAATCTTGAACTGAGACGCCTTTAGCCGTGATTGGGGCGGTGTTGTAGGTTGGCTCACAGACCCGGATCAGGACGGTGGCACGGTGTCTTACAAGGTCCTGAAGGTATGAATATGTTATTCAAAGTTTAAAGTCTTTTTATAAAGCTTTAAAAAATTTAACTATAATACTCTATAGCTTTTGATAAGGCTGAAAGTATCACTTAAAATTGTTTTTTGATATTTAGTTGTTGACATGTACTATAATATTAAAAAACAGTGTTTTTGTATGTTTTTTGTTACATGATGTATTAGAGCTAATACGAGAAAAATAATTTGTTTTTCTTGTTCATGCAAGTACTTGAGACTAAAGGATTATATATGTTGATAAATAATTAATACTTTGATTAGCTTACAAAAGCTCTTAACAAATTTTAACGTGGTAATCAAAGTTATTAGTCCTAATGAACAATAAGTATTGTTCTCTTAAAATATTGTTTGAGTATTGTTACCTAGCCAATACCTTATAGAACAAAAAACCAAAATAAAAAAGTTTTTTGCTTTATATTAACCCAATCAAAGTAACAATGTCATCATAAAAACTGTAAAAGTAATCACTTACATTAATGTATTGTTCCACATTAATGTCCGTAGGGCGATCAGTGATTAAGAATCTCATTTTCCCAAATCGTATTTCACTGTGGGCTGGTCGGAAGTAGTTGGTCAGCTGGGAGCCAGCCTTGTGAACCGACTTCTTTGGCGATTCTGCCATCGTATCTACATCAATACTGTAGGCACGTTGGGGAACGGCAAACGAGACCGAGTTCTTTGGCGACATCTTTGAACTCTTCTATGGTCTTTAAGGTTGTAGTGGCAGTTAGTATCTACTTTGGTAGGTTTTACTGTATTGGGTAGTAAGGTCGGTGGAATTTACTATACTTAAGTTTCAAATATACGGTAGTCGTTGGGAATACAAAAAATACAGTAGTTCAAGTACAAAAATAGAAGTTGGTAGACTATAGTTACAGTATCCAAGAATACAGTAGTCTAAGTTAAAATTACAGTATCAAAACTGTTTCTGAAGCCAAACGACAAGACCGTGATCACGGTGTTCACGGCTTCAACCGACGTCGTTCAGTGAGTGTGTTGAGCGTGGCAGATCTCTCCACTGGACAGGTGAGAGCTGCTGAAACGAAAGCAAAACATTGATTACGATCAGGGCGCGACTCACCTGGCAACTGGTAAACGCTGTGCAGTTACGACCATTACACGGAATACTGACGTGTGAGATTATTTTGGCGACGAGAGTCTGAACCTGCAAGTGTCAATGTTGTTGTAGCATGGGTTTGCAAAATAGGTCAATAGATGGCGTTTACGAACTCGTATGAAGATGTTATAGTAATATATACAAGGTTATACAACTAGCAGTAAAAATATTATCATACAGTTCCAAAACACAGTAAAATATACTATAGTAAATACAAGTATACAATAAAATACACGTTATATTAGACTAAATTAAGCAGCACAATATCAGCATGAACAATATGTTAGTACCACTGTCATTCAAGTACGTACACTGTTACACCAACAGCATTAAGAAAGGCACTTTAATAAATTAAGGGATCAGCTCCTCCGGGTCAACCGTTTGTTTTGCTCGGAATAACGGAAAACATTCACGATAAGAGCACGCCATTTCAAAATCCCGAGACAAACAACAAGGAGAAGAACAAGGTGGGGAACGCCCGGAAACGCCTCCGGTGTTTTCTCTCGGTTTGCACGAGAGGAAACGTGCTTATTATGAAGACATTATCTCGGGTTCAAATCTTCTGACAGCCGACTAAACATCATTGTAAGCAAACCATCACGGCGGGGTAAATAACAATAAATATAGAGTTTGAAAGATCGAGTAGTAGTGTACGGTTAGGTAATAGTAAGAGTTGAAGAGTTTATAAGAAATACAAGACGGATCATAGTCTTTATTAAAACATAGACGAACAAGCCCTGTAGGATAAGGTGAAAGAAGACGTGGATAAAGAGAAAAGTAAAGCCTTAGAAGCCAACAGTTACAATAAATAATAGTAAATAGTAAAGTAATTAATGAAAAAAAAACACTAACTCAAAAATATTAAAAGATATTCCCAAACATACCCCTATCCTCTAGACTACATTATACATAATACTAGTCACAGCCCTAAAACTTCAAATAAACAGAGATATTAGAGATGTTCTTTGTCTGAATATGAGACCTTATGTACACAGCAGACTAATATTATTGTAAATAATCACGGGTTTTAGTAACACAACTATAATACCTTTATTTAATAAGATTACCCTAATACCATAGTATACTTAATAAGATATCCGTTATACTTACGATAGTATGCTTAACAAAAATTAACATCCGATTTAAGATCGTTCACAAAATTAAAAAATTTTTGCCCTCATCCGTCCCCTTTTCTAAGTTTTTTCAAAAAATTATCTAAAACATAAAACACCACTCTCCGTGTATACAATTCCCAAATACATAGTAATACCCTACAGTCCTAAATAACTTTGAATTCAAAAGAATGTAAGCTAATTGTACAAAGTAAGTGAAAACCCCCCTCGTGCGTCAACATATGCATCTAATACCGGGAATAATAATCTGCGGCCGTCATGCATGTATAATACCAAACAAACAGAATATGAAAAGGGTATGGCATTTCAGAGAGTAATTACTCTTAACAAACACGAGTTCCATATTGAATAAAGCAGATTCAAAGTGCCAACGCCTTAGGGGTTTTTGGCCAAAAAAGCGTTTCGAAGGCTTTTATGGTCGGTTTTGAAAGAAGTGCCATTACAACACGTATATGACCTTTTACAATGGGTAACATAACATAAACAATACAGGCAGTGTTTAGCTAGAAATGTGGCCCAGAATGTTTGTCTCATAAGCACATTAGGAACGTTGAGCACCTCAAAGATTCACGTTTCAAAATAACCGAAATGGAGACGAAGCGGCCATTAGAAATGGCTTTTGACTGCTTTTTCGAAGACGACAGAGAACGTTGGGACACAAGAGAACGGCCAGAGAAGAAGCCTGGCCACACTTTCAGAAGGGCCTGGGACCGAGAGACACTAAACTAGCTGGAAAAAAGAATTTATTCAAAAGCGGCCGAGAGATATAATGCGACAGGTATTGTGTGAGAGAGGTGGAAGACCTGAAGCTAGGTAAGAAGTTGATAGAAAGCAAGAGTAATAAACAACCAGCCAAAAAAGCTGAAGGTAGAGTAAGAAAGGCAGATTAAAAAGCGGCCGAACGAAGAACAAGGTTATCAAGTAGAAGACTCTAGAATAAAAGGCCATAAAATAAAAAAAGAGTTGGAGAGGGCGGGGTCTGGCAATTTGTCAGCTCGTTGTTAGGCAGGTAAGTCAATTTGAAAAACCACCTTACCTCAGGGCTTCACGCCTCCTTCAAGGGACACTTAACTGAGCCTAATGAGCTTGAAGTTCAACTTTTTTCAACAAAATGTGGAGGCGATCTACTGTAATATAATGAAACACATAAAACATGTATAGAAAAGACATAACTCCATGTAATTTGGAATAACACTAATGAAGCTTTGACATTGAAATAAATGTAAAAGAAGAGTTAACCACGTTTTTGATGGCAACGTCATTGAGTTCAGCTATCTTATAGTAGGCATACTGTAGGAGTTTATGTTTTATCAATGCCAACGGCCTAATTAGAGTACTTAACTTTGGCTTTAAAACACAGTTCATACTGAACAGGGTTAAACAAAATATTATGTCACAGAGAATACAGCGTTGTCTTTACAACAATATACATCGTACGTACACAGTAACAAATGGAATAACACAATAACTACTCTAATTTTTTAAAACAAATGTGTTAACTCTACTCACCATGTTAATTTTAAATATAAATTTAATACAATTACTATATTAACATTTTAATGTAGTCAAGCTCAACATATGTCACATTAATATGTACGTACCTAATAAAAAAAGTTAAGAAAGGCAATTACTTCGACTCGTCTTACATTCACTGTCACATGATATTAACATATGACAACAACAAAGCAATACAATATAATTTTCAGACCTTGTTTACAGTAACAAGGAAAGTACAAACTACTGACACTTCCTGATTGAAGTAGTTCTACAAGAAAACATCAGCTTCAACAGGGTTTTCAAAAGACAGTAATATGATTTTTAAATTTTATCATTTTGAAATCTATTCAGGTACTAATTTCATAAAACATTTTTTAAATTTAAATTAGAAATATTATTAAACTTGCACTATTAAATGAAAACTTTAAATTAAAGTTGAAATACACGCAAACTTGAATGCTTTGTTGACTTTAACATTGCAAAATAGTATTCATGTTGCGTGTGACATTTTAAATTTCAAAAATTTTTGCAAAAAATACGTTTTAATTTAATGAATGTGACAAAAGCAATCATAAACTACAAACTTCAAAGTAAAAAATAAAAAAATAAAATCTATTATATAATAATACTTAATTTTTATATCTAAAAATTTCGTATCTTTCAAAACTTTCAATCCAAAAATTTAAAAATTTGAATTCAACCAATTTCCACAATTTGTGACATTATTAAACTCGCACTATGCCGGATTGGTCGGCCATGAGACCGACGGCGGATGCGATCGTCTTCACCTTGCTCTACTTTGTGTTTGTCATTTCAGTGATAGTGAATTGTGTTAAGAAAAGGACCATTGTCTCGGAAAAATACTATTCGCTTTCAGAGTAGGTTATCATATTTTTGTAAAATTTTTAAATTTAACTTTAAAATTAAAATTTTTGAATTTTCATATTATCCTTTATGACGTTTGGCTTATAGACGACTGTTTCTGATGTCACCGTACAAAAAATTATTAAAATTATTTTGTCGCTATCTTATCTGATCTCTCTTTACAAAAATCATCAGCGACACGTTCCTGACTTTTGGCGAAAACTTGTTGATCTTTCGGCCAAACGTTATCTATCAGGAGTGAAATCACTTAACAACCTGACTTATGCTTTTTTTAGTGTAATACTGTTCTTATGTAAACCATTTTCCTAATATTATTACATTCATGCTCGTATTGTTTCCTAAACATTCTTTTACCACAATGCCAACTTCAGAAAACCAACACAAACAGAAACGATCGTGGATGAATCCAAGACTCCAGAAACCAGTGACCGTACCACCTCTGCCACTTCTGGCTCCACAAATGCCGACCCAACTACAAGCTCAGCCCAAGAGAAAGAAGATAAAGTGGTCGAAGATCATACTGGCGATACCTACAAGGAGATACGACCAAAAGCAAGCGCCTCAAAATACCCAAATAAGGTACAGCACATTGATCGTACAGACATGGTAGCGTTGGCATCGCTGAGCGAAGAGGAACAGAAGATTTTGCTGAGAGCAATGTCCAGAGGTGGGGTCAAGGGTGGAGTTGAGAACGGATCAAAGGAAGCGGTCGTCAACAAGGTCTACACGGTCGGCACTACTGACGAGATCACGTTACAGGAAAGAGAGTTACCAGAATCTGTGGGTAAGTCAAACAAGCTACAATTAAGGCTGCTACACGAATTATAAAAGTTTCTTATATTTTGACACTTCGTTCTTCTTTCCAATAAAAGTTGACACTTCGTCTTCTTTGAGAAATCAGACGAACTTGTCAAAAATAAATCAGAATTCGCAATGTAGTACAATATTTTTTTAGCAACATCTTATTTAAAATACCATATTATTGCTGAAAGGGTTTAAACTATAGGTATGAATAAATTTTAGGCGATCTAAACTTGGATAATGTCGTACCATTGGACAATTTACTGATTCGTATGGTCCAAAATGGCCCTCGTCAATTCAAATTCGATTATCAGGAGCTCAAGGAATTGCTAGAGAAAGGAACTGAAGTCTTTTCTGCTGAATGTTCTCTACTTGATGTAAGTTTAGGTGTTTTCTTATGTTTGAACGTTTTTTTTGTTTTTATTGTTGATTTACCTGATTTGGATTCTTCTGAACGTAACTTAATATATTTTTGTAAACTATTAGTAGATAACATTAGATTTGGTTGTTTTATTTTTTTTGGTCAAGTTTAAGGCTGAAAGTACATGTGTACCTTGATATACTTTAAGGTAAACGTGCCATGTGTAATTTACGGAGATATTCATGGCCAATATAGTGATCTGCATCGTTGGTTTAACCTGAATGGATGGCCCAATAGGACAAGAACAGTGTTTTTGGGAGATTTTGTGGACAGAGGTTCTCATGGCATCGAGGTTGTGGCTATGTTAACCTTGTTGAAACTACATTTTCCGGAGAATATCTTTGTTGTTCGAGGTAATCATGAAGAAGAATCTCTCAACAAAGCCTACTCGTTTTATGAAGAAGTTGTGGCAAGGTTTACAGAGGAAGAATGTAGGTTTTAGTTGATTAATATTGGCATTGGACGTATGTTTTGATATTTTTTTGAATTAAAAAGGATATTACTTTATGAGTTTTGGTTAGGTTTGATTACAGAAAGCAGAAAGATAACACAACTTATCTAAAACACCTTATTTTAGCCAAGCCGAAAGGTCAGCAGATGTACAGCGCCTTCAAAAAGTTGTTCATGCACCTTCCATTGGCAGTTTTGGTTGGGAAGCGGATTCTGGGAATGCACGGTGGAATCTCCCCTAAAATGAGGTGTCTACAAGATATTAGGAATATAAAACGACCGATCGACGACTTTGAGGTAGGATCTTTGGAATGTGATCTTGTGTGGTCTGACCCGGATACAGGTCACGATGGCCAAGGTTTCAGGCCTAATCTGGAGAGAGAACCTCAGAATGGCATTGGGCAGTTGTTTGGCGAGGAGTGTGTGAAAGAGGCGTGCGACAGGTTGGGAATCGACCTCATGATCAGGGGACACCAGGTAGGATTTTTAGCTTGAATTATGAAACTTTTGGTTTGTGGTATGAACCTTCAAGTAAAGGTTAAAAAGTTTAAAACAATTATTTTAGGCACCTTTGTATGGATACGCATTCTTTGCCGGAGGCAAAATGATGACATTGTTCTCAGCGCCAGGCTACAAAGGTTCGACTGAGAATGACATTAACATGGGAGCTTGTGTGGAAGTAAACACCGATCTTCAGTTGACAATCAAGCAGGTATGCAGCTTTTTCAATTTTTTTGTTTTAAATATTGACTTAACTGTTGAGAAAAAAAATCTTTTTTAGTTTTTCTATTATAAGTTAAAAGAAATGTTATTGTTGAAGGTATACTTTAAGGTCTATTTTATTATTATTGTTTAAGTATAATACGTGTGATTTTCAGCTAAAAGTCAGTCAGAAGTTCCGTAAAAACAGAATCGCAGACATGGACAAGACCAGGCTTTGGCGCAAAAAAGTTTTGAGATGATGTTACCTAAATTACTCATTTACTAAATAAACTGCTTTTACAACTTGGTCTTACTGCTCTACTACATTGCTATTGATGTGATATTTTGATTTTTATAGTTATTTTTTGTATTTTAAAAAATTTATTTTTTTTTATAGATTTATTGTTTTAAACGGATAAGTAGAATAATATAATGTTAATGATAATATACAGGGTTATATAAAGGTTATACAACAAATTGTGGGTCGATGTGCTTTCGCCTTGCCTCTTCTTCTTCCATTTCACGTTCAATGTCGCGAGGTAATGGCCCTACTCCCAGCAACTCTTCTTCGACTTTTGAGGCTGGTTGAGACGAGGTTTCAGATGCTAAAACAGTAAGTCTATATGATTATTTAATAGATTGATTATTTTATCAAACTAATATGTAAAGCTGTTTGTCAAAATGACAGCAATATTCAGAACTTTGGGTTGAATTATAGGTTGTTTTGAAGAAAGTTTAAAATTCTACTATTACGCTTGCTTGGCTTTAGGTTTTTGTTTACTTTACTTACTATACTACGATACAGTGCTTGGGATTTAAAGGTAAAACAGAGAGAAAAGGGAATTTTACAGTACTTACGAGGCTCTGGGGGCTTTTCCGGCTCAGGAGGCTGCCATTTTCCCTGAAATGACATTTTTTAAACTTTGATCACTAAACCCGAGAATTGAAGGAAGATTGACTTACCTGTTGTTTCAATTCTTCGATTCTTTCTGATATATTAGCTATTGGGGATTCTGGTGCTACTGTGGAGTCACTAAAAAAGTTTTCTTTTGATTCATGGTTGCTATTTTGCTCTACATGAGCTAGCTTAATGTACTTTAGAATGCAAAAATGGAACAAAACCTTAAGTACAAGCAGTATAATGTGCAACAACTTACCGTCGGCTCGACTTGTACGATTTGTACTTGCACATTAGCGATACCAACATCAGAAAGGTCAATAGTAGGATGACGAATAGCGAAACCCATTCGGTCGGGTGTACGTTCATCTTGTGCACCGTGTTTACTCTATAATGGCCACCGGGTTCCGGTGTAGGGCTATTTACGGTGCTAGCATACTTCACGTGCTACAACCTATTATGTTGTTTTCGAGGCTTTTATCCAGGTTCTGAGTCTTGTGAGCTGTACTAAATCGGGTTACAGTGATGTCATGTTTCGAAGGTCGACTGGTGTTATAGTACAAGGTGTTTTTGACAATATAACAACATAGAAAAGTTTTTGTTGGCATATTTGGGTGCAGAAACCGGTTGATAAAGGAAAATTCAGCTATTGAGAATTTAAACAGTTGTCTGACTGTAAAAATATGATGAAATAGGTTATATTGTAACAATATTTATTACTACGAAGGCGCATATACAATGAGATCTTGAGGTTTGAGATTTGGTATTTGGAAGTTTTGAGCCGTTTTTGGTTTTTAATGTAGCTTATCCGAAGAATCCGTAGCCTGCGTTAGAATTGTAGGTTGCTGAAACAACAAAAATATTATTTCAAGCAGTGATGTGCACATACTGGCAGTGTTACATGCATACTATTACATTTTTATAACTTTTACTGCATTACGTCAAAATCTTATAGTGTCTTGTTACCGTGAAGCCAAAACTTGGGACATACATATTACAGTATAAACTCATAAACATTTAAATTACTAGGTTGTTCAAATAATTCTGTGCTCCATTCTCAAAGCATATTTACTGGGTTAGGGGGCACAGAATTATTTGAAAGAGCTTATATTAAGGTAAAACACTCACCGACTTGTACTGAGTTTGGACTGTACGGTCCTAGATTGCCTCCCCATGAGTCTAGAATGGTACCAGCGGTCAGGCCATCAGCATAAGGTCGTGCTGTGTTCATTACGAACATGATAAACATAAGGAGTGTTACCATGGTTGAGTAGATTGACATTTTTCTAGTTTGAAGTTTTTAGCCGTTGCTTTATATAGAATTGAACTGTAGTAACGAGTGTAGCCGAGTGTAAAAAAAGTTTTTACAAACTGTAGTAATCACTAGACAGTAGTAACAGTAATTTCACTTTGTTCTGTAGCAACCGTAGCAATAGTAACCTTTTATATGTTGGAAAAGGGCGGATCTAATCAACTGCAACTAATTGAATAATGTCTCAATCCAACAAAAACAACAACAATTTCACAATCTGGAGAGGAGGGGAACAACAAACAAACTTCTATTTTAAGACCGTGATCTTTAAAGTCGAGTTAAAACATCAAACGAGGTAGTTACTGCACGGTAATTGTGATTATTTTGATGTAAACCTTGTTGTTTGATGTTTTAAATGTCTATATATAGATCTTAAAGGTATTTTTAAGACTGTTTATTGTTGTAAAAGCTTATATAAAGTTATATAACATCTTTTAATTACAAGTTTATATTGTAGTAGGTAACGATTAGTTAAGTTATTACTTTTAACGTTGTAAAAAGATATGATCTAAGGTAACATCACTAGTAGTTTATGATGAAAACTGATTGTAATTGACCTAAGGTTACTCAGTCACATTGTGTTTGCTGTAACAAATGTTACAATAATATGGCAGATGCTTGCTAATATTACAACAAAACTGTTTTTCGGAATCTGTTTTGTAGTACACTTAAAATGCACCGTAACTGCAGAATGAATTGCAAAAACTTTGTTTTTGTTTGAAATTTCGATAGTTTTAACTATTTCAATTTAATTTCTAATTCAAATGTTTACAGTGCAATTACACTGTAGTGGAAGTAAAGTTTTCACAAGACTATACATACAGTAACTCGGTACTTTTATAGTAAAATGTTATATTCAAAATGTAAAATTTGGTTGCTGGGCAAGCTTAGGTTGTTCAAATAATTTTGTGCTTCCTCTCAAAGGAAATTTTTGGGTTTAGAAAGCACATAATTATTTGAACAACATAGTATTTATCTCTGAAGAGAGGGAGGGGATTTTTTATTTAAAGAGGGGGGGGGGCTAAGAAAAAATCTTTGAAATTTTCAATCGTTTTTAATTGTTGGGGAGGGCAAGGGCAAAATAAGAAAATTTTTTTTTGAGATTGTAGCTTCTCCTTTTTTCTATAATACTCTACTACCCAACCGTAGTAATGTTATGTTAAATTTACACGTTTATCTTTAAAAAGTTTTCACGCTAATTAACCTTATCTATGACCAGACTTCTTTTTAAGTAAGCCTAATCTACCGTACCTTTCCAGACATGTCTATTACTATCGTATCTGTCGCTGTCGATTGTCAACGTATCTGTCGTAAAAACAAAAATCAAGTAGATCTATCCGTTTATGAGTGTATTGCATCCTGTGGAATATAATTAGGAGCTTTTACAGCTAGTAGTTTGTTTTGACCATTAGGTTGTTGTGCCCTGAAATTATAGTTGAGATCACGTAATGGGTTCTTCGAGTAAATCACTTCTGAGAACCTGTTCTTGGCGGCTATATAAAGGCAGCTTAGGCGTCGGAAGGGTTCATAACTGTCATTTAATTATATTTAATCAAAATGTTGCTTCATCTCGTGCTTCTCCTCACCGTGACGACAGCTGGAGTCACAGGCCAGGCTGACGAGCATACTCAAGGCAGTATTCTGGAGAACTGGGGTGGCACGCTACAGCAGAAGACCTACAATGGGGACTACAGGACTTTGAATAGTAAGTTTTACTGGGTGTTTGAGTAGGATTTGTAGTTGAATCTTATTACATTGCTTACTAGTACAAGGTTGATTGTATAGAAGGTATATAGTATTGTCTTTAGTTTTTATTATATCTTCTAATATTACCTATATGGTAGGTAAAATGAATATTTCGTTTTTTTTTGGCTTATCCTGTAGCTTTTAAAATTTAATTTTCCAAAAATATTCACTAAACGACGAACTTTACTATAGTCCTCTCCCACGACGCCCTTCCAAAGCCCTTGGCCGACGATCTTCAGCGTCGTGGCTACATTGGTCTTGATCGTGTCAGATCTCCCTACTTCAGCTATCCACCACAATATCAACAGCCACAGTTCCCAACCTACAATTATGGTCAATTCCAGTATGGCAGTCAGGGATTTCCAGGTTTTTCTAGTATTTATGGTCCTCGACCTGGAAAGTAGTTTTAGTTATAGAAATATAAATAAGTTTTAAGTACCTTAATTACTTTAATCAAGCTTTTAATTGTAAAATGGATAATAATAAACTATCTTACAATACCTACAAGCCTTTTTACATGTTTTTCAAAATTATATTGAGATAACAAAAAGTATTGACGCTTTTAAACGTGCAGAATGTACTTGAATTTGCGACAAGATTTTCTTTACTTCATAACCTCTATAATGTACTGATAAAACTCAACCAAACTTATAATATCCGCCTCAATTCATGGTGAACATCTTGGTATGACACAACCTTACCGTATCCAAAAAATCGGCCGAAATGCATAAAAAAGTTTTTATTGATCTATCTCTGCATACGATAGTCTATAAATAAATAAATATAATAATATGTGCGCTCTTAGGGGGAAAAGGTAAATCACAGAACAAAGGGAAGAGAAGCATCTGATTATGGGAAGAAGAATATGGTAAGTATATAGATGGATAGGCCGGGCTGAGAAGATAGGCTACGATAACAACAAAAACAACTAGTCCGGTCTGAAAGGAAAAGGTACCAAGCGAAAGACTAACATGACTTAGGGGAATATAACTACAGTATACGAGTCATAGGTAAGGTGTGGTATGAGTGTGATTACTGTATCATGGATTTGTATGGTATGAGTAGTCTTCTACAGTACATAGTATGAGTACTATAATCAGTCATAGTAAGGTACAGTATGACTACTGTAATAAGCCATATTAAGTCGTACCATATAATCATAGATACAACAACTACATCATACAAGTCACAGTAATGTAAAATAAAATATGATTTGACTACACGATATATTCAGAATGTATAAATATGTAACTAAATGCAATTTGGCAACAAATGTCATCCAACGTTTACAACAGAAAGCACCATAAAATAAATAAAAGTACATCTCTAAGACACTAAACAGAGTAATTTCTTTTTTTTCTTCTCGGGGGAGGGCCACGGTCACCAGTATTATGTGATTGTAGTCGCAAGGCAATCAATAACTTAGAAATAAATATATATATTTGTGGAAACACATCTGTATATGGTCGTATCATCGTCTACTTTTCGTAGAAGGAGTTCACCATCACGGCGATAACAAGGGCAACAATTACGAAACCGGCCTGAAAGTAATGATAAGTTAGATGATAATCCTTCAAAACAACAATATTATACTAGACTTTAACCTTTCTATGATTATATAAACATCGCGAAACGAATTATATTAACATTGTGAAGCTAACTTACCATTAGGACAATCAGCCAATCCTTATCAGTAATCGACCGCTTGAAACACGTAACTGATCTCTTCAGCCTCTTGTAAAGACCTAGTTTGGCCGGAGGACCAATCCTAGGAGTAGTGCCATTAAGACGCGTCCTAGTAGAGCTAGTCGAAGCAGGGGTCGAGGTTCCACTGGTCGATTTAACCGTTCGTTTCCTCGGCGAATCCGATGGACTTCTGTTGCTACTGAAGAGAGCTACAGGTGAGGGAAGAGAGTGAACCTCTTCTCCATCCTTGTTCTGCACCACCAGTACTCGTGCTTGTCGTGTACCAGTGAAGGTGGCTTGTGCTGGTGATACTGTCCAAGTGAAAGCGGTCGAATTGCCTTGGTAAATGGTCTTCCAGCCTTCATTCCCTTTCACGGCCTTCAGAGCGACTTGTAGCTTGTAGCAGACACTGTCTTCGGCTCCGCTCAACGACTTGTACGGCTGCCATTCCATCTGGTACACATTGTTACCTACTTCGGTCACGGAGGGAGCATTCTTGATGGCAGTTGGTGGTAGAGCAGTGGTTTGGAAGGAGTAGACCTTGGACCACTTTCCAGCCAACGTGGGCTGTCCCCTGGCATGTGAAGCGCGGATTCTGAACTTGTGAGTCGAGGCTTCCTTTAGTCCTCTGACTTTGGCTGATCGGTTCTCTCCTTCGTACACAGCCATGAATTTTCCGTTCTCTGATTCCTTTTCGAGGTAGAAGTAGAGGGTCTCCAAGGCATCTGAAGTGCTGGCTGCTGTCGTCCACTTGAGTTTAAGAGAGTTGGAAGCGATTTGAGCGGCCGTTAGGATTGGTGGCTCTGGAGGAATGTCCAAAGTGAAGCCCATCTTGGTGGCAGGTTTGCCCCAGCCGACGTTGTTTTTGGCACTAAGTTCAACACTAAAAAAATTTTGTTTATAATAAGAAAAACCAAGATAAAAATTCAAATTACCATAAAAAAAATAAAAAAAAACAAAAAAAATTATGTTAAAAATTTTGATAATATACTATTCCATAACTTTAAAACTCACTTGTACTCTGTGCAAGGTTTCAGTGAACTAAACGTGACTTCAGTCACTTCTGAAGCCACGATTTGTTGGGCTACTGGCACTTTGTCTTGGTATAATGCCACTTTGTACTCTTCAATGTCAGCTCCATTTTTGGCAGCCGGTGACCAAGTTACAGTAAGACTTTCCAATGCCAACGACTCAACTTCAACTTGTTGTGGTAGGCCTGGCACAACAGCTGGACTGCTCAGCTCCAATGTGTTAGATGGCTCTGAGAGGCCGGCTTCGTTCCTGGCTACGACGTTGAAGAAGTATATTCTGGCTGGAGATAGGTCTTCCAACGACAACTCCGTCTTGTCGGTACTGTAGAGTTGTTGTAGCTTTCCTGCCTTCTCCTTCTGACCTTCAGGCACGTTGGCAGAGCGAACACAGTATTCGATGACTTGTGAACCATTGGTCAAGGCTGGAGAGTCCCACACCAAAACGAACGATTGTTCGTCGTTCTTCAGCCTCAGATTCTGAGGAGGTGAAGTCACGGTGCACGGTGTTGTAGCCGACACAATGCTGCTCCACTCTCCCTTGATTCGTTGGCCTTCATTGTCGATGATGACACTTCTGACTCGTAGTTGAACGTGTTCGACCGGTCGTAGGTTCTCCAAGGTGAACTGGGTCTGACTGCCAGAGGAAACAAGTAGAGGACGTTCTTTGTCGACTCTTTGGAGTTCAAACAACAAGGATTCTTTAGAATCAGAGGCTTCTGGGTCTTCACTCGTCCAACTCACATCCATCGTGTTCAAGGTGATGTTGCTGATGGTGGGTTGAGTACATTTTGGTGGTTTTGGTACTTCGACCACTTTCTCCACTTCCTGATTGATCTCTGGTTTCTGTGTTTGGACAGGTGTTGCAGCCTTCTGAGCTGATGTAGACGCGTGATGTTGGTTCACGTACACATGATTCTGTCGTCCTATCTGTGAGTTTGGCTGTCGTTTCGGTTTTCGCTTGACAAACACTCTTTCCGACCAGGCACTCTGCAAAAACGATATGTTAAAGATCATATGATCAGTTTGAAATGAAAATGCAATTGTTGCAAAATAATCAAAAAATCTGAACACAGATAATACTGTCTACCACAACATACCGTTTGACCTCGTTTGTTGGCCTGTACCCTGAACAAGTTCAGGTGAGGGTCGTTGATCGTACAACTCATGTTGGGGCCCTTGTAGCACACTTTCCACTCGTACTCAGCATACTCTCCATTCTCGTACTTCTGATAAGAAGCCGCTCCTTCTACACAAAAACTGATTCCGTCGTCGCTGCTCTGGTGTTTCCACCCGAGTTCTACAGCGTGATTCTCATCTTCGTAGACCTTGTGGAAGGTCGGCGGAGGAACACGATCATTGTAGTTGTTGTAGTAGTTCGACCCTTCGTAGCGATCTTTGTGGGTTCTCGTTGATACAACTTCTGATTTTATGAATTCTGCACCCATAATGTGACCACTCAAGCGGAATCGGTATTCGCGATTACTGAAAATGATATGATTAGGTAAAAGAGGATAGTTCTGTTGGATTAAGTAATAGAAGATATTGATGTAAGTTACAGAGTCGGGTTAACATCTATCTAATTAACGGACCTTCTTAAGTTAGATACCAAGGCACAAGGAGTGTTCGTCTGTTGGTACGACTCATGTGATACTGGAGAGAACGTTGGATTTCCACGAATTGAATCAGAGACTTCCAACTGAAATTGAAACTTAAGTTCTACAATTTGATCAATGTTTTTTTTTTGTTAAGAATTTTTTAAAAATCCCCATCAAAACAGTAAAAATAATTTAAAAATAATTTTTAAACTTTTTTTCAATAAAACCACTTACAATAACATTGGCGAACTCGGGGTGAACCTGCCATGTCAGCTTGACCTGTCTCGACGACACGAACACGATCGTTGGTGGATTCAGCTTCGGTTGCATCAGTGGCACAAATGGCGGCGGATTGTGATGGACGCCTGCGCCCATGCTCTGCCGGTAGACGTTTGGCTGGTAGAAGTTGGAGTTGGCCGAAGTCGTGGGCAACACCTGAGATGGCAGGGGATTGGTGTTGATGTGGAGTGTGTTACTGAACTCCGACTGCCCGGTCTCGTTCTGAGCGGCTACACGAGCACGGTAATGGGTACCGGGTTCGAGTTGGCCAATACGAGCATGGTCGAACGATCCCTCGTAAGCGGTTTCAAATGGCTCATTCTTCCCCTAAAACAATATAACGTCAGTTAATACATTTAAGAATGAGTTCAACCATAAATACTATCACAATACCGAGACAAAACTATATCAACATCAAACAAAGAAAAATAGCAAAAGAAGGAATAGGTAACCAAAAAAAAAGATACCAAACAAAAACTACTATGAGAACCAAACACAATACAATGTCTATCTACTACAATATCGACTCTAGTACCTTGGCAAGTTGCAGAATGTATTTGTTGACGAAATTCCCTGGTGGCATCGACCACTGTAACCCCATCAGATAGGCTCCTCTACATATAATCCTCAACATAATAGGTGCTTCAGGCAATGGAGGATATGTCCTGAAGGCCGCTGATTTACTGTGTCTTCCGAATATCTTCCTCTCTGGTAACGAAGCTCGGACACAAACATTGTAATCTGTCAACGGCTTCAGTTTGTGTAGCCTCAGCCCGTTGTGGTGTGACAATGGAGGACATTTGGCTTGAGTTATTAACGACTTGTTGTGCCCCGCCGTAATCTCGTATAGTAATATATTATACTCGAACTCGCTACTATCAATATAAGGAAAAGGACCGCCTGACGAAGCGGCTTCTGATGTATCCAGCTCCATCCAATGCACATCCGCATCAGTGGGGCCGATTCGAGTCACAGTGGGTTGTTGTACTCGATTCAAGGCTTCTTGAAGACGTTCACGTTCATACTGATCGATCACATCCTAAAGCCAGTTTTCGTAATGCTGAGGTTAGATTAGGTCAGCATACAGACAAGAAAAGTGACGTTATAGATATAAACTGAAATTTCAAGAGAAGCTAAACAGCTTTTCTTCAATTACATCTTTTAACATCCACTACATTATGTTATCCTTGAGTCGATTTGATTAAAAGTTTATAAAAATGTTAATAAAGGTCAGACAAACCTATGGAAAGACAGAATATTATCTAAAACAAGGCAAAAAATAAAAATTAATCAAAAATATTACGTTTTCAGGAAGAGTGCCATTACTCTCGTGAGATGTTCCAGCTACAGAAGTCGCCTTCTTGGGGTGGATCTTTTTCCGCAATACGGGGGTGGAATCTGAAATAAATATTGTTTATTCTATTTTTTAGTTTATTTACCAAGTAAAATTAAAATTCTTCAAAAAAATTCGAAGAAAAGACGAAAAGCCACAAAAATATCGAATTTGTCGATGAAAAGTCACAAATGACTTTAAAATTTCTGTTTTTCTTGAAAAATTCATTTTCTAAGTGTTTATTGTCCATCTTCTCGGTCATATTTAAAATAATTTAGGCTTGAACTATAATAACCTACTTGATTGTTCAGAGCTCTCCGAAGCCGGCTGTGTAGTTGTTGTAGGCACCGTGGTTTTCAAGGTATTTGTGGTTGGAGTTGTTGATGGAATTGCTGAGTTGGGCCGTACCATTTGAGTACCATTTTTTATATTGGCATACGTAGCCTGAAAAAGGTATTTTTATACTTTAAGCTATAAAATATTGAAAATGTTACCTAAAATCTTTTTTAAACAGAAAAAAGAAATTCCTGACGAATTTTCAATCTTTGTTGTTTGAATAAAAAATATATATCTTTAAAATATTTTGGTGTAAAACTTACAGTAGGAGGGACCCTAGTGCCGTTGCCATTTTGTGGTGATAAAATGATATGTTTTAAAAAGCCTTTTTCATCCAAAACGTGTTGAACAACATGTCCTTGAGGCACGTGAAGTGGAAGGCGGGTTTGTGGAATTCCACTTTGGCCTACCATGCGAATTGTAGCTGGACCTACAAAGAAACAGTTTACCATTTAACATAATATTAATCGTTTTGTATATTGAAATACTGTAGAAAAAGGACAAAAAATTTATTTTAGGTATCAAAATTTAAAAAATGTCTTACCAGCAATGTTTTGGGGCTCAGTTCCAATGTACAAGATCAGTATCTCTCCTTGGGCGACATGAACGAAGATTTCGTTGTCAGGTTGGACAGTCGGCCCTGTACCTCCACTGACTGGTGGAGGTACTGAGTTGAGTATCTGCCCAAGAGGAGGTGATCCAGCTTGCTGGGGGATGGTAGGCACAGTAGGTTGGGCATGTTGGGTACTGCCATTGTTGTTGTTGGCATTCGTAACTGGTCCATTTGGCAATAAAACCGGGTTCGTTGATCTTAAAGTGGCACCAGTTGGGGTGAAGGCTGAGCCGGTTGAGGTCTCCGCGATCTGAGGACACGTCATGGTGTAATAGGGTGGTGGGGGTGGTACTCCTGGTACAGATGCTACACCTGGTACTGGTGGCACACCAACAGAGCTAGCAACTGGAGGGGGTGGGCGTGCCATGTTGGGTGGTGCCCAACGGATCGTCGAGATGGGAAAGTTGGCGCCGGCCGTACTATGGAGCATAGGCCCGGGTAGTACACCGTTGACGACGTAGTCGGGGACGTTGGAGCTACAGGAGTGGCTGCCCTCGCCCGAGTCTCGTTCCGATATTATGGATGAGGCTTCCGACTCGTTCTTACCGTTCAGACCCGAACTCGAGCCGAAGTCGGAGGTGTCGGTGGGGGCACGTTTGGGAGGGGTGGAGGCGGGCGACAACTTGGGCGACGCCGACGAGTTGCTGGGTAGCGAGGCGATGGAGGCGGTGTCGTAGACAGTCTGGACCGGGTTCAGCGAAAACAGACTTGGCGGGTAGTTTTGTGTGGTAGTGGTGCTCATAGTTACAAGAGTTTGTATGCCGTCAATTGTCACCAGATATGCGCATGTCGTGTGTCACAGTCGTGTTGGTCTCGCAGTCCCTGGAGTTGCGGGTGTTGGGACGTAGCTGCGCCTGCGCGAGCTTTTTGTGTTTGGAGTTGGAGCGGCGACAACTGAAAGCATGGGAAGGTTAATTTTGGTTGAAAATGTATTTTAAAATGTTTAAATTATTTTAAATTCACACGAAATTGTATAATAACACGCCGGTTTAACATAATATCATCGTTGAAGATTAAAATTTAACTTTTTTCAAAAATTTAAAATTTTTTTCAAAATATAAATCTAAAAGTAAGCTAAACCAAAAGTAAGATATAAAACCATCTCGAATGTCAAACAGAATTTGTATTTTAACAACAATACCAATTTAAACTACTTTATCCGTTTGTATTGGCGCGCGAGTACAGACGGGTTGCGCCACCTAGCACCCGCCAGCCCCTTCTTCACGTGACTAAGCGATCGAAAAAATGATGGAAGGCGGTCATTGAATGGATATTATTGTTCGCAAAGAAACCGGACCCACAACGTACGACTTACATTCGCTTTGGTATGTCAACGAATTCGTTGTATGTCAACGAATTTGTGGTAAATCTAGGAATGTGTGGTATGTTAAGGGTGCGACAAGGGTCTGTTCATGACAAATTTTTTGAAATTATACCATTATGGGGTCATATAAGGGTTGTTACCAGTATGTATCAAATTTGATCAATAGTTATGTCATTATATACACCTTGATAAGTCAAAAAAGATCACTTTCGTCCCCAAAATGTCATCATAATATGACATTATCCACCAACTACCCTTGGTGAACCTGCAAACGAAGCACAACCTTAACAATACCATCCGGTAAAGACAATGAAGTGGGGTTAATCAAAATGTAAAACGAGAATAAAGCGCCATAAAGTGGTGGTATGAAAGCGTTACAAGACAAAGGATACTACAAAAGTGTTGAAGAAGCCTTCTTCTCCGTCTCCCGCTTCTCTCGGAAAGGAAAGCAATCGTCGTATGTTTGGAATGGGATTGCGATCGGACACCGTCGTAGATGGTTTGATTTTGCAAAAGCCGACTTCAGCGAACGACAAAAGACCTGTTAATTCGTTTCCAGCCGTTCGGAGGCCAAAGGCGACGGTGTGAGGGCCAATATGGTGGTATTTCGGGGGCTGATACGATAGAATATAAAGTCAAGATTACAGTACTTTAAGGTCAGCAGGTCAGTGAAAGACAGTAAGAAGAAACTTTAGTGCTCAGTATGATGATGTTTTAGACCGTTATGACAGTAACTGTAGAAGGCAAGGTAACGCTACTTTTTAGGCCAAAATCACGGTAGATATAGAGAATAGTACTATAATACTTGGCGTATAAAATAAAACATCTTTTAATGTTTGTATAACAGTACTATAAGCCTATTGTAATCATTATTAGGAATGTAAGGCAATATGACAGTACCATAAAGAATAAATAACATTTTACAACAAAAATTTAGGACTGAAATGGATTTTCGTTAGTATGTTGATATTAACCACCAAATACAGTATTTTCCCCGAGACCCTATTTAAAGCTACTACCATTAAACCACAAAATACCAAGCCCCCTACAAACCTCCAATACCCTATACCTTCTTGGTTTCTGACCTTCGGCTGACATTTTTTATTACGGAAAACCTACAAACTTTCCCAAACAAACTCTCAGATTCCGCCCTCAGACTATGGCCAATTCCTATTTCGAGCAGGTGGCTCTCAACTTTTTTCGAAAAAGTAATTACCGAAAGTGTCAGCAGAAATAGAATTCTGTATTTTTGTAGATTCCTCGTTTTATCAAAGGCGAAGGAACCAAAGTGAAAAAAGTGAGTCTGGTGAAAAAAAAGGTTGACCTCGCACTGATAAGAGTGCAAATGTCCATTGATGTCAAAAAACAGCGTTATATTATAAATGGAGAATCATATCACTCAGCCTTGTCTAATTTTAGAAGTTGTAGTTATTCTAAAAGTTAAACTTGGTCCTAAAACTTAATATTTTAGTCTAAAAATAGGCAAAACAGTTAAGGTTTTAGTTAGGAAATGAGTCAAAATAACAAATTTTAATTCAAAATTTAATAAAAATTTTAATTTTAGGTCAAAAAATGACTGAAAATGCTATTTTTTGATCAAAAACTCAGTAAAACAAAGATGTTCTACACGTATATTAACAAAACTAATCTCAATAGTGCCGAATGGCATGTAGAGTTCAATTCTATGTACTTTTAGACCAAAGCACACTAGAAACGACTCTTGTGGACTTTCATATTCACTTTATCAGATGGTTTTAGGGTTGGAATTATTCTAATTTTGGCGGTTGGACGGCACGGAAAGTAATTATTCAAAAATCGTATTAATTTCCAACAAAAACATCAGTTCCGGCTTAATGTAAGCAGTTTTACATTATGATAATATGCGGTAAAATCTCGTTTCAAAGACGAGCTAGTCCAAAGAGTATTATGCGAAAAAGATTGACATAAAAAGCATAAAGATGTTTGGAAAACCGTAAGGATGATAAGACGAAACCATAAATTTCAATATTTAAATTAACAAAAAACTGTAAAAATCTACAAAATCTACTTACAAAAGAGTGTTTTAAAAACTAAAAACTACTTTTAACTAATCAAAAAATATAAAAAAAACTAAAAATCTACCCAAATTAGGCAAAAACCCTCTGGCATTTCAGTGCGAACGAACAAAATCCCCTCAAAAGTATAATAACTGAAATTAACACACCAGCCCTATGGGTATTATGAAGAGAACACAAAAACCAAATCTGAATGATAATACCCACCAATTTCGTTGACACAATATCAATCATGAAACACGAATAAGCGGCTCAAGGCCGGAAGCTACACGCCCCGCAACCGCAAATGAACCGATGACATCAACACAAATAAATAAGACAAAGGCCGCGCGAAAATATTCTTAGAGCCCAAAACGGCTGGAGGGGAGGGAAGAGAGCCCGCCGTTCTAAGTGCGGTGCTGGCAAAGAACGGCCGAAAGGCGGAGGAAGACGAAGGGATTGTTCGGCCATGACGTCGTCCTCGCCTTTCTCCCGGCCGCTCTCCCCTTTTCGGGACCAAGCTCGAGACAGAACAGACCAGATATGGGCATAATACGTGCGCATATCCTGGCTAGTATCGATTGCTATCGATTGGGTACAGGAGTTCAATTTGAATGAAAAGTTTAAATCAAAATTTTTAAATTTTGCAAAAAGTTTTATGATAAGAATTGTAGAATAAAATTTTAAAATATTTAATAATTTTGATCGAATGCAAATTGAGCAACCTTTGATCTCATGAACATTAAATTTCCGGCTAATAGAGACCTAAATATCAAACCACAACAGTTTATATAGTCTTTTCAAACCAAAAAACTAAAAAAAGAATTTAAATTCTGGTCGAAAAAAGCCTAAAATCACCGTCTAAAACCCTTTTCTAAATCTTCACCCGCCCTATGCTTTTTCAAAATCATCACCCTACAATACTTTTAAACTGGCCAAAATTATCATCCCCAACACCCCATAAACTCCCATTCAAAGGCCATAATTCGATCTCTAAAACAATTTTAATACGCCCAATGTGGGGCCATAGGGCCGCGACTTGATTACGAGCCCAAACGATGGGTTATAAAAATATTATTCGATTTATAATAAAATGAGCAACAGTTTTGTTTATACCCCCAGCAAAAGCGCCTCCGACCCTCCTAATGGAGACGTGGCATCTGAGACGGGGGGATGCGGAACGGCCCCACAGACCGTTAACCTCCCACCAGTTAAAGCCCGTTTTATTAAAGAATCGTTCGAAACACGTGAAAATACAAAAGAGCAACCGTCCAAACTCTCTTCTCGGTACAAGCTGTTCGAGTTTGAAGAAGAGTTTGCTACATTTTGGAAAGCAGAACAACATTTTTAAAAATAATTTCAAATTTTAAAAAAATTTTAAAATTTAAAATTTGCTTATTGACTTAAAAATGACCACTAACCTATTTTTTGTTAAAAGATTTTGTTTCCTGCTTAATTTTTGACCGACAAGATATAACCACATTTTTAAAATTAAATTTTTAAAAATTCGCCCCAAAGTTGAAAAAAGTTGAAAAACACAAAAATAACAAAATAAGAGCTTATTAGCCCTTAGGTGTGGGCCGTCTAATCTTATTTTCTCTTATTTTTACTCTAAAGCTTTTAAATTTACTTTAAAACAACATCTCTAAGTCTTCTGTAAACCGACCCTTTACAACCTCAGTCAATAATGATTAAGCAGTATTAACAGCATAATAATACTTAAAAGTCTAATACCCTCAAACAAACAACACAATAGTACCAAACAAACACAGTACAATGCTATCCAACACGTATTAAACAGACAAGACAATACCCTTGCCATTAAATGTAGGACAACAACCGCGAGAATTACATTACTTGGGAAACGTCATCCGTTTAATAACTCGACTGAAAGGAACGGTCAATGGGGGCGTTCATTCTGCTGTGAGCGACGTCATCGTACGTTGGGGAAGACAAAAAAAGAACGTGTACATACACATATATATACACATATATATTCTGAAAAAACACACAGCGTCAACAAGCGAGCGGCAAAAGTCAGGGCCAGAATGCTCCCCCTGTTTTAGAAGGAGGGGGAGCGAGAATAAGGGGGAGAGGAGGCTCTCAGATGCACCCCTTGTCCAAAAAGCGCCCCCCCCCCTTCTTGTCCCCAAAAAAAAGTCAGAAGGCCTTTCACGTCAACGTGACGTTGAATGCCATGCTCTGAGAGATTCCCTCTCCACTGCTACGCCACTTTCTCGCGCACTCGTAGCGCCCCTCATAAATTGCTTCATGAATTTGGACCACCCCCCTAAACCCACGTAATTGGCCTGATATGACCCCGAAATTAATGTGGCTTTTGTGCGACGTCATCGCAATAAAATTATAATATTCATAAGCTAAAGC